AATAATCATGTACAAAGCAGAACTACTACCGATGCAACATGACCAAAAAAGGCTATCTGAAAAATATCGAGACTATTTAGAATATTTAGCTATACATCTTGAAAAAGTGCTTTGCAGTCAAATGCATCTCCTTTACAAGTTATGCATAAAGAAAATGAGAGTCTACAATAGTAGGAACTAATACCCAAAGAGATTATTCAGACAATACCACTGCCACTAAAGAGGAAAAATTGTGAAATTCTCATGACAGGATGTATTGCAAATTCTGAAAGAGGATAAGTTGCTAGATCAGAAAGAGTCTATTCACTCTAATAAGGAACTATTGTAGCTTGTTCTAGTTTATTGGTGGTTTATAAGTGTTATAAGAATGGACAAAGTTGGTGCACAAAAATATGATGCATACAAAGATATAGCGTGTGTATACAAACAAATCCTTAGTAAGCTTAAGATTTCACAGATTATAAATCAACTTGTAGATTTTGAAAGGTTGAATCTGTATTTATTGCTGCAATCGCTTGTAAAAATTACAATACTCATGATACTGCTACAATAGATTAATAGAATTTTGATTATTTTAGTCATGAGATCCTTGATAGTAAAAACATTTTTCATTTTGTTATTTTGACCAAGTCAACTGTCATTTATTCTTAAATCATGTAGACAACTCGAATAATATTTATTCAGGTAAAACCAAATACATAAATAATTTAAATATNAGGAATGGCATATTTTATTTCAATTCCATGCTCATTAAGGCATTCAGTGCACAGTTTCCTTTAACATTAACATTTGTGAGGAGCTATACATATCGATGATATTGGATTTAGATGATGATAAATGCAATTCATGAAAAATATTAAAAAATAATGAATTTCTATTATTATATTTTGAGTTTTATTCTATAATTTAAAAATGGTTACATATAATTCTTAGTAAAAAATACCTACTATAAAGATTTAGGTTTGATTGACTTATATTTGTGCATAGCTTAATTCTTTAAGTATATAGAATAGAAAACAATAAAATTATTAACAATCCCACGCAGCACAATTTCTCAGAAAAATTGCCAATACCATTGATCCTTTGCGCTAATGACTCAATTTTCAATAAATCAATTAATTTCTTCCAAAATTGTTAGCAGTATTTCTAAACGCTAACATTTATATATTATCCAGCTTAAAAGTGGTAGAATATATGAATTATTTGTAAAAAAAAGAGTGAAATGAATTGGATATATATTTGCCAACGCCAACATTATTTGAAATTGATTGAGCATTTATGTCTGCATAAGAAGCGAATTGTAAATGCTCTAGCCTGCACTCTATATTTTAAGTTTAAGCAAAAATTACAATGCCTATATATATATATAGATACATATATTCTCAGAAGCAGAATGATTTGTTACTGTTTTTAATATCCTCACAATCAAATCTTGAAAACAGTAATCCATGTATAAATGGACCAGAAAATGTTTTAATGATCATCACGCGCCTATTTTCATTTAGTCTACCTATTTGAAATCTATATGCAACTGCAACTCCATGCAATATTTTTCACTCTGTAATTTTATGTATTGACAACAATGATGTCTGGTTAACTTAAGCACAATTCCATTTAAGTATGCGATTAATATCTATTAGCTTGTGCGGATTTCAAATTTACTACGGATGAACCTGAATACTAAGTGCATTACTTACTGAATTCTAATTGTAGAATGCTTTTGATGAATCACAAGTATATGCATTTCCAAAATTGTATAACAAGTTGTTAGCTTTGCAAGTGGACATAGATCCTTTGTTTAAAAGCTAGAGTTATGTGTACATATTTTAACAATCTGAAAATTTGATATTGATTCCAAGGGCATAATAAGAGACAAAAAACTAAAAGTTTTACACAAGAAAAAAATTAAAGCTTTAATTGATTTGAAGATCGTGTCGCAATTTATAAAAACTATTTAGATAATATGTGAGTTAATAATGTTTGTCCCGATAATTTAGCCATGAATTCGGGACAATCAAGATCAGGATTTGTGTAAGTTGATTATGTTCTATCTGACGGAACCAAAAGAATAACATTTAATGGTTTCAAACCAAGCGAATATAGTCAACTAAATTTAGAGAAGAATTATTAAATATTTCCAAAACTTTTGAATAAATTGCTTATGAAATTTCAAAAAATTTATATAAATACATAAATAATTTAAATATTTATAAAAGGAAGATGTCTAAACAATGGAAATCTTAATAATTCAATTATCTATGTTGAAATTTGATTTTTTAACTAATTTTAATTGTTATATTATCAGTGTCTAAAAGTAAATTACATTAAGAAGGTTAATTTTTTATATATATCCTTTATTTAGAATATTATTATTGAAAAATTTAAGATTCAGAAATCCGATCAATAATTAAAGCAGGACAATAATTATAGTTATTTTTCAAGTAAACTGAATCAAGCTTATTTATGTTTTGGACACCTCACTTTGGTTATAATTTTAAATCAGATAGCTTCTTATTTCTCTATTACCTTCTCTTTTAAATGTACTATATCTAATAAAATAGTAATTTAAGTTCTTTATAAATACTTTTAGTATGAGGAGGAAAATTAATCGGATACTACCTTGTTTTTAGAATTTTTAAAATTAGAAAAGATGGATTCAAAAAATTATCAACTTAATGGATTAAATATGGAATTTTAGATTAGCCTATAATATATGCTTTCAATAATAATCATGATTAAATCTATTATTTTACCAAATGGAAAAGATTTTTATTTTTAATAAATGTTAGATTAAACTAATAGTAATTTAGAAAGTAATGGTAATTGGACCAATGAGCAACTATTAAAATTAAGTTAATTTATCTATTATTTCTATAGAGCCTATACTTTTGAATACAATATGTATTGTGCTTAAAGAAAAATAATTATAATTTAATCAATTATTGATGTAAATTAAGAAGGTAATAATTATTTTTAAATTTTCCTAATTAATTGTAATGAGCACCTTATCAATTTTATAGTAATTGAACTTCTAAAAGAGTTAAATTTTTATTTCAAGATCTTTCAAAATGAATTTACCTTATAGTGCAAATAAATTTACTCAAAATTGAATAAAATCAGTGCTTTCATCTTTTAGTGCAAATTTCTTTGAGGGTAACAATAGTACTGCTTTATATAAACAATAACCATCATCAATCTATAAGGTCTGTTATACTAATGATAAGATTAAAATATCACTTGATAGAAAATTATTACATCATGATAAGAAGGAGTATTTTTGTCTTATATAACTATTCTCATCATAACATAAAAGTTGCTGATAAAGTTTAAGTGTGTCAAAGAAGCAAAAAAACAAATACTCCTCCACTCTCACTCTGCTTATGTTCATGATATACCAGGAGCTGGTTATATAACTTCTCAATATTTGCACCATACTAGACTCAATTCCAGTAATGCTTTTGAAACTAGATTCATGCCATGAACAGACTTTAATCTAAGAGGTTTTGTGACTAAAATAATTGGTCGTACTAAACGTAGCAGTTGAAGTGCTCTTGCATTCTTTTATGTATTCCAAACAGTTTATTCTATTAAAGTCCTTCATAGATTTTAGTTTTACATTTTACTTATAGTCTTAACTATCAATAGAAGGATTGTAAGAACTAATAATGAGCTCTTGCTTATTAATTCAAGGAAGTACAAGCTTCATTTTAAGTTGGATAACTCAAAGTAGTTTAGTATATCTATGGTAGCTCCCTACACTCTTTAGAGTATATATGTTAAAGCAGTTATGACAAAATTTATGTATATAAAAATAGATTTTGCACTCCTTACAAAACTCCTTGCATCAAACCATTATCTCAAAACTTGTTAAAGTTTTACAGATGGAAAAAATAAAATATTCTGAAAATTTTATAAATGCTGAAGCTTTACTATAGATTTAGCTCTTAACAATAAAGTTAAAGTCAAATAAAGTTTGAGAGGGCCAATTAAATTTAATATATTTATTAAATGTTCATGTTTCACAAAAAGTTGATCGGGTTATCTTTTATATTTTCCTTTAGATAGCAATTAAATGTCTTATCAGAAGAAGCATCTAACTAATGAAGTCATTTATTTAGGAGACAAGAAAAGATAAAATAACCTAAATTAGTTTTAATTGATTCTACTTTATATTGATTTTTCTAAATAGAACATTGATTTGAATCTTGATATCTTTTATTTTTATAATGAGTGGATTGAAAAATATTTTGTAAAATTGAGTGTCTAAAATTTATAGAATTTAGATTTTCTTTATTTGAATAGGATTAATATTTTCCCTGTTAACAATAAATTTCATTTTGCAAATTTTAAGTTAAGTATCTCAAAAAATTTTAAGCTAAATTTTCATGATAAACTTAGATATAAAAAGTAAGTTAATCTAATAAGCAATGACTCATACTATGAAATTGAGTTATACAACTAAAATGATCAATTGATCAATCTGACATTCTAGTTTTAGGTGCATCTTTCTTCATCATAAGGTTCTTCCAAAGAATAATTTAAAAAGAACAATTACATTCAAATTAGCTAAACTGTGCGATTCTACATTATCTTAATTAAAGTAGCCCCAATCGCTATATATTAAAAGCAAAAAGGAATATCAAATAATACAACATCTTAGGCATGATAAATAAATTAATAAAAATATATTCAAGAAAGTCCACACCTCATTTTCCGATCAAATAAATTCTAAAGGAAAGAATGAGTAAGAGCTCTACTGGATCTCAACCGTACAAACAAAGACGTTTTTCTAATCTTTGATGTAAAAGTCAATATAATACGCTGCCACCCATATTCAAAAACCAAAAGATGATTTGTTGAAATTATGTATAAAAAGTAGCTCTTAAAATGTTGATAAATAATGTGAAATTGTAGTGCTTCTAATCTTAAATGAATTATGCATTTTTGTTACCTTTCTATACTTCTTAAAAAAATAATTCAAATTCGATCAAAATTTCAAAAAATGCAAGTTCAAAATTCAGGAATTTTGTTTTTTACTATTAATCTTATCCATGCATTAATTTATTTAAAACTATTATGGAATGTATTTATAATAAATTTCGCAAGATATTGCATCTACATAGTAATTTTTGGAAATTTTATCCTAATAATAACTATGTTAATCTAAAGCCTGAATAATGTAGATTAAACTTATTTAATCATTATACCTACTTTTGTGCTTATTAGCCAAGCGCAGCACAACAAATATGACCATAATAAAAAATGAATAAATTATAAATTTATCATATTAACCAAATAGACAATATAATAATAATCAACTTTTTTGACATTTTACTTATATCTAGTTTTCCAAAATGTAACTTCCTTTAGATTAAAGAAATTATTATAAATCTGTACCTTTATAATTAGAAAATTCCCCTTTCAAGATTAAAGTTCCTTATGCTTGAAATTATTATGATTGAGATATAATCAGAACAGTAATATTTGCTGTTACTAAATAATTCAAAAATAAATACCAATTTAAGGAAGAAAGTTATTTTAAAATTATGCCAAAATATTGTTTTACCCATGATTTTAGGTCTAGATTTAATATCCTGTTTTAACATCCCATAAACAGATAGAGTTATCCTCAAAACCAGATGCTAATACACTGCCATCAGATGAAAAGCAAAGTTATCTGACCTTATCTTAATTACAATTGAATTTTGCTTTTTATTGTCCTGTCTAAACATTCCACAAACGGATAGATGAATCTCCACTGCAAGATGCTAATGTAGCACCATCAAAAGAAAAGCATGCTGAATAAACAGTGCTGGTGTGACCATCTAATTGAGTCAGTTATCTTCCTGTCTGAATATCCCATAAACGAATAGTGTTATCATAACTAGCAGAGGCTAATAGAGTACCATCAGGAGAGAAGCAGAATGAATTTACGAAACTAGTATGACCATCTAATAGGGCTTATTATTATCCTGTATTAACATTCCATAGTTTGATAGAATTATCGTCACTACTAGATGCTAAAATAGGGCAATCATTTGAAAGGTTGACTGATAGAATACTATTAGTATGACCAAATAATTTTTATTATTGTGTTCTGTTGTCCCATAAACGAATAGTGTTATCATAACTAGCAGACGCTATTAGAGTGCTATGAGGGGAGAAAGAGACTGAACTTACATAACTAGTATGACCATCTAATAGGGCTTACATTTATCCTGTCTTAACATTCCATAATCGGACAGAGTTATCATAGCTACCAGAAGCCAATGTAGTAGAATCAGATGAGAAACATACTGACTAGACTTAACTAGTATGGCCAATTAATTTCTTTTGGCATTATCCTGTCTTCACATTCCATAAAAGAATAGAATTATCATTGCTTCCGGATGCTAATAAAATACCGTTAGGAGAGAAGCATACTGATTGAACACTACTAGTATGACCATTTAATTTAAGTTTTGATTTTCCTGTATTAACATCCCATAAACGGATAGAATTATCATCACTGCCAGATGCTAGTATAGTACCATCAGGTGAGAAACATACCGATTACACAGCACTATAGTGACCATCCATTTTTAATATTTATTGTTTTGTTTAAATACTCCATAAACGGACAGACTAATCTTCACTACCAGATGCTAATGTAATACGATCAGAAGAGATGCAGACTGATCTAACCTGACTTTAATGACCATCTAATTTGGCTATTTGTTATCCTGACTTAACATCCCATAATCGGATNTTATAATTAGAAAATTCCCCTTTCAAGATTAAAGTTCCTTATGCTTGAAATTATTATGATTGAGATATAATCAGAACAGTAATATTTGCTGTTACTAAATAATTCAAAAATAAATACCAATTTAAGGAAGAAAGTTATTTTAAAATTATGCCAAAATATTGTTTTACCCATGATTTTAGGTCTAGATTTAATATCCTGTTTTAACATCCCATAAACAGATAGAGTTATCCTCAAAACCAGATGCTAATACACTGCCATCAGATGAAAAGCAAAGTTATCTGACCTTATCTTAATTACAATTGAATTTTGCTTTTTATTGTCCTGTCTAAACATTCCACAAACGGATAGATGAATCTCCACTGCAAGATGCTAATGTAGCACCATCAAAAGAAAAGCATGCTGAATAAACAGTGCTGGTGTGACCATCTAATTGAGTCAGTTATCTTCCTGTCTGAATATCCCATAAACGAATAGTGTTATCATAACTAGCAGAGGCTAATAGAGTACCATCAGGAGAGAAGCAGAATGAATTTACGAAACTAGTATGACCATCTAATAGGGCTTATTATTATCCTGTATTAACATTCCATAGTTTGATAGAATTATCGTCACTACTAGATGCTAAAATAGGGCAATCATTTGAAAGGTTGACTGATAGAATACTATTAGTATGACCAAATAATTTTTATTATTGTGTTCTGTTGTCCCATAAACGAATAGTGTTATCATAACTAGCAGACGCTATTAGAGTGCTATGAGGGGAGAAAGAGACTGAACTTACATAACTAGTATGACCATCTAATAGGGCTTACATTTATCCTGTCTTAACATTCCATAATCGGACAGAGTTATCATAGCTACCAGAAGCCAATGTAGTAGAATCAGATGAGAAACATACTGACTAGACTTAACTAGTATGGCCAATTAATTTCTTTTGGCATTATCCTGTCTTCACATTCCATAAAAGAATAGAATTATCATTGCTTCCGGATGCTAATAAAATACCGTTAGGAGAGAAGCATACTGATTGAACACTACTAGTATGACCATTTAATTTAAGTTTTGATTTTCCTGTATTAACATCCCATAAACGGATAGAATTATCATCACTGCCAGATGCTAGTATAGTACCATCAGGTGAGAAACATACCGATTACACAGCACTATAGTGACCATCCATTTTTAATATTTATTGTTTTGTTTAAATACTCCATAAACGGACAGACTAATCTTCACTACCAGATGCTAATGTAATACGATCAGAAGAGATGCAGACTGATCTAACCTGACTTTAATGACCATCTAATTTGGCTATTTGTTATCCTGACTTAACATCCCATAATCGGATAGACTTATCATCACTACCAGATGCTAATGTAGTACCATCAGGAGAGAAACACACTGAATAAACAGTACTAGTATGTCCATCTAATTTTACTGTTTAATTGCCTGTCTTAATGTCCCATAAATGGATAGATTTATCATCACTACTAGACGCTAAGGTTGTACCACAAGGTGAGAAACATATTGATAAAACATAACTAGTATGACCATTTGATTTGGTTATTTTTTGACCTTTCTAATCCCATAAACGAATAGACTTATCTTAGCTACAGGATGCTAAAGTTTTGCCATCGGGTGAGAAACATATTGATAGAACATAATTAGTATGACCATTGAATTTGACAGTTTATTGTCCTGTATCAACATCCCATAATCGAATTGACTTATCTGCGCTACCAGATGCTAATACCCTACTATCAGGAGAGAAGCATACACAATAGACAGAATTCGAATGACCGACGAATATATCCATTTATTGCCCTGTATCAACATTCCATAATCGGATAGACTTATCTGCACTGCCAGATGCTAATATCTTACTATTAGGAGAGAAGCACACAGAATAGACAGAATTTTAATGACCTTCAAATATGGCTTTTGATTATCCTGTTTTAAGATCACATAGATGGACATACTTATCCGCGCTACCAGATGCTAATAGATTACCATCATGTGAAAAGCTTACGGAATAGACAGAATTCAAATGAACGACGAATATGAATTTTAATTATCCTGTATGAACATCCCATACTCGTATAGATTTATCATCACTACCAGATGCTAGTTTTGTCCCATCATGTGAGAAGGATACAGAGTAGACAGTACCATTGTGACCATCCATTTTTAATTGTTAATGTCCTGTCTAAATGTTCCATAAACGGACAGACTAATCTTCACTGCCAGATGCTAATTTACCATCACAAGAGAAACTTACTGAATAAACAGCACTAGTATGACCATCTAATTTCAATCTTTATTATCCTGTCCTAATATCCCATAAACGGATTGACCTATCGTAACTACCAAAAGCTAGTATAGCGTTATCAGATGAGAAGCATATTGATAAAATAAAACTAGTATGATACATTAATTCATTTATTTCATGTATTTTTAAATTATTCCATTTACAATTAAATAGTTATGCACCATTCAAATTCATTCCGCTAATATCAACATTATTAAATTTAGATCCGCTCAAATTACATCTTACAAAATTAGCACCAATCAAGGATGTTTCTTAAATTTTTATATTCTCAAAACTTTGTTCTCCTAAATTAACTTTCATTTCAACTAGTAAGTTTAGTGAGTTTGATCCACATTAGATAAATTAATCATCTAAGGCAGTCAGACGGACTATAAATTTTAAAAGTTCAATTATTTAGTTATTATTTGATATTTTCGTAATTAGAACTTTTCTCATTTCCTTTGAAGTCCTTGTGGAATAATTCCTTTTATTAAATTCAATGTCTCTCATACATTTTAAAATAGTAGTTATTAACCTCAGCGAGAAATATTATTCCAAATGCTCGTCTTTAATATTCTCAGAAAGAAAATCAACACAATTCGTAACATTTCCCTTTTTCATCATTTTAATCAATTTATCAAAAAAATTTTCATCAAATTCTTTTGATAAAACTAAGATCTCATATAAATCTTCTTTCCTTTCATTTTTCTTTCTCTATTCTTCAGCGATTTCAATCCTTTCTTAGACAATTTATTTTATATGATTCTTAAATTCTACAAGATTATATATCTTTTTAATTATTTCTATAAATTCTTAAATTAAACGTTCTGAACTGCTTTTGAATAAATTTTTTGACTCTTATAAAAATTCGTCCGTTATTTCTGTTTCAAATGATATTTCTTCTGTAATTACTGATAATAATTAAGAAAGATATTTTTTATGCTCTTGATTATCGCAATAGTTCTAAAGCTATGTTACTAAGTTTGAAAAATAATTATCAGAATTTTTTTTTAGTGCATCCTTTATTTTTCTAGAACTATATGAAAATTATTTTTTTCTTATATTTTCCATTATAAAATCAATTCTAATTTAGTAAAAAGAAGCTATTTCTCTCAGTTTCGGTTTCAGATCTTCATTAATCCTTTTTTCCCAATATTCTTTTCTCTTTGTGACATCCAAGGCCATAGAAAAATCATTCTAAACTTATTTAATCTTTATCTAATATTGTGAATTAATAGGATCTAATTCTATTTATTATACTTGAAATTCAAATTAAGGAAATAAAATTACTTCCTACTCATCCGAAAAGTCAGAGTGATAGTTTTCAAGTTTAAAGTAAGGATGAGGTTTTTTTTAATCTAATGAAATTTCAAAAAATATCTTATATTTATTGTTCAAAAAAGCTCTGGTTGTACTTTTTTTAGTTGACGTACTGGTTAAAGAACTCCAAAAAATACTTTTTCCATTTTTTTTGCATTCTGTAAATTCTTCTAAAAGTTGATCGAATTTTGTCTTTTCTTTGTCTCCAAAATTGATCCCCCTATATAATGCATTCTCAGGTAAGTTCTAACATTTTAAATTTGAGGAATATCCATAAAACAATGTGCACATGATTTATTCTAATCCTTCATAGTTTGATTACGCTAATTTTTGATTCAGTATTCTATAAAATTAGTCTTCTATTGTATAATAGTAAATTAGTTTCTCAAAATTAGTGAACTACTTTCCTTTCGATTTTTCTTTTTCCTTCTCTTAAAATTTTTTGAACACTTATTTGCTAACTAGCTATTCCATTTCTGAATTAAGTAAATATTCTTCATCCGTATATTTTTCCTATAATTTTTAATTTATCATTAAGAATCTAAAACTTACCTCTTTAAATTAATGATTGTATTGAGTTTACTCGCAACTTTATTAAATAAATTATAATGTCAAAGATTATTGAGCTTTAAGGAAGTCTAAATTTTTTTTTACATATTCTTTTACTTTTTAAATACCAGAATCTATCATTATTAATAACTGATATTTTTTTAAAAACATTGAGAAATTATCTCGAACACTCCAACAAAAGACTATTTAATTATTACTTAAAGGCTTTACCAAACATTCATTAATTAAAGAACTTGAAATTATTACAACTGCTTTATCTCCTTCTTATTGATTAGGAACAATTTATAAAGCATCGTGTATTGAATCGAAGAAGCTACACTCATTAATTATTTATTTTAATTCTGTCTAATATTACAAGTTCTCTTCATTATTAATTTTCTTGTCAACCCAAACTAATTTTCTCATTTTTGAATCTTCACTAAATTCTTCTTTAAATTGTTTTAATAGAATTACAAATTTAGAATTGAGCTTTAATATACAGAAAATTTAATGAAGAAAATATTATTCTATTTAATATATTTCTATTATTTATCTCATTTTATGCTCTGCTAATTAACTGTTACGTAGGCTCTTAGAAATTAAATAATTCTAATTTAGTCTTACTTAAAAACCAGCATAACATTTTCGTATTTTAAACTTAACTTCTATGCAAGATAGGGTTAATAGTCGATACATTCTTACGTTTAGATTTAAGCGTATTAGTTTTCTCTTTTATAAATTCTTAATAAGAGACGTACGCTCATTCTCCTATCAATTTGTGATTGAATACATTTTATTATTTTTAGAAGAGTAATAAAACAATAGTTATAATGTTTTTTCATCTAATTATACCTTTATTAATTAATAGTTGTAGTTTTTAGGATTTTTGCCATACCTTAATCGTAGCTTATGAATCCTTTTTTAAATCTAATTTTTATATAAATTTCTAGTAAGAACTTGATGATAATAAGAAATTAACAGTTTCATTATATTTTTTTATTGCAATAGTTTGAATATTCATTTTATATTGCTAAATTATAATATTATTATGCATATTTTGTAAAATTTCATTTAAAACTTAGGGAACATAATTTTCAGATATAAACTAACATTTTAATGAGGCATTAAATACTATTAGGAGATAATGATGTTTCCCAACTCCAATTTTCATGTAATAATCCTGTTTTTTTATACTTCCTTCATTAATATGCTTTTTGTTTATCCTCATAAAATTTTGTAAATTTATTAACTTTAACTCATCGATAATGCATTATATTTATTTGCGAATTTTAATTATTTTTCAGATTACAAACATTATTCATCATATCTCAATATTACTTTTCTTTTGTGTCAACTTGATTAATAAACATCAACAGAAATATTTACAGATCTAATGACTCTTTTATTTGAAAGAATTGATGAAAGCTCACCAAAGAAGCTGCTTTGACATAATTGAAATATTTAGAGATTACCGGTTAATAAAAGTAATGAATCAACTCATATCCTTTAATTATGATCCTTCAGCATATTACAAGCCTAGAGAATTGATATGCTTTTTTTAAATTATTCTAATTGATAAAAGGATTATATGCAAAAAATTATCATGCTTTGCTTATTGTTAAAAAGTTCTAACCAAAATTATATTATAAGAAATTTTCTTTAATTGAATATCTCATGATATTCTTTCATTTTTGAAATTTGTTCAATACCTATTCAATAGGGATCTAATTTTTATGTAAGACTATTTTCATTTTATAATCTAAGATTCCATTATTAAAAGTTTTGCAATCTATTTTTTATTTTGACAATTTAAAGGATTAAATATATATTTTTAAGGTTTAAGGTCTAAATTTTATTCATCAAAAATTTATTTAGCCTTTTTACTTGATTAAGAAAGAAATTTATTTAATTTGTAGAAATTTTAATTTTGATTAACTCCTGGATTTTCTTACCTTAATCAATTTGTATTTTGTAAAATATTTGAAATATGTTATTTTATTATAAATAGCATTCCATTGTTTAAATAAAATTATCAATTTTCTTTTTTGGATGATTAAGCTAGTAGTATTTGGGGATTTTTCGAATTTATTTATTATAGTATCTACTGTAATATGTAATATTGGTAAAATCATCTTTATTCTAATATTTACTAAAATATTCTTATATTGATTCTTACTTTGACTAGAACTTCCATTTTGAATGAATATTTTTCTGACTCAGAAGATGTGGATTATTTTTACTCATTAAATCAAATATTCTCATTTTTTTTGCTTATTAAAGAAGAATGCTAATATATTTTTTTTTTCTTACAAATCAGTATTTTTATATGCCAAAATAAATAAGAGATTTTAATCTCTTTTATTTAATTTCTTTCCTTAATTTCATTAACCTAAAATTGAAACATAAATGAGAAATTTTAATATCAACTTTCTTGACAAATTTCAAATTTTTGAGGTTATATATCTAACCTATTAGAACAATTTTTATAAGGATGCTGCAGATAACAGATCATACTTATTCTTGGCATTCAGATCTTCATAAAAATTGACCACGGCAGCTCATTTGATTGAAATTGTATAAAATCGTATTCAAAGACTGTTCATTTTTATATATATTAATATTTATAAGAATCTATTTGATTCTAGACAACATTAGATTTCTATTAACTTCATTTCTTGACATTACTGTAAATTTGGAAGATATAAAATTAGGCTTTTATCTGAATATCTAAGGCTAGTAAATCTAACTAATTAAATAGAAATATTAATTATATAATTAGGTGGAGTTCTAAAAAGTAAATAGATAAATATGAAAGCATTGTTAATATGGTATGATGGAAATATAATTTAATTTCATTAATTTTGATGACATCATTATAATTAACGAAAATCTACTCTAAATATGTAAGTAAGGGATTGAAGAAGAAATTGAAGAATTTAATAAACTCAATAGATAAATTAGAGTTGCCATAAAGCTAAGAATAATTACATTTTACATTTTTGTTAATAATAAAAATAATTTTGAATAAAATGAAAAATCCAAAATTATTCCCTGTTTTTCTACCCTAAAGTGGTTCAATTTAATGTCCATCACCTTTAAAGCAGTGGGTTATTTAGTCTTCTAGTTATGGACAAGTTGTTCCTAAGGCTTGATGAGAGTAATTTTTACTGTCTTGACTTCTTAAGATGGTCAATCTTAGTAGAAGGGTTTGCTTTCAAGAATACCGCTCTAGGATGGGTTTGGGGTTGGGTTTGGGTTTGGTCCAAACCCAAACCCAAACCCAAACCCGTATCTCTAAATGAGTCAGTTTACCTTTTCCTCTTGTTAGTGTATTGTATTGCTATTGCCCTTTTAATTTCTTTATCATTTGAATTTTATTTTTTTCCCTTATTTTTTTGGATTTTCCTAATTCCTAAATTTTTTCCCTTAACATAAAGCAAAACTAAATTTCCTCATATGACCAGATAATTAAGCCCATTCTTAGTAAGATACCTCTTGAGTTGTCTGAGAATATCCCTCACTTTCATTCCAACTGCTTGAGCTAGACATTTTTTGTATTAAACTCGCATAAGTCATCAAGGGCTCCGTAGAAGGTGTCATTAAAGCCCTTTAATATCGGCCAACCAGTTTCTGGGTACTAAGTAAAGAAATAATCTGCAGAAAACTTGAGATTTTCTTTGTCAATTTTCCCCTGCATCCAATAATTAAAAGATAATAATAAAAATAAGTATGTAAATACCTCTTGATTTGGGGATCTATTCTGACACAAATTTCAACATAAAACTTTTTGACCATTATAATTCATAACTGCTTATGATGATGTTATGAAACACGATTCTGAACTGAATCAATAAATTAAATATGGACCAAAAGAAATAACCGAAAAGCAATCAATTAGATTATGGATCCTTTGGTTCTATCCAATTTTAACAATAATTTATCACATCAAATCTTGACAAATTATATTTAACCAAAAAATGCTAATAATTTGACTCGTTGACTTGATACTTTATCAATTGTTAATTATCCTCAAATCTATTTTTGCCTAATTTTTAGGAAACCGGATGAAAATCTCACATTTGAATTGCTAAACTAACTTATTTTAGGGAGCACTATTATAAAGAAGGAATAATTATTAATAAATAAGGGGAATACAATGAATTAATTTACATGAAGCTTTTTTATTGCTTTTCAAGCATATTTCCCAAAGTTATAATTTATAATTGCATCAAACTTGTAAAAGGACTCATATATATATTATAAAAATTGTCACCAATGAACAATTCAAATTAGAATGAGGAGTTTATTATTACAAATACATCCAAAAATTATTGGTTCATAAAGGAAATTCCTTTAAATCAAAATAAAAATAAAAAAAAAATGTGATAATTTAACTCAAACTATAATTGTTAAAAATACAGTATGCGTATGATATTCATATTATGAATCAAATATTATTCAATAATTTCTATTATTTTTTCTTGATTCATAATCTTAAATAATTTAGTCTGCAGTTTTTCTTCCTTTTGACTAATTCAAACTTGACGCCGACGAGTACACTTTTTCATTAGTTGTCTATCTAGGATATTATGATTCAATAATGTTAGTTCCAAAAATTTCACTAAATTGTATATCAAATTAATACTGTTTTTAGCTTTAAGTTTCAACAAAATCCTTCTTAGGGATGAATTCTGGTTCTTATATTTTTTAATATTTAAAATCTAAAACTGGCCTTTATAGATTGCTTCTTCTTGTAATAATAGTTTGAGTAACCACTTCTTATTACTAATAATTATTAGTTATATTTTTTCCAACAAGTTAATCAGCAATTTTTTACTCTTCTGATGATAGGTGTTAATTTGAATATGAGTTAATAATGGGTTGGCTTTTTGCAAGACTTGAATGGTATTAAAGAGTAGGTTTAGCAGTTTATGCATTATTCCAGTAAAAACTATTGGTTCCTGTAGTTTCAATCTTCACTTCTTATTATTTATTAGACCAATAATAATCAGCTTTTGAGCTAAGAATTTATGAATTTATTACTCTAACGGTTAATTTTCAGCCTCCTCATAGTTATTGATTTCGAATTGTTGGAACTCTTATTCAGCATTTGCAATTTTTGGATCATCCAACTACTCTTCAATAGCAGGAGGCACAATTCCCCAGACTTCAATGACTGAGATCTAAATTTGCTTAAAATTAAAACCTTTAATTTTTTTATATGTCTATGGACAAGGTCCCCACTTTCATAACTTTGATCCTCAGATGAACAGGTAGATTTATTAAGGTCTTTGTCAATCCAAATTCTAAATTTATCATCATCAAATCCAAAACCAATACCTTAAGGCTTTGAAATGTCTTTGGTGTTAAGGTAACAAAAGTTCTTTTTGGCAGTTCTATCCTTTTTGGCTTAATAAACAACAAAGTAAGGATATAAAGAAAAGATACAGTCTTTAATATCACCTTGAGGTTATGCAGTATCAAACCATCTTTGATTAGAGACGGCTCCAAAAGTATACGTTTTTTAAATATTGCTTTTGTCATGCAGAGCTTCATAAATTTCCTCATGCTAGATTAAAATTAGTGTTGGTAATCCAGATTGAATAATATTATTTATCATTTATTTAAATCCTCCATTATGGACTAGATTGGAATATAACAGTTCCAATTTGATTGCCCCTTTTAATTTAGTCTCATGGGCACTAAGCTACAATTAAAATATTAGATCTTCGTTTAATAAATATGATGTTGTATTCATTTAGGGCACTACCATTACTGTATCTAATAAGAAGAACTTAGTTTTCATATATTATTTGATGGCTCCTGATAATCCACCAAGACGAATTCTAAGTTGCTTTATCAACTCAAACCAATCAATAATTCCATTTTCTGATTTGAACATTGAATCCAGGAATGCTCTGCTAGCTTTTTCATCAATATTCTAAAAATTATCTCCTTACAATCTGATTTTGAGAATGTCATTTATTATTGTAATAGCATCTAAATATGTGATTTTAAAAGAATGTAATTCTTCTTTATTCTTAATATATTGACTTGATTTTAAGCTGATTAGTGAGAATAGTTCTACCTTATTTAAGTTTTTCAATTCATTTACAGATGAGGCATCCTTTAATAGAACCTCCACTATTCGTTATTAAATAATAATTACAAATGTAAAACAACACATCTCTGTGTATATATTTTTCCTTTTAACCATATACCTCTAGAAAGCGAAATAACTTTCTACCAAGATCAGCATTCTCAACAAAGATTTCCTCAAAGCTTTACTATGATAGGTGTCTGTTTTTGCGAGTACTAAAGATTATTATAATGATACTCAGTTTGAAGATCACAATAATGATCAAACACTTGATTAAGTTTTTTTAACTCTTGAGCATCAAAAAGAGTATGTTAAGGTTTTCTCTCTTAAACACAATTTCCCATTAAAATATCTAAAGTTTAAATTAAATTATTTAAAATGTTTTGGGGAACTCAAGTCACTCAAGGATAATCATATAAGCTAACAGCTGAAGAAGCTACAGTGATCCACGTCTCTAATGTAGTTCTAGCAGATGGTGATAGCAAGGTTTAAGTCTACGCAAAAGTAAAGGGAAAAGAATTTGTACTTGCTAACCTTGAAAAAAATAAGGTATGGTAATTTTTTGATAGTTAGTTGGAATAAGCATTTTTGGATCTTTACTTTAGAGTTGATCAACAGGTTGAGATTGGAGTTAAAGGAAAAGGTTCAGTTCACCTTTCAGGCTATGTTGAACCAGATGAAGAGGAATTAGTATTTATTAAAAAAATCTTTTTAGAACGAGGATTTGGATTTTGAAGATGATGAGAGTGAGGAAGTTGAGGAACAAAAAGTTAAAAAACCCGAACCCACTAAATAAGCTGAATAAGTCAAATAATAGCCAAAGGAACAATAAAAGCCATAAACTTAATAATAATAAAAACCATAGACATAATAATAAAAGTCACAACCCCAACCACAAAAAGCACAACCAGAATAATAATAAAAGGCTAAGCCTCAAGCTCCAACCCAAAAACCTTAATAACAATAGCCCAAAAAGGCAGAGGAAGATTGGAATGATGATGAAGAGGAAGATGGAGAAGATGAAGACCTTCTCGACTAAAGTGATGTCGATGACGAGGAAGTAGACGATGACTTAGGAGATGAAGAAGACGATGACGAAGAAAACTTAGATGATGAAGATGATGAAGATGAACCTTAATGTATAATCATTGTATTTATTTTTTAGAAAATTAAAAATTCGTGAAAGGAAACTAAGGATAACAAGTGAAGCCATAATAGAAATAGCAACAGAAACCTTAAAACTAAAAACAATAATATAATAAATAATAACATTAAGGAAACCAACAATTTAAATAAGGGTAGAAACCTTTCTAATAAAATAAAAAAGGACAGGGGCAATATAATCACCAAAACAAAGGAGGAAACTAAAACCATTAGAATAATTTCAAGAAAAATAATAACTTTAATAATAATAATAATAGAAAGAACTTTAACAAAAAGAATAACAACAGAGGTGGATTTAAAGGAGGTAGATAATGAGTATCTAATTATTATGTGTACATTAAATAAAATATTGCAGATATATTTATATATATTAATAAATTTCAATGGATATTTTAACTATTTCCTATGTTATATTACATTCTCTATGAAGATTCCAATTAAATCCTTTATTCTTCACTTAATTGGTCCTTATTCTGATGAACCCATTCTGCACATACTTGCTTCCCATTTACAATCATTTATTCTGAGATCACACCTGATCTTCCTGTTTATTCACAAATAAATAGGACTGGCTGCTCTAATCTTTTATTGAAATGATTGTAAGCCCTATTATCAAAGTAAATTCATACTCTTCTAGCATTTTATCCAAATTAGCCCCATATATCAATTAGAGTATCTCTAATGTCAATTCAATGGTAACAAAAGTTTCTGTGATTCCATCATGATATGTAAAATTTAGATCCCCTATTGAAACATCTAGTATTCCATTTCTTAAATAATATTATTGTAAATTCCAAAGCGAGAAGCAATGACCTGCAATAATGATTGGATCTTTTTCAATTTCTACTCCTGATAATTTACAATATTTAGATGAGCTATAGGTTATTTGACTTGGATATTTCATCGCAGATAGCTTAGATAAATATTCATAAATCTTCTCTGTATTGGCTTCAGAAGGATTGTTGATGAATTAGGCGAGCTCTTAATCCATTTGTGGGGGATTAATTTGTTGAAACATTTTTCTATTAAAAATAAATATAAATTTTTTTAATAATTTAATATTTGCATTAAATCCACTTGCAAAACAGGATTGAAGCAGAAATGACAATACTCCTCAAATTTACTTGAGATATGACATATTTTCCGTTTCACTTTCAAAAACTCAAGCCTTTCAAATAAACAAAATTATGCTTAATCTGAATGAATTTTTTTAATTCTAAATTGATTTAACTTAAGGAATTACATCAAAGTAGGTTGAAAACACCGATTTAAAAAAAAAAATACTTTCTCAGATATAATGGTAATATTTGCAACAGAAATGAAATAGATACATTGGGTAGTGTTATAATGAATAATTTATAGATGTTATTAAAATGGAAAATTAAGAAAATATTAAATTAGACAAATTTTGGATAAATTGTTGCATAAGCTTCTCAGGAATAATAATTTATTTCTCATGAAATATTGAGTTATTTAAAAAGAATTATAATTTTTATTATAAAAATGATAAATAATAATAATAAATGTTACATGACAGGAAATGTTTGACCGACAGATAGAGGATTTAGGTTGATCCAATATCCTTTTACATTTGGCATATTATCTCCGAATAAATATAGATATTCGTCTAATACATTTTTCGAGCTGCTAAGTTAATTTAAATAAGCAAGGAGCATAACACTTTATTAGATAAACTTCCTGATCAATTAAAAAAAATTATTAATTGGGAAGATGACACTGATATATATTAAAAAGTATGCATTAAGCTAGAAGAAATATTGCAAATTGATTTTAAAGAAGATAAGCAATTTGCTAATAAAATTGAAGAATTAAGAGAGATTGTAAAAAAAGAATATGAAAAAGTAAATTAAATTAGTATGAAAGTTCCAAAGCGTTAATACATCCTTTTCTTTGCACTATCGAGCTTAATAAGAGGATAAATCAAATTAAGTAATAAATATGAGTGAAAATACATTTCTTTAAGACATAAGTTATATCTAAAATTTAGAAAGAAAATTGAAATTCAAGGAGTAGATTGTGAAACCAACCAAAACTTATTATAAATAATATTCAAGAGTATAAACAAACATATTAAATAAAATCAATAAAATAGCTTCCTTCAAAGATGCCAGGTTTTAAAAGCTTGAAAAAATTAGATAAGTAACCTATAGAATTTTATACATAGATTGAAAGCGCGATTGAAGAAAAATTAGAATAAATTCATTCAAAATTGCTTGATTCATCTTATAAACTAAGACAATTAAATAACACTCAATCCTCAAAGCACATTTTAGTTAAGAAATTAATAAATCCTGTTTAGATTAACAATAACAATTCATAGCGCCAAAATTTACAAAAATTAATAGAGACCAAAATCTTCGGAAATGTAAAGTAAAATTAAACTCGGTTTAAAATTAATATAAGTGCTATTTAATAAAGAACCTAAGCATCTTTGAGACTAGATTAATAAATAAAATCAAATTAATTATCTCAAGAAAAAATAGAAAAAGCAAAAATAATCTAAAATTATTTTAGAAAATATCTATAAAATAAAAAAACGATTAATATAATTACTAAAAAATAGCCATCATAGACTAGAATTCATAATTTCCAGTTAGATTTAAAGAGAATGGCAAGCTAATCCAATCACTCTTCAAATAGAACAGATAGATAGAAGTAAGGTCTTGTTATGATAACAAAATAAAACATGCTTTCATTTTTATAAAGGCAAAAATCTTTTAGCAAGCAATCTTATCAAGAAAAGCTTTAGCTAGCAAAATAAAAAAAAATTTAGTAAGCCATTCAATCAAATGATATCAAAATTATTTAAAATTCTGGATTTAATTTTGGTTTGGATGATTACAATGCTAAAGATGAAATTTAAAATACTCCTCTATTTTATTGTGCAAAACATGTAAATCAAGTTTGATTTAGAATCTCTATGAATTATGCCAATTTCTGTTGCAAAATGGTGCAAACCCTAACATAAAGTGTTCTTAAGGACAAACTGCCACCCATTAGGCCTGTGTATCAAGGAACCCTAACCTAATGAATCTATTTACATTTTATGGTAATAAAACAACAACAATATTATAGGTGCTGATTTTAATATGCCTGATGATTATGGGGTTACTGCTTAAGCAATAATTGAAAAAGAAAAGATTTCATCTAAGATAAATGAAAAGGATTTAAAACTTTATCCATATAAAGTTAGCTCCCCAAAGTTTGATGAATTCTTAGTAATGTGAGATGAAAATTATTATTAATATTAAAAAATAATAATGGATATATTTAAGGATTTGTTTGCTACATAAGGGTTCTAACTATGTGCAAAGGCTGTATAAGATGTACAACCAAATGGGGATCAAGAAGCTTTATTCAAGTAATGTTAATAAAACTATGCAAATGCATATAAAGTGGTTGGGTAGGAATTTCTGAGATTCTTCAATAATCAGCCATCTAAAGATAGATATGGTCCTCCAGAAGAAATCTGATTATTATCACATCATCACAAAACAATATTAATTATAAAATCTAAAATGAAAAGTAGTTCTAAAGTTTTAAGAAGAAGTTATGAGAATACAAAAGATGCTTGAATCATTTAGAAATAAGATATCTATTAGGATCTTCTAATCCAAATTCTATTATTTGCTTAGAAGAAATGGACATTAAAAATATATGGAAAATTTTTTATTTAGAAAAAATAACAAAAAGTATTCATTTCTTATATCGATGATACCAAAATGAGATAAGCTGCGGTTTAATTATGATGAGAAAATAGTATTTAAATTTAATGAAGCCTTCTTTGTAAAAGAGCTAGAATATCAAAAAGTATTAGAATCATTTGGAAATGAATATTAATGGAATTTACATTATATTGCAACATCGTATAATGATAAGATTACTTTGAAAGCTAAAAATTGGTTTATGATGATGCGGTCCATATACTTTAATATTACTAGACTTTTAGGAATTATTTTTCACCAATCCAATTCAATTTGAAAAAGATTCTCTATGATCTATTAAATATTAGAATTTAATTATTCGATGTTATAATAATGAAAGGAATGCATATATTAACAATCATAAATTTATTTTAAGAATTGCCATGGAATCAACATGATTAATAATTTTAAATCAGCATCTCTTATCAAGCGAGTAGTGCGTTGTAATTCGGAAGAACTATTACTTCTCAACTGATTTTATATATATATGAATTGATAATGAAGAAACATTAATTAAATTAAAAATTCACTTAATGCAAACAAATATATAAAAAGAAACAAATTATCTAGTTTCTTAGTGTTTGATTTAGATTTTGTTGAAAAAGCATGAATTATTTAAGCAAATAATGTCTAGGCAACCGCAAAGGGAAAGCTTGCAACAAATATTTAAAGAATATGATGAACTCTAATAAATAGTGAAATTAAATTCCAAATTGAGGGAAGATTTCGCTGTTTTAGAAAAATTATTAAATATGGCAGTTGAAAATTGATTGAAATACAATATTATAATCAATCTTATCCACTTATCTCGCTCATTTATCTTCATACCAATAACTATATTTTCAAAGCTCAGATTATCCACTATTTTTCTTTTATTTTTTAACTCCACTTATCAGTTCAATCAAACCTTAAAAGAATTAAAATAAATAATTCCTTTTGATTGAGAGCAACAAAAGTGATTTAAAATAGAGACTAATTAAATTGATAATACATTTCCAAAATGCATTATTTTTAGAGACAATTTTTATAGTTAATAATTTTGTAAATTCTCCTAGAGAAATACATTTATTCTTCAAAAATTACACAATTTTCTTCTTCTGGACTCATTTATAGATTGTTGGTTTTTCTCGTTAGGGAATATTTTTTCTTAAAACCATAGAATTCTATCCTATTTTTTATTCAAAATGCACAAATTGTTTTTTTAACTAATTAATATATTTATTACTATTAATCAGGTGATATTGCAAATCCTTGTGAATTGCTGTAATTTATATGATAATAAAATTAACTTTTTTAATTATCAGTCTAGTTACGTAAGAAAATTAAATATATTTTTTTGCGACAATTTGTACCAATGTAGTAAAAATGTATAATATCATAACTTCTATATTGTTTTGAAGAATATATTTAGATTTTAATCTTCTATTTAAAGCTACATTTATTTATTGAGAAAAACAAATTATATATTATTTGGCTTGAATTCTCTTTAAATTTCACTTAGTCCACATAATTTTAACCTTATTAGTCGATATTCTATTTATTTGAAATGATAAATCTAGCATTAATTATTATTTTTAATTTTCTAACCTTTAAGGAAATGAAATGCGCTAAGAAAAAATATAAATATTTAATTGAAGAAGATCGAATTGACATGGATAAAGTTCTTAAAAATATTTAATATACTTTAGGTATTTTGTTTTATTAGGTAGAAATTACATAATATGAATAAAATGAATTGTAAAAAATGTTTTGCGTAGTAAAAGATAAAATGCATTGCTTAGAAAGTTAGAATTACACAATTGAAAAAGAGGAAAGAGCATTAAAAAGTGAAAATGATGAACTTTAATATTTTATCCAGGAAAAAAAATAAATTCTGAACTAATTAAATTCTCTAATTGAAATTCATGAGGTTTCGTAAGAAGATCAATAACTTGATGGAGATTCTTCAATAAATATATACCACATCTTATAAACTTATACTCCTAGGAAACAAAAAGTAGGAATAGATACGCTTTTAAATATTTAGAAGGAAGAATAATAAATATTACAATTAAAAACATTGTTATAGACTATTGAAAATTAAACAGCAGCCTTAAACATGAATGATTTGTTCTGGTCTTGCATTCGTTGTAATAAAAGATTATAGGAAGGTCAAAATGAGCAAGTAAAATTTTTTTTAATTATAAGACTTGCATTTATCATTCTGGCAAACTAAAATATTATTCTTGCAGAACTTGTGGAGCTGATGAATACTTTACTTGTTGTCATCAATGTCGAGATTGCAATTCGGGTTGCAAAATTGGACTACATAAACCATGATTTACTGATTTGATTTCCGATTAGTTTCTTGATTATTTAAAAAGACTTTAATTTAAGCACATAAATGTATAAAATTATAATAAGCATTCAATAAAATCTTTCTACATTTTATTAATGTAATTATTATAAGATTTAATTAAATCATTCACTCTTATTTATTAACATCACTTTTTTTAAGGTCGAATTCCTCTAAACCAGAAAACAAATCGATTTAAAAATCATAAATTGATTTTTCTTTCATCTTAAACAGTTGAGAAACAACCAATTTTATGTGAGCATTTTGCAGAAACATCACAAAAACGAGAAGTCCTAAACAACTGAGTAGTGCTTTGCAAATTTAAAATATAATAAGAGTAGAATCTTAAGCAGGCCTATGAAAATATTCTAGAAAAAATAAAAAAGCTGGTACAACGCAAGTTAAGAGAATAAAATAAGGAACTAAGTATAGCCCTTTGATGGCATTAATATGATTTTCATGTCCTCTTGAAGTTAATATAATGATGATTACTTATAAATTTCTTTGTTTATTCTCATAGCTTCTATTTTTTTGCTAATACTTCTTAAATCTGTTAATTGAATGATTGATTGAAAAATAATTGGGAAAAAGAAGCAAAGTAAGCTTAATGTGACAATTGTTCTAGAAAGACTTGCTTATATGTTTGATAAAGACAAAGTAGACTAAGGTTGTGATGCGCTTGTTGTATTGCAAGAATTGCTATAAGCGATTGTAAAGTTGTATTATAACCAACAGACATTATCAAAAAGTCCATATATAAAGTCATCTAAGTTTTAAACCGACTCATCTGTATCTCCTTTAGCTTATCTCTTACTAGGACTTAATTATGGTAAAATTGTACAAATAATTGGGAAAAAAAATGCAAAGGCGATCAAATTTAGCTAGATATTACATAACTTTACATGAACTGATAATTATTCTTATTTCTTATATAGTATGGCTTCTTTTGCAATTTTTATTAGCACAGTTTGCCAGCTTACCACATTCATAACTCCATAAACAGAAATATAAGAAGTAATTTAACAAATTGATTTTTCTAATGCGTATTTCGGATCAATAGTATGGCAGCTTGAATATTAAAATACATTGAAAGTGAAATCTAATAATGTATAGAGGCTTGCTCCTAATAATATGTAAAGTTGTATAGTATATGAAAATAATTTAAAGTTATCTGATTTAAAGTAGATAATTATCATAGTGATGCAACATATTAATCCAGCGACAGATAATATCAATTCAATTAATGGATAGGTACATCCGTAAAAATTGCCTTGACTCGACATTTTTTTATAATATAATATTGTAATATTACATTTATATATTTTTTTTAACCAAAACATTTATAAATCAATATTTCCTATTAATGACTTGTGAGAGCTTCATTTGAAAAAGCCAAAAAGTAAATATTTCTAAACTTTTTGAATGCACTCCAGGCCTATATTGGAGGTTAAATTTTTTCATTAATAACATTATTAGATTACTTATTTCTCTAGATGGTGACTCCCTACCGCAATTTAAATCATTTAGTGTTGACTCAACTAATTTTCTTTCCTTTCACAAGACTTATAATTTTTGTTATCATTTTTCTTTCTTCATAAATTATCCTATCCAAAAAAATTATCTAGATTTTAATCGTATTGTGATTCATCTAATTACTTCTTTGTTATCTTTGCCAAGATTCTCTTAGAGGTTTTAATAAATTCTTTTATAAATTCAATTTTTTTCGGCTCAGCCAAATTTGCTCTTTATTACAAATTTTATTTGAAAGTTCAAATGTTATCCTTTTGTACTTTGAGGAGAATCTCAATAAATTGATTTATTTTAATTTGGTGCTTAAAATTATTGCTACCCAAAACAAATGATTTATAATTAGTAATGATAGAATATGAAATCAAAAAAAAAAATATGGAAAAATTTAAACTCAAACTTAACTTAAAGGATAGCTGCAGGTTAAACGAAATTAATCCTAACATAATTTTCTTGATCCACTTGTATTTTTATCAGGAAGATTACTAACTTCTTAATTCAATATAGGGGTTGAGAGTGATAATGGAGTTTCATCCTTTTATTACTCATCTATACTTGAAATATAATCATATGATTATATGACTGATAAGTTTATCTAAGATACAAATTTCTAATTTTTAAATTCAAAATATACCGAATAGATTCTTTAGCATAGACCTTCTGAAGAGTCCTCTTCATAGCTTTCAGATTATTTAAATGAAAGTTATTCTAGAAATGATTAAGGTTATCTCAATTCTTATAAATATGAATCGATGTAAGTATTTAGTTTTGATGATAACTCTTCCATAGAACTAAATTGATTTATTTCACTTTGAAGCTCAGAGCTTGAGTAAATAATTCCTTCATTATTTAAAAAAGGACTTCTTTAAGTGTGTTATTGAATTTATAAAAACGGTTATGTGCATGATTCTTATGTTATCTAAGGTTAAATGGATGAATTTACACAAGCCTCTGAATTTTTATTATCAATTTTATCATCTGTGCATTCGTTTTCTTTAATGTTTGTTTAAATGTTTTTATCTTTAGGTTCTTTTAAATAGTTTAATTTCAACATAATACGATATAAAAAATATAATAAACAAACATTTCAATCTGATCCTATTATAATTTTTGAAAAGCAGGAATATGTTACCATATAGCTGAAGTTAAAAAATCATTCAAAAATTTAGTGATTAATACCATAGAGAATTTAGTAAAATAATAAGAAAAATTTAAGCCTTATAAATTTGTACATGAAAGCAATTTTGGAGTGTTATAGGAATTGTACACTAAACGCATTTAGAAAATTATAGAGGATATCGCAAAGTCTTCAATCTGTGCAAAATATGGTATAAAAACAATTGTTTATTTTGACTTTTGTGGTAATATATGAAAATGGCAAATGTACTTATTACATATTATTGGTTTACATATTTCATTGTTTATTTTCGGTGATGTAATTAGTTTTATTAAATTATGAAAAAAGCTATCATGCTAATCTCGATCTGCTTCCTTGCTTTGTATGCCTTTGAAACTAAGGCTTTGGAGAAGGATGAAGTTGACATTACAAAACTTAATGCCCTATTTGGTACAAACTATTAAGGATAGATGTAGGATTATTGAATATATTTTAGATATTCCGGTTATCTTAGTGCAAATGATGATGGATCAGTCTAGTTTCATTACCTTTTTTATCCAGCTATAGATTCTGCCTCTGAAAAGCCTTTGATACTATGGTTACTTGGAGGGCCAGGATGTTCATCAATGATTGCAGCATTTACAGAAAGTGGTCCTTACACATTCATTTCAGAGTCTATTGAATTTGAAGAGAATCCTCATACTTGGACAGCATTTGTAAGATACTTATCTTATCAATTAGGCTAACCTGCTTTACATTGAATCTCCAATATCGGTTGGATATTCTTATGGCCCAGCTGGACCATAATCTGATGAGTCAACCGCTGCATACAATATGCATGCATTGATTGAGTTTTTCGTTAGACATCCAAATTTCAAAAATCAAAAATTCTATATTGGTGGTGAATCCTATGCTGGCATCTATGTGCCAACCTTAACCCAGGAGATTATAAAATATAATTAATAACCTGTTAATCCTGAAGTCTTAAGAATAAACATTTAAGGTATAATAATTGGAAATGGTTGCACTGATCCTAGCGAGTGTACTTATTTAGGATATCTATTTCCAAGACATAGATTAGACTTTTATGGAAGACACGGCTTTATTAGTGAAGAAACCTATGAAAAAATAATTAATCACACAGAAGAATGTTACGGATCTGCTGCACCACAATGCTAAGCCATAGCTTATGAAGCTTTGGCTTAAATTGCTGGACCTTAATATTCCTATAATTTGAACTAATACAATGTTTATTCCAAATGCATTACTTACACTCCCGAAGGAAGTAAAAGAATGAAAAGTCCACTTAGAGTTTCAGATGAAGAGAAAGAGGACTCTGATGTACCTCCATGTGTGGATGTTAAAGGCCTGTATCATTGGTTTTAGATGGATGAAGTTCGAACTGTAATCAGTTTTCATAATCATTCTAGTTACTTAATATAGACTAAAAATCACCAAAATGGGTTGCTTGCTCGTTAAATTTCTAAGATTATCAAATAAACCCAAATGGATCTTTAGACATTTACCCTACTATCATCAAAAATAATATCAGAGTTCTTATTCTAAGTGGAGATGTAGATGGAGTGGTCCCAATTGCTGGTACTCTTTTTTGGATAGATAAACTTCAAAATTCATTATGTAATGCAATTTTATTAATGATAGAATTAAATACAATAAAACCATGGAGACCTTGGTATGTCCCTGCATGGAGAGAAGCTGATAAAGATTAAAATGCAGGAAATGTGTTTGACATTGAAGGTTTGACCTTTGTAAGCTTCAGAAATGCAGGTCATGAAGTACCTGCTGATCATAGAATGGAATCTAAGATAGTCTTAGAGAAATTCTTAAGATAGGAATATTTATGAGATTTAAATTATTATTTTATATTCTTATTAATTTATAAAACGTAAGTTCTCATAAATAATTCAATAAATAATGATTTGTAGAAGCTAACATCTCCTTTTTAGCACCGACTATAAATTATATCTCAATCCATAATAAATAGTTATTGGAAAGGTAAGAAATAAATTAATTAGAAAGAACGAATAGAATCTAAAGTACAAAATCCCTTTGAATCTATCAACAATTATCAAATGGTCTTTCAATAGTGATTTTACTTTCAATGGATTTTAGTTTTTATGGAAGAACTCCTGGAAAACTATATTGTTGACTCACGAACAATCTCTAACTCTAAAGGATAATCTGGATGGAAAAGTCACTTATAGTAACATAGCTAAAATGTACAATCTAATTCAATGTGAGAGATCTGGCTATTCAAGCAAAGTAAACTTTTTAGTAATATCAGATTTATTTAACTTATTGTTGCGCCAATCAAAAAAAATATTATATGTAAATATTTCCAATTTCTGATTTGACTTCTTAGGTATTATAATTCGATTAAGTAGGAATATTTAAGATTAATACAGATGATTAACATAACTCATCCAAACATTCTTAAATGTGAGGAGTACTTTGTTGAAGAAAAGAACTTGTATATAGTGACAAATATTTTAAATGGAAAAACGTTAAAGGAGAGGATAGGTAGTCAGTATAGGATGGAACCGTAAGAAATCATTTCTACTACGAAAACTCTCCTTAAATTTATAAACGATATGCATAAAATAGGGTATGTATTTAGAGAAATCACATCTACAAATATCTTTCTATAAAGTGATGGAGAAATCCTGATTATAGATTTTGAACTACTAGTAAAAACTGAAGAAGCATTCAGAACCAAAGCAGTTTCTAAAGAAAATGACTATTTGCATGAGCTTAAGGATTCTACCAAAAATACTCATGGAGATTGGGTTGAAATGGAGAGGTTTTATTATGAGCAACATGATGTTTTGATGTTAGGATCTCTATTAAAGGAAATGTATTAACAAATTGCATTTTAGGTTAACCAGTAAAGTCTAACAATAACACTCTCAAGGAAGGGCAAGGCAAGTTACAATTAATAAGACCACTATCATTAATAGATCTCCGAAATATTATTTATGCTAATTATTGTAGAGAATGCTCGAGCAAGATCCAAAGGTTAGAATAACTATATAGAATGCAATTTATTTTTTAGAAGACATCGATTTTGAAGACAATAGCTTTGAGGATTTCCCTGAAACTTCAGAGGAATAAAAGTTTCAAAGTGTCAAATCAATTTCAATAAAGAAATTCCTCGTTTGATTTATTAAATATTTGATTTCTCAATTAGATATTTAGAATTAGTGATTTCTTCATACATATCTATTTCATTTCAGTCCTCTTTCACTCACTCCTCTGGATAACGATATATCGCCAGGAATATTCAAAACTGGAGCCTTCATTGGAGATATTGTCTCATTAAGTTGTGGATTTTAAGGCTGCAATAATTCGCTTTTTACAATAGGCTATATTTGAGGGATGTATGAATTATTTCCCAAAATTTCTGATTGTTTTTATTATCGAAATTTGTTAGGGACATCCAGAAAATTATTTACTTGAGTATTATCATTGTGACTGGGCTTTTGATTATGTTATGTGCCTTTTTTTGCTTTATCAATTTACTTATTCATGTACATTTATGAATACTTTTCATCTATTTACTATAAATATGTTGCCGTTGGTACTATATTTTTTGCTATTGTTAATTTAAGTATGCGTACCTCCACCATGCTGAGAGCTATTTTGCATTTTTTATGTTGAAAATGAGGAGCTATGAAGATCTTTGGATTTAGAATTGTCAGCAAGAAGAATGTTAAATTTTATGTCATTATTAGAATGTTTATTTGCCATTTATTTTTATTATTAATATTGTACTAAATCATCATCATCATGATCTATAAAGATTTGGTCTTTTTGCTTTGAATACAGTTCTGAATTTTTTATGGCTTGCTCTTGGAACAGTCTTAACAATTGGGAATTTAATTGAATCTCCCTTTAAAAAATAGCAAATTTGTATACTCTGTATTAATTTGTTTTGCCTCTCTTGATATCAGCACTTTTTGTCGATACAGATGTTCTGAGAATGTGAATTGTTTATGGCTATGCTCTATGATTTCCTGCCATTTCTTAGTCTAATGAATTAATTTATTAAATGCTTACATAATTAAGACACAGCACCATTTAAAGTAGTATCTCTGAATTCCTTATACATATTGTGTATAGTTGTTCGTGATTGGTATTTAAGAACTATTCCGTATGTCTTAACATTTGTGTCTCTTCTTTCAAACAATTCTTAAACTGCCAAAATCTAACCATGTGATGGTCTAAGTTTATTTAATCTTCTTAAATTCCACCTAAATTTTAGTCTTATGGCTAATACCAAAATCTGCTTTTTGCTGCAACTGTATTTCTGGCAAAAATTCTCATGCTAATGACTTTTGGATTTGGATCTTCTTTTGATGGGAGTCTTCTGCCTGAAACTAAGTATTATCTAATCTATTCAAAGTAAATTTCTTCTTTACTTTCATTTATAAAGAATTGTCTTATGGGTCTTAGGCTGAGTTTTTAACCATTTCTTATATTTTAAAAAAAGATTTAATTTATCATGCAATTTATCATCTTAAACAATAGAATACCTTATATAAAGTATGAATTCTTATTTATTTCTCAAAAGTATACCTGTTAATCTCGAATAAAATTATTATCTCAAATTTTCTTTAGATTAAGAATTACATATGATTAATATTAATTATAATATGTAAAATTATTGATAATTTAATAACAAATTCAAAAATCATTTCCTTTTTGCCACATTTTGAGGGAACCTTTATTACTATTCTCTTAGTTTAGATAGAAAAATTTTTTCGATGACTTGAAAATTCAAATTTAATTCCTAGTTTTCTATCATTTTCGAAATTATGTACCCTTATAGGTTTGATTTTAAAATTTCACTCCATAAAAATTTAGGAATTGAAATTTGAAATTATGGCGGACCTGGTATATTGACAAAAAAGATTTTATTCGCTTGAATTGTGAATTAATTATTTCTGAATAATTGATTATGTTTTCGTTTTTGCTCTTCCTAACCATCAAAGCTACCCAAAAATATTAGAAATAAATCGTAGATTTAATTCCTGGAATTGACACTAAGTTGATCAAAATACTAATAGTAATGGAGAAGATAGCTCTGCAATTCCATACATTAATCTTAATCAATTTTAGAATTAATTAGAGTAGCCATCATATTTTTTCTGTGCTTTTCAACTTGAGTTAAGTATTTATCTCCCTCCTTTTAATTGTTATTTTACAAAATCCATTCCGCCTAACTCCAAATATCTCCTTTACAATTCTAGTTTTTCAAAAGCCATTCTTTAAAGGCACTGCTTTCCTTATACATATAATCTTTTATTTGGGTCAAAGCTGATAGCAAATCTGGTTAATTAATTTTTACACCAGGATTTACATTTGGGGGGAGCTGCTCTATAAAATCTTTTCGGATATCCGATGATTTAATTAAAAGATCTAAGTTGTGATTAAACGTAAATTCACAATAAAGGATAAGATTTCCATTGTCAGTTGTAAGTTTCGATATATATTTCTCAATTTTGCTGACAACTTAATCTCTCCTCTATTCTAATTCTTTTAAGTATTAAAACCCAATCCAACTTTTAGATATATCAGCCTCTAAATTTCTTTTGAAAGTATCAAAGTCTATATCATTTGAGCGATATGATGTCAAAGACAACCTAGCATTATATTATGTTTAATTCATAAAAAGTTAATAGAAATATATAAAAAAAAATGAATTTGAAGGGGCTTTATCGATACAAATAAGAATTTATATAATAAACATATTATTGTAGAATAATTTCATTCTATTTCGATATCATCTAAACATATTTTGAAGAGATCAGACATCTAAAGTGTGGAAATGGGTTCTTTGTTATCATTCAGACATACTAGACTACCTCTAGACGAGAGAAGTAAATTTTCAACAACCTTTTGATGAATAAAAGTAATACTTCTTTTACAGTTTGCTTCATGTGAAATAGCTCTTTGTTACAAATACAAAAGCCAGCATACTTAGATTTCTCAATTCTAATAAAATTCAATAAATCAATGGCTTATCTATTGAGCTAATCTAAATGTTGAGTCATACCATGTCGTAGACTTGATACTTGAGGATGAATAAAAAATCCCTTCTATCAATCAAGCCCAAATATTAGTTATTAATGTCCACAATAGGTATAGCATTTCTTTTGAAAACATAAATCAATTTATAAAACACGCTAGAATAAGAAGAGTAGTTTACTCATATACATTTGTGTCGAATGGGAGTTTAGCATTCAACTGGAGTATAGTATCACTAAAGTAACCTATTTCCAACTCATGTTATTCAGATTGTTATTGATTTTCACTTCGAACTTCAATCTTATGTGATTTTTGGGATAATTATAAATGGAAATACTAACTAAATCCTTTAACAAGAAAAGCCAAAATATCTTTTTGCTAGAGGATACCCACAATAACTCTAGATTCAGTATCAATAACTACAATTCTTGTTACGCCCTACTTTAATATTTTCTTCATGGCGTCATTTAGGTTATCAGCCATATCTGCCTAGACAAGACTGCTTTAATGAAGATTCTCTCCATATGAATTAAACCAGTCTCTTACAGAGATAGTCCTCAAATCAATGAGCAACTTATTGATTTACTCCTAGCCAATAGCTTAAGTTTTGGTGACAGGAGTAGATGTTCTATCTTCATCTTCTTCTTCCATTATGGGCTATACTTAATTTTTACTATTTCCCCAAACTGACTAAAATATGCTGTTAAGATTACCATTCGGAATGCCATTTATCGTGTTTTGATAGCATTTGAGAATGATTCTAATCAAATCAGTTTGAGTGAATACTCCATCATAATAAGCTACATCTGGATTCCAAAACAATACTTCATCAATATGTGTCTCGATAAAGACATTGAAAACATCATACAAGGAGAATGACTAATCAATTACACTGACTTAATTATTGATAGATAAGCAGTCATATAGAGTGCTGTCCTATAAGAAACATGTTAAAGTCTTCATGTATTAATCTTTTATGATGTCCTCCTTACTTTACATTCTTTTGATCATTTATAATTATTTAAAATGATAATAATATTTATTCAAAAATCATCTTCTACCATAATGGACATCATTATTATACCCAAATTGATCTTATTATTGATAGTACTTGTGAATTTTGTGGTTTGAATCTATCAGCATATTTTGTTTTTCATTCCATTCTTCAATAGCTTTGTGTCTTGTCACTGGGTTTTCTCTGTCATAGTCTGTATCGAAACCCAAACATCCTTCATCATAGGGTTTAATCTATAAATTAATTAGCAATCAGTGATACCTCTTCGTTATTGACTACTGGGAACAAATATTATGAGATGTCTTCCATTGGTAAGGAAGCATAGATGATAGCAATCACCATCAACAAAACATCAATTTAACTTATCTCCTTGAAAAATGCATAAGTCATAATCATTTCTCCAAAGGCACTCCACACTATTATGTATTCCAACATCTCAATCATTTCTAAAACTAAAAATTATATCTACCTGTAGATAGTTGAATGCTAATGGATTCCTTCACAGTTCTCCTTCTCAAAATGTTATAATAGTCAACATAATAGTAAATTAGAATTCCAAAAGCACTGCAAACTGTACCCAAAGGAATGGCTGTGCCGTATAGAAAAGTAAACCACATTGTTTTCATAATATCGGAGTACCTTTTGGCTGACAAATAGTCTGGTTCCTCCATTAAAGTATTTGCCTCTTATTGGGTTAACAAGGCTTTGTCTCCCTTTCTTACAATGTACCATCTCCAAATGTTTTTGCACAGACTCCATGGATCTACACACCATATAAATGGAGGTAGCACAGCATTCAGAATAAAAATCTAGCTTTCGTTTTGCAAGAAACCTCCAGCTCCTTCCACATTCTTTAAAATTACAATATCCACCAGAAAACTAATGATGGCAGCATTCAAAAATAATGCTAAGGCGTATTTGTATACAAAGGATATTTGAAATTTGGTTTTACTTGAGATCTTTTCATCATCTACAATGTAATGAACTATTTTAGCAACTGCAAATTTATTAAATAAAACAATGCTCAAAGAGATTATAAAAGATAAAATGTTTATTTTCAACATAGTATTATGATCCAATTTTCCTTGTATTTCTTCTTCTCTTGCCTCATCTCCATATTTAGCCACTTTATGCGCTATTAGATAAATTGAATAAAATGCTGCGCTTTCAACTAATAGGTAAATTATCCAAGCCTTGACTCTTTTACTTATCTTCTCCTCAGTTTTAACATGAATGAATTCCCAATCAACTTCATTTGGTTCTGGAGCCTGTTCAATAAATAATTTCTATTCATGCCATGATAAATCATTCTCGGACAATCCTTCTAATTTACCCTTATTCCAATATGACTTCATTCTCTCTAACTAAGTATGTTAATTTTCTTATAACACCAAATTTTTCATAGTTTCATCCTCAAAGGATATGAATGCAATTCCAGCAAATTTTTTATTCTCTCTTTCATACTCTTTCTCTGTCTAATGTATCTTATGCTCGAACTCTTTTATTTTTTAGTCTATTTCCAAGACTTTTGGATGATTAAAATTGTAATTGTATTCTTTTATAATATCTTTCTTCCTATCCACTAATTCGTCAAGTTGTTTTTCCATCTCGATAATCTCTTCGATGTCATAAACTAGAACTACTTTTTTCACAACTATAGGTTTTGTGTCTGATATGACTGCACAAGTCTCAAACATATGTTTCAATTCCCATTTGTAATCTAAACCTAATCCTAAAGGAATATTCTTGACACAAACTGTATAATCAGCAGGTGTTAAGAGTTCTTCATCTATAGTTGTATCTATCTATCGCTGGCTTTTTCTAAAATAGATGAGGACCATCATTACAATAAATAAGTTAATAAAGTTTAAAATTTACACATGCTCTAAAGCTTGGCGATTACTAGTTTATATAGTTTAAAATACTCCAATTTATTAGCTAAAGACAATCTCAAGAACAATGATTCCGAACAATTTGGTAACTCTACTACATGTCCTTCTATTTTTTCCTTTTTAACATGACTACAATATGATCCCTCATAACTGGTATAGAGATTATAAATCTGTTTGGTGACCAAAGTTATGAACAAGATTATTATGCAATATTTGAGGTAATTGTAAAACAATGTGAATCCAGAACCTAGAAATGACAATGCCATGGGGTTTGAACAATATGGGATTTCATCTCTCTCTACTTCAAAACCACAACAAGGACATGTTTCAACTTGTTTATTATAGTAAATGGGATACCATTTGTCGTTTTAGTAATGTCCTTCTTTTTTTCTAAAGCTGTTCTTCGTGATAAAGCATGCTTTCTAGCCAAATCCCAATTGCATGGCATTGTAAGAGGATGATAATGTTAGGCCTTGGAGGACTGCTATTGGAGATCAATATGACTATGATTAACTTCATGGGAATGTTAGTAATTCACCTCTTCAATCTTGGAAACTGGCATTTATGAGACCCTTGATTCATCATGCAGATTCTGTTGCTGCGAATTCAATGTCTATACCAAATAAATAGTGCATATATTACCTAACCTTTGATATTTGAACTGAACTAGTTTGGAGCAACTCCCATAAAGTGTTGGAAATTCGAAGGAGGATTAGTTTAACTGTTGTATTTCATATTTATTTTGAAAAATAAATACAATATAGTTAATAATTTTTATTAAAGCAAAATTTATCATAAAATATTTTATTATGTAGCCATAAAATTAGTTTTCATTATTTGGGAACGTGCAAGTGAATGAAGCTGAATAAAATAGTGAAGTCAAGAAAAAAAGAGAAGAATTTGCAACAGAAATCAGGTCCAGGGAAAGAAATAATATAATAAACAATAAAAGATTAGCTTAAAATGTAGTTCATATTGATTATTCATTTTAGAATTAAACCAACAAAATTCCTGAATCTCTGCCCTTAATACCACCAACTCTTCCTTAAGACTTGCAATTAGCCTTAAAAACTCAATAAGAGCAACTTATGAAACGAACATTTTCATTTGAAGATTTTCCTGATGTTCTCCAAAAGATCTTTTCGACTGATATTTTGTAATTACATTATGGAGTGACAGGATTAAGAAAGATGTTGTCAGTAGAAGTAACATTTACATTTTATGATTATTAAAGTCAGGCGCGCCAATTTAATAGGTTATAGATGCAAATTTGGTGCCTAAATTAATTGACATAATATAAAAAGAGCAAATCCCACAACTTGTTCTTGAGGCTGCCTGGGCTTTAACGAATGTAGCAAGCGGAACAACTCAACAAACCCAATCTATCATAGACAAAGGAGGAATATATTTATTTGTTAAACTCTTGAGTTCATAATATAGAGATATTGCAGAACAAGCAGTATGGGCCATTGGTAATATTGCAGGTGATTGCACATAATACAGAGATCTAATATTGAGAGTAGGTGGAGTCGATCCTTTGATAACAATTATGCAAAATGCACCAAACAAAAACACAATTAAACATTGTACTTGGTCTTTGAGTAATCTTTGCAGAGGAAAACCAATTCCTGATTTCAAGGTTTTAATGATATTCTATCAATTAATAGTATGTCAAAAATGCCTTGCCTGTATTCTGCAAAGTCATAATAGATGAGACTGACCCAGAAGTTTTGACTGATGCTTGTTGGGCCTTGTCTTATTTAAGTGATGGAGACAATAGTAGATTATAAACTGTGATTGATTCTTAAGTGATCCCAACTTTAATTAAATTGCTTGATCATTCATCTTTGCAACTAGTTATCCCCACTCTAAGGATATTAGGAAATGTTGTGACCGGAGACGAAACTTAAACAACTTATGTTTTAAATTAAGGTCTGTTACTTAAAATACCTAAGTTGTTATCTCATGACAAGAAGGCAATCAGAAGAGAAGTATTACTCTAACTTATCATAGGCCTGTTGGACCATCTCTAACATCACTGCAGGAAGTAGCAATCAGGTTAGTTAAGTCGTTAGAGACTCGGCAATATTAGAGAAGCTCTTCACATTGATGACCACGGATGTTGAGGAAATTGTAAGGGAGGCTACTTGGGCCATCTCAAATTCAACCAAACATGGAAGCAATTCAGACATATAATTGCTAGTTTAAAAAGGATTGCTTAATGTGTTTAAATAACTTTTAGAAGGGGAAGACACACAAACCATGACTGTGGTTTTAGAGGCTCTATTAAATGTTTTAAAGAGAGGTATTTATTTCTTTTTTGAATTTAGGTGATTAAGATTTTAAAGATGATAATTATTACTTAACCTAATTGGAATAAATGGGTGTCATCTCAAAGATAGAACAATTACAAAGACATTAGAATTAGAGTGTGTATCAAAAATGTTTTAGCATTTTGGAATAATATTATGAAGCTGAATCCGAATTATGATATATATAATATAGATTTATTAATTAAATTATAAACATTTCAAATCAATTATGATTACATATGTGATTTTTTTTTGTCTTTTTTTTTGTCTTATTTTGATTTATAATCTTCACTCATTAACTTCTGATTTATTTTTGAGAAAGGGTTTTACTGAATCATCATCTCTACAGTCTTAGGTTGACTCTAAAACTTCTCATTCTCATGCTTCTATCTGACTTTCTCGACGCATCCTAAAGCCAATAAACAAACTTAAATTCTCAAAATTATTTACCTAATAGCAAAACAAAAACGAGAATTAAGGTTTTAATTAACTCGTCTTCTAATATTGGTTCTGGATAGGATAGTTAAACATTTAAATAAAAACTATGTCTTATAACTAAGTCTCTATTTACTTCTCCATCGATAAATTATGTAACATTATATTTTACTAAATAACTTTGTTAAGTTAAAATTTAAGTTTCTATTAAATGTTGATCACAATATTACCATTGTTACTATAGCATTTGACTCCTGCAGGTGTAAAATTAAATCGAACTAAAAATGCCCCTGAACCAGTCACACCAAAAAAGAAATCATCATATTGGAACCCAGTTATATTGAATTTCTTTAACAAAGGATAATCTGTTATATTTTAATCGAAAAACATGAAATTACGCACACCAAACAAAGTGTAGATAGTTGGCTCAGTGTCTGGATTAACTAATTTAAAAGAATTTGAGAAAATTAATTAATGATGGATCAAACCTTGTATTAAAACAAACTCATCTGTCACTTTCAAACCAACTACCTTTTAGTAAGATATATGCTAATTCACAATTTCATATCCTTCTATATTCTTGTCATACAAATATTCAATTATTGAGTATCTAAATAACTCCTTATAAACAACAAACACATTTCTACCATTCTTTGTATCAACTGCAATGCCTCCCTCCTTTCTCGGTATTTCAGGTCTCACTTTGTATTTGAATTCACCATCTTCAATCTCTATTGCCAATTCAATTAATCCTATCACAACATCCAACATAAACATGTGAAACTCATCATGATCTTTCTTAATCACAATGAAATCTGACAATTTTGTAAAATCTGGAAATAATCTTATCAAATCGATTGTTAGTTCAAATCTAACATCATACGATGATACTCTATAAACATCAATACCCTCTCTCCCCACACTACTATAAACATAGCCAAAATATTCTTTGGTAAGTCCTCTCTCTTTTCTCTACTTCCAAGATGAAGCAGTGTACAAAATTAAGTGTTTTGAATTTGCATCCATTTCATACATACTAAAAAACTGTGCACTATTTGGATATAACACTAGCACTAAATTGTTAGTCTTTAGGTACAGAATTTAAGGGATTTCTTCTTTGTCTTCTGTAGTTGGAGCATATGCCTGTAAATCTACCTTCCATCGAAATCCTGCAAATTCATAAGGATTTCCATATTCTGGAAAACTGAATATTTCATGGATGTAATTGTAGTTAAATTTCAAATGATAAATCTTGGCATTTGAAGTAATAGCTATAAAACCATCCCTCACATGAACCATTGAAATGAATTGTCCAAAATTTAATGGAGTTTCTTCTTAATACACATAATCAGTCAGATCTTTCTCGGTAATAATATTCATTGTTTTTGTCTCAGTTTTGACAGCTGGCTGTTGAGACCAACAGTAGCTATCGTTTTGATTTTCAATTAAAATAGAATCCGCTGCTCGAGGCATTGTGATTATTGTTGTTGCTCTATCCAAATGAAATTTCTTTGTTTAGTTTTTGTCAGTCACTTCCTTAATAATAATTCCTTCTATGAACTTAACTAAAATTAGAAATAAAATCATTATTTTATCATTATATAATGAAAATTAGAAAAAAAGACAGTGTTCTTTATTTGTTCTTATTAAAAGATAAAATATAATTAGATCCTTCACATTTTCATGGAGCTTAAATAACTTGGCTTTCATCAAATTTTATTTGATTATGAGAGTCATTCGTTTTTTACTGATTTTCTATTTCGGTATCTAGTCTTATTTCCTCCTTCCTAAATTATTAAAATTTATAGCAAATTGCGCTTACTATTAAATAATCAATTATGTATAAATACCAGAGAAAAATGACACAAATCCTAAAATTATTAGAATTAAATAAATAAAGTTAATCTGCTATTCAAACAAAAATGTTGTGACAACTTCGACTGAAAAGTGTTTAGTTGTTCTAATTATTTTATCTTAAGCCACAATATTATTCGTAACATATGATTAGTTAAATTGTAATCTATAAAATTACTTTGCATTTTATAGTTATTCTATAAAATAATAAGAGATATAATACTATTATCAGTGAAACAAACTACTCTGGCAGGAACAAATTTAAACTTTGTTAAAAATGCATTAGTTGCAGTGACTCCAAAAAAGAAATCATCATATTGGTATTCATCAGATTTAGCAGCATTTTTGAGTTCATCTTTTGAATAAGAATATTTAAAAAATTCAAAATCTCTCATGCCAATCTAAGAAAATCTTATAAACTCCTTGTGAGGAGCAATAAAATCATAACCATTTTAAAATACTATTTAGTGATTACTGACACCACTTATAATTGCAAATTCATCAGTAGCATCAACATCTAATATTCTATAATTACTATATCGTTTTGTGATAATAGAATAGCTTTTATCTGCAAAGTTCACAAAATACTCAATATAAAAGTGAATCCCGTTATCTTCAAAGGCAGCGAATACATTTTTCCCATTTTTTGTATCAACTGCTATGCCATTTGGTATTGGTTCAACATCAATTACTCTTTCAAATTTTATGTCATCCTAATTGATGGACATGTAGGCCAAAACTAAACCTAATTTTGCATCTAGCAAATACAATTAATATCTTTTCTCTTCAATTCTTATGACAGCAAAGTCTGTTAACTCCAATTCATGAGTAAATATGCCTAAATCTTTGAAAGTGATGGTTGTTCTATATTCAACTGATTCCTCCAGTATCCTATAGATATCTAACCCTGCCTTTCCTACTGCTGAAAATAAATGTCCTTCCACTTCCTTTGTTAGTCCTCTTTCTTCTCTTCTTATAAATGTGGAAACTTAATATATAGAAAGCATATTTTAATTCGTTTCCATTTCTGACACACTAAAATAATGAGCAGTGTCTGTGAACAAAATGAAAGCAAGATTCCTTGTTTTTGAATATACTAACTGAGGCAATTCTTATTTTGCTTCAGCTGATTAGAGAATCTCCTATAGATTTGCCTTCCAAATAACACCTGCAAAGTCACCGCCATTTCCATATGTTGCGAAGCCATGTTGATTTATTACTTGATCATAATTGAATTTCAATAAGTATGCCACCGAATCAGAAGTGATAGCAATCATTCCATCATTAACATGCACCATCCCAATGAACTATCTAAAATTCAATGGAGTATCATTCTCGAATTCATAACTATTAATCAATCATTTTATCAATATACTCTTTAAATTCATCAGACTTAAGTATGGTAAATTATTAGGTTTGTGTTTAAACAGTTTATTATTTTACTTCACAAAAACTCAATTTTTCGAAACTTTCCAAAACAGCATCCTCTGCTTCAGGGATATTTAAGATTATCTTTGGTTCGCCAAAATGGATTTTGAAAGATTCTGTATATTCTTAATTTTCCTTGATGATCAGCTCCCCTAGAGTTGTATTGATCGAAATTAATAAAAACAAAACAAGCATTAAATTATTTAATCTTATTAAAATAATAAAGTGCAAATTAAAGAAGTTTTATTAGGCTATACTCATATAGTAATATTTAATTAATCAAACATTTTATGGAGATATTTTCATCTAAGTTGAATTGGTTGATCCACATAAAGAAATTCTTTTTGAAGGAAAGCGTGCTAGATATTTCAGATTTAATCAGTTCTTTGAAAGATGAGATTCTTACAGAATAAATTAATCCTGAAGATGAATTATTTTCATTAGAAGAAGTTATTGAAGAAGTTTATAAATATAAGAAAATTAGATTAACATATGATGACTTCTTTTAAATCATTGGTAATCTTCATTAATAGGATCCACAATTATCCACTTGTGTGAATTCTTTGGTTGACTCTATTAATGATCTAATCTTGAATGACAACAAAGTCAAATAAGAAATAAGAGTATCCTACAATGACACAACAAAATTAATTAAGACTTAGCAAAGTTGCATGGCATCCAAAACTTCCAAAAGTCCAAGAAGGAGAATTGAGAATTTACAAGAAGCATAAAAAAAGATTCTGGAGAAAATAACTCATATAGAAAATGAGATAGAGTATGTATGATTATTTGAATATATAACGAAGTAGAAGCAGCAGCATTAGTTAAAGAAGCCACACATTTTATAAATTAAGGAATTGACAAAATAACTATAATAAAATGATTCCGAGATCACTTTAAATGGAGTAAGCACTTTTTCAGTTTCAGACTTTTAATTAGTATTCCATAGTCTAAATAGAGTCATACTTAATATCTAAACACTTATATTTAATGATAGATGTTCAGAATTACGAGAAGTAACTATGATATTTAAGAACTTGTAATTTTTGAGCATAAATTCCTTAATGATAAATGAGCTAAATTTAGAAGAACTGACATAACTAAAAGTATTATCAGTAGGGGGAAATAATTTAAAATCTTTGGATAGATTGCCACCAAATTTAGTTGAGCTCTATGCCCAAAACAACTAAATTTCTTAATTAAGCAATACAAAACAGCTAAAGATCTTAAATATAAGCTAAAACTGTATAAGCTCTTTACAACAGTTGCTGCACATTAATAAATCATTGGAATTCATTAATTGTCATCAAAATTAATGTGCTTAAACTAAGGATTATAAAAGAGTGCTTTTTAAAATATTCCCAAATTTAAAGGGAGTTGATAAGGATGATTTATTATAGCATTCAATGATATAGTAGAACAATTTCCACTTTAAGAAGGAATAAATGGATTTTTCTTTTAGTTAATCATGATTATAATTTATTTAAAATATATTTAAGTTTTGCTTTACACCATCAACATTTTTTTTGCTCTTTCTATAAGAGATGTGCTCTTTAGATTACTTCACTCAAATTGATATCTTATTTCTCCAGATTTTGTAAAATCAATAGGATTTATCCAAAATCACCTACGATTAAGTCCTCTCTCAATTAAATCAAGAAGGAGATGGCTAAATAGTATAAAAATTCCTCTCTATTGTTTTTCTAGCAAAATAAACAGTCCCAAATGCGTAAGGAATCATCTATGTGAAAATCTTAAGCGAAAAAAATCATAAACCATTTTACATACAGGATAGAAAAATCCATCTTTTGGTTAACTAAATGATCATGCAATTTCCAATCTACTTTTTTTAATAAATCCTAAAATGCCCTAACTTTCTCCTTTTATAGCTAAAAATGGTTTTTCAAACTTGTCATCAATATCATAAAACAGTAGAATGCATCACTCTCATTCTGCAATTTCTCATTCGGATCACTCATACACATATACAGACTAAATCTATTTAGCATTACATTAATGCAGCAAATTCATTCATTCCTTAGACATAGTCCATTTTATTTAATTTACAACACAAAAATAAAATCCTATTTAACATCTCTCTATATTCCTCTTTTCCCAATTCCTTCACTCTTGTTCTAATGACGTCCTTCTAGATTTTAGACCATAATTATTAATCTTAAAAATGATTATTCCAATCAGAATCTGTATTTCTAGAAAGGGGATGATCATTCTTTTTTTGAGGAGGTGCTTTCTTAATGTTTTCTATTTTAATATTGTTGTAATTATCTTTATTCTTCATGATCACTTAATTCCAATACTTTCTATTTAGAGGGAAATACCTTCAAAAAAATAAATTTTTTACCCCAACAATAATCTCCAAACTATTCCTCTTAGCCTACTAGTTTAATTCGTAAATCCTTATTGGCAAAATTTTATCAACCCATCTTCATCCACAATTTCGTTTCTCAGAATATTTTACACATCCTTAATGAGTTATTAATTGTCACTAGAAATCCCTCCCAGATTTTAAGACAGACTTTCTATGTCAAAATCCTAGTTTATCATAAACTATAAATTATGTTTTATAATATGTAATTTATATCATTTTTCCTGATACATTGGATCAACTTAGTTTCTGCAAACAGATTTTGATTCTTTATTCATCTGCTAGTATTATGAATACTCATATAGATTTTATTGGTTTGTGCTTTAATTTTAGGATTAGAATGATTAAGAATTTGAAACATTAATTTGCTATAGTTGTTGCTATTATGGCAAATTCTGGTATTATTATTGTTATTGTTGATATTGTAATAATGTATTCGGAAGATTAGGTTGTTAAACATAATTCATAGTCTGGCATTTTGTGCATCTGATTAAATTGGATACTAATTAAATTCTTTGTTAATACATCCGCATTGGTACATGACTGTAATTTTACAGGAGCCACATTGAAAATAGCCAAAATTAGGCCTATTTATTTGTTAACATCTAAAGCACATAAATGGTTATTTTTCATCTTATATCATCTAGGGAGTTTTACAATGAATGCAAGTTGAATAAGTTTATCTTTTTGTTGAAATAATAATTACGTTTTTTGATTGATACTCCTGTCAATGGGTATCGTTGTTTATTGTAACACATTAGAAACAGGGTTATAATTTTAGTTCTAAGGCTAAGAATATTATTAATTTTGATATGGAGCATATTGATATTAACTGCACTAATTCTATATTATGTAAATTTGAAATACTGGGTATAAGTTCATTGGAACTTGTTGTTGTTACTAAAACTAAGGGTATTGAATTTATGATTGAGCTGGGAATTAGTTCTGTTATTAAGCCTATTATTAATTCTAATTTTTTTAAAGCTCCGACTTGCTTTATACGTTATTTTAAGGAGGTGCAATTGGTTATTCAATTTATTTTGGTTGAATAACTTCGGCATGTTGTACCTCTAAGAATTAATTCATCAAGCTTACTAGCATCATCAAAAGAAACATATTCTTATTCATCTCCATAATCCTGAATTTCAAAATCATTACTGTTCTATTTTGGTTCTTTGTATTTAGACTTGGATTTGTTTGATAACAACCCCAAATTTGCATCATTTTGGTTCATCTAATAGGATTAGAAGAATATTATATTATTATTAATTCAAAATATTTCTAAATATTCCAATATTATGATTATATTCATAAAAGTCAAGATTAGATTAAACACAATGTAAATTGTTAAAAAGTAAAAAAAAATAATTCAACATATTTCATTTTTGAAGTTTATTTTCAATGTACATTAGTCCTGATTAATTATATTTTTAGTATATAAGTAGGTCCTCATGTCTCTTTATAAGTTATAAATTTATATACTTCTATAATTTTATCCTGAATAGTATCACTAAATTTAAAATCAAGCATTATAAATTTTGCTGCATATTTGATAACATCTATTAGATCTACTAAATTGAAACCAAAACTATATTAAACAAATTCAGTAAATAACTTATTGAACGATTTCTAAGCTATGAATTAATTCAAGGATTACAATCAACTAGGATGAATTTGCGAGTCTTAGGGATTTCATAAAATATTTATTCTTTAGTAAATTGTTAATATTCAATTGCCAAGATTAAATACATAAATGATGCTACCAAAGTTCTTGGTTTATAATTCAATGTAGAAATATCTAAGTAGCAACAATCAATAAATGCCTGCAATTTTAACATTACTTACAATAGGAAAATAATTTACATTTATAAGAAGTTGTGTTATTGGCTCTGAATTTCTTTTGAATATCTGTGATAAAATTATCCCATTAATTAGTGTAGAATTCAATCCATAGATTAATTGTAGGGAGATTTAAATGCCATTGGAGGACTGTACAAACTTCTATTTCCATTTGATAAATTTAATCTATGGTATACCCATGATTGGCTGCTCTTTCAAACTCACTGACATGTTTTGCCTCTACTTCCTCGAATATAACAAATTAAAATACTTCCATTTTAGATGCAATAAGCATTGAGGCTGTCCCCAATAATTACACATCTACTTTTGGTATAGATTTTTTCGATAAATAGCTATCAACATAGGCCACTGCCAAATAATAAGTGTCTCTTTTCATATTGTAGACAGAACAAACATCAATCATCCAATCCATTAAGATTGCTCTGACTTTTGGACTTAATTGAGTTTGAATAGAAACCATATAATCAGGATTTGGAAAATGTTCAATTTCTTATAACATAAGTGCTTATAAAGTTTCAGCAGAAAATCCACCAATTTATGAATCCTTGTCGTTTTCATTTTAGAGAAAAGTTTAATTTAGTTAGACATTTTTTGATTTAGTTGAATTAGCATTATCACTCAAAATAGTAATGCTAGATTCATCACATTCTAGAGTGAGTCCCAAATTTTTTTATTCTCCCATAGAAATGCATCGAGTGTTCTTTTTATGCTTCAATAAATTGTTATTAGGACTTTACTTTTTGATAGTTCTTTCACTTAATTGATTAGAGGAATTGTCTTAAATTAAAAATTTAGGGACATTTAATTTTTCTATCTTTTTGTCTTCCCTCTGAGAATTGCAACTAAAAATATAAATATTCTTTTTTTACTTAATATAATTAGAATAGTTAGAATTAGAAGTATTGTTATGAGTGTTTTTATTTTAAGGTATATTAGAAATCATAAAATATGTCCCTGAATTACCTTATACTACATGACTGTATTATCTATGGTTTTTTTTGAACTATGTCTTGCTATTGCTATCAATGGAATTGTTTCTTGAGAGATTTTATTAATTGAGAAATGATTCAAAAGTAACTTGCTGATTTTGGTAGTCTTTTCTTTCCCATACGGCTGAATCTTTTAAATTGTTATCTTCATTTGGTTTTGGTTTATTTAAGGTTGGTTTTAAGCTCGGCTAAGCAATTTTTGTTAAGGTTTAATTAGAAGTTTGTTAGGGAATGTTTATTTAAAACGGAATACAACTGGATTGCTTTTTATTTCTTTTATATTTTATTTCTTCCGGTTTTGGATTTGTCTAGTATGAGGATCAAAATACTTGAATCTAAATTTTATTATGCTATAGTATTGATTTTGGATTTTGAGGCAATTAGGAATTCTAATCAAATCTTACAAAGGAAATATTCTAATTTGATTGTATGCTTTACATTCAACTATTGATAATTTTCTTTCGGTATGAAATAGGGATTCCACTAGGCAGTCATTTTCAAATTTAAATATAAAATATTGATTAAACATATAAATTAATACTAGTCAATGGGAAAATGGTTATGAATTTCTAATTGAAATTGAGCGCCTATCAGTAAGTTTTTTATTTGAATGTGGAGAGCCATCCAGCTTAGCAGAGGCCTTCATTTCATCTTTGCTTTCTTCTACATAATCAAAATCCTTGATTAATTCAGAAGTTTCTTCATTCAATCTTTAAGAAAACAGCATTTATTCTTTATTGATTTTGTTGAGATTCTTGGCAGATATTTATTTGATAATAGGTTTAGGTATGAAAGATTTAATATTATAAGAAAGACTGGCAACTTATTCTCTAATTTTACTCATCCTGTCAGTGTAAATTTAGTGCTTAGTTTTGACATTCTGATTCGTAGTTTATAATTATAAAGCATCTGTAGCAGGATGATTAACTATATTGGCTTATCTTCTATTTCGATAGGCAATCATAGAATCGATTTCTAGAATCTAAAAGTCTGCACTAAGAAATCCAGTTTCGTTGTAGCCTCCAAAAATCATCAGTTTATGATCATCCACAACAGCAGAATGACCTGCTCTTCCTTCTTTGAGGTCTAAATCAACATTGCTCCAAGATTGAGTTTCAATTTTGAAAATGTGACAATCATTTAAGAAAGTAGATGATTCGCTTATGCCACCATAAATAATAATAATCCCCTATCTATCACAATATGAAGCAGAATGTTTGTATCTACTAACTTAGAGTTAATTTCAATTAATATTTACTTGGTAATTATCCTTTGCCAGACACCAAAGACCATTACATAGGACGAGTACAAGGATTCAGTATATATAAACCAGAATACAGTGTTCCTATTTTAGATTCTCCTCCAAACAAGTATACGCCTTCTACTTTATATTTGATTTCCTTCATTTCCTCTGGATCCATATAGTTTTTATAAATTTGGATATTTCTTGAACTACTAAAGACAGAGACGAGTGTGTGAAAGGCAATTCCATTAGTAAAAAAGTCATTTTGCTCGACCTAACTCAAAAACATTTTATTGTTCAAAATATCATAGTGATATAAATCGCTTAAATATCTTCCTTTAGTGTTGATACCTGCGTGGATGATAATATGCTTTCCTACAATAGCTCCTGTTGCTCCTCTTCTCCCTTCAATTAATTCTCCTCCAAACCTTAATGATTTGAACTCATTATTTTCTATTTCATATTGTTGCCAATTTACCTGTATTAAACACTCGAAAATCATTAGTACTTTCCCTTATCTTCTATTAACCATCATAAGGTTTTTCACCTCCAAATATGTAGATGTTCCTTCGATAAACACAGTGAACATGATTGGTTCGACCAAATGGAGCCTTCTCTCCAATTATCTGTGGCTAGAACCACTCTTTGTGATCCCAAATAACGACATCATTAAATGGTTTGCTACTTATTCCTCCAAATAAATATAATTTTCCAGAGACATTATTCAAGGAAGCTCCTTCTCTCATTTAAGGTCTCCATTTTCCAAAGAACACATCTATCCAACCTAAATAGTGAGTAGGAATTGTGAACTCTTCTTCAGGTTACTGAACTTGTATAACTTTAGCTTTTATGGCTGGCATAATTTATCCTTCCTCGTCAATTTTGGCAGGATATGTTTTTATTTTTGGTAATTTATTTTGATTCTAAGATCTAGATCTAGCGAACGTTGTTCTCAATATACTTTGTTTCTACTGCTCTTCCTAGTACCTTAATTAAGTTTTATTATGATCCAATTAAAACGCAATCTATTCTTTTAAACAACAGCTGTCATTCAAAATAGATTAACTCTTATCAGTCACATTGAATTTTCTCACATAGGATTACGAATGGTTACGCATAATCTTCTCTCTTTATGTTCTAAACCTCTAATCACTTTCAAGTCGACCCAACAAAGTTTTATCTAAATTGAGTAATTCTTGTTAACTTATAAATTTTACTCCTTTCTAGTCTGGTAGCTTTGGTAATAATGGATGCAACTGAAAAATAAGTTATGTAATTTTTACTAATTAGCAACCTCTTGATACTAGTTAAGTATATTATGATATTGTTTAGTTTGTAAGTCCTTAATGCTAATATTGTTCAACTATCTATCCTAAAATTTGATCATCTAAATATCCTCTTATGTTTTCTTGATCTAATTAAATTTCATCCTCTTACTATAATATTTCACTCATTTAATTAAATTAATAAATGTATTCAACTTAAGCGCTTTAATAAACTATTCATAGTTATTCTCTGCAAGTGCTTCAAGCTGGTGATTTTGCGGTACCTTCTGATATCTATATTATCTCTGTAGAAAAATTAGCAAATTATTGACTAACTCAAAGCATTTATTTTGGATTGGAATAATTTGCCCCTGTTTAGAAATATCGTCGAACAAGATCAAAAACCTGAAACTATTTTTGTTCTCTATTCCCTGATGTAAAAATCACTTGCCCAAGGATCCAAATTCATTAATGTACTTCAAACTTAATTAAAAAAATAATCTACCTTTGAGGAATTAGAAAAGTACTTTGAATATTAATTTCTTAGCAATGAAAAGTAACACCACACCATAATTGTTACTACTCATATTGATATTGTAGTCAATTATTTTGCAAGATTCCTAAATCATCCAAATCATGTATAAAATTAGGTGCTATTCACTTTGGCTTTTCTATTAAGAAAATATTGGACAGACACTTTGAACTCAGATTAACTTGTTGAAAAATTGATTAACACATTTTTTAACAGTCAGAATTTCACAATTTTAACCGTAGGATGTAAATTATTTGAAAACCTCTTAATTTGTGTTAGATCATATTATTATGCTTCCAGTTATTTGGAATTTCGAAAAATAATGATGAACTTCTTGAAGTACAATTTCAATTAAGTTAATTAGGTAATCTTTAAGCACCTTATTGATTTCTACTCATAAACTGATTCTCATTTAGTTGCAGCACAAGACATTGATTCAGTTATATTAAGAAGATAAGGCTTTTGCTGATACATTAATCTAATTACTAAACTCATTCATGACTTTTAATTTCAATTTAAGCTTCTATGAGATTGAGTCAGATCAAGATCAAAAGGATAACTTTCTTATAAATGTAATAATTCTAAATCAAAACATTAATTTAGTTTCCTGACTCTTATATTTCAATAATAACTGAATATAAACTCCTTTTAGAAATGTTCAGATCAATTATAGACTTTTATACTTTAGATCAAACAATTTCAATTAAACTGATAACAATTGTTCAGAGAATAGCTGCTGCAAGACTTTCACTATTCTTTGGAAAACGTTCTCAGAAACAATAAGTGAGAAGAGCCCTCTGGGAAGGTTTACTTTACATATTAAATAAACATTAAGTATACATCAAAAATTACGACTTTTGTAATGAAGTTTGTATATTTGCCATCAAATTAGTTGTAAATATCGTTCTTAAACTAGTCCAACTTTACGCTTAAAAAACTGAATAAATTTTCAGATTTATTTGATTAATGTGTAATTTAATTTAATCAAATGAATCAAGTAATATTAAGTAATTATTAAATCAGGATACAACCAAATAGTGTCTTTATCAAATTGCAAGAAGTTTGGAATTAATTTTAGGTTTAACTAAATTCATACAAATAACATTATCCAGTCTAATATTAAAATCTATCAAATTCTATAAATTTAAGCTTCAAAATTCTGATTCAGGCTTTTTATAATGGCAACCCTTTCGCAGACATCCCAACAAGCATTCCAATTAAGAAAATTAAGAAGTTTATTGATAAAAGTTTTCGATTATGTGCATAAGTGTATTAATAAAATGCGGTAGAATGCACAAATCTACTCTTGGAATCATTTAAAAAAATACCTATCTAAGTATTCATCATTTATCATTTTAGAATCTTAATCAAATGGCAGAACATGAATAATTGATTACTATTTGTACTTTTATTTATTGATATCTAGAAAAATTCAGCTCACTGCTATGTCTAGTGTCAGCATTTGTTATGAGTCCAACACAAGGAGAGTTATTGACTGGATATGATTATTATGGCCAATAAAATAAATAAGAAAGACCACCTTAGTTTGGTTAATTAGTGATATATATTTTGGAATTTATATCTTTTTCTAATAAATTAAGTTTACCAGTCCTGGCTACTTAATAAGATATTGAGAAGATATAAATTATAAAAATGTATCACACCTGTATTTTGATATTTATTCAATCTTATATTACACAAACAGTGGATGGGGTGTACTATGATGAAGGCTCAAATATAGTTACTTCTTAATCTTAATTGTAATTAGTTTTGTGTTATGAATAGATAAACAAGTATATTTCGTGATTTAGGAAGTTAGTAAAATTATTTAGCAATAATTGAGAGTTGCTTAGAACAATGGTATTAAGTTGATTTAATTAAGTTATCAAAAATTTACTTTGAATGATCCTGATCTGGTAGAATATAGTTTTTAAATATTATAATTTACCTATGAAAAGTACAAAATTCTAATTATATCGATAGATTAAAGAGGCAACTTGACAGAAGAATATTTCAAGCTAGTTAAGTAAATAATATGCTGAGACAATTCTTCCTCCAAATGGATTTCACTTGTTTTAATGAAGTCTAGTATATTAAAAAGAGAAAACTCGTGTATTAATTGATTTCGCTTGTTTGGGTTGATGATCAGATGGATGACTATGTTCCAGCTTTAGTGGATATTTATAAGCAGATCAAGAAGTCAATTGCAATTGAAATGAATAAAATAAATATGTTAAAATACATTTGGGACATGATTGGTATTGTGAATGAGCTAGAACTAGACAAGATTTATCGAATCTTCTTACGAATAGTGTATGTTAATTTAAATAATTTAGTTTACCTGATATATTATAAATTTTGCAACCTAATAATACTAATATCTTTGTTTCAGATTTTGATGCATCAATTGGATTAACATCTTTGATATGTTCAATTTTCAAAAACAAGTAATTTATATAGTTTCAATATAGAAATACAAGATTATCAAATGAAAATATTTAGCTAGTTCTGTATTAAGTCTATGGACAAACAACCAACTATTTCATCACATCAATATAGTATTTATTATCATAAGCTTAAACATGTTTATCCTAAGGTAAGTAAGTTTAAGATAATATTTTGAAAATGGCTGCTAAATTAATGAAAGTAATGGGACAGATTTCAAGTTCAAAATAGATAAACTAAGGATTTTTTATCATCTACCAAGATAATTTTTGTTTGGAATTGTTTATAAAATAATTACAACTCATCACTATTTATAGACCTTTATTTTAAAATCTGATGAAATACAAACGTTATCTCTTCGAATGTCTTGAAGGAATTTGTTCAGAACACAGTGAAACATTAACATATAAATGTGGAGCTGAGACATTTCTATAACTATTTGAACTATCTGAAAATACATTAACAGACATTCTAAATTTTAAATCTATGAAGGGCGATGAACAAATCAATGAAGAAGCTATTTAGTTGTCATAGTTAGCTACACTATTAGTTAATTCCATTTAATTCTTGATATAGGAAAGCATAATAGGAGAAGAATAAGACACAGCTATGATAAAATAAAAGATTTCTGATATCTATGGTAAAGGAAAACTTTTATTGCAATCAATCTTTAGATAAAGTTTTATGGTAACAGTAGCATTTCCAAAAATCATTAAATTTTTATAGCCCAATTCTGACATAATATTTGCAATTTCTTTATTCGATCCAAAAGAAGTATTAATTTATATGAAATTAGTTTCAAAATCTTTTGTTGTAGTTGATTTAAGAATACAAAAATTAATTATGGCTGTCAAATCTAATTATAGATCCAATAACGATAGGATATTAAAGTAAAATTTAATGTTATGTTTAGGTATGGATAACTATTTGAATAGTTTTACAAAGGATAACTTCACTAAATAAATCAAATATGTGTTAGAATATGTGTGTCATGAATCATGAGGATAAATGTTCATAGAAATATTTATTGTTTTAAAAAACTATTATAAATTAATCAATCACTTAGTTATTAAAATGTTTATCTACCAGAATTTGGCTATGATTAGGAGAACTTGGATTTGTTTTATTTCAAGAATCCTGGAATCCAAATTTTTTGAGATCCCAAAAATTCTTGATTTAGTGAAGGATGTAACTATCTTCTGATTTCAACTTGAGATAACACTCTATAGGTTTGAAGTAAGTTTGAATCATCAACTTCTTCATTTGTTTGAAATGTAACTTTAGGTTCAGTTCGTAATTTTAAATGTGATCGGCTAGTTGAAGGATTCTTGTAACTTTGATTTGCATCTAAATTAAGTTTAAGAGATTCAAAATTTTAGTAAAATTGCTATTTTTTCGCAAGAAAGGATTTTCTTTGATTTGCTTTCAAAGTTTTCTACTGTATATTATTTTATTCAACAACACTATATAGTATATTATATACTCTGGTAAACGATTTTTCTTTACTGAGAAACCAACATGTAATATTTTGTCTCTCTCTTTCTCTGTATCTAAAATTGCCTTATTGACTAGTTTACGATATTCCTTCACGTAAGCTTTATGCTAATTCTTCATTATATCTTCTTGTAAATGTTGAGTTTTCTTTTTTGTATCTTAATTATAGATCAATTCTATGTTGTCTAATCCTCTTGGGGAACAGTATTACCTTTCGTTAATAATACTAATTGTATTCTAAAAATGTTAATATTGAATACGTATGTATTTGAATATCTTATTACCTTGATACCATTTTCTATAAAATTAGATAACAGATTAATTTAATCTTTTTATTTAAAATCTGGTTCAAATAACACTGCTATTATGTTATCACATTATAAGATTAAGGGACCTCGTAGGTTATTTTCAGCCAATGATAAAAACCTCTAGTATTTAATTGATTTAGATACTTTTTCTGGATTAGTGAATGTGATTGTATGTATATCCCAGGTATTTGATTGTTTAATTTAAAACTCAATATTAACATCTTTAAACAACCAATAATGTAAAAATGGCTTTTTGATTATACAAGTCATTTCTGTTTGATTGCTAAGCATTGCTTATTTAGGTTTATAAGCCGGAGATTTTACAACATACTTTCCTATAGATTAATATTCCATCGCATCTCTTCTGTGATGAATCCCAATATTGCATTTAGGCATCCATTCGTCTGTAACTTTATTGTATGAGTACAAATCTCCTGTTGTTGTATCCAAAAAAAAATCGTCATGAGAATTTTTTAATGCTTAAAGAGTGTACTTTGGAAAGTCAACCAATTTACTGCCTTCTCCATTTCCATTCGTAATATTAATATGCTGTAATAAAATGAGATGAAGTTACTGTCGAAATATTGGAAGCACACAAATATGCAAGTGCTTGGGCTCCAAATGATGTCATAAACAATAGTTTCTTAGTTTTGATGCACATTCTTATTAGACTGATAATCTAGAATAGCAAATATATCGATACATTTCTCATATTTGGATTCCATGGCCTTATATTTGGAGATGCTATTATAAAAATCATGTCTAATGAATTAAATTTCTGCCCTTTTTCAGGTCTGATGTGAGATGTTTCTGGCTCAAATAAATAATCTTCTAAATTATGTCTATCAAGCTCAATAAATTCAAAATCAATATCAGCGACTTCCTTCTGTGCTTAAGTGATCTAGCTATTTTTAATCAATACCTCGTATATTTATTATTTAAATTGATTAAAGATCTTTAAGTGAGAAGCATTTGCAGTAAATCCATTAACAATCAAAAATTTCATAACAAAATTAATTGTTAATTATATATGTTGAAAAATTTCAAGAACTGATCAAGATTTCAATAAAACTAAATTTAATTAAAAATTGTAGAAACCACAAAATTAACAAAGCAATTCTATTTTAATTTCTCTTTCACATATAAACATTCGAATATCTAACAAAATTCTAAAAGAAAAGAGCAACATATTAGTTATGAATCATCAAAAATATTTTTCTATTTCTAGAATAACATTCTTTATAACATCTCAATAGAATATGCAAATTAACTAGCTCACATATTCACTAAAGAGGTTGCTGGCGTGGAGAACATAAAATAAGAAGCTGTTTAAGATCACTTAAATGCAAGAGTTGCTAGAACTTCTGAGAGAGATATTATTTGATAATTCTTACTATTAACAAGGAATCAACATCCTTAAAAGACGTAAGAAATTAGCTGGAGAAGAAGTTCAATATTAATTTATTCTTCAATTTAATATAAATCTAAATTCATCATTTTCCCTTTTTCTTTCTCAAATTAAATGTAAGCCCGATATCGTCATTTTTTATATGTGTTTAGATCTATAAGTCAGCTGTCATTTATTCTAAAATATAAGATGTAGAGGTTACCTGATTTCTGTAGCAAATTTGCAACGAAATTGTCATCAATATATTTATCAACCAAGCTGGCTATGACTCCTTACTCTTTAGGCAAATTTAACTGAGTAACAATTAGATTTGTGACTTCTCCTCCTTCTTCTTAATCAAAACTGGCTTAATGGACAACTCCATTTATTTAAATCAATCCCATATATTTTAATTTTAACTATTTATAAAACTAAATTTTACTTTGTTTTTATAAAAGATTATTTACTTAACGTTAATGTCATTTTTCTTACTCAATTTATATTTTAGGTCTGTTTTTATAGCTATTTAAAATCTTCTACATGAAAATCCATTTAATAAAGAATCTTATAATAATCTCTATTGCTTACCATATTCTGCACTCAATAAAAAGTTAATCGGTTAACTTTTAGCTGGAATCTCAACTGGGGAATTATAATCAGCTAATTAATTTCCAGTGAAGTGTTTTAACACCTTATCAACATTTGTCTACATTATAATAAGTATAGTTTACAATCTTAGATAAATTTTCAGCACTTAAACAGACTGTGTGGTCTTTGAAACTCAAATAATATGATCCAATTTCACCTATGCTTTTGAAAGTGAACTCGATCAGCGGCTCAAAGGATTGCCTAAATTCCTAAGATATATGATACAATTTTTAATAAATACCTGAAACCGTCATTTATTCCAATCTTCTACCAATTCTGTTAATTAACCTAATAAGCCACTTTAGTCTAACATAATTAGCAGATTTATTATATAAATTTGTTCTTACTTTCAGAGCAATTTATTGATTTTGGAGTATCAGCATCTCCATCATTCTCACTTTCCGATTCTGATTCTGATTCTTCCTCTTGAATAAATTATTATTGTTTTTTTGGAATTGCTTATAATTTAAATACTTTTTATTCTTAAACTTATTGTGGAGTCTCCTTTACTAATGTAAATGTTTTCTATTCCAATATAGCTTTTTCTTTAGCTTCCTTTTAGGCAAAAGATGTTAGTGAAGATTTTTCTTCATCTAGTTTCAAAGATTATTAAAATTCTTCCAAACTTAATTACTTTTTTTGTTTTTTTGATTTCTTCTTTTAAGGAATTTAATCATCATCCAAATCTCTTTTCACTACTTATTGTTTGGATTATTATTATTACAGTCTCTCTTCCTCTTCTTACTTTTTTCTTAATTCCTCTTTTTCATTTTGTTTTTTCTACATGATTTTTCTTTATTGTTCTTCCTCCTCTTATTATTATTAGATTTATTTTTATTTTCTTTTTTATTCTTCTCTATCATCCTTTTATTTTTTGCTCTTCTTGACTTATTAAACATAGTCCTCATCTTCATCATCATCTTTATCCTACTCTTATTCATCTACACTCTCTTCATCTTCTGATTCTGACTCTGATTACTCAATTTTTTATCCTTTCTTATTTGGCTTCTATTATTATTTATTTTGGTTAAAGAAATCGAATGCATCTGAAGTGGATTATAAGTCATTGAAAGCTTTATTATTGTTTTTATTGGATGATTAAATTGTTTTATTCATTTGTATTTCATCATCATCATCATCAGACTCACTTTCTGGTTCTTCATGTTTATTTTCTTATTTCTTTTCTGGATTCATTTATATTTACTATGATGTTTTAGTTTCTTAAATGTTTATGGGTTGAAAATTGATTTTTGGCATGAATTCCTTCAAGCTATCATCTTCATACATGCTCTTAGATTCTTTGGGCTCATCTAGATGAAATCTCTTGCTATATTTTTCCAATTAAGCTTATTTCATTTTTTCGAAATCGGCTGAGTGATCTTTTCCTGAATCATCCTATACTTTTGGGCTTACATCTTGTTTAGTTTCCTAAGGTCGTTATTATACTTCTGGCATTTTTAAGTTTGTAAATTGGTTGAAATCATTCTTTATTTATTCTTTAGCTGTTTAAATTGGTAAAACCAATGGTTTAGATTCAGTCTAAGCCAATTTTTTTGATATTCCTCTACTCCACATGTTACCACTGTCATCTTCATCGTCATATTCTGATTCTGATTCAGAAATTACTTGAACCTATTTCTTTTGGGGTTAGGGTGGCTTAACTTCTTTATTTGTAGATAGTTTCTATTAGTAACTTTTCAATTAAGCCATAACATCAACTTCTTCATCATCATCATCTTATTATGCCACTTTCTTAGAGGTATCAGCATCATCATTATCGTAATCTTCTGATTCTTCCTCGGAAAATGGTGAAACTTTACTTTTGGCAAATTTGGAAGGATTATCTCCATCATCAGCAAATTTAGATATTGATTTTAGCAGATCTATTGTTTATATTAGGTTAGTTACCGCTGGAAGCTGTTGCTAATAAAATCAAAACAAAGAGTATGACTATTTGTTTCATAAAAATAATAATATGTAAACCGTTTTTTAAAAAGAACAATAATAATATAAATAATCACTATAATTTTCTATTCTCAAATCCCCCATTCCAAATAAAAATAATGATGTTATCTAGTATGCTATCAATGATTCTCTCTTATTGAATTTATTGCCAATTTTCAATCTGAATAAATACAGTTCTCTAATATTGATCCCTATTCTTATATCGACCTAATTCTTACACATACATCTCAAACACATTAGGATTACTACATATAAATCAAATAAATTTACATTAGTTTCTTTTTATTTTCTAAGTATTCAACGTATGGAAACATACTATTTATAGCAAAAGTTATTTTTTTTAGTTGTTTTTCGATCAATTATTGCTAAGCTTACGGGAGATGACTATAGAGAAAATTAACATATAAGGGAAATTTTGATTTTCTCCAGTCATCATTAAAGTAAGGCATGATCTGATCATGTAAATTTTAAATATCTCCCATTTCTTAATTTTTTTAGAAGTCAAATTTAAAAAACTTTAGTTTATTTGGATCTTAAGGGTTATCTGAATCCTAAACCAATAAGATGAAATTTTTGATGAATCTCTTGCTAGGTGTCATCTAAACCAATTCAACCTGACACCCTTTTATATTTGATAAAGGTTTGAATTGATAAGTATGGCAATCATAACCTCCGTCTTGTGGTTCAATGCATGGAAATTCAATCAATCGAAAACTACTTTACTCTTCTGGGAATGTAATTTTGATTCCTGCTATACATTCACTATTAACTGAGTACACTTGATATTACACAGTCGTTTGAGGATCAAATTAAGTAAAATCTAATAGCACGCCATATTCGTTTTCATATTCATTCATGTTTGCGTCTTCATACTCAACCACAATATCCTCATTACTATGAGTCTATTGGTGCACAGTTTCAGTTTTGATATGTATATTTGATTAATGAGGAGATAAAGGAGGACTTTATCTAAGGAACTCCTATAGATTTTCAACTTGATCCTCCTTATTATTATTAAACATTGATTGATATGTCAAATACTTGGTTAAAGAATTCTACTTTTCATTTAACCCCGATACGAGTTGATATTGATGCAAATATAATTTGGTCCCATTTTCTTCATTTTGATATACCGCATTTAGAGATAACATCTCCTTCAAATTGAATTTCAATCCTAGAAACTTATAGTTTAATGACTCATTCCCCCCTTTGAATTGTATTAGATTTTTTACAGAATCATAAAAATACTCTGCATACATATTGTAATAATCCTTTACTTCTTTTTATAAATCTTGAATAGCTACTTCAGCATTTTAGACTTATTATGATAGTTTTCCTGAGAATAATCTCGAATTTGGAAGCTTAATTTATGAATCAATGGTTAACAATTATGGAATATTACTAGTCCCCTCAATTTGCTATTCTTCTAAATAAAATTCATTCTTTAAAATTGATATTTATCCTACTCTTCTTAAACCATGCTAATTTAATCTACCCAGCCTTTGCTCTTCTTTATATTTTTTCAGATATTCTCGTTATTGAATAGACTGCTAAACATAATCATATCCTGAATTAAATTGGTGGAATAAATAGGCAAAAAATTTGTCATATAAAACAAATTCCTATTTGCCTCTTATGATACAATTCATCGCAGAACACAATTCGTATAGAATTTTCAAAGAAATTTCTTTGTTGTCATTTTATAAAACTTTAAGAAGCCTCTCTATCTCAATTATATATATTTATTCCGGCACGATTCCTAATTACCTAGTTTATTGAGCATATTGAATGATTTTTAAATATTATTGATCTCGCTTTTTCTATGAGTTACAAAAGATTGGCGGTTGCATCCATTATAAAACAGTTAGTATTAATGAAGTTCTTAAGTAAATCTACTAAAGACTTAAAAAGAGCATCTCTTTAAACTGTGTTAAATATGGGCTTTTCTAGAATAATTGACTCAACATTCGAACATGAGGATTCACAGAAAAAAAGTTATGACTCTATTTTTTCATAAAATTCATTCATACTCTATATTTTGTTTTGTCTTATCTAATTATTTTCGATCCATTTAATCCTCTTATTTTCTCATTTGCAAACTCATACATAATATTATTTTAGATAATATTAATATAATTATAAAATAATGGTTATAGATGAACATAAATAAAATGTAATTATTCTTGATATTTATTAAATTTAAAACTCGATAGGTAACTCTATATAAATCTTGAATTAAAGTCACTTTTCTTATCTGAAAAAAATGAAATCAAGATAAAAACTAGTTTATAGTACTACAATTTCCAAACTTATTAATTAATATTCATAATAACAAAGGCTATATGATCAATTTAAACTTCATATATTAATACTTATTCATTTATTCCAAATTTCTGGATAAATAAATAAAATTTTAATATGTTAAATTAATCTATTAAATATGAAATACTAAATATATAATTTATGTTTCAGAATTTGCTAAGTTATAGCAATTCTTTTAGAAAGTAATTTAAACACCTAAAATGATTCATTCATTGTATGATGAAGCTTAAAAAAGTAGTGATTTAAATCCTAGTTTGATTGGCGTTATAAAAAGTATTAATCATCTATTTTAATTGGAGAAAAGATTTGAAGAATTCTTTTCTTTTTCTTAATCACATTATATTATATCATAATGATGGAAAATTAAACTTCAAGCATATTGAATAACATAATTAACAGTTTTGAAAAGTTCAAAATATAATATCATACTGGGTCTCTGTTTTATGAATTTGTTTATTTATTTTCTAACTTTAAATCATTATTCATCATTTATTTAATTTTTCGGGTTAGATTCACAATTAATTGGAATGAGTTATATGAATTTTTACTTTGGAAATAAATATACCTTTTTTTTAAATCAAAGAATTTCTATTATTTTCTTAACAAGCTGATATTAACTGTTATTTCTTCAAAGTTAGAATATTCACTTGGCCAACAAAGTAAGTATTAATAATCGTGTAGTTTGAATCAATAAAATGATGTATTTATGGCTCTTATTATTTGTCAGTAAATTTTTGATCATTTTACTTGTTAACTCCAACAATAATTTCTCTTTTGATTCATTTTAATAGTCTAAACTATATGAGACTTTACATAAGATCTATATGAGGATCTATTTCCTTTTTTAAGTGTCTTTTTAACAGATAATTTACATTTGTCTTCTACAAAATTATTAGGTTCTCATGCAAATATTTATAATATTTGTTGAAATAATTTTAGTTTATATAAAACTTTATCTATATGTTAGATCACAAAAGACTAATATAACACAAATATAATCATAAATTCTTAACAGAGTGTTCATATTGGGGATTTTCTAAATTTAATATAATTAATCACTCAATATAGCATTGAGTAATTAAAATGAATTGTTTGCAATATATAAAAAAATGCTATGAAAATCTCAGACAGAAAAGAGAAGGGCAAGATGAATCGTATAGACTATCAACCTAGGAATCGGAAGGGAGGAAGAAGAAAATCTTAGTTCTTGATTTGGATGAAACTTTAGTACATTGTGAGTTTAAAGAAAATCAAAATTTCAACTACGAAACGATTTTGGATGTTTGGCATAGAGGAGTGCTATACAATGTTTACCTATGTAGAAGACCTCATTTGAAAGAATTTCTTAAGTAAATGAGTGTGTACTACGAGATAATCATATTTACTGCTGGCTATGAATCATATTGTGACAAGGTGCTTCAATACATAGATGTGGATAAACACATAAGTGATTACTTTGCAAGATCAAATTGTATATTTGTGAATGGGAACTGTTTGAAAGATCTTGCAATTTTAGATCGCCCATTGGATTAGTTAATTTTTATAGATGTATCATATATATATAGCATTGATAGAATAACCCAAATGCTTTTGAATTACAACCTGATAATGGGTTGTTGATTCCTTCATTTCTGGATTCAGATGAGGATGAATGTCTACTGAGATTGATCCCATTTTTAACATTCATGGCTAATAAATCCTCTGTGAAACCTGTCAATTAATGCTTGAAAGAATACGAAACCATAAATGGATCATTGTTTGGGGATTCCGATATAACTCTGCAATGTCACTTAGATGGAGAAGAAGGGAGTCTCAATGAAGAAAGCTGTATAATAATTGACGACGTTCCTTAGCATCGAAAGACTAAAACCTTAATGTAACAGTAATCAAAAGGAAAATAAGTATAAGAGGCTCGCAGTTAATCTCTATTCTCTGGTTGAATAATTTTAAATTGTTTATAATTTCAATTATTATGCGCCAAAAGACTATAGAAGAGCAATATAAGAAGATGACTCATATTGAGCACATTCTTCAGAGGCCAGATACATATATTGGCAGTTTATAAAGAACTTCTGAACAAATGTGGATAATACAAAATGGAAAAATGATTTAAAAAGAAATTGAATATGTGCCCGGGTTTTTTAAAATATTCGATGAAATTTTGGTGAATGCAGCTGATAATCTACAAAGAGATACTCGATAACACAAATAGTCCTATATTAAGGTAGACATAGGAAATGAAATTTCAATTAAAAATGATGGATTTCCCATCCCAGTTGAAATCCATAAAGAATAGCAAATCTATGTGCCAGAACTAATTTTCGGAGTGTTTCTGACTGGAAGCAATTTCGACGATACTGAAAAAAGAGTGGTAGGAGGGAGGAATGGATATGGAGCAAAATTGACAAATGTATATTCTACAGAGTTCACTCTTGAAGTGTGTGATGGTAATAATTACTTTAAGTTGGTTTGGAGCAATAATATGAGTAACAAACAGATTCCTACCATTAAATAATTAAAAAAAGATCCTTATGTGAGTATTACCTATAAGCCAGATTATAAGAGGTTTGGGATGAAAGAGATAGAAACAGATACTCAAGCTTTGTTAACTAGAAGAGTCTATGATTTAGCTGGAATCTATGGAAATAGAATTAATGTGTATTTGAATGATGAAAAAATTAAAATCAATTCCTTTCAAAAATATGTAGATTTATATTTACCAACTGAAGGAGCAATTAAAATATTCGATAAAGATATGACTACTCCTAGGTGGGAAGTGGTTGTAAGTTATTCACCAACATAATTTTAACATGTTTCATTTGTTAATGCCATTAATACTGCAAAAGGAGGAACTCATGTTAATTATGTGACAGATAAAATTATACAAGAAATTTAAAATGAAATGAATAATAATAAAAAGTACAAGTCAATAGAAGTTTAAAAATATCAAATTAAATAATCATTATGGGTATTTATTAATTGTTTGATTGATAATCCAACATTTGATTCATAAACAAAAGAGAATATGACAACTAAGGTTTCAGAGTTTGGAGGTTCGAGTGAAGAGAAATTTAAGGTGACTGAGAAATTCTCAAAAGCTTTGATAAAGACAGATATTATTGAAACTATATTTTAGTAAGCCAAAGCAAAAGCAGATGCCAAATTGAATAAGTAATTGAAAGGTACAAAAACTGGCAGATTACATGGAATTGAAAAACTGGATGATGCTAATGATGCAGGAAAAAAGAACTCAGAACTTTGCACCCTTATATTAACAGAAGGAGATTCAGCAAAAGCATTGGCTATGGCAGGCATTGATATTGTAGGAAGAGATCGGTATGGTGTATTTCCATTAAAGGGTAAGCTTTTAAATGTAAGAGAGGCATCATTAAAATAAATTCTACAAAATGAAGAAATTGAAAATTTGATAAAAATAATAGGATTGTAGAAGGAAAGACAATATACGGATTTAAAATCACTTAGATATGGATCGGTAATGATTATGACAGATCAGGATATTGATGGATCACATATCAAGGGTTTGATTATCAACTTTATTCATCATTTTTGGCCCTCATTGGTGAAGTATAGCGGGTTTTTGAAAGAGTTTGTAACACCTCTAATAAAGGCAACGAAGGGAAATTAAACAATACCATTCTTCACAGTCTAAGATTTTAACAAATTCGCACAAGAAGAGGATATTAAGAGTTGGAAGATTAAATATTACAAAGGGTTAGGTACATCTGATGATCAAGAGGCTTAGGAGTATTTTAAAAATTTGAGAACCCATACAATATAGTTTAGATATGATGGAGATGAAGATGATAATTCAATTGATTTGTGTTTTAATAAGAAAAAGGCAAATGATAGAAAACAATGGTTAGCCCAATATAATCATGATTTGTATGTGGATCATACAAAAAGCGAATTAGGCTATTCAGAATTCATACACAAAGAGTTGATTCACTTTTCTATGGCTGATAATATCAGATCTATTCCATCCCTCATGGATGGCTTAAAGCCAGGATAGAGAAAAGTATTATTCGCCTGTTTTAAGAGAAATTTGAAATAAGAAATAAAGGTGGTTTAATTGGGAGGTTACATAGCTGAACACTCCGCTTATCATCATGGAGACTTATCGTTGGTTTCTACAATTATAGGGATGGCTTAGAATTTTGTCGGTTCCAATAACATCAATTTATTATTACCTAAAGGTTAGTTTGGTAGCAGAGCTATGGGTGGCAAGGATCATGCATCTGCAAGATATATTTCTACAGCTCTTAATAAGATTACGAGGTATGTCTTCCCTGAATAGGATGATCATTTATTAAAGTATCTGGAAGACGATGGGTAGATGGTTGAACCAGAATATTATGTGCCTATCATCCCTATGAGTTTAGTGAATGGAGCTGAAGGTATTGGTACGGGTTGGTCTACATCAATCTAAAATTATAATCCAATTGAATTAGTCCAATAAATTAAAAATAGATTGGATGGACAATAATTTCTGTCGATGACTCCTTTTTATAGAAATTTTGATGGTATAATTGAAAATTTGCCAAATGGCAATGGAATCATCAAAGGCATAATTGATTGCAATGAAGCCACAGATATTGTCACTATTAGAGAATTGCCGATTAAAAAGTGGACAAGAAATTACAAGGAATGGTTAGATAAAGAAATGGCTGAGGAAGGAAGTTAAATTGTAGATTTGAGAGAATATCATACTAAGTACAAAATTCATTTTGAAATATAAATGGCAGATGGGTTTGTATAGAGTTTGAAAAATCCCTTAGAATACTTTAAACTGAGTACACCAGCCTCTTGTAGTAATATGGTGTTATTTGATTCAAATAATAAAATAAAAAAATATGAATGTGTTTCAGATATAATGGAAGAATTCTATTAAGTGAGACTATAGTTTTATCATAAACGAAAGGATTATCTTATATCAAAGTTGGATAGAGAAGTATAGTTATTAGATAATAAACTAAAATTCATTAAGATGGTGATTAGTGAAGAGATTAAACTAAGAAACGTTAAGAAAATTGATTTAGTGAAGCAACTCGACAAGAATGGATTTACTCGTTTCTCATAATTGATTTAAGTAAAATCTACAAAAGTAAAGGCATTTGGAGATTCTTAAAAATAATAGAAAAATGTTGATGACGATGAAAGTGAAGATTAAGAAGTATCAGGAGATGAGGGAAAGCAATAAAAAAAATAAATTTCAAAAAAATTATAATCAACGCCATCAATCGATATAAGTGAATTTAATTATTTATTATCGATGCCATTATTCTCACTTACTTATGAAAAAGTAGAGAAATTGCAAGAAGAATTAAATTAAAGAGTTTAAAGCAGAGATGCCTTAGTTAATAAAGAGGTATCACTCATGTGGAGAGAAGATTTAGATAAGTTTGTAGAGGCTTATGAAGAAATGAATGAAATAGAGTTGCGTTTAATTAATTAATAAGAAAAGATGCCAGGAAAATAAATGAAAAAACCTAAAAAGAAAAATGATAAATAAGATTAAAAAATAGTTGAGGAGAAAGTACAAAAGTCAAAACCTATTAAGAGTAAAGATCCAGTTGAAGATATACTATCTAAATATAAAAAATAAGATGAGAAATAAAGCGAATTGAATTCTAAACAAATTGAATTCAATGCTAAGTCATAAAACTAAAAGCTATAGGAATCAAAATAATAAGTTGATAATTCCAAGTAGGTTTCTTAATCAATTTAGGGTAGAAGGATAAGAAAGTTAAAGGTGGAAAGCAGCTCTGAAGATGATTGAACAAAATAGATAATTGATAATTAAATATTTATGTAAAAATACTTATTAAATGGATTTGAAGTATTTAAAGTCTTGCCAATATCTCATGAAATTCTCAGAAAGAAGATTTATGAGCATTATAATTTCACCAATAAAGAAGAAGATACCCTAAGCATTATGATTGACACTTTAAGATTATATAATAAACTTCATTCTATTGAAGCTTTAGCATTGGCAGCCCCACAAGTAGGATGGGAGAAGAGACTTTTCGTTTGTGCTGACTTAGAATTGTAATAGAGGAAAAAAGCAAAATATATTTAGAAAGTTGATGTTTACTTGAATCCAGAGATAATTAAAAAATCCAATGATTTAGTTGTTAGCAAAGAAAATTGTCTCAGTATTCCACCTAATGTATATATAGACATATACCTTGTTAGTAAATTGCTTGTGTCATGAGATCAAATAAGATAACTATGAAGTATTATAATTTATTGGGAATTGAGATGGTCGTGGAGGCAGAAGGATTGCAAGCCTGCATCTATCAGCATGAGGTTGATCATTTAGATGGAATGAATGCTTTAGAAAAAGCTACTTCCATTATAGATAGCTAATAGTGTTGATAACTCATATTATATTTGTGAATAATTATAAAAATATATAAATGAAAGACTTAGTAAATCAAAATCGTTCACATTTGACTGCTGAAGAATCCTTAAAAAAACTATATGAATATTCATAGTAAAATTTCAATTTATATATAGCATTTAAGATGCAAAATAAAGATCCTATCACTTGAGATTGTAAAGAGCTCATGCATTTACTTTTGGTACCGTTGCATCAATAGCAGTATTTTATGTTGGATATGTATGTATTATAAAAATAAAAAAAGAATTTGATTGAAGGAGTCTGGGCTAAATTATCAACTACAAATTAAATCACCAATTTGTTTAGAATTGCCTAAAACCCAGTTAGATCAGTCTACAGACCTGAAATCTATTTGCGAGATCAAAATGCAGATCAAATTATAGCTTAAAAAACTGTAGAATAGAATAATCCATTAAAATTATGGCATTGAGAAATAAAATCATATATACAATCAATAAAATATATTTATTAATGTCCACATAATATCGAATACCCTCTAATGATAATTATATTCGCGATCTGGAAAATCTTTCCTAAAGGTATTTCAAATTACTTATCTTAAGAGAACGGCATGGATTATTCTCATAGCCTCCTCCTCTTTCAGTTGGTGATTAGTACAACGATTCTCATAAAAGTATTAAGAAAATACTAAGTAGGGATGGGAAAGAAAAAGGGAGTTCTAATTAATTAAAAAATACAAAATCATCATGAACCTTCATTATTTATGAACCCAGGTTATATTTCAGTAGGTGATCCTTACAAAGATCCCTTTAAGGCAAAATAAATTTATCAAAAAGAAAGAGAAATGGCAGTAACAAATCCTCATAGCTTTAAACCCACTGATAAATCTAAATCTATGTACCTCTATAGGTATCATATTTATTTAGAAAACACTCCGAATTTTAGCATTTGAAAGAATACGAAGATAAAAGGTACAATACTAGAAAAGCATCAGGAGAGGTTATCACTTAAGCTAGAAATTTTTAAACAAATCCAGCAAAAAAAGGAGTGGGAAGAACAACAATAAATACCTTGTTTGGAAATTATGAATATATCCCTGACCCATACGATAGATAAGAAGAATTAGATAGGTCAGAGAGACTTAAATATAAGAGCAAATTCTTACCAGGAACCATCAGATTTGTTTCAACTAGTCATGGAAATCGCCCTTTTACATCTGATGGAGAACTGTTAGATGGAGCAGGATATGTATTTAATTAATTCATTATATCAAGAATCAAGAAAAAGTTTAGCGTCCAAGATATACAGGGGTTTCTTTTAGGCCACCTAATAAAAATAAATCTGGATTTTAAGGAACTTTTGAAATCTTTTAATATGTTGAAGAAGGAGCTCCAATACCAAAAACAAAATAAAATACTTTCTCAAAATTATTAAAAACTGATACTTTTGAAAGACCATGGAGGCCTAATTCAAATGGGACATTTGCTAGACCATGTCCAAGTGTAACTGAAAAATTAAGAAATAAAAGTGGAGGTACTACGAGGATTTGAAACATTTTATTTATTTATTTTATCATATATTTTCAGAATGAGTCCTTTGTGTGATCAATTTTCGTATTCTAGATTTCAGATCGCTATTTTCATAGTGTTCCTTATTAGCTTTATCGAGAATTTCTTGAAGCGTCAATTTTTGGCCTTTAGTTTTTTCATAATGTAATTAAACTGGTAATTCTTGCTTTTCCATTTTAATCCTAATTCTCTACTTTGACAATTAAGAAAGTAAGAATTTATCTTTAGAGAAATTTTATATTTCTATGAACCTATTAATTTATTTATTCGACCATAAATCAGCAATATTCATAACACCTAATGAATGAGTATTTGATATTTATCTTTGAAACTCTTTTATATAAAGATTTTCCTATCTTTCATCTGCTTTAAAACCGAATAGAAGATACGTAAATTAGTTTTCTTTCAATGAATTAGTTAATCTTTTTAATCTAAATTTTCTGTCAATGCCTACTTAATTTAATTAAACTTTTCTCTATTAAGGACTACTCAAATTAGAACGACTCATTAAAATAATTTTATTATTACTGATTTATTTATTCAGAAATAATATTAACTATTAAAATCTTTCAACTTATGAAAGTGNCTTTAAGGCAAAATAAATTTATCAAAAAGAAAGAGAAATGGCAGTAACAAATCCTCATAGCTTTAAACCCACTGATAAATCTAAATCTATGTACCTCTATAGGTATCATATTTATTTAGAAAACACTCCGAATTTTAGCATTTGAAAGAATACGAAGATAAAAGGTACAATACTAGAAAAGCATCAGGAGAGGTTATCACTTAAGCTAGAAATTTTTAAACAAATCCAGCAAAAAAAGGAGTGGGAAGAACAACAATAAATACCTTGTTTGGAAATTATGAATATATCCCTGACCCATACGATAGATAAGAAGAATTAGATAGGTCAGAGAGACTTAAATATAAGAGCAAATTCTTACCAGGAACCATCAGATTTGTTTCAACTAGTCATGGAAATCGCCCTTTTACATCTGATGGAGAACTGTTAGATGGAGCAGGATATGTATTTAATTAATTCATTATATCAAGAATCAAGAAAAAGTTTAGCGTCCAAGATATACAGGGGTTTCTTTTAGGCCACCTAATAAAAATAAATCTGGATTTTAAGGAACTTTTGAAATCTTTTAATATGTTGAAGAAGGAGCTCCAATACCAAAAACAAAATAAAATACTTTCTCAAAATTATTAAAAACTGATACTTTTGAAAGACCATGGAGGCCTAATTCAAATGGGACATTTGCTAGACCATGTCCAAGTGTAACTGAAAAATTAAGAAATAAAAGTGGAGGTACTACGAGGATTTGAAACATTTTATTTATTTATTTTATCATATATTTTCAGAATGAGTCCTTTGTGTGATCAATTTTCGTATTCTAGATTTCAGATCGCTATTTTCATAGTGTTCCTTATTAGCTTTATCGAGAATTTCTTGAAGCGTCAATTTTTGGCCTTTAGTTTTTTCATAATGTAATTAAACTGGTAATTCTTGCTTTTCCATTTTAATCCTAATTCTCTACTTTGACAATTAAGAAAGTAAGAATTTATCTTTAGAGAAATTTTATATTTCTATGAACCTATTAATTTATTTATTCGACCATAAATCAGCAATATTCATAACACCTAATGAATGAGTATTTGATATTTATCTTTGAAACTCTTTTATATAAAGATTTTCCTATCTTTCATCTGCTTTAAAACCGAATAGAAGATACGTAAATTAGTTTTCTTTCAATGAATTAGTTAATCTTTTTAATCTAAATTTTCTGTCAATGCCTACTTAATTTAATTAAACTTTTCTCTATTAAGGACTACTCAAATTAGAACGACTCATTAAAATAATTTTATTATTACTGATTTATTTATTCAGAAATAATATTAACTATTAAAATCTTTCAACTTATGAAAGTGTAGAGATATTCTTATTAAAACTGACTCTATCAACTCATTATAAATATGAATTGCAATTAAAATAGTATAACTATGACCATACAAATTGATAAACAATACTTTCATATATACATTTAGATGAACTATGTTAATCATTAATTAATAAAGTTATGTTATATGATCACTAGTCTTTGAATTATTAGTAGAAGGGACTTAAACTTTAGTAACTATCAAGACTTTCTTAGCTCCTTATGGCCAGAGGTGAATAGGCTAAATTTTTGAGATATTATGGATATATCATACCTTATTCATTATATACTGGACTAAAGGTGCCCAACTGAGTGGGTACTTTTAAGTTCCATGTCATTTGATTCTGCATCATTTTTAATAGCGGAGACAATGATTCCACTGGTTAATATTCTTGTTTTGGTTTACACTAAATCTAGTTTAGCATTTCTATGGAGTCCTAGTTATTGATTCCTTATTATTGGATTATGAAGCTAAGTAAATAACTTATTCTATCAATTTTAACATCAAGTGTTTTTTTGGAATTGCTTAGTTCTTGCCAAATTTGTTTATGCTGATCCATAATTTATTCATTTTGTGAGATTATTTCTTAAAATTGGGTTTCAAATTTAGTTTATCTTTATTTTAAAAATAATAATTCTGAATCCATTTATTTTTAAAAATCATATTACTTTACAGCTGACTTCAATTCTTTCTTGACTTTGCATTTGGTTTTAATCGGATTACGTTTGATTAAGGACAATTGTTTCCTACATCATCAATTATGTCTTACTTATTGCCTCGTTTGAAGAAGGGATGACTAAATATCTCATAATTTTCTGAGTTTCTGGCTTTGATAAATTCATACATGTTGAGTTACCTTAGAAAGGATTAATAATGATTGTGTTTGAAGTATTGCAATAGGATTTCATTCTCCATCAATTTAGGTTATAATACAATAAAATACTCTCCATCGTCGCTCCATTTGATAATTTAGTTAAATTACACCTAATTCTTATATCAATGCATAGAGTCTACCTATTCGTCCAAAATATCGTAGAGCTTAATAATAAAAGCAGGAGTAGAAAATGGGCCAGATTATGTTGTCATAAAATATATATATTAATTATTTTTTTTTAACACATGAAAATTAGAATTACTTTATTTTTTTCAGAGTAGTATTTATAAAATTTAATTAAATTTCAGAGGTAAACAAATTAAAGATTGGAGTTAGTGAATAATTAAAATTTAGAATAATAATTTCATCAATTCAAAGTATTTAAAAATTGAATTCTAAATTCTTCGGAGTGAACTAATTATCTAAGTTCCTTAAATCTAAATATTGAAGTGAATTAATACTTTAAGGACTTTCTCTATAGGCAGTAGTAGAATTTTGTGGCATCTAACCCGAAAAGATCTTACGTGGTGTTGATAATGGATTCGTAACCTTAGAAGGTGATGCAATATTTGGGTGCTTACCCTATAAATTTTGAAGGGTATTGCATCTTAAAATTGTTGAAGGAATGGCAGATTTGTGAGATAACAAACAAGGATATTGACTTCTCAAAAGAGACTATTCCTAAGTAGATTTCATTTCATCATTTTACGACTACGCCCAAGTTGGAATTCTTTGAGTCAATATATTTTGATCTGCATTTTTTTCTAGATTATTCAAAGATATTGGTTCTTTGAATCTATTTGTAACCATATTTTAGATTTAAATAAAGTCTGGTCGCTTATCAGGATTTTCATCTATCATTTTTGCAACCAATTATAATAATTATAAAGTGAATTTTCCATATAAATTTTTTATTTATGAAATAAAATTTAATTAATTTGCTAGAGTATTATGCATAAATTACTTCTTTTGGTTAGGAGTTCTATTACTAGAATTCCTAAATCATGCACATCATCTTTTATCGAGTTTCTATTAGGGTGTTGCCCTATCTTATCTAATAGTTTGATATGTAGATTATCAGTTATGAATATTGATTATGAATTGATGTTCCCATGATATCTATTCCTTCTTTACAAAAATACCATAACATCCACTATTTGTTCAATAATCTATGAAAATCGTATATATTTGTTACCTTCCAAATTTGGACCTCAGTCATGGTGGTTGATTAAATATGTTCCTTTAATGTCTTTTAGTAGTAAGCAAAAAAGAATTGTTAAGATTAGACTTTGCCAATATTTAAAGCCTTTGAACTTGTACAGGCAAAATACTCAATCAAATTAGGATGTTGGAGTGAACTGCGAAAATTGTGGATGTCAATAATTGATGAGTCTTTTTCAAATATGTGTACGTGCTAAAAAGTAGCTCAATATTTTACAAATGAAAATAGCGGAGGTAAATTAGTTTCCTTGATTTTCCACAGTTAAATTTAACCTAAGCCTGGGTGTTCTAGCATTCCTTAATCTATAATCTATTCATTTAAATCTTAGGCGTAGTTTAATGGTGCATGGTAATTTATCAGAGTTTAGAGATTTCCCATTTTTTAATAAAATTATAACAAATAAAATTTATTTACATCGATAAATAAATCACTTTCTTTTTTTATTAGCATTCTATTCAACACTAAATAATGGAACATACTAAAATAAATATAATATTTACTTTTGTTATTGCATAAATAACAACTAACCATGCACCCACTCCTAAGATGAGATACAAATCAATAAAGGCTGAATAAAACTTAATAATTTATGCTTTTAACTGAGATGATGTAAAGAATTTCCTATCCTTCACTACATACTGCATTTTAGTTGTATGTTTAAATAATTATCTGAGTAACTATTGTATTATATAACAAATTTACAGAGTTGAAATCAATAATGAATTTTGAGTCCTTTTACAGATTGGCTGGATGTCTATTAGTTGTATTAATAAATTAACTCAATGCCTCATCAAATAATTAGTCCTAATGTTATTGTTCATAAGGTTTGCCGTCAATCAATTAACTAACTAAATTGATTATTTGTAATTAATTGTCTTGTACTTTTGTCGAATTTTATTTAGTCAATATTTATAGTTATTTTTGAGTATATATTCTGATGGTATCTATTTCTTTATTTTAAATATTTGTAGTTTCAGCTTCCTCAAATGTTGCATCGCTTTCAGTCAATGATGCTTAAACTTAATTTAAAAGTTAAGGGCTGACTTCAACGTGTAGTTTTTCATTTTATCTAATTTAGTCTAAGATTATTATGGTATCTATAGTAGATAGGATTCTTTGATATTCCTATTTCTTATAGAATTACTTTAGGCCATATTCACCTAAGGATGAGGAAGTTGAAACATAAAAGATTATATTTCGACTAATTTAATGACAATGATATGTACTTTAATCTTTGTTAATACTTAAATTCTCTAGCTATCTTAAAGAAGATGGATGATTGAATTCCAAACCTATCGATTGGTATTGTTATTTCAGCCGATGGTAAATTTTCATCTATTCCTAACACAATTAATGTAGATGGATTGTTTTACTTAAAGTTAGATATGCTTTCTAATAAATTCTAATATTTTAGATATTTAATTTACATAAGAGTCCTCTAAAGTTAACACTTATTTTTGATCCACACTAGTGACCTACAATTAATATTCTTATTCTGTTTAACTTTGAATTTCCTTATAGTGATTATTAATATTCTCAGATTCATAAGTAAAATAAATGGGGATTGTTGCTCCCTTAGGACCTACATTCAATAATTTAAATACCCAAATTATTTGTGATTAGATCCCAAATTTAGGATTCGTTATCTTGAGACAATTGATCCAAAATTATCAAAACACCATTTGGTTTGTTTGTGAGTAATTCAGAAATTGAATTAGGATTTATTTCTGAAAATTTAATTAATGCCACTTTTCTTGTTGATAATTCTGACCAATGAGTAGTGAGCAATTAGAAAGAAGCTATTTTGCTTCCACTCCAAAATTGATCTTATTCAATGCCAACCATTCTATATACATCCAATTCAAATGCATTTATTACACTTAATGTAATTAGCAAGATAGCCAATAAATTATTCATTAATTTATTTATTTATACTCAAATGTTAAATACTTAAGTAATTTATTCAAAAAATATTCAAAAGTAATAACAAAATTTTAACAAAGAATAAGGTATTCATTTCTTAATTATTTATTTTAAGAAATAAATGTAATACTCTTTTTATATATCTAAGAATATTATAATTATTGATATCATGAGATTTATAAAATAAAAGCAAAATTGATTTATGGAATCATTTCCGATTCCAAGGCGACTTACTTCTTTGTTATTTGTTTTTTTCCACTATCATCCTTGATTTTGGGTTAATACAAGGACTATGATTGTAATTTTCCTTTTAATTAGGTAAACTGTCTCTTTTAGGCATCGATAGTCGATCCACTTTATCAACTTAATTTAGCCCACTTTTTTTCATTTTTTCTTCTGCAATCTGCAAAGATTTTAGATTTAATACAGGTTTAAATGAGTGTTCATTTTGAATGTTTCTTTCCTCAAGGAGGTTTTATTTTTTTTATTCTTTATACTAAACCCAATTTTAGGAATCCTTTATAAACTAAGAATGAGATCTTGTAGGAATGATTATATTTCTTTGAATTTAATCCTCCTCTTGAGCTACTAATAGTTTTTAAAATTCCTCTTTCATCCTTTTCTCTTACCATACTTCCTCCTATCGTTGTAAGAATGGCTTTAGCTACAAATTATTTAAAAGCTTCTGTGACTGTTTATTGACATATGATTTCTATTTAGGGGTCAGGGAACTATCTTTTTCTTGTTATAATTATTTGATTTTATTCTTCTTTTTTTCATCTTGTTAATATAGTCTATCAACCACATCTAGTTGAGGTGATTATTTGACTTCTTTTATGGTTTTTTGAATATTTCCTTCAAGCAGTATGGCTGGCTTTTCAGGATTGTACATGGCTTGTTATTTTGGATATGAAAGGATAAGTGCACTCATTAAATTACGTTAAATTATATTTATAAAAAAATAGTATATAAGCAAATAATATTGTTCGATTAAATTTATTTGAAAATCTTATTTTAAAAATGGGTTGTGGTTAATCATCTGCTTCATTTTTTGAGTCCAGAGGCCTGATTTACATATATTATGGTACTACATCTGGTAACTCGAGCCGATTGGCCTTCTAATTTGCTAGTCAAACAAGAAAATTGAACTTTCTCCCTAAGGGTAAGGATGTTATCTAAAATTTAGTAATTAATCTAAGTGAATTTGAACCTGACTAAATAAGCTAATAGAAGTTGGCGGTGTTTTTTGTCTCGACATATGGAGTCGGATCCTCTTCCTCTGATGCTTAAAAATTCAATTCTTGGATTTTTTCTAATGAGAGAAAGAATGATGAATTCAAATCTATGTCATATATTGTATTTGCCCTTGGAAACACAAATCATGAGAATTACTGCTAATTTGGAATTAGACTAGATAAAAGATTAGAGGAACTAGGAGCAAAAAGGCTATTTGCTTTAGGGAAGGGTAATGCAGCTGAAAATACAACTGAGAATGATTATCAAAATTGGATAAACACAGGAGTTGAATAAACACTGGTTTAAGCATATCCAGCATAGACATGTGATCCCAAAAAGTTCGAATAATCAATTTAAAAGATCAAATATACAAATGAACCTGAAAATGAAAATCTTGAAAATTTAGATTATTAGGCATAAAAGTATAAATCTAGTATTACCTTTACTATCAATGAAATAAAAGAACTAAAAAAGAAACCAACTCTGGGAAACTCTACTTTATTTATTGATCTTATTGCTGATAATATCAATTATAAAACAGCTAGCAATATTGCCATCTATCCTTAGAACTCAGAGTAATATTTTTATATTATTTTTAGTCAAGATATCAATGAATTATGCCATTAACTTAGATTTGATAAAAACATGAAGTTTGAAGTCATCACAACATCAAAGCATCCATTTCCAAATCCGATATCAATCTAAAATTATTTAAGAAAGTATTGAAACATTCATAAACTTAGATATTGTGATTTTACTGGATTGATAACTAAAAAGCAATTAATGGAATTATCCAATTTAGCAATCAATATTTAAAGCAAAGAAGAGTTATTGAAAGCTTCATCCTTTGAAGGAAGAGAATTTTATGAAGAAAATTTTCAAAAAAAGAGAGAAAGCTTGCTTACTGTTATAAAAAAATACAACATACGCAATTTATCTATCGAATAATTATTAGAAATCTGTCCTCTAATTACTCCTAGATTTTTCACTATAGCATCAAGCAATATGAAATATCCAAAAAATGTTCATATTTTGGCAAGTTAACTTGTTTTGCATGAAAAAAGACTTGGACTTTGCAGTTAATACTTCTCAAGCTTAAAAAAAGGATCTATTGTTAAAGGGTATCTTTCAGAGTCAAAGTTCATCTTCCCAAAAAACCCTAAGGTTCCTGTGTTATTAATAGGACCGGGAGCAGGATTGGCACCGATGAGAGCCTTGATCTAAGAAAGAGATTATTATTTAGAATAAAATAACTTAGATAGGTCTCCTTTCTAAGGGAATATGGAGTTATTATTTGGCTGTAGAACTGAAGATGAATACTTTTTTGAGGAGGAACTTAAAAACTATGAGAAGAATGGTACTTTGAGTAATTTGAAAGTGGCTTTTTCAAGAAAGGAAGTAAAATAATATGTGACAGATATTATGGATTTAAATTAAATACATTCCCATTTGACTATGGAAGGAATGATCTATATTTGTGGTTCTTCATAAATGGGTAGAGACATTACAAATAGAATTCAGGATATGTACAAGTAAATAGAAAATATTGCACCTTATTTGGCATTTAAAAAGATAAGCGAGTTAGAACAAAAATAATAGCTAATAACAGAATTATGGGGATGATATTGAATATTCATTATATCTTTTTAGAGCAAAATGTTTTTACAGGATTATATATAGGACCAGGTGATTAGGAATCTTCTTTCTTTAATTTTTCATCTATCCAACTTATTTTAGCAGCTCTTCCAATTGCGGCATTTGGGGATGACTCTCTAATTACTAAATTTCTTATTATTCTTACATTTCTCACTTTGATCTACCTAATATTTCCCAACCCCTGGGGAACTTGTTGTCAAACTATTATCTAATTGTCGTTAGGCTTTTGTAAAGGTAGTAGGAGAGCCAATTGACTAAAATGACATTTCACTAAATGGTATCATCTTAGAAGACATTTTACTAGGGGATCTGCTGAAAATTGATTGATTTGATGCAAACTTTTAAAATTCTGAAACAGATTGTTTAGTCATATCCTGTATCTTCTTAGATGATTGTAATAATTCAATATTGGATGTTTACAATTATTATTCATAATTAGAAAAATCGAGTTCATTAATGAGTCTATTCCAAATTTAATTTATTGTGGTTGAAACAATCAAGTCAAAATTTTATTTGAATATTGTTAGATTTCTATTTAACTACACATTGAATTCTATTTTCTGGCCCTATTTCTCCATTACATTTATAACTTCTTTTAATCCTTAAATTATCAAATGATATTACTTTATTAAGCAAAATTAATTTCAGCAGTAAAGGTATGTTCAAATACTTTCACAATTTAATTCAAATATCCTTTTTTTTAGACTGTATCGTATATATGAGAAATATCAGCATATCTTTAAACATCCTATTGAATATTTTAAAATAATTTCATTTATTTAATATAAAATAATACTTCAACTATTTACATAGCAGATTCAATTCATATTTAATTTATTCCACTTTTTGAGAATTAAAAATAAACAAAATTATAACTATATTTATTTAATCACAACTCTACCTATCTATATTAATAATTTTTTAAATCAAAAATAAGTAGATAAGAATAAGCCAGAATAATAATATTTTGACATATTTGTTTTGGTCAAAAAATGGAATAAGAAAATGATCAGAAATCTTTGTCCCAATTAGGATCTTTGGCTAATTCCTTTCTGTACTTTTGTTTTTGCATTGATTGTTCTTATTTGATTTCTTGAACAACTGGCTTTCCTTATTAGAATTTCTTCTCAATATCATGCTCTGAGATCATTCTATCTTTAGGAGGAACATACTAAATAAAGGTTAAAATAAGATTAATACAGGAACTTTTTATAATTCTCTGCTGAACAATTTATCAAAATCAAAATCATCAAACCATGGATTAGCTTTTAAAGCAGAAAACGATGATCCTAATCTAGTTTCTGGTTGTTTGCTGAGTAATTATTCCATGAATTTCTTAGCCTATCTATCTCTAATGAAAGTAGGGAATTTTAATTAAGTATTCATTATCTCTTCATAAATTTCATAAGGATCCTAGGCTTAAAATAAATAGATACATCTTATTCTTCTGCATAAGGAACTCCTCCGCACATAAATTCATACATACATATGCCCATGCTCCATAAATCCACATTAAAGGAGTATCCCTTGCCTAGAATAATCTCTGGTGCCATGTAATGAGGAGTTCCAATAATTGTGTAAGTTCTGTAAGCTCTTGATTTAATTAATGGTTTCGCAGTTCCCAAATCAATTAGGTACATATAGCCAGCATCATTGACCATGATATTTTCAGGTTTTAAATCTCTATATACTATTGATTTGGAATGCAGATATTCTAATGCTAATATCATGGTAGCAACATAGAATTAAGTATCGTATTTTGTTAATAAACCCATGTCTCTAATTACCTTAGAAAATAGATCTAAATGTTACATCAAACAATTCCATTCCTCTGATATATTCTACTAAAAAGTAAATAGAAATGTCATCCTTGAATGTTCTTACGAAGCCCATAATAAATGGAAAATTACATTATTCCAAAACAGTCTTTTCTTGCAGTATATGTTTTTCTAAATTTTACTCAATTATTGAAGCTTTGCTAACAGATTTAAGAGCAAACACTTTATTAATTGATTTATGCTTAACCAAATAGACCATACCGAATTATCCTTCACCTAATTTTTTAATATAAATTAAATCTTCAACTGAGATGTGAGAAGCATCTGCCCTTTCTCCTAATTATTTAATTTTTTTTTCATGGGAATTTTCATTTTTCTTTAATGCAGTTTCCAAATCACCTCCAAATATCTTAAAGAGTGATTGATACGAGATCGTAGCTAATACACCATCCCTAACCATAGCATATTCAGATTCAATTATTTATCCATATTTTTCTTTCATTAAAAATTAATCTCCAAAGCATAATCCTTTGGGAACTGAATCTTATTTAGCATTAGTCATCACTCCCTCTAACACAACAATCAATTTATCACAAGCCTTGCCTGCTTCTAAAATAACCTAGCCTTTCTTATAATTATCTATCTTAGCTCTCTAAGCTATTTTTTCAAGTTATATTTTGGATAATTATTTCAAGACTTCACTTTTCTCGAAACTCCATCTCATAATATTACTAAAAATGATTATTTGAACTTTGTCTCCCAAAATCTTTGTTAGATTTTCTCTACCCAATGCGACACATTTAACTTCTGATTCTGCAACACATGTAGCTCCTCTTTTAGATTTCTCATATAAGGCTTATTCTCTAATAATAAATCTTCAATCTATACCCAAAACTATCTTTGGCACCCATTTTTCTAATTTCTTTGGTTCCTTTCAAAACTGAAACTTCACCGCTCTTTATCACGTAAAAAGAATCAGCTTGATCTCCTTCATTTACAATTGCTTAGCCTGGAGCAAATTTTGTTGTTATTAAGGCGTGTGCAATGGAATCTTTTTGATCTGATGTCATAAATGAAAAAAATGGAACCTATTTATATGAAGATTTTGTACTTCATCTATGAATTTTCTATTTTCATCATATTCTTTCAACATCAACTCCTCAATTGTTTTCTTGAATGTGCCACGATCTAGAGACCAAAATCCACAATCTGTCAAAGTTCTGATAGAAGCAGATCGAGTGGCATTGTAAAGAAGTGCAATTTCACCGAAATAACTGCCTTCTCCCAATGTACGAATTTATTTATCATTTATTATAATTTCTACAGATCCTCTTTCAATTACAAAATAGGAGCTTGCCTATTTTAAGAGATCAATTCCATACTTGATCTCCTTGTTTAAAAATAAATTAATTAGCTTTTAAAGTACAATAAAACATTTGCTCTATTAATTAAGCTATTTAATCTTCAGGCAGACTAAAAAACACAAAATGACCTTTAAAGCTTTTTCTAATCAAGTCAATGTCAGATTCTACAATATTGGTGATTTGTACATTGCATTTCCCTATCAATTCTGGTTACATTCTCATGGATCTAATGATTCACATCATCTCCGCCTCTGTATTTTTTTTACTATTTTTTTTAAGCCCTCACAACATCCTCGGGAGGTGGCTAAGCCGAGGTAAGTTAAGAATCACTAAATAATAACATTCTGTACATCTTTAATTATTCCTCATTGTCTATAGTTTGCTTGTGTTTTGTCTCAGGCTGGACCAATAACTATGAATTGAATATTCATTCTGATACTTTTGGAATTTTTTTGCCAATAAGATCTTCTATTTCTGATGTTGAGGCTGATTTAAGCGAAGCACTTCTCTGTTTTTATTCTGGTTCTGCCGCTTATTGAGAAGAATTTGAAGAACCACAACCCATATTTTATATTAATTTAAATATAATTATATTCAGTATTTCAATGTCAATATTAATAATCAACTTTAAGTTATAGTTAATTGATCTTGCATCTGTAACTCAGAATTAATAATGTTGATCACTAATTGTTGATTTGCAGGATTTATTAATTATCGGTTTTACTTTTTGATTATAAGTTTTATAATATTCAATATTAACATTTTTATGAAAAAAATTAATACACAACTTTTATGCTCTTACTAACATTAAAACTAATGCTTTTATTTCAGATAGAAACCATAAAACAGGATTCAATAAGTAATAGGATTTCTCAAAAATTCTTATATTAATATAATTAAGTCATTATACTAGCTATTGCTTCTCTTGTTATAATTCAATAATCTATTTTTTAAAGCAATGTCTTTGGACTTTCAAATTCTAATCCATCTGATAAGTTAAATTTAGAAATTGGTTGAATTCAATTTTATCATTCTTTTTGACTTCTTACTCATCAAAAAGTACCCCTTATAATTGATTTACCAAAATTCTTTTATAGTTAGTAATTTCTAATTAAAATTTCTCATAATAATGATCTAAACTATTATCATTAAATTTTTCATTTAAATAATATGTAAAATATAAAACACTAAAAAGTTAAATAAATTAGTACATTTTCTCAAACTACTTAAATTTTATTAAATTACTCAAACTCCTTTAAAGTCGATGACTTTAATAATCCTAATTCTATTTATTGAGTTATTATTAGTAACTCTCTAATTAGAAGATATCCTTAGTGATAGCAGATTCATTTTGTCTCATTTAGTTCAATATTTAAGATGGGTTTTTATTATAAGATGCAAAGGAACAATTAACATAGTCTTATCCATGTTCTTTATTCCAAGGCTATGAACACTTATTACAAAAGTGATTTCCACAAACACATGACATCTAAATGCAGCCTTGAATTCTCTGTATACTCCTGCTGCAAAAAGGACACACAGAAATATCCAATGCTGTCCAATTTTAACTTGATTCCTTGTATTATGTTATTTCCTTCAAAGTTTCACAAGTAATTGGATAATGAGTCTCTACTTTACACTTAGAACAAAACTTTAGGCCGCAATGGCATTTGATCTTTAATGTAAGACCCTATAATTTATAAATATTTGAACAATTAAATCCTTTAAAATAATAATTCTACTTTACCTGGACACCAAGTATAATTGCTATCATTGTACAACATTCTCTTAACCAATATTTCCTTATATAATTAATTAAGTTCAAGAAATTAATGAGGCAATCTTTCTAAGCATTAATATTCTAAACATTATACTATAGGTATAGTATCGGATAATTGAATCTCTATCATTTAATGCCAGCAATCCTTGCAAAAAATATGTTAACATCTTAAGCTATAACATTCCATATTTTCTTAAGAGCATAATGAACACAACTCTTTTTTATGATATTTTAAAGAGGACTCCCTGTAAATTCCAATTAATCTCAAATCTTCCTTGTAATCACTATTAGTTTTTAGAAGATTAAAGCATCTTTGAACATCATCTTCTTTAAAATTAAAATATAGAAATATCTTGGAATAATTAAGTTATTGTACATTCATCACGATTTATATACTTTCTTTAGTGCTATTTTTTTATTTCTCAATCTGTTATTGAAGCTCTTAATATAGATCAGGTTACATCAATTATATAATCTATTCTTATCTTCCTTACATATACTAAAAAGATTATTTTAAACAACATTTCTCATAAACCTCAAATGATTGACCATATGAATTCTCTTCATTTCTTTCCTAGTTTGAACATTACATTTCACGAGCCCTTTTTATACAAATTTAACCCATTTTTATATAAATAATTGTAATTCTCAATTTGATTTAAATATATTCAGATTTGCTATATTATCTTATTAAAAATGATTGTTATTTAAATCAAAAACTTCATTTTAGCTCCAAAAATTAAGAGATATTAATCAAATCAAGATTACGCTTAATTTTGCAATGATTTAATAAATACAATTTATGTAATAAATGTCAAATTTACAATAGGAAAGCAAAATTCTGTAAATACTAATATTGGTATTAAGAATCAAACTAATGGATTCTTTATATAAATATTAACACAATATCTATTCACTTAATCTGTGTATTAACACAATAAATTTGAATGATATTTATTATTCTAAACAAAGGTCTCTAATTAAATCATTTATAGAAAGTAAATATTTGGTTCACTTCTTTCTTCTACTAAAAATAAACTTAATTAGTATTTTTTGGATCGAAATTAAATGATATAATAAATTGGATGTTAAATATGAGAAGGGATTTAAATATAAAAGGAATATGAATTTTAATAAAATTTTTGATGATTTTATATCAGATGATGGACTTTTTGAAGTCTATTGATATGTAGGACTAGGATTAGGCAGAGTTGAATATCATGGTAACAAATTAAGCTGCAGAATTGGGACATTGAGTCTTTGCACAACCCAAGAGTTTTCCTGCTGCAAAACTCTTATTCAAACATGTCTCAAATGATTCATAGGAATTATCTTCAGCAATATGTGACTTTAAATCCTTTAAACAAGAGGTTAGTTGTTTAGCACTATATTAATGATATTCCAATCTTAATACCATTCAGTTGACTCCATACATTCCATAGCAGTACCCTTACACATAGCAGGATTACATTATCTTATGTTGAGACAGTTAGATAGAGTAATCATGAAAGTTATCATAACTAGGCTTTTCATCCTTTTTATTAAAACGAATATATATTATTGATATTAAATAATACTTCAATTTACATATCTTGAAGTCTCATATTTTTACATCTTCAATAATCCACTGCCTTCTAATTGCTATGAGTTTTAATCGAATTTGTATGGAATCTATGATTAATATTGATAGGATCTTTAAGAACCAATGTCCCCCTATAAAGAGTTTACTCTATCAATGGGGGAAACTAGATTCTAGTATTATTCATTATTAACATTATTCTTGATTTAAGTTGAATATTTATAATTGACCTGATATTCTTTATTTGTCTCTTTATGGGAATTTAAGAAATAATTTTTTGATTATTCTAAATTATCTTGGTCTTCAAGTAGAGTCAATTGTTCAACAATGACACGATTAGAACTCCTACTCAACAATCCCTTATTTATTTCAGTATCATTCTAACGTAATAACAAGGAACTATTTTAATCTCTTAGATTCTGCACTTCAGCAGCCATTAATACAAGCAAGGAAAGTAATTCCTCTTCTCTTTTTGGTTGAAGTGTGGTGGAATCATATAACTTACCATTTGGTTAACTTGTAAATCTTGTTTGAAGAGTTGAGATTGATTAATATGAGGATGTTTATTATTGTCTTAATCGACTTAATTCCATTGTCAACATTACGATTTTATTTTCATAATACTCCTTTAGCTTTTCGATTTCATTATCCATTTTCATTTGAGACTATAAGATAAGTTATTATTATAGTTGCTAAGTTATTTATTCGTTTTTTTATTTATAAGCGTTCACTTGATTTTAAAGAGATTCAATCTAGCCATATTATTTATCAATAATAATCCCCAATCTTTCATTTTCAGTTGAAAGTAATAAGTAGTGCATCAGCATATTGGATGGTTAAATGCTTGCAAATAACTTGTTTTCTTAGTTATTCTTACTATTAGATTTTCTTTTCTTTGGGTCTAGATCATCATCAGTTAATCCAAATTCATTCTTGATCCATTATATCTTGTCATTAGCTTCCTTTAATTTATTACTAAAATCTTTTAACTCTTGGTTTTTCTTGATTAAATCAGTCTATAAATCTTTTAGTTTATTATCCTTATCCTAAATTTACCTTAATAGATCATTTAGTCTATTCCTAAGATCTTCATTTTCATTCTATAATTTATCATTGTCCTCATGTAATTAATCAACTTCCTAATTTAATTTATCATTATCATCTTTTAGTTATTCAGCAACATCCTTTTAACCATCAGCAGAATCCAACTCTTCTAAACAATTCTATAAATCTTTTTATAATTTCATTTTGTCTTATTCTGCCTACCTGTATTTGTATTGAATTTCATTTAATAATCTGGCTTAATCTTACAATTATTTCTATAAATCTGAAATTTATTTTTAAGCATCATTTAATTACATTTTTAAACTTACAATTTCTTAATCCTTTTTATTTGTTAAATCTCTTAATTAATTTAATTCATTTTTTATTCCTTCTAAATCCTTTAATTTATTTTTAAGATCATTTAATTATTAATTTAATTATCCATTAGTAAATTATAAATCCTAACAATTTTTCTATTTAATGTATTGTAAATATAAATACCTATAAATCATCCAGCATTCCAAGATCATTCTTTTATTTATCATTCTCTCTTTATTACCTATCTAATTCCTTCTTCAATTCATCTGCATCTTTAGCTTTTTTCCTTAATTTTTCTAATTCCTTTGGAATTCATTAATAATTTATATACTTTCAACAAATCTTCTGGACTCCCTCCAAATTGTTTTTATAATTTCTCAAGGTCCTTTAGCTTTTTAGCAAGAATATCTGGATTCATGCCTCCTAATTTATTTTACAAGTCATCGTATAATTTAGCTTTTCTTCTCAATTCATCAAGCATTCTTTAAAGTTCATCTGGATTCTTCCCATCAAATTATCTATCATAATCATTAAGTTTTCGCTTCAATTGGTTTAATTGAGCCTTCAAATCATCTAAAATTGAAAATTTCAACATTACCTATATCTTCATCTCCTATTTTTTTTTATAATTATAGTAGCTGTTTTTTTTAATTTTCCAATTCCTTTCTCCAATTTGGATCATAATCCCTAAATTAGATCTCATATTTTGATAAGGAGACTTCGAGGTCCTATATAAGTTTTCTCAATCTCTCATTGTCAGTCACGATCAACTAATTGTCTCTAAGCTTAATCTAATTCATACTGTTGCAATCGTTAAAGTTTCTCCATTAAGTCTCTTATTTACATCTCATAATTAATTCTATCGAGTCCACTGTCATGGTGCTATTTAATTTGGATTTTTAATTCTGTGTTCTCTGCAACCAAGCGCTATATTTCCACAGCCATTAAAAAACAAGTTACATCCAGTTTTCCACTCAAATCTCGAGAAATTGCATTATCCCTTCTATTTAAACAATGTATTTACTTGTATCTAACCCTTGTTCTATATTAAGGATGGTTTATTTCTTCTTCTGATTAAGTATAATTGAACATTTAATAATGATCACTGATAATTGATCAGATTTTATTAATTTTTAGAAATTACTTGTACTGTTTTGTATTAAAAGTCGCTAAACCAATAGCTTTTAAGTGATAATTCCATTTTTTTCAAAATATTTTAAAGTAAAGTTATAATATAAACTAAGATATTGGATAAATTTCTTTTTTATATCTTTAAAATACTATATTTAAATAATGGAATGCAGATAATTATTTCCTACTTTGATAATATCCAAGCTGTATTTTCAATTTTCTGAAATTCAATTAATAAATATCAATTAGAAAATATATGTTACTTTTTAGATTTTATTAAAAGAGGATATTTTACCAAATAAATAATTTTCATATAGCATTTCAATTAATTTTTTACTAGAACTATGAAATTATATGAATAATAATATATAAATGTTATATTAATTAGTGTTGAATATTATTGATATAAAAAATATGTTTTTCTTTCTTTTAATTAGAGTATATTAGAAGCAAATATCAATATATAAAAATCTTTAATTGAAAGTCATTATTAGAAATATGTGGCAGTTCTCTATTTATATAATCGATGATGCTATTTGAGATTTTTATAATGTGAAACGTCTGCTTAGAAATCTTTGAAGGATTCTCTTGTTTTGTATAAGAAATCGTTGATTTTTTATCTGATTGTGTTTTCTTGAGGTGATGCGATGGTGTGTTGACTGCATTTTTTTTCGAACATGTTTTATACTTACACTTTTTGTTATGGGACTGTAATAGGATCAGGATAAGAGGTCTTGGACATCCTTAGGTTGTGTTTAACCTCATGGAATTGACCCAGTATTTCTTGTTCCTACAATTTCACTAGGCTAAGCTAGATATGATGATAGGCACTGTTTTCTTCTGTATCATCTTTGAGCATATCATATTTATCAGAGATCATTTGCACCAATTATGATTCTGATCTGATTAGCTTTCTTTTAACTGGCTTAGATAATAATTCTTTGGCCTTGACGATTAATTGATCTTCCTCTTCTTAACATTATTCTGGTTTGTAAAATACGATTCTCGATTAAGATAATCTTTTCTTTTCGAATGCTGGAATGGTGCTTTTTTTCTTGTTTAAACCCAAATGTGAAACAATATTTAGTATTCTTTTATGTCTCTCAATATTATTATTATTTGACATAATATATTTTAATTCGTTTTATGAAACTAATCGCTGTGTATTTGTTATTGGTGTTAGGATACTCCCAATTACTGGAGAAGTATTAGATAATAGGAAATCCAAAACCTAGTTTGGTGAGTATTTTAACAGAATTGCAAACTCAAATAAAATCAGGAGGAGCGCAAACGACAACAATAGCATTTTTGGATAATCTAAAATCAACAATAGATGAGGAATAAATTAGACATGATTAATTGTATACATAACAAAGAAATTAATGTTCAATGGAATTAGAGTTAAGAAAAAAAGACATAAAAGATGCCGAATAGGTTGGTTCTAGAGCGAATGAATAATTGGAAAATTGTTCTACTTCCAATAACAAAGCAAGATCTGAATTAGATAATAATCTGGAATCTTAAAAAGTACTTTATTCAATCCTAAATAGACTACAGATAGCGATATCAGAATTTTGAAAAGCATTAGGGATGAGGCTGCAAGATTGTTTTCAAATAAAAAGAGAGATCATCTAGACGCTTTAACATCACTTTAATAGGTGCTGCTCACATTAGATGGATTTACAGGAGGGGATTGCTCATTAGCTGAATTAGGGAAAGTGGCAATGGCTTTTATTTAAACAGCAGTGATTGCGAAGAATGATCAACCTTTGGTGGACATCTCTGAGATTTTTGCATAAGTTGCAACTGAAAATGGAGGATATAGAGAAGTTTATGAAAAATTAAAATAATTAATTGTTAACTTTGAACAAACCTTATAAAAAAACTTATAGGACTATTAAGAAGTGGAAGACTTGCAAATTTAGGAATATGATGATCGTAACATTCATTTAGTTGAGTATTTCAATAATCTCAAAAGAACAGAACAATAATTAAGAGATCACATAACTGCTATGAGTATGTGCATAAATTAGTAAACAGCTATTGTAGATACAGCAAGGGGAAAGAAGGTATGTCCTATTTGGTGATTATTTATAGGTGAGAAATCTGCAAATGTTAGATTCAGTTGATAAGATGTGCAAGGACTTCTTATCAGAGTATGATAAGGCAAGTCAAGTGAGGAAGGATCAGATTGATCTTATAAGTCAAGTGAAGCAATCTGTTTATGACTTCTACTCTTAAAAACCATAAGCTGCTTGTCCAGGGGGAGGAAGCGATTGATTATTATAATATTATTTTATTTTACAGTTATGACATGCAATTTTAGATTCCATGATATATTTGTCTATTTATCTTATGACTTTAGATTTAGATTTGTCTATTGCTAAGGATTGATTAAATATAATTATAATTTGATCCTTGATATATAAAATTAGAATAAAATTTATCATACTTAACTAGATCTTAATAATTTCAATATCATAAATTTAATTTACTTATGGGAAACTAAAATGCAAATGGATTTGATCATTCAAAACAAAATGGTTTGTACATTCGTACTGATAAGCCATTTTATTTTGCAGGTGAAGAAGTACAAGGTAAAATTAAAGCATAAATTTAGGCAATATTTACTTGAATGTGGGAGGTGGAGCATTTCCAAGCTCGACTATTTATTTGAAAGTGAAAGGGTCTGAAAAAGCGAAATGGACAGAAACCAGAACTGTTTACGAGGATATCCCAGGAACTAACCCTCCATAAAGACAATCAAAATAAGTTACAGAGCATTACGATAATGATAATGAATTTTATCAGCATAAAATTCCAGTATACATATTTTAACAAGGGTATATATTGAAATCATAAACAGAATGATACCATAAGGACAATACACATTTCCTTTTAATTTCAAATTAAAGGAAAGTTTACCAGGTTCTTTTGAATATTAGGAGAAAGACTTAGAATGCAAAATAAAATACAGTGTTAAGGCTGAAATAGATTCACCAGATAAGAGCTTAGACAAGATTAAATATAAATAGGAATTTCTAGTCAGAGAGCCCATTAAGGAGTAAGTCAACCAAAATGAGGGATCATAGGTCTTACAACCAACATCATGTTGTTGCATTCCTATGGGAGTATGTTAAAATTGATTATTCACCTAGACAATTTCATTCAAATTTCAGTTTGATAAATCAGCATATCAACCAGGAGAGGTTGCCAAGTTGCAAATAGAAATTGATAATACTCAATCAAAAGTGGGCATTCCAATTATTAAAGCCAGTGTGACAAGCAGATTGAGAATTATTAGCAAATAAGGCCACACTAGAATGATTTATAGGGTTTGTGCGAGTTCTACAACTCCAGGAATCGAATCTGGTTAATCTGCATTAAATGAACATAAAAAGAATATGAACTTGTCTTTAGTTGACGCTGGAAGACACAAACCCTTGGATCCTACAACTAATGGAAAGATTGTGCAGAACAATTACTAACTCTCTGCCACTGGAGAATTGGATGGAATATGCTTATGTTGTTCCTAGGATCCAGGCATAGAATTGCCGATTAGAATAGTTGCTAAACCAATTGCAAGCTATGAATAACCAGTAGTGGCTCCTTCTGGTTGGAATCCTCAGGTTATGAATGTAAAATTATAAATTTCTATTTAATTTAGCCTGTATCTGTGCAATTTGATGATTCTTATAAATATCAACCTGCCACTGGCGGAGTTTTGGTTCCAGCCTAGAATCAGAATCCACAGGGATATCAAAATCCCAATTAACCATATTATGGATGATTAAAATAATACATAAGATTATAAAAATACAATATTCTTAATTCCTATATATCCATTGATGATTACTTAAAATGGAGTAGAGAGACATTTAGTTTATGTTAGAGGCATTGTGGTGGATTCTGTATTTGTAAATGGCATTGAATATTAACTATAATAATTATAATTAAAATCTCAAATGGGTTCTATCTGTGGAACCACTAATAAAAGAGTCATTCCAAAAACCAAGAAGGCACACCTGGGATTGAGATCTGGCCAGACGATCTCATCATAGTCGGTGTTCTAGCAACAATTAAACAAGAAAACTTAAGAGATTAATCAAATTCATAAATTGGACATCCAAGATGAAGATCTAGTTAATTGGGATGATCCAATGAAACACTGCACTAATTTACTTAAGCCAAAAGGTTACAAAGTAGCGAGAATTCTGAAGACAACAGGTTCATCAATTACAGCAGAAGTGTTGGATGTAACTTAAATGTAATTATTATAGGGTTTTGGAACATAATTAATATTTAAACGTTCTCTTTTTGACAACTTTGATTATGCCTCTAACAACATATCATATTTGTATAACATGAACAAAGTCAACGCTGAAGGTTTGTTAAGGTTTACTTCATTAACAATCAGTTAATTTGAATCTACCAATGTGCAATTGCGGCCAGAGAAAACTCTCTATGCAATAGATAGAATGATACCAAAATACAATACCTTGAGCGACTCTCTGGAACATTTGAAATTAGAAACTCTAATGCAAAGTTTACTTATCTTAGAACAAGTGAGCGATACATTAAATTAACTCCACAAAGAGAAATTTGCGTATCGTTTTCTGAGACCAGAAAGCATCTTAACTAAAGACGGTAAGAAGTTTTTATTAAGCAATCCATCAATTTAAACTAACAATAAAGAACAAGTAATAAATTCAAGTATTCTAGAAAATAATCAAACACTTCGTTTAATAAGAAAGTGATTACTACATCTATGATTGCGTGATATTTTCATTGTTATTTCTATTTTTGGTTGATCATAAAATTTACACTTTTGATTCCCTAATTGACCTTAGATTGAATTAAGACGAATGGGAAGGGTAAATATATATATGCTTAATCAGTTTAGATTAATTGACAACTATAAGTAATCAATCGCATCTCAATTTGAAAATGATGTTCCTTAAATGATTATGTAATTGATTGAGCAAATGAGTGTTTTTGATAAATTTGACATGCCTAAAATGAGTGATATCAATCACGCCATTAAAAGTGTTCGCCAAAAAGGAATGCAAACATACTTCAAAAATGATTCACTTGGAGCCTATTTATAATACCACAAAGAAAAAACATTGCCTGATGCATCCCCTTGGTTATACTTCACTAAAGCAAATCAAATACATTTGTACAATTATGAAACTAATAAATTTCATTTTTTGAAAGTGTATAGAAAGAAGCAGCCTTTCAGAATTGAATCAGATGTAGTTTATCATCCAAACGAAGATAAGTTTTTTTTCTTTAGTCATAATACATCTACATTCTTATTAAAAGTATATGATGAATCACATGACAGGGGTAGCATCAGTCAGAAGCGAGAAGTTGAATTGTTTAGAAACATCAAGAATGTTAAATTCGAAGACCCCTAATTGTTGGTGATTAATTTTGCTTTGGAAGATGATATGAATTAAGAATAGCCACTAGAAGTAATTGAGGATAAGAAGGAAGTTAAAAAAGGCAATAAGTAGTAGCAATAGCAATAGTAGAATGTCCTAGATTAAGAACCTAAATTATTATCCAAAATAATGGTCATGAATCAATAGTAATAGGCTGACGAGGCAACTCAAGAGGTTTATTTTAATTCTTTTGAAGTGGCATTTAATTTGGAATTAGTAAAAAACGACAATGAGGAAGATGTATACAATTATGGTGATGATGAATATATAAGCAAAAAGGTTATCAAGATCTATTAGGGACCCAAGAATTTTCAATGGCATAGGAGTTCATTTCATTTCTTTGATCCTCATAACAATTATATTTATTGTATACCTGATTACAATAATGTATTCTAGAATGGAATCAGATATTGCTATTATGATATTTCAAAAAGAAAAGGAAATTTCAAGGAGGGGTTACTGAGATTTGCTTGCAGCACAGATGAAATATTCAAGTAATTTTGTTTACTGAACTTTAAAATTAAACACATCGTATATTGTATAGAAGTTCAACATGGAGTATTTCTAATGCAGGCATCTAAAAACATTTTTATTTTGGATTTTAATTTTAGGTGTTTTTATTCTTTGGCTTCTCTCACATAATTATAGAATTACAAAGAGAACAGCAAATAGAATCCAATTTTGTATCAGAATGCTTATGAAACCAGAAACCAACCTTTTGAATTGAAGTGCTTGGATGCTGGAGGACACAACTATTTATTTTAGAATGGATATTTGCATTGTTTGGCCAGAAAGGAGATAGAGACAGTTCATTGTGTATATAACATCCTCCCAAATTAAGCATGCATTGAATTATTAAATTGCTATTCCTTACACACGAATTAAGACTTATTGCTCTTCATACCTAAGACTCTAAGCTTTGTTGTTAAAGCATAACAAAAACAGGTGGATGAGAGTGTGTTTAGAAGATATTCAAAGGTATGATAGTGTAATTGTTATCATTAGCATGTCAGATAGTATGGTGTGATTAAAGACTTGTATGCAGATCAGAACGAAGCTTATTTGAGTGCAGAGCATGTAGAAGAAAAACAAAAGTTTTATTTACATCAGATCAAAGTTGAGTCTTTGGTTGAAATTTCGTAGTTGTTCCAAGCATTTAACAAGAGGATACAATCAGAAATTCTATTGACTCCTATTGAGTATTTTGCATGTTCTGAAGAAAGTAAGCATCTCTTTTATCTTAGAAAATTCCTATCTTATGTATTATGTTAATGAGGAAATTTCAACTACCTTGGATTCTGAAGTTGAAAATAGAAAACTTTATAAAAACACATTTGAAGCTAAAGAGTTAGCATTGATTGTAAAAATTATCTTTAAGGCTTTAAAAGAATTGAAAGATAATCATATGGAACATGGAAATTTATCAACTAATAGCTTATGTTTTACTAAAACTGGAATCATTAAAATATCAGGTTGGTATGTAGCCAACAGGAAGAACTTCTCCACTGATATTGATGATGCAGTGAAGGTTTTGTATTGTCTGGCAACGCTTCAGAGAGTGTAAGACATTGATGTTATGGACTTCTCACATCCTTTAATAACACCCTATGATGGTCTAAGTGAATTCTTAAAGTCCACTTACAAACTACCTAAGAAAACACCCTATGTCAATATTTTGAATTAGGCCATGAACTTGAGTAAATAATTAACAGCATAGAATATTGATTTCAATGAAATGCAAAGTAAGGCTTAGGCCATTCTATGGGTTGGTTATGGTTAAAACTACATTATCATTACTCCTTTAGAAAATATGAAGGACCCTAGATTTATGAAAGTTTGTCTCTTAAAACCTAATTAAACTAATTTTAAGATATCCAAACACTGCATGTTTACTTTTAACTTTGTTGATGTTATCTACCTTTCTGGAGCCCTTAAGGAGGATATGAAAACGTAACATCTTTACGAGTGCGCATACAATAAACACAAGGATACATAGACTGTCACTTTGAAGAGATTGCCAGACATTCCAGCTCCCATCTTGAGTCCAACTTTATTATATGCTGAAGGAAAGATATATGTGATTGGAGGCTACGAACTTGGAGATAACCTCAATAAATAAATTACAGATAAGGTCTTTGTGTACACTATTAAAACAAAATAGTGGTAATATTAATATTCTAATCATTCTTAATAGGAAGCCTTTAAAAAACCTACCCATCAATATCTACGGTGGAACAGCCCTTCATGATGAGGACAAAAATATGATATGCTTATTTGGTGGTGTTTCTAGCGAGATTGATTTGACCTCAGATAAACTTATCTATTTTACTTATGACATATTGAAAGATAATTGGGAATTCAATGTTGATTTGTCATTTAAATCGCCATTTGTAAACTCAAGATTTACAAAGCCTATTGTTGACATGGTAAGTCCAAAATTATTTGTTTCCTACTATAAAACTGAGGAAGACTTTTTTGTCGAGGTTTTCGAGCTTGTCAAAGCTGGAGTTACTTTGAAGTTTAAAATTAAGAATCCCATAGCCAAAAAGAAAAATGAGAAGGAGAACTTGGAAGCCTATGCCGAAAAAGCGCCTAAAGATTATGAAAGAACTTTGCAGGATGATTTGTCCATGGCTGTTTACAAAGATTCTATTTATGTTTTGGATGAAGAGACGTAGAATCTCAACATTTTCAGAATCAAAGACGTGTTTCATCCTTAAATCGATATCGTTAAATGTTAAATAAGAGATAGCAATCCTATAACAATCCATTTAGTTTAATAGGAAGCTTTATAATGAATAAACTTTTTATTTAATTTTACAATTTAAACTTAAATATTTACATCTATTATATTATTTTGAAAATTTCAAAGATTAGATAATATACTATATTTTTCATTCACAAATAAAATAATATGTACCGAGTTTATTTGAACAGGATTAACAATAATGATGTGCATCTTTGCATTACTTACATATCATATACTTAATACTCTCATACAAAAAGGTAAAAAAAACAAAAAGAAAAAAGGAGTTAAAAACAATAAGCAGCAACAAAAACAGCTGCCCCATCCTGGTTTTGATTCCACTTTTGTAATCATCACATTCTGGCATCTCTCGCATTTTAACACCTGAGGTTCTCTACTGTATGGTTAGGATGGTGCTAGTAAAATTACTTAGTACTATTAAATAGTAATACATCGATCTTCTTTTTTTAATTCTTAATTCCCAAATGACTTATTTTCATCATCGACCTCATTAGGTTAGTCTAATTACTTCTTTTATTGAATCATCTCATATTGCTCCTATCTCTGCTAAATTATTTGAAGCTAAGAAAGCGGTTATTGAAGAGGGTATCGAAAATTATTATTTATTTCCTATGCTAAATTCAAATTTTGGTTTATCTAGGAAACAGGTAATCTAGTCTTTTGAGGAACATCCTCTTAATCTAAATTATCTTATCTTATTTATTGAATTAAAGAGGCTAATGGCACATCGTCACCAGTTGCCTATGCTTAAGTTGATAGTTGTGTTTTATTTGACATAAGGATATTAATTTTTCTATAATTTTGTTTTTTAGCAATATTATTTCTCTATTCCCTTATACAAATTTATTAAAACACAATTGCATTAATTAGATACCTTCAGATTTTCAAACTAACACTTGCATAATTTTAACCAAATCTTCTCAAATAATAATTTGAAAAAATAAATCAAGATATTTAAATAATAATTTAAGATGGTTTTAACAAACTGTAATCTTTGTGGATTATTTAGGCGTATAAATTTAATAATAATTATTTATTAAGTTTCATTATTCAAAAATCTCGATCATTTTCTCAATCCATTTACACTCCTCCTAAAACCCAACCTTCTTATAGAAACTAAGCAAAGATTGATACCGCTTAACTTTATCATACTACTTGATCATAGAGAGCTTTTCCAAATCATTTACACATAAGTGTAAACTGCTTTAATCAACATCTTCATTCATCAAACAATTCCATAAATAACAATGATCGAATCCAAGTGTATGCATCAATTCATGAACGATTGTACCATAAAATACTTTCAGATTCTCCTAAAATTAAACCACACAAACTCCATCACCACATGCTCTTCCTACAATATTTGAATCAGGTTAGAGTGGATCAAAGATGTCCTAATCAATTATCGCAATCAGAGAACAAATATGTTTTGGCTTTAATTTTATTAATACATCGAAAATGCTGAATACATCTATATGTTCCAATTTATTTTTTTACAACCTAAACTTTTTTTTTTGTTTCACTTCTTCAATATAAAATTATTTTTTTTCATAATACAATGCCAAATTTAAATTGATGGTCGTTGTTCTCAATCCCAGATATTTATTGATCCATTCTTTAATATCATTTATATTTAGTGATTTTTCAAGACTCAAATTAATGATTCCAATAGTATTGAAGTTTTTTTTGACAGATATCCTTCCAGTTCCCTCTTCGTTAGGTTCCTAATGTCCCATTTTTTCAAAGTCATCTAATAATTAAATATCCTCAGATTCAATGTCTGAATCCACTTGAATCTTTTGAAACTAATCTAAGATTAGCTGATTCAAATTTGTTATTTGCTACAAAGCCTTGTTTCTGAATTTTTCTCCTTTCAAATCCTTTTTCATAAAATTGCCGAATTTTTTTATTTCTTAATTGATTTAAAATTATATCAAGTAATTGGATATTTATTTATTCAAGATGTTTTTAATTAACGAATAGGTGATGTTTAGTATTCATAATTGATTAACAGTGATAACTGCAAGAGAATTTCAAAATTATCTTTAGGCAGACTGAGGTGAAGATTTACAGCATATTTTAGGAATATCTTTAATATTAAATTATTTATACAGATTAGCATTAAAATGGAAATACATTTACAATAATATTCATCGTTTTGATGTAGAACCAAAGGCTATGGGAAATTCGAGATTAAGTTTTGATTGATTGCTGATAAGATTTGAATTATTATCATAATATGTTGGAGAGTTTAATTTGTTTTCAAAAATGCTAATTCTCTTCGAATATTTGTCAAACCTTATTACGCTTTTGACTACAGATTAGTCTTGTATATTATATTATCCAACACCAACTGAAGCATCTTAATCTATGTACTTAGTTCTCCCTTATTATTTTCCGAATGGTTAAATCCTGATTTCTGTTTACTTGAAAACACTTGGCAACTCATAGGAACCAGGACCAGGAACATCCTAGACCTTTTATAATTTGTCTCTCAAGAGAAAGAGTTCTAGACTTTCTAATGATTGCAATTTAGGTGGATGTTTCAGATATTGTTAGCTTGTAGTTTTTTTGATGCCAGGTGACTATGTTCCTAAAAAAAGGGATTGAGAATCGTTTAAAGACTATTGTGAGTTTCTTTGCAATCTTTGTAGCTTAACAAGTTTTCCCTTCTTAACGGTGGAACGTACTTAGGTATCAAATTCTTGGTTAAATTCATTGGGTTTATATTCAAATTTAACTTATTTCTTAAGTTCTTAATAGATTTTATTTTATCTAACTCTTTAGATTCCACTTGCATAACTATGCAGAGGATAATTTAAGTCGACTTTGCGATCATTGGATAGTTATGATTCACTTAGGGGATGCGATTCATTTTTTTTATGGACAGCATGTTTATCGGTATGAATGATTGGGACTGGTTTGTCTAATTTAGTAATAATATCGTAGAGTCCCACTCCAGGATTGAAGTTATCTACGTTTAATTCTTTCTTTCCTTTTAGAAACATGTTATTAATATTTATTAATTAAAATGAGTTAACAATTATTTACCCAAGATATATCTGTAAAAAAGTCATTGATGAAAATATTAATTTATTTAAATAGGAAAATTATCTAGCTCATATTATATCTCAGTAAAGGAAATATTCCTTGACCACAGAAAATATTAATGATGATAGATTTAAATATATATGATAAAATCAAATTATGACTGTAATCAGACTTCAGTTGTCAATTACTTGAGATGTGTTCTTCTCTTTGGAGCATAGTGTCTTTGAGTAGGTAAATCTTGGACAACTTAATAATTATCAAATTCATCAATAATAACATGAGAGTTTTAAAAAGAAACTTACTTTTTATTACTATTGATGATGGATTTGATCTTTTTGTTTATGTTCTCCATCTCAACATTCTCCCTTTGTGTTTTGATTTCGTAAAGTTGATGGAGATCTTCCATATTCCTTTTTTGCATGCTTACATGTAAAGAGAGAGTGGGAAGGATTTGATCTGTTTTTTGGGGAGACAACCCATTCCCAATAGCACATCTTCTCCGAACAGTTTTAGGGAGTACAATATCATCTGGTATTTCTAACTCTAAGACTTTTTCTCGGTAGTCATCTTCAAATTTTTTGGGTTGACTATCAATTTAATTTAAAAACAAGGACGGACAGAATGGTTTGTTCTTTCCTAAATGTGTTGATTTGCTGATTGAGATTGGAGTTAGATCTATCAAACTATTCTTTTTATACATTAAGAAATAATTATTTGTCAATATCACTTTGCAATACAATTATTTATTTCATAATAAAGATTCCATAACTTTCATCATGGCTCTTTCTGGTCCCAATTCTTACCAGTCTTTTTTGGAAATCCAGAAATTGGTCTTATCCTTCATCACATTTGACAAGAAAGATGCACCAATGAACACATTATATTTTCTTCTTGCAGGATCCTAAAGAAGAATATTACAATTGATATAAGTACCAAGACTTTAATTTTGATCTTAGAACTAGCAGCATATGCAGTGTTGCCTTTCAATACAGTTTCCTCAAAAATTGATCTCAATTAATTCTATAATCTAGTTGGGAATCCTGGGAACATGGTAGTACCTCCACTTATGAGAATGTTTTCATAGAATGTCTTCCTTGAATCAATAGGGGATTTCTATATATCATATAAAATGAACATTACTTAAATGGCATTGAATACAATGTCAGCACATCCAGGGGCATCTTTACCTAACAACCATGGAGAGAACAAAATCTCTGGAGCCATATATCTTTCTTGTCCAATCTTCACTTTCCCTCCATCTGGTAATCTGAATGTACTTTCATGACAAGTCGTCTCTTGTGCCAATTTAGTATCCATTCTGATGTCTGAACTTACAAAGCATAATGCCTCTTTGATTTCCCTTACTAATTCAAAATCAGCAGATGAATTGAAGGCATATCCTCTTTGGAATAATAGTTTGACTAGTTGATCTGTAACATGTCTTCCTGCAATATTCATTCTCTAAGCTCCTTGATTCAAACAGAATCCGTCATATACTGGCATGCAATGTGTGACACCATCTCCTGCATCAAGTAATAAGGCTGTTCTCAGGCCCTCTGCAAATAGGGGCAACAAAGCCTGGATTCCTACGTTGAGCTAAGCAAATCCGAATTTCTCAAACTTAATTTCTGCCATCTTCTCTCTATTTTTTTTTGGATTTCCTGCAGCTTCTGTCATCAATACTGTTTAATCTTTTGGATCAATGCCTAACTTAATAATAATATTTGTAATCTTCTTACCTTCTTATACCCATAATTCCAAATTAATTCCATATCATCCCAATTTTTCACCACTCCTTCTTCTAAGGGGTGAGTCAACTCTAATAATCCTCTATATGGCTAAGCTTCATCTCCTATCATTATATCCTAAAACTATGATTATATCATTGTACTTTTAAGTTGGCATCATCCAATTGTTCATCTGCTCTAAGTGTTGGTCTTCCTACCATGGCTGGAAAAGAATGAGCTGGAAAGTTATCACCTGCAAAGCCAATCTTCAAATATCTAACTAAGATACTAAATGTACCCTGTTCCGGAATCTTCAATTATTGGAATAGACATTATTTTTTTGATTATATAAATAAATAAATCTATAATTTAATATAATAAATCAATATTCTTGTATTGCTCATGATTCTCATTTTTAACTTTCATAACCATCACCTATGTTCAATTTGACGATTAAATATTTAATTTTATATACACAAATTTCAAATGCTACATAAAATCACCTCTGAAATCAATATGGGGGAGCACCTTCTCCAACCAGCTCCAACTTAGTTTTTAAGTGCCAGAACTATCAGTCCTTCTCTATTTTTAAATGAAGCAGATTTTCATCTTCCATTTATCTCCCCATAGAAAAGATAAGTTAGTGATTATTAAATAATAAAATAATCTCTACCGAAGAGTCAGGCTGTAAGTCCTGTTTTTAGAAAAACCTAAACTGAACATGATGCAGAAGATAATTTTTTATATGTAAAAAATACAGTCAGAAAACTAAAAAAATAAAAACTATTTATTAAAGAACATCGTCTGTCTCAGTAACTCTTGCCTCAAATTGAAGAACGGTCAGAAAAAGTTGCTGCTTATTCCACACCAAGAAATAAAAATTACAACTCAAATGGTAATCCCCTAGATTTCAAAGGAATGGGCTCTCCTTTTGCAAAATTAGGTGCTCTTGTTGCAAACCAAGAACCTTCAACCCAACTCTCCAACTACACAATCCCAAAAGAACTTGATCAACCACAACAAAACAATCTACCTATCCCTGACTATACTAGCAAACCAAACACTTTACAGCAACCTCCACATCATAAAAAAGCAGTCTCATTTCGTAAATCTATATTGATAATTGATATTAACAATGGACAAGTTAGTAAAGATTAATTATCAGAAAATGCTAAACCACTTACACATACCCAAAGACCGGAAATTAAAGAGTAAGTCTATGATGATACCAAAAAATATATATTTCGAAGAACAAAAATTATTATTTGATGATAAGCTAGTTTGAATATCATGAGCATTGATTTATCAAAATATTAAATTATAATATATCAATTTATTAATAACAAAATAATTAAATTGAGGTTTTTAGGTTACCATCTATTGATTAAACAAGTCTATTGAATTCAATAAATTAGCATCTTAAATTTATTTTAAAATTAAAGGTTCAAAATGGTTTTAATATTAACTTTTATAAAATTAAAACAACAAATAATTTAAATATTAAGTAATTTAGATGCAAAAACAGTTGTGCTTCTTATCTCAAAATAATATGTCTCCTATTCACCCAATACATTTTCTTCGAAACATATATAACTTCTATAATAAAAATTTTACTAAATTTTTGTAGGAAAATAAATAAAATAAAAATAATACCTTAAATTCGAATTACCTATTTAATGAGAAAAAAGGGACAAAATATAAAATAAAATATACATCACAATCATACATAAATAAAATTAAACTGACAAATTTTTATAGTATAATTAACCAATTTATATTTTGAGATAATGGAGGACTTAGTCATGAAATAATTTCAAATCAAATAAATATAAGATGAATATTTTCAAAAAATTAGTGAAATCATGTTATTTAAAATTTCCTAATTTCTACCAAATTAATTGAATTAGAGTATTTTAATCTATATAAAGTTAATGAATTTGAATAAAATTCATTTATCAAAATTATTTTTAAATTAAATATTCATAACAGGATATCAATCAACTTTTTTGGATGAATCTAAAGGATACAATAAGTCACCAATTATTTTAATACTAGTAGAGCTAATATTTAAATGCTATCCTCAGAGTGTTAATATTCATTATTTGTAAAAAAGTTGCCATCAATAAATTATATAATAATATATATTTATTCAATAATTATGACTTGAATATTAATTTCTTTGAAATAATTAATTATGCTTACATTTATCATATTGTTACATAAAAAAGATTAAAAAATGAAGATTTATAAATGATAAAACTTAATATTTAGAAAAGAATATCGGATCCATAAAATGATGATAACAATATGTAAAATTCCATTTAAAAAATCAATGATTATTTTATGATTACTCAAGTATTCAATACACATCTGAATGTTGTTGTCCTTAAAACTTATGTTCTTCAGCTAAATTTCTCAATTTTTCCTTGCCTAAAAGTTTTTCCAATAACGAATCAAATTCATTTTCTTTACTTATCATTGTTTTTCTAAATTGAATAATTCAATACTTGTTTAATAATTTGTCTATAATCATGTCTATGAATCCTTTTATTCCTTACTCTTAAGACTTTTCAGTCTCAATTAGGAATAATAAAAACATTCTTAATTTATCAGTAGTGTCTTTTCTCATTAAAACATCATTGAAAGCATAGGCGAATGCATTTGCAAAAGCAGCCCTGAAGTTTGGGTCCATACCTGCATTTTTTAAGATTTCCGCAACTCTCATATATAAGTAAAATATACGCTTAATTTATTTCAGGTTCTTATGATAATGATTTGCAAAATTCTTTCACTTCATATTTGAATATTGGATCATTTACTACTTGGATTATTAATTTTTGAGTTTATTCTTAAATTGATTTATCTTGTACTAAATCCAACACTAATTTCTTTCCAAAAACTTTTGAATCCTCTAAAAACGAAGGATCTTATATAGATTATTTTAATAATGTAACAATGCTATCTTAAACTTATTGCTGCTTTCCCAATCTTTACACAAAATCTACTGATTCCTGTTAAACAACAGGATCTTTAAGAATCGTTTAAACTTCAGTCTATTGATCAAAACAAGTTTACTTTAACAAAACTGTTAATAAAGACTTCAAATGGTTAACCAGGCCCCAGTTCGCTCTAAACTGTTGAAACGAATGAATTTCTAATAGTTTGAAACATATCCTTATATATGGGATAAGTAATTAATGCGAAAAGTGTCAGTATTTTTCCTTTATGAGGTCTCAAGACTAATTTTACATTTGACCATTCTTATTCTATATCAAATGATCTCTAAAATGTCTTAAAGGGATGTCTTATCGGTTGGTATATTAATGTTAGGAATTTCTTAGTTTTATTAAACATTGTTTAAAATTAAAATAATACAATTTTTCATAAAGTAATAGAGTGATAAAACTAACACAACATATATGTTCTATGAAATGGCTATTGGTATTTTAGTGATATGAATTACTTAAATACCTACATGATGATAAGTTCTATGAACTTTCTAAACATTTAATCTTATTTAAAAAATAATATGATTGACAAAATCGAAAGAAAGCCTCCCATATGGTCTATGCAAAACGACATCATCATTCTTAGATTGAACAAAGATAGGAAAATACATAGATTTATTATCAAATTATAAATCTATACAGTATTCATCTTAATAATTTGTGATAATTCAATTATCTGATCTGACTCTTCTTCCTTCAACCCATTCAGCTTCAACTTCTCTGGACTCTTTATCAACCAAAATTCCTCTTCCATGTTATTTTCCATCCTTCCAATATCCTTTATATTATTTGCCATCAGACCATTTAAAAATTCCGTAACCTTCCTTTTTATCTTCAACGTAATCCCCTGAAAATAGAAATATCTATTACCACTATATTACTTTCCATCAGGCCAGTTAAAGTCTCCTTTGCCATGCATTTTATTATTTTACCATTACCCTTTATATTTTCTGCCATCGGCCCAAACATATTCTCCAAAACCTTTTTTTGATATTACGTAAAGTGAGTACCTTCAATATTGTTATCTCGAAAGTCGCCCTCATAAGTTGCTCCGTCACTCCATTTAAATTTACCTTTTCCGTCTTTCTTTCCATTAACGTAACTTCCAACATATTAGGCACCATCTGGCCACATTTCAGTTCCTTTTCCATGCTATTAATCTTCCAACCAATCTCCCTCATATTTAGCACCATCAACATGAAAATAAGTTCCTTGGCCCTAGGCTCTGTCATCTACCCAATCTCCATCCTAAAGATTATTCATATGATTACATAGGCATCTCCATCTGCATGAATTAATCTTCCCTTCCCATTTGCTGTATGGGAACTCCAAAATCCTTCATAAACTGATCCGTCAGGCCAATACTGCTTGCCTTTGCCCCATCTTTAGTGGTTTTTCCATTAGCCCACATATATAGCTCCATTCTCAAATTGCTAGAGTTATCATCTGATTTTTACATATGGTCCTAACTCAATACAATCTTGGAAGTGCAATAAGGATGCATCATCGTAATGATAATTTCCGAGTTTTTCAAGCGTTTTACGAACCTATTCATTTTCAATAAATGGATCTTTGTCATATGGTTTAGCTTCATCAGGGTTTGGACCATGTGATGAAATCTGTTACCTTTATTTTTCTCTTAAAGCCTTAATATATTGAATTATTGTACATCATCTGGAGGATTTGCACTTTATGAAGGCTCTTCGACCTAAACTGGTTAGGATTCTTCTTGTTTTATTGGCTCTTTCTCTTAGTATTCATTTTTTGCCTCTTTTGGCTTGGCTGTTCCCATATGATCATTTTCTTCTATTGTAGCCTCAAGCTTAGCAGGAGCTGTTGAATTAATCTCCTAAGTTTATGGTGTTCCTGAACAACAAGTAGCTCCCATTACCTTATTATTATTTTTAAATAATATTAATAAATCGAATTATATAACTCTATTCCTTAAATAGTTATTCCAAGATGATATTAAAAATGTAAAAAAACTGTTCTAATAAAATCCAAACAACAAAGATCTTAAGTTTATTCCTCAAGAATAATAAAAAATTTAAATGATATTGTTATATTTAACTTATAAATTGTAATAGATAATAAAGAAATTTGATGTGTTTAACATTGAAACCAAAAATTATTGTATTATTCTTATCAGAATATCTAATCTTTTCTTTGAAGTGCCTAAATTTCAATTTATAAAATACTTAAATAATATTAAGTGCAAATTTTACTGATTACAATCCTTATTCTATTTGTTAATATACTCTAATTCCATGTAATTTTATCCTAATTGATTAAAAAACTGTAATTTTCTTTCACTTGTATATAATCAATTGAATATTGAAACATTTTTTGATTATTATATCATAAATAAAAAGATATATCTATATTGAATAATTAATACAAATGATTAAAAATGATACAATCTATGTAAGTTTATGTGTTTTGTCTGCAAATTAATAAATAATAATAATTGTAGTAGTGGGATTCGCTTTTATATCTAATTACTATTATGATATTACATTGCTTTAATATTCGTAAAAAAGAAATCAGAAGTCATAATCTTAATTTCTAGAAATAAGTTATTAACTTATATTTACAATATTTTAAGACTTTTATATGCACTTCTTGACATCTTTAAATATTAATAATTTATGGTAAATTGTGATAGAATAATATGAGACTAAACCTAAGATTTTAAAAACCTTTGAAATTCTGATAATTTCATGTTCATGTGAATTAATGAATACAATAATAATCGCCAAGGAACAAAGAACTAAAAGATAGATCTTATTTTATTTTAAATTGATATTTTATTTATTTTATTATTATAATCTAAGACACTTACTAATTAAGAATTCAATATTATAGTTTACATAATAATTTAACAAGATTAAGTTTATGTTTTTGTTTAATTAATAAAAATGAATGACTTTAAGACGTGAGCATTTTCTATAATTATAAATTCTTAAATATCTATTTTAATCTAATTATTATTTGTTTATTTTTTATTATATTAGATGGGAGGTAAAGTAACTACAGTAGAGTAAAAGAGTCAGGTTTCTGAAGGAATAAAAAAGGAAAATAGTTCATAATAGACTGCCAGATTGAACAATTATAGTTTTATTAGTCAAAAGAATGTGTAATTATGATGTTTAATTAGTTCAGAAAGATAACTACAATCACAGAGTAAGGAGTTAATAATTTAACTCAATATAATGAGAGAGATTCTTAAATTAGCAATTAAGTTCAATCTCAAGATAGTAAATATTATTCTACACAATAAGGTTCCCATAGAATTTAAGAGTAGCAAGTCTAAGAGAATGATGGTGTAAACCAAGTTTAGAATAACGATTAAAATTATAACAAAACTTCGCTTTTTGAAGGAGGTGAATGTATGGGTGAAGCCCCAGTGTTTAATGGGGAAAATACAAAAACAAACTAAAGCACATTGTCTGGTATCAAAGAGCATTATTACCCTTGGCTAATAGACAGGTTGGAATAATTTGGGTAATATGTACCTCCAGAAAAATTTGAAGATTTAGAATCAATAAAGGTAAATACTACAGATCTACCTGATAAATCAAAATACGAGGGATTTATGAAGAATGGAAAAATGCATGGTTATGGAACTAATTTATTAGAAAAAGAATTATTTGAAGGCAGTTTTTAAAATGGGATAAGGAAAGGATGGGGAAGAAGCATAACTGAAGACTCTTTAATAGTATACTGATTAATGATTATAATAGTCTGGATTTTGGGAGAATGGAAAAGTAGAGAAAATGATGGAAATGTAGACACCAGATCTGTACTATAAAGGAGAATGCAAGAAATAGATCCCAAATGGATAGGGAGAATTAAAAAAACCTACCTTATATTATAAAGGGGAGTTTCTTAATGGAAGAATGCATGGAAAAGGAGTATTAGAAGATAATTAAAAAAAAATAAAATATGAAGGGGAATTTGCTTTGGATAAATATCATGGAAATGGAACTTATTTTTTTTCCAGTGGTAAAAAATATGTTGGACAATTTAAGAATTCATAGTTCAATGGTTCAGGTGAGTTGTTTTCGCCCAACAATATTTATTACAAAGGTAATTAAATTAATTAAAGTTAGGTCAATTTGTAGATGGCTTATTTGATGGTTGGGGATACCATATAGATTAGGAACAGACAATATATGATGGATATTGGAAGAAAGGCAAAAAGAATGGCAAAGGAAAGTTAACTAGTAAATAAATAGAAGTGCAAGGAATTTGGTAAGATGATATCTTTAAAGAGAATGACTGATATTGATATAATTAAATTTTTTAAATTAATGAAAATAGCATACTACTATTTCAATTAAGTATTCAATAGCTTTTAACATCTGAATGATTGGTTCTCGTTCTCACTTGATATTTCAAAATGAATATATATCTGATTCTTCTCAAATGTTGCCTACTTTAATATTTACAGCCTAAATTAAAGGGTATGGCGATTTAGCCTTTTTTGGGTTGGCAAGGATAAATATTGTTTATTGATCAAATTTTTGATTGTAGCTTGTAATTTAATTGTAAATCAAATTTATGCAACTTTTTGATTAAATCAAGAGTGATGTGTTTCTATAGAGAACTTGAACTGCCAGTACTACTTAGTCAATCTTTTTTTGAAAAGTAGTAAAATAGTCACTTAGATTCAGATGACGTAAAACGATAAATAATTTTACTATTGTTCTGATAGCCTTTCCTTTAACATATAAATAAATCCTAGTAGTGATTCTTTTTTCTATATTAGCGATTGGAATGTTTTAGAATCCTAGATATGTTTTTATTGCATATTAAACCTATAAAGCAATTTCCAATTAGAAAACATTTTAAATTAACTCACTATTTATCTTTCTTTGCTACTCATTAATGGGTTTGTGTAATTCTTAAAAAGCGAGGCCTGACACTAATGATATACCTATCAATTAGAAACAGAAGTCAGAAGAACCAAATTCGAATGGCAAACTATTACTCGAGCAATACCATAAACTAAATATTTTGTTAGATCTTCTGGGCAATATAGATCTCTTGGAAAAATAAACCCAGGGTCATATCAATCTACTCTATACGATTCGCACAAATATTAAAATACTCATCTAGTATAACTTGAAGAAAATAATGAAAGAAAAACACATATACAGAATTTCTACCATCGAGGATGAAGAATGGTTATATACTGATTCAGTATTCCTCAATAGAATTATACCATAATTCCAACAACTTATTACTGTATTAGAAACCTTGTTTCAAAATGACGACTTCTAAAACGCTTTTCCTATTCTTATTCATAGTTTCTATTAAATTAATGAATCCCTCAAAAAAATCCCAATCTAATATACCCTTACTTAAACTAGAAATACAACCCTTTGATTTATATTTTGTATTAGAGAAATATAATATAATATTCATAAAATAATAATCTGCCAATTATTACCTTTCTAAAACCCTATTATTTAGAACCTATCTCTAAATAAGTAATAGCCCCAGTTTACTTAATTACTGGCATTTTCCTGTTGCCTCTGAACTAAAATCTCTGAATTGCTAAACCTATTTTTAGCTAAAATAGATGTTTGATTTTTTTTATGAATACTAACTAATAAACCTATAAAAATTCTCTGTGGATTCATAAATTAGTTTAAGACATTTATTGAAATTCTTTATTATTCTTAACCGTAAATAATTATAAAATAGTTAATATTAAAAATTAGCCATAAATGAAAGATCTTTATATTAAATCAATCAGAATACTCTTTTTATTTACAGGCTACTATAATAATAAAATGCTAGTTCATAAATAATAATGGTTAAACGAAGAATGTTTTGTCTTTTTTATGTGCAAGTATGAGAACAAAAAGGCTATATAACTTCAAGATATGTGTTAAATAAAGACAAAATTGATGTAACAAATCGGAAGATTAAAGTTGAGATGAATTTGATTACTGATTGCTGATTTGAAGACGCGAAAATAGAAGTGAAATTTAAATGAATTTTTAAGGCTTAGTTGAATTGATTGTTGATTGGGAATCCATTCCATTCTAAAATTATTAATTTTCAGTAAGAATTTATTGGGAATTAGCCAAGAATCTTTGAATATAAATAGAGGAAGAAATAAGCATCAATATGATAGATATATATAAGATGTTGATGATAATACAAATCAATTAATATCTGGAAAAAATGGTTACGATTTAAATTTTAGCATTAGATTGTTATTACTAAATATATTTTTTAAGGATTTAGTGCTTCTACTATACTTTTTACTTGACATAAGTTGCTAATTTCTTTTTTCATAATATTCTCTAATATCGATAACATATTGATGAAAATTAGTAGTATTAATCCGTTTTACTTCTTATGGTCTCATAGATTCAAAGAATCTCTACCTTGTAACTAGCATTTGATGTTGAAGTTCTTTCTTTTTCTTAAAATCCCAATCACTAGAACTCCAATATCTAAGATGGAGATGACTATTTTATTAAGCCATTTAATATTTATTAATAATAATATTAAAATGAATATGTTATTTTCAATCTTTTTATAAGACAACTACCCAATTAGCATGGTCATAATAATTATTTACTATCTTGAAGCCAGGCATTTCTGATAACAGTTCTTCGATCTCACCTTATTTAAATACATGATAATATCGTTTATAAACAACTGTTTTTTTTTAATCATCAATTTTAAATTATTATTACACTACCAATTATAATTAGTCAATATACCTTCCTAATTGATGACTTTTTCATCCTCATATTTAAATTGTAAATTCCAAGGCACAAAAACATCTTACTCATTAAAAGTCTTCTCCTCCTGTTCCATAGCCCACACATAGATTAAAACTAGACCTTTGGATTTACAAATCCTTAACAACTCTTTGATAGCTTGTTACCTAAGAATTCTAAATGATTTATTATGAATATATATTACTTATTAGAGAAATGATGAATGACTGCAATTGAAATGACTGCATCGAACATTTCAGATTTTAAGGGTAATCTCAATGAATCAGCACTAAATACCTAATAAGCATCTGATTTTTCTTTGCAAATTTTCAATAGATTTTCACTTCTATCAGTACCAACTATTTCAATATCTGGATTTGAACCCAAATATTTGCCATTTCCACATCCTACATCAGCAACTAGAGATCCTGGTTCTAATGATTTAAGAAATTGTTCTATTTTAGGCCATGGCTTATAACGAGTTGAACTAAAATGTGGTGCGATTTTATCATAAATCTCATAGACATATTTCTTTTCAACTTCAGTGGCTTTAGGTATTTAGAGTAATTATTATTGTTATTCTTCGAGCAATTAAATTTCCTCTTGAGTTTTGTTGGGAACAACTTTATTGTCTTATATAATTCCAATTTGATTCAATTTTGCTAGGTATTCTTAGAGCAATGGATTTTTGTTCTTCATGGTCAATGGATTGTAACCCTAAGATTCACAGAAAAATTAATATTCACAATCACATTTCAAATCATTTCTGATAGTTCTAAAAGTCAAACTCAATCTTTTAGATCTAAAGTGAGTTTCCCCTTCTACTTTATCGATTTTCCTTGCTGCAATAGAGTGGAACCACGCATATCTAACCTCTCCTGTGAATAATGCACAAGATCTAGGAGGTAGATATAAATGATATTCTTCTCCTTTGAAGGATTTAAATGACATTACTAAACCACTAAGTAAACTAATTGACACGAATTTCTCATGGAATGGAGGATGAACATCGAAATGAGGTGGAATACCCATTCCTGGTAAATATTCATTAACTGTAAGTTGATTTATTTCTGGTTAGGGTTTTATTAAATCAGACACTTTGGCTCTGACATCCTCAAGAAAGGCCGGAATATGTTTGTCTGCAGGCTAATTGATATTGACTGTATTATCTCCATAAATAAATTCATAGCCATAATGTTGAACTCTTCTTTATTTCAATTTGGACCATTCTTGCTTATCGATTAAATCCAAAATGTATTTTTCATATTCTGGAGTAATGAAATCATGTATCAAATACAGTCCTGGGATATTAACTTGTCGCATAGCATTTGGTATATCACACATGCCTCCTCCAATTAATTCTTATTCTTTTGTATAAAAAAACATGGTGGCTCTCTCCTTATTTTGGTACTTTAGATTTGCAAACTTGATATTCTCGAAAATTTGTAAGGACTAAGGGTTAGTTAAGTCATACTTATGTTAATTGTAAACTCTATTGGATGTTTTGGAATTCAATAAATGCATAATTTCTTACAGGGTATATCATTATTTTGTTCTGTCCGAACTATTTAACATAATTGCAGATGGTGTCATAATCATCTTGATCACCTACTCCGAAATGAACTGCTATTAATTTATTTGTAGGTTCCTAAGTGACTAATTGATCGAATGGTTTCTTTTCAGATTTAGTAAGTGCCTTTATTAAGTAAAATGTATACTGCAATAGCTATTGCTAATTTCTTATTCAATTTGATTGTGGGATTACGTACTTTCTCTTTTGTCTCGATGGCTATATCTAAATCCATTAATATTTTTACAAAATCGAAATAATTTATATACTAATTCTTTCATTAGTCAAGGATTAAAAAATAATTTATTTCATTTTTAAGCACTTCATTAGTCTTTCTCAATCATAAGTGAAGTTTTATAATTCATAAAAAACAAGATAACTAAAATCAATTGAAAATTGAGTCATCTGAATTCATATATTTATAGAAGTAATGTTCGAAAGTGAATATAGGACATAGGAAACACCCACATATATTATATGAAATATATATTAATTATTAATAATAAATGAAATCTGTATCAATTGCTAAAACAGGATTATCTTGGCTAGTCTCTTTGATTGACTACAGATCTTGGAACATGACCAGCATATCCTGGTATTTTAGTATGACTATTATTATGATGAATTGTTATACTAATTCTCTTTTAAATTAGTTTTCATAAAATCTGTTCTTGGTTCACTTCCACTTCCATGTTCAATAGCTTTAGAATTAGTAATAATTGATGGTATGAATCCTGTATATCCAGGTACATGCTATGCTTCTTATGAAGTTCCTAGTCTCAATTCATCAAATGTTCTTGGATGAGTTTCATCTAATTCATTTAATCTCTCTCTGGGATTCTCTCCTATTTACCCATACTATTTCTTATATTCAGATGGTCCAACTTTCCTATCATAATTTTCTATATATAATACGTTTCCACCACATATGGAGGTCTATTTTAACTCCATTCAGGAGGGATTGCTCTATTTTTTGCATAAGGATCCACTATTGATGCTTAATATGTAGATTTCCAATGCTCACAACCAGTCTTGAGTAGAGGATTCTCTGGAGTTATTGCTGAATTCCCTGTTTTTTAGAAAAAATTGCTAGAAGTTGCACTCTCCAATTGTGCCTATAAATAATTTAGAGGATTATTTCCTTACTTTATTGGCCTTATATACATTCTTATAATGCGGAGGTTATACAGTAGAATCAAGTGAAACTTATTTGTTCGAGTAATGATAGTTGGAATTCTTATAAAAGCTCTCTTTGTCTTCATTTCTAACAGCTAAGTTATTGTTGTAATCAAACTTACTTTGCTCCCATACTTCATTAGAGTCTAATGTCCTTTTGCCAGCTTTAAGAGAAGGGTATGGCAGATCTCCATACGATTAAAATGCTGCATAACCAACAACTTTAGGAATCATTAATTTTTAATAATATCAAAATCATCTCTTTATAAATAATCATAATAACTCTGAATTTTTTATTTGATACTTACACAACCATGTCTCTGATTCTGCTATTACATTAGCATTTTTGAAATAATGACATTATCTAACAATTTATGTCATTCCTATTCCAATTTCAGCATAAAAACTTAACAATTACAAAAAAGAGAATTAAAAAATTTCTCTCATTGCTCCTAACCCTCTGAGTCAATCAATTTATCATTTCTTCAAATGTATTACTATTTAAATTTCTATTTTATATACTTTCCTCTGGTATTTGTCAATTACCTATTGGTAATTTCAAACTAATATTCCATTTACAAATTATAAATTTTATTTATACTAATTTTTCATAATTATTGAAATTACGTAATCATCTTCTTACCTAAAAAAGCAAAAAGAATTACGGAAAGAAGCGAATGACAAAAATTTAATGATTAGCTAATCAACTAATTTAAATATATGATGTTTGTTTTATCGAAGAAAAAACTTGATTACTGAAAATAGAAAATGGAATTTTGATCAAAATAAATCAGAAATTGAATCCATTTACTTGACTATCAAGATGTAATCAATAATTTTTATCAAAAAGTTTTCATTTCCTGCCTTTTCACATTATACTATTTTTAGACTTAATGAATGAGTATTGGTTCTTAATTGTCAATGAGCAATTTAGGGTCCTTAAATTGCTCATTTACAGAATTTTAACCTCTACTCATTCATTTAGTAACGTTAAATGGTGCTTATGGACTTAGGCTAATATTTGTGGGTTTTTATAAAAATTCTTGTGACCATTGTACATATTCTTAATTGTAATAATATCACTGATTGCTTTCAGTAATGTTAGCCTATATTAAGAAATAAAATATAACTTCTATAAATAATGAAAATTTCAGGGATAGAAAATAATTGCCTTAGCAATAATTAATGAATTATTTTTAATATTTTTCAAAAAAGTATTGGAATCGAATAGTCGATTCATTAATAGCAATTTTTTCAACAAAAAAGCAACAAGTTTAAAATTTACAATTTATCAATTGGTACTTCTCTTTGATTTAAAAAATGACATGTGTTGGAATATTTCAGCAATTAATAAGGAATTATAAAAAGATTTTTATTATTGATTAAATTTGAATTAACATAATATAAAATTAAACAGCAAGAAATGATTTATAAAAATAAATTAATTAATTGAAGTCTATTACATTAATCACAGGATCTAGAAATTGCAAAGATATTAGATAATTTTAAAAAAGAATTAGATTCTAACATTAAAAGGAAAGTAACAAATTCAAGTTGAATGAAAATAAAACCACTATTTTTATATTATTAATTTGAACAGTAATGTTGTATTCTCATATTCCTTAACTTGCCATCTTTGGTTTCCAATTGCAATAGTTTTATCAGTGAGAAAACTTTTACAATTCATGATTTATAAACAAACAATAATAGTTGTTAATATTTTTATTCATTTTTAAATTTAAGAGGTCTTTTTCTAAATTAGGAAAAAAAAGAGCCTTTGAGTAATTGAGGAGAAGCTCATTTAACTGAATAATAGCGACGATTTGTAAATATATGAAAAATTGATTGACATAAAACATATATCATTAAAAATTGAATCAATCGAGTTATCCCAAAATGTCTTCTTCAACTGAATTTATTACTTCAAAATGAACTCCATTTATCAGTACATTAAACTGTCGATGCGGATCTAGAGTTAATAGAGATAGATACTAGTTGGATCATATTGACTGTATTCTATATTAGAAGGTCTTTTGGGGAGGAGTTTTGGTTGTGATTTTGTATCAATGCAATTCTGTGAATAAGAAATTATTTTATTGGAAAATTAACTTACAGGAGTCATGGCGGTATTTTAACTATTTAATTTTCTTTTATTCGTTTAGCAAGTGCCCATCTCAAAACAATATTTTATTTATTTATCTAAAATGATTTTAATTAAATCATGATTATATAACAATAAAATATCATTTGCTATCAATTGTACTATTTTTTTAACTATCATGGAATTGATTAAATTTTTCAGAAATTTGTTTGTAAAGTATTGTTACAATACAATTAAGATATTTAACACTGCTAGAACTCTGCATTTAAATATTGCATTAAGATTTCAGTTTGCCTGACTATTATGGAATGTGTACTAAGTAAAAGTACTTGATTCAGAGATAATAATAGAATCTTGAAAGCTTAGCTGAAAGAAAAAGAAATTTAATATAAAGAAATTTTGAAGAATTTTCTGAGTTTCCTAAAATTAATTAGGTAATATTTTAAGTTGAGATTTCCCACTATCATTTAATATCATTAGAATATCAGAAAAATCTAAAGTAGATGCATTTATATTTTTAGTTATATTACACATATAATTTATAACAAAAAAACTCAGGATTTTTCATTGATTAAGCATAAAATCATAAATTTTAAGTGGATTATATAATTGAGGTTTAAATGTGCATTCTTACATTACTTTTTATTCTTATTCTTGCTTCACTAACTCAAGTTTCTAAAATTAAATAATCGTTGATTACATTCTATTGTAATTTTGGACCCGATTTAACTATTTTCATTGAGTGCTTGCATAATTTAGGCTTGGTATAAATAAATTCTTACTTAGAAAGTACATTAATCGAGATCAATTATTTTTTTTTATCTTAATCCATTGATTAATTTATTTTTATCAGAAACATTTAAAGATTATATCAATCTATTAGCTGCTTCTATAAATGATTCTAAATCTAATTGAGCCTAAATAGATTCCATTTCACATAATAAGGGTGCCAAAATTTATAAAATTTCTTATTAAATTCCAGAAATTTCAATAGAAGATGCTGAAATTTACCCATCTCCATCTGAATCAAGTAAAGAGAATATCTCTTCTAAGACTTTCCTCTTCTTATCCTCAAAAATCAAAGTTGATTTTTCTGAGGACTTGGCCATGGAATTCATAATAGATTATCTTTCCTATTCAACTAAGTAATTATGATGATCCTCATGGACAGTTCTCATTTGAAAGAGATAGTCTCCTATGGGAAGATTAGAGTTATTTCGCTATGAAATATAAAAAGTGAATACCTCATTTGTAGGTGGTCTTCCAATTATGGGATGATATAACTTTTAACCAGTTGACAGATCATGTGTAGGTTCTTCAGTCATTACAGTTTCTTCTAATTTTTTTTATCTTTTTTAGATGGAAATTTGCATTCTTTCTAGAAATGGAATATCTGAAGGTTTTCGTTTTAAAGGAGAGGTCATATTTGATTAATTGATCATTTGGCTAGCCTCTTTCTTTTTCTTCATGGAATTTATGCCTTATTAATATAATCGATCATGTATCTGACTTTTTTGAGCACTCGAATAGTTTCTTTCTTTTTCCTGAGAAATCTTTTGACTTCTAATCAAAATTGTTAAAGTAATTTTACATAGGATTGATAGTAGGTTAAAAGGAGCATTACTAATTCTATGCAGCCATTCTGCTACTTCTTAATTGCTCCTTTCTCTGTGCCATCTATTTGCCTTGCATAATCAAATACTCTGATGTAGGCATATTCGGTCTTTTAGCCAAAGCCAAGCTCTTCTCACTTATATATGGTTTGAAGGAATATAAAACATCTTATTTAGTCTCTAAAACTCGACTTTGCCTTGATCTTTAATATAACTATTCTCCTGGATTGTATGGTAATGTTTTTTGAGGACTGAAAGTTTATGATAGACTGTTGGTGATAAATTATTAATGTTTTTTCTGGGTCTTAACGGCAGCTTCATTATGTAATCGATCGAAAATGCTCTATTTTGAGCAATGGCTGTCCTGAAGATTGCTGATGATAGTTTATTCAATTAAAATAGTTGCCTCTTCTCTTAACTAATGTTTGCTAACAAATTCCTTTGCAATCATAGTTATATCAGAATCATCATATACATGCAATGTTTCCTTAAATCTTATATACATTTGTATACATGTTTCTTCTCTCCAAGATCGAAGACGATTTGAAGCACTTCTTGTTTTGGTTTTCCAGGTGTTGACAGACCTCTTGATTGCATTATTTTATAATATAAATTAATCAGTTATGCGCAAACCTAATATTTTATCATTTACTCGAGATGAAACTCCAAAACCTTCCATTAATAGAGAAAGACATGTCAATCGATAAATGGCCATTAGTGTTGATTCACCCAAGGAATTTTAATTTAAGCATATCAAAGTCGAAGATATCCTCTTTGTTAAACCATAGGATGCTGCCATCCAATAAGGTAAACTTTATTTATCTAAAGACTTAAGAGTAGCAATACAAAAGGATTAAATGGTATGGTAAAGCTGTTAACCTCTAACATGATCTTTAAATGACCTTAAGACCCAATTTGAGCTTGTTACAAGACAAAAAAGTTAATGAGTCCATTCAAGAATCAGAGGATCGTATTATCAGACTCAAATCAACCAAATCTAGATTCAACGATAAAATCTCTAATAGATCCTATGAACTCGAACATAATGGCAGATATTTAGATTAAAAATGTGCTTTCCAAGAAAATTATACTCTCTACTCTAAAGATTCCTTTAAACTTAAAACAGGAATGTTTGAACAATTCAAAAATGCTTAACTCCTTTAAAAAAGAGGTAATCAATATGAATATTTCCTTTAAAAACCAAATTACTACGATTATAGTAAATAAAAAACCTTTAGGACTTCAAAACAAAAGCCAAATTTACTTAATCAGACAGATAATACTTTGGCTACTTTGTTTGATACTCCCATTAAGTATTAGAATGAACTAAATCTAAAGATTGCTCGAAATTAAATTCTACAATCACTTGAATAGCAGAAGAGGAAGAGAGCTATTTCAGAATATTGATTTGATATTTATATTCTAATTAAATAATAATAATATCAATTTTAAAGTCATGAGTAGAATGGGTAGTTTGGTTCTTCATTCAATAAAATTAAAATCGTTGTTTTATTTCCAATTTTCAACTTCTATTTTCTCTTAACTAAAGTTCTAACTACTATTTAAATAGCAGTATCTGCAAATTCATTGATCTCTTTTCCATAATATCGTATATATGGTTCTTAAAGGTGTTCCAAATTGATTACTATAGAAGAACCTCTCCTGCATTCACTAAAAATATCATAAATTAGTCTCACAAAGTAGGTTCTCACCATTTATACCTTTCCCTCAGATGATGGAATAATTTGATAACTAATCGATTTAAATTGGAAAAACTCCTTGAGCTTTAATAAAATTGGTTCTATTTCAAAGTGTTATTATTTAAACTAATGATTGAGGATTTTGTAATTGAGAATTTATTTGAAACAATAAATCCTTAGCAAATGTAATTGATTCAAATTATTTGATTTTAATGAAATAGACAAATTATTTACTATACATTTGAAAATCTTAAATTATACTAATCTCTCTTTTTCAATTGTATTAAATACATACCTTTTTAATTTATCCTAAACTTAGGAATTATTATCAAATTTTATTAGGAATGTTGGCTATTAATAATTAAAGAAACAGATTGTTATAATTTATTTTTATTTACAACCCTTTTTTATTTCAATTTATTTACTGTAAGATTTAATTTCTGAAGATTATTTACGTACAATGTCTTAGAAACAAACCTATTCGAGATTTTACTATTTGTAATGCCACTCTCTTAAAAATTATTTCAAGCTCTCTGAATTATCACAATTAAATTCTAATTATCGTGATGAAATTAATGAAAATCTTAATTAGCTGCTCTCGAATTGAAATAAAATATATGACTTATTTACAATAATCGGCAAAATTTATTCCATTAAATTATCCTTCAAACTCAATAAAAAAAAGCTGCGACTTTCGTAATTCAATTTATGAACATAAAAACCCAAAAAAAAAATAAGTAATATTGTTGCAAAATATACATTATATTATGGAGTTTTAGTTTCACATATTGCCAAAACCAATCGTATTACCATTGTGGTTGTTACCAGGAATATCCCTTAACACATATCAACAGCCAGAATGATAACAAAGTTACAAGCAACAAAATTATTAGCAAATAATGGAATCGCCTCTTGCGAGACTGTGCTCGTTAACATATACTAGTAGGCAAGTAATAAGTAATTTAATATCATCAAACAGCATTATACTGATGAAGGTTTCCACTTTACTATAAATATAGACAAGATGAGATAAATTTAAGTAACAACTAAAATGCTTAATTGATTCAACTCGTTATTCAATATTTCTGTGATCATCTTTACCATGCTGATAAAAAACAGTCCAATAGCACTGCATACATAGACTGGTTTTCTGAGTTAATTGATTTTCTATTCTTAATATTTTCTTTCAGATTCTTTATCTAAAAATATTAAACTATATTTGTTCATAATTATCTATTTTAATAATTTAAAATGTTGGTCTTATTTATTGATGATTAAAATAATCAGAATATATTTAAATAATTCCTAGATATTCTAAATCAATTAATAATCAATTAATATAATATGTCAAGATATATTTTACTAAATCAAATGAGAAAACAAATCTTTCTTCAGCCAAGCGTAATCAAACCCAATTCCATAACATTCTAAAGTATTGATGTTGATATAGTTTATCTTTTTGAAATTTAAGTCTTTGTCTGATGTATATAGTATATGATCTTTTTGCACTACCTAATCCTTCTTAATCCCAACAATGTTTCTTTTTGTTATTGTAAATTATTTAGATTTAGTATTATAAATCACTTTTTCTACTTAATATTTATAAAATTATCTCTATTTTATTATTCTAGTGAATATGAATCCTGTGGTTATGGCAACTTTGAAGATTTCCATGTTTTTTTTATACCATTACTCATCCCTGAATACAGTATACAATCCCAAACCAGCAAAAGTCACCCAAAAAATGTTCCATAATGTAGAGATTATATAGGCTCTACCCTTAGTGTCATACAAATTAATATCGACTTCTCTATTTAGAATTTCTTCAAATAAAATGGCTGCTCTGTATTCTTCTTTTGCCTTCATCTTACTTTTCTCTTTCAAAGATGCTACAATTGCATTTGTAATAACTTCCTCTCTCATTTTGGCAACATACCCTTATTTTTTTGAGGTCTTTTATTTTTCTAAGTTTGTTTATTCTTTTTCTGCAAATTCTCCTTTTTCTTTTTCCTCATTTGAAAATCCAAATTTTGATTAATTTATAAATTGAAAGGGTTAGCATCTTGAAAAAGCTAAAACATTTGATAAATTATATCTGAATTTTATCATAATTAAATTTAATATATAGTATGAAATTTAACTAAATCACAACTATTTCATATCCTAAAGTACTTTATATAATCGATCTCTTTCCTAGAATTGCTTTGACAACTTTAAGCAACTTTCTATTAAAATATCTTTTTGTTCTTAACTCCAACTATGGTATAAACATTATTCTAGATGAAACTTTAATGAATGCTAATATCCTTCCTTAATTGCTATCTCTATGGCCGTTAAATGGAACTAAAATAAGATTTAAATTTACAGTCTTTTCTATTTATTCATCGTCACTCTTCTCGTTCAAATCTCTAATTATTTCATAAAGCTAACAATTTGGTTGTATAATGTATAAACATTTTGCTATTTTTTAAAAATTACTATTGAATATTCTCTATTTCAGCATTTCATAATAAGTTTGTTCTAAAGCAAACAAAAATTCTTTGTGATGATACAATTTACAAATTTGATCAATGTATTAATTGCTCAACTATCCCTTAACTAAACCTAATATCTATTGTTAATATTATTTTACTTCCAATTACTATAACTTATATTCTAAGAAGATCATATTAGAACTAGCTTAAACTTCCTCCAATGCAGAATATATTTCCATTAGAAGTTCAGATTTTCGGTTATTAAAATTAATTTTATCTCTTAATTCTCCCTGTAAAACCACTAATATGAATTTGAATTATACAAGTAGTAAATTGTTCTACTTCTAATTACAAGATTGAAAAATTTCTTTGTTAATCCTATTAATCACATTTATTATGATTCAACATTTTGAATTTGCATATTGATTATAAGACTTACAATTCCTATTAAATTAGCAGATTCCTCGTTTCTTCTGAGTCTTTTTCATAATTGTATTATCTAATATAATCCAAAATTACATTAATACATAAAGTTTAAATTCGATTTCCAAAATTTGAAATTATAAGTGCTCTTTTTCCAGTTCATAAAGAACTCAAGTAGCTTTTTCTCGAAAGAATTTGAGAGTCTCTTTATTTTAAACATATAATTTAAATTTATGAAAGTTGTTAATATAAAAAGCATAACTAAATTATTTTAAAATAATAACAAATTTTTTATTTTCTTTAAAAATAAATGACATTATATTCCTCTTTTAATTCTTATTATTACTGATATTTTACTATTTTGAGATTAATCTCAATGAATTAACAGAATATGAATTCTAAATGGCCAATCTAAAACATAAATACTAAATAAAATAATGGTCTTTAATATTACCTTACACTAGAATAATTGTCAGAAATTAATTCAAATAATCGCAATTAGAAAATGGCAAATTGATATTAATAAACTGGATTACTATTATGTAAACATTAAAATGAGATAAAGAATATTCGAAAAACTCATTAATTAAAACTGAACAAGAATGCACGGTTATGAACTTGAATTTAACAAGTTAAAACCAATAATCTTATAGAATTTATTAACATTAAATCTCAAAAAAGAAAAAGGATAAAACAGTTTTTCTGAATCTAATTTAAGTTTTTTAGGATAAAATTCCAACTCTTACTAATATTTATTAATAACAAATACATCTGTAAATGAAATCATTGCTATTATTTTTGAAAAATTTGATTTTTGGTAAAAATAAAGACGAAATATAAAATAGATATTGTAATTGTATTGTAGTTATTTCATAAATATTTAATATTTAAGGAAAACAAAATAAAATGCATTATTAATTTTAGAATTTGACAGACTAAATATAATTTTGAACTGAAGATTCTTAAAAGTTAGGACATAATGAAAAAGTAAGATACTTTAAGTGGTCTGCTAAAAGGATAAAACTGAATATAAATAACTGAATTTAGATTCTAAATATAAATGTTTATTATTAATCAAAAATAGAAAAATTCTTCCAAATGTTACCTTGCGAATGGGAGCTAAGCATAGCGATAATAGGAGATACTGGAGTTGGAAAATCAACATTTCTATCAATGTTTATGACTAATCAATTTGTGTAGAGGCATAATGATAAAATTTCTGTTCATCAAAAGGAGATTTTGGTAGGACAAAAGTTGGTTTAATTAAAACTGATTGATATTGTAATGATATAATATGAATTAAAGTCTGGTAAGGAACCATTTCGTTCGATGGCATGGGTTCATTACAGAACTTGTGTTGGAATAATATTAATTTTCGATCTTTCCAGCAGGGATAGTTATGAGAATCTGAAAAAGTGGTATGAAGAAATCTAGTAGTATGTTGATCAAGATAAAATAGTAATTAGATTGGTAGGTAATAAATGTGACAAATTGTTTTACGATGATTTGGAAGAAGGGAAGGATGGTGGAAATGATAGGTAAAGAGAATTCTTATTTAGTTGCAAGGCATTACATACAATATGAGGAAGGGGAGCAATTTGCAGCCACTCATCAAATGCAGTATTCTCAAACTTCAAGTAGTGTGCTTTCGTTGAATCAAGATGAGAACTACTAGAGTATAAAAACAATTATCACCAAATTTACTGAAGAGATATTGGACTTTATAAAAAAATAAAAAGAAAGTGGTAAATTGGATGAATTGATTGGAATTCGAAGTTTAAAAAAATAAGTTGTTATTCAGGAGGTGAAGAAAAAAATTAATCGTAACTCCTGTTGTTGAATAGAATTGATAAGAAGGTTTATGATAATGATTATATTTTCCAAATTTCCTACGAATTCAGCGTTTAAATAGTAATATAAATTATTGATATGATTTTAATATTAATATAAATATTTTTTTTATTCTGATGAGTTCTTATGCATACTTGTTTAAATTTATTATTATTGGAGACTCAAGTAATTATAATTCTAAAAGACATTAGGTGTTGGAAAATCATGCTTGCTTTTATAATTTTTGGATAGGAAGTTTAAATTGGATCATGATACCACAATAGGAGTTGAGTTTGGAAGCAAGACTTTGAATATTAGGTAAAAGAACATAAAACTCTAAATTTGGGATACTGTATAAACTAATTTCATAATTTTAGGCTGGACAAGAGAGTTTTAAATCAATTACTAGATCATATTATAGAGGATCAATTTGCGCATTAATTGTGTATGATGTGACTAGCAGAGACAGTTTTGAGAATATCAGTAGATGGATGGAAGAAACAAAAAGCTATGCAAATGATAAAATAACACTAGTGTTGGTTGCTAATAAAACTGATTTATCAGACAAGTAAACATATATGAAAAATCTATTAGGAGAGTGATATCTGCTGAGGAAGGGCAAACATTCGCCAAAAAGCATGATTTGATATTTGTTGAGGCATCTGCAAAAACAGGATTTCAAGTTGATAAAGTATTTTCTATCACACAATATATATTAGATATTTCAAGAAGCTGCTGAGGCTGTCCTTAAAAAAATAGAGCAGAGAGATATTGATGCTACAAATGAGGTATGAAATTAAAATATGTTTAGTCTATTGGTGTGCGTATAGGATCATAAATGACTGAAGAAATGATTGAAAAATAAAAAGAGTAAAAAGCATCAAAATGCTGTTGAAATGATTATAATTTTAACTTTAAAAATAAGTTTTGAGTTTCTCATTTAATTCCATCAAATGATACTTATGTTTTCTTTTCATGTAAATAATTACTCTTTATTGTGTTTTATTATGATCTGGAGACATCATGTATTACCTAGTAATTCTCCCCTTTTTTGATGCTTGACATAAGAATAAATTGTAGAGTTCTCTTTATTGAAATTCAATTTTCCATAATTTTTCTTTTTACAATTGTTAAAGCAGAACCTCTTTGCAACAAGTTTTATTATAATACTGCAATGTAAATAGTTCAAAATGGATGTTGCTTTGTGATCTTCTTGTGATTTAGAGATTCTGGCTTTGTGAATTGTATACATATTTTAAGTAATTTCAGGGAGATAAAGGGAGGATGGGAGAGTGGTTTTGTAGGGCAAAGGGTGTGTTTTTTGTAAAGTTCGTTTAATGATTGTTTAGATCAGAATAATTTTACATATATGGATTTAATTAGTGATGCAATCTTATGCTCATTATTGAGATTCTATATTTTAAAGTGTGATGGAATGAATATTCATTAGATATTATTTTTCATAATTTATTGTGAATGGCTTAGTATCGACCATTGAATGATGGTTAGTAGAACTTCACATAGGCTACAAATCCTCAGATTATTGCGGGTTTCCAAGCTTTGAGAATTAGTGTCGATTTGGGAATGCAGCAAAGTGAATCTGCTCGTAGGAGCTCGATGAAAGCACAAGCTCTCGTTTCTACGCAAAGTCAGATGCTTAACCAGATGAAAGTAAGGCTCTAAATTTGTATTCCTAGGAATAAAAAATTATGGTAAAGGATGTCATAGTACCAGTGGATGCCCCTACTAATACAAAGCCAGATATTCTTAAAAAGGCTTAAAATAAGGGAGAAGAGTACAGGAACATGGATGAGCATAAGATGGATGTAATTGCATTAGCGAACAGGTAATGTATTGACCCCATAGTTTAGATTGGGAACAAGCAAAGAGGATGGTTTATCTGATGACTAAGCTGTGTAAAAGAATCTTTAATTTGGTGATAATAAATTATCAGAAAAAGCGAAGACTCCATGGTGGATCAAATTGATTAAAGAGATGGTTTAGCCATTTTCAATTTTGTTATGGATAGCATCCTTTGCATGTTTTGCATTATATGGTGTGAATCCAAATGCCCTCGGAGCAAAGTCGAACTTGTGGTTGGGTATGAAAAAGCATCTATTTTTTAGCAATCATTTTAATTGCGATTATTTTACTAACAGGTTCAATTACCTACAATTAATCTGCCAAGGCTGACGCTTTGATGGAAGGCTTTAAGAATTTCTTACCTCAAAATTGTATAGTAATTAGAGGAGGACAAAGGAAACAGGTTCCAGCAGAGAAGATAGTGCCAGGAGATATAGTGGAAGTGAAGATGGGAGACAAAATCCCAGCAGATATCAGAATCATACAATCTAGAGAGATGAAGGTGGACAACTCTGCATTGACAGGAGAATGTGATCCATTATTGAGAGTGACTGAATGTACAAGTGAGAATCCTTTGGAGACAAAGAACTTGGCATTTTTTGGTACATTATGCAAAGAAGGATCTGGATTGGGAATGGTTATCCAAATAGGTGATAAAACAGTCATGGGTTAGATTGCAGATTTAGCAACTGGAGGAGAAACACCAGAAACACCTTTGAATATAGAGTTGAAGAGATTCGTCATTTTGATTTCTTGTATTGCTGTAGGTTTGGGTGTCTTATTTTTGATTCTCTCATTGGTTGTTGAAAAGGCATCAGTAGATACTGCTGTGGGTTAAGCTATTGGTATTATTGTTGCAAATGTGCCTGAAGGATTATTGGGATGTATCACAGTTTCTTTGGCTATCACTGCTAAAAGATTGGCAGATAAATAGGTGTTGGTTAAGAATTTAGAAGCTGTTGAAACTCTTGGATCAACAAGTTGCATTTGTTCAGATAAAACAGGAACCTTGACTTAGAACAAGATGAGTGTTGAAAATGTTTGGTATGATGGATTGAAGAGGAGGGCGTTGAATAAGTTGATTGCAGGAAAGAATGCTGAATATGAATATGAAACTAGTGATCCAACATTTAGAGATTTACATGATTGTGCCATCATTACCAGTGAAGCTAAGTTTAATATTCAGGCTAAAGACAAATAAAATATCAATTGGTTAGATACTCCAACCATTGGAGATGCCTCTGAAACTGCTTTGATCAAATTCTTTTAACCAATCGAAGACATTGAATTAACAAGACAAAGAAGATAATTTGCAGAATTGCCAGATAAATCATTGGCTAAAATGCCATTCAATTCAACCAATAAGTTCTCTCTTTGTATTGTGAATTGGGAAACTCATGATTCCTACTATTGCGTTTACATCAAGGGAGCACCTGAGAAATTGTGGACATTTTGCAGTTACCTCTTGGTGGAAGGCAGAAATCAACCTATTGATGAATAAATTACTTAGAAATTCAAATAAGTCAACTTGGCTTTTGGTAGAGGTGGAGAAAGAGTGCTCGGATTTGCTAAATTGCACTTGCCAAGAGCTGAATATCATAAAGGATATTAATTCAATTTGAATTCAGTTGACACACTTAAATTTAAATTGGAAGGATTCACTTTCTTGGGTTTATTATCTTTGATGGATCCTCCTAAAGTTACTGTACCTCAAGCTATCAAAAAATGTTAATCAGCCGGTATTAAGGTTATTATGGTGACTGGAGATTAACCACCCACTGCAGGTGCTATTGCTAAGTAAATTGGTATCATCACAGGTAAGACTGTTGATGATCTCTTGGATGAGAATCCTTCAATGTCATATGAAGATGCCTTTAGATAAGCTCCAGCCATCGTTATCCATGGTGATTTGATTGTTTAAGCATTGGAGGAAGAGGCAGCACAAGGTGAAAATTTACCTGAACATCTCAAGGATAGAAAACTAAGAAGTTGGTGCAGTAAACCTTAAGTTGTATTTGCTCGTACATCTCCAGCATAAAAACTGATGATTGTCAGGGCTTGTCAATATTTGGGCCACGTGGTCGGAGTTACAGGAGATGGAGTCAATGATTCACCAGCTATCAAATAAGGTGACATTGGTATTTCAATGGGTATCAGTGGATCTGATGTTACTAAAGATGCTGCAGATATGATCTTATTGAATGATGACTTTGCTTCAATTGTCGATGGAGTAGAAGAAGGAAGAAAGATCTTCGATAATCTTAAAAAAACTATCGTCTATCTTCTTACATCTAATATTACTGAAGTGTTCCCATACGTAGGCGAAATCGCTATAGGATTACCACTTCCTTTGAGCAATGCCTTTATTCTCACTATTTGTATTGGTACTGACATTCTACCTGCTATTTCCTTTGCTTACGAAGAAGCTGAAATTGATATCATGACTCGTAAACCAAGAAAGAAGGATGACCATTTGGTGTCTCTCAGATTGATCACTCATGCCTATCTATTATAAGGAGTCATAGCCACATCTGCAGGATTCTTTAGTTATTTCAGTACAATGAATGAATATGGATTCCCTCCAAAACTCATTCTTAGTTTTATGAACACACCATATCAATAAATCCCTTGGGCTCCAATCACCCTTGCAAATGGACAACCATATGCACCCCCTCCTACAAGTTGGGTCTGGGATATGCCTAATATGAACAAGTAATTCGTTATTCTATTTTATTTAGTCCATTCTTAACATAGCAACCTTACAGTCCTAATTGGTAAATGGCACCAGTATTGGTTCCCCCTTCAGAAAGTCAGATCGCTAATACAGTTGGATTCTAAAACATTCCATTGAATTGGATCAATCCAGAACTTATCTATTATGATTTAAGATACATCTTCGTTACTTATAATTCCACAGACAACAGATGGTTCCCTGTGTTTGAAGAATGGAACAACCAATTTTCTGATCAATTGTGCAGATACTTTGATAGATCAGACTCACTTCTTGAAGGATCTGGATATCCCATCAATACAAATGCTTGCTTCAAAACTGCTGCTCTTAAATATGCTTAAACCTCCTACTTCGTTGCTGTTGTCTTGGTCCAATGGTCCAATGTGTTCTCGTGCAAATGTAAATACTTATCTTATATCTCTCTAGAACGTAAGATGTCTTTGATTTATTCACCCATCAACGCTGTCATGTTCTACGGAGTCATCCTTGAGACCATCATTTTCCTTTGCATCGTCTACATTCCAGGAGTCAATACCTGGTTTGGTGCCAGACCAGTAGATATACTCAATTTGGGGTATTGAATTAAGTGTATATCATAGAATGCCTGGACTCCCATATTCCATGTGTCTATTTTGTTGGGAAGAAATGCGTAAATACTTCATTAGAAACTTCTAAAAGCCCAGTAAATTAGAACCAAACTTCTTTGAAGCAAATTCACTATGGTGAGTGTACGGTAGTGACATTAATATAAATAATAAAATTTGTATAGAATTATTTATAAATTAATTTACATAAGCTTATTTCCATCTATTTCAATGTTCATTCGATAGTAAGTCATCGTATTCGTAGGTGTAGATATCAAGATTAGACGAACATAGAGGCTCTGAGAATAGAATAAATTGCACCACTACAAAATTATAATTATAAGATTAACTTACATTTTGGAGATATATATAAACTCGAAACTAACAATCGAATATGATACTTCGTACTCTAATAAATCTTCAATATTTTATGCGCCTAAAAGTTCCCATTGAATTCAATCATTACCTCCATCTCCTCCTTCAAATTTATCAGATTACATTCAATCAAATCTTTGTCACTATTCTCAAAAACACTCAATAATATCATGAATAGAGCATTTGGAATTGTAAACAATGTTTCTATTTTGTTTGCATTTTAGAACTGTATATTTTTGTCAGGGTACAAATTCTCTATTTATCTTATTACGAATTATAAATTGACCGTGTTAAACTGATATTGATGGTCGTACAACTCCTCTATCAATTTAACTAGGATTAGCTTTCTTCTTGTCTCTTTAATAATAATATTATTTTTAGTTTCCTATTCTATCTTTGATAATAGATTTATTATCGTATTGTTGTATAAAATGAATCTCTTCTTGTATTTCCTCAGTTACTTTATAGAATGCTTATTTACTGAATTGATCCTCAGTAAAATCATCGGGTTTTTTGCTTGAAATATAGACATTTCAATCTATAAAAGCTACCTTTTAAATCGAACTCTCAGGATTTAATTGAAATGTTCATAGCAATTCATTTGGAACTTCTTAATACTCCCATATATGTATTCTGACAAGGAGGTTTTACCCAAAGATGCATTCTATAAGAAATGCCTTATAGTTCTTTCCTCCTGATCACTCTACTGTATGTCTTCGTCGAAGTCAAGGCAATTCTTAAAGGGAAATCTATTCTGCTTTTAAACAGTAAAGTTTAAGTTGGAATAGGAGAATTTCAGCAAGATATAAGGATCTTTAACCAATTCATAAAATATTTTATCCCAACCGTTCTCCACCAAGCCTAATAAATATTGGGATCTCTTGGCTCTGTGATACGTGTAGGCGTAAAATAAAAACGATAAATTAGCTAATATAGTGCTTGTAAGGACCATATAATTTTAGTTATTTGTAGTTATATACGGCAATGAAATTCTTAAAGTTGTTATTACAATTAATTAAATGACTGAATCAAAAAACTCCCCAGACAACACCAGCATAATGTTAACAGTCATTTGATTTGCTCCTTTTAGATTTTGAATTTCTGGAGAACTCTCCTCTTCAATTACTAGACCCATAGTACAAATATTCGTTATAACAAATGCCATCCTTGTTAATTATGGTTAGCACTACACGATTATATATTGCACGATAATATATAGTAGCATAGCAAGCTTGTAATAAAATAGGAAATCGCTCTTCTCAATTAAACAATACATGACTCTAATTGTGAAAGTGATCATTAAACCAAAAGACATCAACCTAAAAACTCCTGATCTTGAACTTGATTATTATTATTGCTAGTATAAATTCTCTATTTTAGGATCTATGAAGCCTAAATGATATTTATTCATTAATATGAATTTATTATATTGAAATATTATAAGAATTTGAGGTTTAATTTATAAACTATTGTATTTTAAAAGATAAATCATTAATTAAGAATTATTTTATAATATTATATTGTAATGCTTAAAAATATTTTATGCTTAATAAAGTTTCAAAGTACAATTTCTAAGTGAGAAATTAGGACAATTTCTTTTTAGAGAAATTAATAATTGGAAATCTCTCTATAAATTTCTATTTCCAAATTGCTTAGAGTTTTACACAGGAAAATCATTAAATTTATAAAATCTCCCTAGTGCATAGACACAAAAAGATACAATTATATTTGGATTTTTGTTCTTAAAAATATTTATAATTATTTATACTTTGCAAGAAGATAAGTAATTAATAAATTATGTTCATTATTGAGTTCCTTTAGGTAAATATGATTATTGAACTTAATATAATAAATAAATTGATTCAAAAATTTTTAAGGAATTTCAAAAATGAGGAGGCTTGAGAATAAATAGTAGAATATAATAGCTATGTTTTGACATCATTTATTAATCAGTATATTGTATGATAATTAATATGAAATTGAGTTTATAAAATAAAATATAAATATCTAATAAAATTGATATGGCTTCTTCTAAAAAATAAAAGAAAAAGATAAATAATTAATTGAGTTAAAAAAAGACGATAAGGACTAATATCAGAAAAACAAAGAATGATTAATTGGCTCAATATGTGAAGAAATTCTAGAATTAATTTAAGTTAAACTAATTAGATTCTGACAAATAGGAGATCATTCCTTCATATTAGAGCATTCCTACAAGTTATTAGCTTAAAGGGAAAAAGAAGTTTCAAAAGAAGGAAGCAGTAAAAGGACTGGTGGGATTGAAAAACTTGGGAAATAAGTGTTATATGAATGCGTCGATATAATTACTTAGTAATCTGCAGCCATTATCAGATTATTTTATTGAAGTATATTTTGGATGAGCAAAACAAGGATTTCCAATTAACAGAGATTAATCGAAAGAATCCGATCTCCACGTAAGGTTTAGCAACTGTTGCATTTGCCAACCTAATAAAGAGCATCTGGCAAATGGACATTCAGAAACTCACCGTTAAGGGAACACCAATTATTATTCCTGAGGAATTCAACAAGATTATTGGGCATTGTAATAAATCCTTTTCGGACAATACACAATAAGATGCTTAGGTATTGATAAGAATTAATTTATGAGGAATTTCTGATGTATTTGCTTGACATGATACACGAGGATCTGAACAGAGTGACATTCCCAATAAAGAGTGTGCAATTGAGAGAATACTCTGGAGATTGTAATTAGAGAGAGTTAGAGAAATAAGCAGCAGAAACTTGGGGTGATTACCTACAACGAAGCAAATCGATAATAGTAGATCTAATGCAAGGACAATTCAAGAATTCATTGAAATGTTTGAGTTGCGATAATTACACCTATAAATTCGAGCCTTTGATGTACTTGAGTGTTCCGATTCCAGAATCAGAGGAATGTTAATTAATCGAATGCATAAAGGAGTATGTCAAAGAGGAGTAGCTAACAAATGGTAATCAATGGTTTTGTGAGAATTGTCATAAGCTAGTGGATGCGATAAAGAAGATAGATTTGTGGAAATTACCTACTATTCTAATAATCCATCTTAAAAGATTTAAATTTATAGAGAATGGAATTAAGAAAATTGAATAGGCAATTAACTTCCCTTTGGAGAGTTTGAACTTAAGTTAGTGCTTACCGAAACTGTAAAAAGAAAAGCCTATCTATGAATTATTAGGAGTTATTTGCCATACCGGAACAAGTGATAGAGGACACTACTACACATATGCAAGAAGCAAGGAGAATTTCAATTGGTATCTATTTAACGACAGGTAAGTAAAGTAAGTGAATTTCACTGAGATACCTCAAGAAGATGCCTACTTATTGATGTATGGCAAAAGCACAATCCCATTGATAAAACGTCAAACTATATCATTTCCTGAAAATTGGCCTCATGTAATAAAATGAAATCAATTCCATTATCTAATTATAATCAATAACTCATGAGTTCCACATCAAAGATATCCACATCTGTTTTGCTTTCGTGATTTATGACTCCGATTAAAATGTTGAACCTCCCATTTTATGGATTCTCTGTAACCCTTAAAATGTTAACCTTAGGTCCCACATCAAAGTATTTCAATGTTGTATACTCCTGACTTTCCGCAATCATTTTCCCTTTGATTATACTGTGATTAATAGGCTTTAAGAAATCTTCCAAATCCTTTTCCCATAATTTGATATTCTATTATTATTTCCTCATATGTTTACCTAACTCATAGCTCTTCTCACTTCCCACAATTGCAATTTGTTATTTTCCCCGACAGCCAACACCCAAATCTTACTCATTTTCTTCCTGGGCTCCAAAACAATCAGATCTTTGACTGAATTCTAAACTCCCAAATCTCTAAAATTGGATATGCTGCCTTCTTCAACCAAAGACAACTTGGAATCATCTTTCATCATCCTCAGAAATCTCAATCCTTGCTCTTTCTAATCGCCTCCATGATATTCCTTTCTTAATATAATTCAATTTAATACTATTCCCCACAAACAAAATGCATTAACTTTAATGTACTCTTATCATCATTTAATGCATCCGTACTTATGATTTAAAAGGTATTGTTGGCCAACATCTTTACTTGTGACACATTATGCACAACTCTTTCTGAATTTATACTATTAATCATATGCAATCTGCTTTTATCTTATGAAAATGTCATGAACAGTTTTCCAGGTTCCACAATACTTATTCCTTGTACTGGCTTCTCATACAGAAAATTCAGAACTATTAAATTCATTCTAAATACCATGCAAAGCCTATGGATTCTATATATGATATATCGAAACACTCCCAGTAGAGTATCCTGCCACAAAAAACTCACCTGAATATAATTCCGCAAAACAAGTGGCTGCAGATTATTGATCAGGTTTATGAAATTACCCTGCTGGCTAAGAATTAATTGTGTATCGACCTTCATTTCTGAAAATCTGCAACTGATAAGACAATAACTATCCAGAGTCATAATATTAACCAACTACCAACGTTATCTCACTTTCAGCTGTTGTATTGGTGTACAACAAAGGCTTACTCATTGCCAATAAGCATTTCACTCCTTATTGGCTTTTAGTGTCAATCTTTTGGATTATTTTCTTGTCCTAAATCCTATACACTTCGATATACGGATTAAACCGAGCTCTACATTTAATTATAGTAATACGCTATAGCTATTAGCTCTGAATTCAATGGAACAAAACAACTGACTTCTGATTACGTGGATTTTACACTCCCTAATTTCAATATAGAACAATTGCTCAATGTCTCAAACAACATGCCCAAAATACACTTTTGTCGAGAAGGATCTATTATGGTATTTTGGGTCTCTTTATGTAGATAATCGTTTAAAGTAGGAATGGCAGAAGTGTTTAATTTCACAATTTGTTCTTGTTCCTTTTTTTGAGGAGCTGGAGGAGGTATTCCTTTGAAAATACTGAATGCTCCATCTACTTGGAATTGCTTTTTAAATTTTTAATCGAATTCCTAGAGTTATGCCAACTCAAATTTTGGTATTCGAGGTGACAATTTATTCAAATCGACTTCCACTGCCAAATAATCTTAAGACTTCTTTAATATTGTTTATAACTTTTAAGCAACATTCTACATGATATCAATGTAATCTGAAGTCATCTCAAATGCTTTTTCCTATTCATTAATTATAATGTTTCCGTACTCTTACTTAAGCTTTTCTTCTAATCTAGTGGGTTTACTTTAATTTAAAATATAATAATCGTTTGAAACTGTTTTCTTGGGTTCTTGGTTTTAAAAAGAGACTCCTTTTATGCCTTCTCTTACAAATTTTTCAAACTTATCCTTTGGTATGTGTTTCTTGTAAATTAAGGAATGCGCTATTATATGACTTTTTATTATTGTAGTTTCAAATGCATTTTCGAAACTTGTAAAATATTTATGCAATGAAGCAACTATTATAGACATATGCTCAATGATGTTATTCAAGTAATCCCTCAATATCGAAATTACCACATCTCGATATAGGTTACATTTTTTTCTCTACTCTTCCAAAATAATCTTCCTACTAGAAAGTTGATTGATCAATTATGAGACAAAGGTATGTAAAGGATAAACTGAATTGGGGTGAAACCTATGCTTTTGATATTGACATCTCACACAACAAAGTCCCTTGTACTTGCATTCAGAATCCAAACAAACTTAATCCAAAGCATTTCCCTAATGACCAGGTTCTTCACAATCAAAAAAAGGTAGCATCGATTAAATTTCATGATCGGATATTTTTTTACCCAAAAAAGCAAAGTAATCTGCAGCATAGAGTAAATTTTCTTCAGTCATAATATTTATAATTCGAATAATAATATAACTCTAGAATTGATAAACTATAATTCTTCATTACCCTTTTATTCAAATAGAGTTTAGGGTTAATACTTTTTGAAATCACAATGTTTAAACAAGATTCCCTACTTATTTTGTACAACATTAAGATTGCAAATACTTCAATTATGTGATATCTATAAAATACCTGATTCAAGAATAATTAAAAGTAAGTTGTATGAGATTATCAAATCTTTATACAATCTTACTAATATTATTCTCATAAATCTTAATACATATCATTATAGATAATATGTTCTAAGAAATTGTAAATAACAATAATTGAGATTATAAATATTATTAAATAATAATATTATCAATTATCTTAATTTAGTTTTTCTAAAAATTATGATGGTCCTCCATATTTTTCTATTAGTTTTTCAAAATATACAGCTCGTTCTGCTGACATAGATCTGATTCTGGATTTCTTAGTATTAGATTTGATTGAGTAATATTGAGTTCTAATACTTCGTTCTTAAGCTTATTGTTGTAAATTAAGAATATTATCAACTCTATCGTTGTAATTTTTCATAATTTCATCGATGTTGAATTGAGTGAAGAAGGCAGTCATGATGTGCATCCTCTCAAATTCATCTTACTGTTGATTTTTAATTTCTTTTTGATTTTCCATCACTTCGAAGCCTTCTTAGGTTGGTTCTTCTTCGTTACGCCTAATTTACATAAGTTAAATACTATTAAAGTTTAACCAATCTATCCTCATCTCCCTCTTCTTATGCAGAATAAACTTGTTTGATTTCATTAGCAACTTCGTTAGTTAATGTGAAACACCCTCTAGAATTGTACCTAATCTTTTCAAGTCTTTTAAATTCTTTAGTGAATTTCTTTTATTTTTATTATAATTCCTATATTAGTTCCTACTTTCTGTCATAATTGGAGACAAAATGTAACTTTGGACAAGTTGAAGAAAAGTGATTGATTTGTTAACATCCAAAACAAGGTAATCCAAGAGGAGAATAATCTTCGCCCAATTCAATAATATGTTTGTTCATTTGAAAGAATTGGTTTTGAGTTTAGTACTTCTTTAAAATCTCTGTGAATTTCTTTTTTTTCAATTTCTAAACGTAGACAAAATCAAGAGTGTAAGCAGATGCACTTCTTGATTTATTACTAAAGAAGCCGAGTTCTCCAAATGTGGCTCCCTTATCTAATGTCTTTAGACAAGTGAAGGTTTTTTAAATACAAAGCATGACCTGCCCTTTATTGAGAAAATACAGGCATCTATCTTCAATATTTTATCCATTTTCTAATTCAATAGGATCATCGCCCTCTAAAAATATGCATTCTTCAGGACCAAAGATCTATTCTTCTAATTCAAATGGCAATTGCAATAGCAGTTCTTTTTCGAATTTATTCTATTTGAACACTTTTGAGTTGTTGATCAAATCAGTGTTCACCGCAGCCAATACCTCAACTCTCAAAGAATAGGACAAGACATCCAAGGCCTCCTTTTCATTAACTTACGTAGATTCCTTTTCATATTTGTATTCCAAGTATTTTCTTACTCTAGCTTATAAATCTTTAGGAATGTCATTTGATTTCAGAAATTAATTTGCTTAGCCCATCTTTTATCTAATCAACTTCTCATTGTAATCCATGGATACAAATATACCTCCAATACTGTTCATAATGTATGCAAATATACAGCAAGCCAACAACATGACCACTATGCCAAATATCTTTTCCACTGATGTTACTGGAGTGATGTCTCCATAACCTACTGTTGTCATTGTTGCTGTTGCCCAATACACTGATGCTATATATTTCACATACCAATCACTATCCTATAGACCTTGAGCTCTAAGCCAACTGTAACTGTCTGACGAGTTCTCCTGATCTGCTATGAAATGCCAAATACAAGCCAACCAATGTGCTACAAAGAGCATTATAAATGTTAGTTTTAACACTTTATAGAGGGAGATCATGGAATTCGAAAAATCAACGTAGTCTTCAAATTTAGAAAATATCTTCTTTAATTTTAATACTCTTAGTAATCTAACTACTTTTATAAATCTAAAAAATTTCAAAATTCTCAGCAATTTTAATGTGTTAGCCAATTATTCGGATTATGATTTATTACCATTCTAATTGTCCTTTAATTAACTTTCATCAATCTCATCAGAATTTATGATTTCTTGTGTAGAGGCATTGATAATGATATCAAAAGGAAAGGTTGAAACTAGCATTAGTTAATAATATACCCAAGTCTATCCAAAACCAGGCCATCAAATAGTGTTTGGCTATGAGTTTACGATCGATTATGTATTAGCCCTTTTGTTGATAGGAGGTATTGAAATTGATGATAATGTCCAAACTAAATATTGCTATCGAGGCATAATTAAAGTTATCGAAAAATAAGGATTCAATTGTAAAACTAATATCGAGAGGTAAAATTAAGATTGCAAAAAATATGATCAACATGGTGAACAAATCCCAAAATATTCTAAACTTATCTTCAGGTTTGAAGACTTCTAATTGAAATCTAAATTTATTTTCAGCTGGCTTTTTAATAATGTAAATGGAATGTCGTTTCATACCATGTTCCATTACTGTTTACAGTTTTTTATTCACTTCTTGCCTCAAGGTTGTAACTTAATTTTATTCTTCATAATTTCCATTGTCATTAGCAAGATCATTCAAAATATTCAACTACCTTTCATCAAATAATTAATTTATATCCTCCAACTCTTCCTTCCTCTCATTCTATTAAAACTTCCTATATATCAAAGCCTTCTTCAAATCACATGCCTTGGCAGTCAACATCCTCTCCTCCTCCTCTTATTACGCAGATTGATATTTATTCTCTTCCAATATGATAGACGATTAATTCATTATTTTAATAAAATAATTATAATTTCTCAATCCTCCTTATTGTGTTTGTTCTTAGCCCTTTTGTTTTTGTCCTATTTTTTTAACTCCTGATTCTTTATCACAATATTCCCTCTTCCGTCCACTTGTTACTGAGGCAATGCTGTAGTGTTTTTCAAAAAGGTTTCAATGGCTTTTTCAGCAGTAATAGGATTTCTCCTATCATAATCATCCCAAAACTTAAAGCATTGAGTCTCGTAGAACTCTTGAGTCGAAATATCCTCTGTCTTCCAAAATATATCAAATATGGTATCTATTGGCACCAAGAAATTCAACACAGCTATTGCAAATTGAACCCATGTCAAAGGAAATATGGCATCATTTAAAATTGATTCCCAAACCAGGCAGCCAATCTAATATTATTAATTAATTCAATACCGCATATAGTAACAATGTGAATTCTCCAAAGAAGTCTATCATCTCTTCTGCCATCTCACTCCCTGTTGGTGCTGGCTTGGAATCTCTCCTCAGTAATAGTATTTTCTCCACCCAATATATCACCAATAATGAACCCAGTGAAAGGACAGGCCCAAGGGGTAGTAGATACGCATAAAAGAAGGTAAATAACAAGGTCTTTCCCAATTAGGCATACTTTTTCGACAAATCAATCATAGGACCAGCAAAATACCTAAGTTGTAAATACAATATACTCATTTGCTTCTTATTAATTAACATTGCATGCTTAACCTTATAATTGAATTTGATATCTCATAAATAACCTGTACAAATAAAATGGATCCAACAAGGTCATTAACCATGGCATGATTCCATTTGTAATAAAAATCAACATGACATCCTAGTTTAAACCTCCCTGTTTAATCACAGCATAATAGGATTTTTCTCCTTCTTTTACAATTACCAAATTAACAATTAAAGTTATTATGGCAGTGTTAAGAAACTGAGCAAATCCCAATTTCTTCGCAGCACTAATATCGTATTCTGTCTTGGTTGTTGGAGCTTCTAATTCTGCAAATTTTCTAATAATAATTGCCAAAATATTATTTATAATAGAAATCAGAACTGAAGCAACCACTCCCAAAATTGTAATAGCAATAAGTTCTGCTTAACTCAATTATTCGCCTTTTCCAGTATCAGTCAATGAGAATTAGCCATAAGATAATCCAAATAAAATCCCAAAGCAAATTCCCAACAAAAATATTGTTGCCAAATTTGTTATCAATTTTCTTTTGTATTATTCTAACAGAGTGACTCCCAAGTTCCCCCATAAGATATCTCCTGGTTCAGGTGCTTTCGATACGACGATAACATTATCTCTAAATCTTCTGATATCTTTCTTTCCTATTACTCTCATAACTTAGGATAGGATAAGATGCAATCTGGTGGCTTTGAAAAACTTGCAAACTGCATTAGCTTCATCCTCTGTGTTGTATGATATGATGGCAACACCACTAAATTAGAAGGAATTTTAAAAATTATCCTCATATTAATCCAATTGAATTGCTAACTAATCTAATGTTTTAGTTAGATCAAGTTTATTTGGTAATCGAGGAGGAATTGGCTTACCCAATCTCTCACATTCTAAAATCTTAGTAAATGTCTTCTCTTACTCTTGCTTTTATTTCAGAATTCTCAAATACTCTTAGATCTAATATCCCATACAAATCTTTTGTATTTTGTAATCAACATTATTGATCTTACTAAAGAATTGCCTAATCTCTTCTTCCTTTGCATCTCTAGGGATATTCTCAATAATTATAGAATAATCTGATGCCAATATACTTTTTTCATCAATTTTGTTTGCCAAAAGATTAATTCTTTTTCTATATAAAAACAACAGTATTATTAAGATTAATGTTGTGATAAAGTTTAAGACACTCCCAGCTATGTCTGGATGTTAATTATCTTGATTTGCTTTTGCAAATTTGCTATAAAAATTGTCAACACATTCTAATTCTCCCATTGTATTCAACTTATGGCATGTGTCCCCCAAACTACTTGCTATCAAATCATATATTCCACAAATTATTCTAATAACTTTCTTATAATCTTTACATAAACGTTGAAATCAATACGGCACTAAACATCAAGAAATCAAAGTATAGAGATACTCCAGGTCCGTTGAAACTGAAATCCAGGATAGATGCTGTCAATGGTAATTAAGTAAGAATGATGGGTTAACCACAACAAGGACATAAGTTGTTTTTATTTAAATCAACTTTAGCATCTGCTATGGCAAATTATGTGGCAGACTAAATTCATAAATTTCACTTACCTAATGTTTAAGACATATCTCCAAAATGGGGGGTCTTCGAAATTCATCATAGTCTTCAACCATAGTCTCATTAGGCTAACTGGATGCATTAAGTTAATGTGCCTCTTGATCAAAAGGAACAACTGATGTCATGTAGTAATTTTAGTTAATTTATATATATATGTATATTATAAGTTGGAAAAATCATATGATAAAATAAATTTAGATTTTAAATATTTTGCATTAACTTAAAGACATGTTATTAATATTATTTAATAAGAAACTTTATATATAAATTGAATTAAGATGTGCTCATTGCATTTTTTCTTGCTGTTTTTATAAGAAGTTCTTCATTTATCTCGTAAATTATTCATCTTCGCAGTTTAACTAGAAGGAAATATTCGAAGATTAAGACTAGGAACTACCAGGTTCTTTTAATTCTTTTTTCTCCTCTTTAATGTTCTCTAGAATATTTTTCCATTCAATTTTGTCTACATTATCCATAAAAATAGTTGAAGCGAATTTCATTTCAGTTAATTTTTATGAAAGGAATGGTTAATTTACTTCTTCTTTTTAGCATCCTTTGTTTTCATTTAAACTAGGCTTACGAGATCCATCTCGAACAAATCCCTTTTTGAAATGAAACAAATTTGATTCGTGCGGTTGCTCGAATAATTCTGATTCCATGGGTTTTTCATCCTCATTTTAATTATTTTCACTACAATATCTATGAATGAAACACAATTAACTAAATAATCCTTAAGGAATTAAACACATTTTTAAGTTGTTTAAATGTAGTAATTAATTCTCAATAGAATGTCTATTATACCCTTTTTTTATCTCATCCTGAGAATTTTACATTATCATGATATGTTTCTCCAATTTGATGGTGTTTCTTATCATAAATAAAGGTATCAGGTTTTAGAGTTTGAGTTACAAGAGTTCTGATATTTAAGTATGGCTTTTATCAATAGTTTACAAACAATTGGAACAAAATTAATTCAAAGCACCAATTTATAATATAATCCTTTCTAATTTAAATATCTATTTTCCAGCGATTTATTGCATAATTGAGGATATTATCCAACTATCTTCTTACAATAGATCCTGAACTATTGATAGTAATAAGATGATTTCAGGGTGAGATGAAGTGATGTCTAGGTATTGACTCCATTATTTAAATAAATCTTTGGCATCTCCTTGTTTTAGAAGTTTTTCCATGTCTACATACAATTATTTATTTTTGTTTATTAACGGGAATCTAACATAAACTGATTAATTTTAGTACTATTTAATAGAATAATAAATACATTTAAAAACACAAGTTTCATAGAAGCTACCAATAGGTTTGATTTAGTTAGCTCTGATTCATCGTTTTTCTTGTGCATTTCATACTTTTGATAAAGCTTTGAGAATTTAGTTTAGTCACTTCGGATTAGATCCATGTTTTTTTCATATTTGTTTCTCCTATTAATCTCATTGATTAAATATTTGATCAACACTTCATGAGCTAAATTGTCAGCAATTCTTTGCTGTGAGTTTCTTAGAATAGACATTTAAAGAGTGTTAGATATCTTTTAAGTATAGTTGTTAAAAAATTCTATAAGAAATATTTAAATGTAATTACTTTCTTTGTTTAAACTCAAACAATTCAGGTAATCCTTCATTAGAATAGGATTACTGTGATCTGGAAAGTATTGATTATATTGGACAAATAAGTATTCTAACTGAATTATATGTTCTAATAATTCTTTGGTTTCGTTTTCATCGAATCCAGGGGCATTTCTATTAAAGGTTTTGTAGACTGATGGGCTATATTTTTGGAGATCAGCTTTTAAGACACTCCTTGATTTTCTAAATTTAGATAATTTATCGTGGTTTTTTCCAGTTTAACATTTTTAAAAGTTATAGATGGTTTTATTTAAGTTGTATGCAAAGTCATCGAAATCTATTAGATTTAACTTATATTGAGAATGGGATCTGGTTGCTCTGTACTCAGTTAATTCGACTAGTGAAATCATAAGTAATTAAATAATTGAATTGATTATACGATAACTCTAAATATACTCTATTTAATACGCAATAATATTCAGTATTATACTATTCAATATAACATTTACTTGATTCACTAATTTTAGTTATATTAAAAGTTATTTTGATTATTAATTTCATTATAAAAATGGAAAGTCTTATATATTTAACTCATCATCTTTTGGTGAAGAAGGTTCTTCTAATTACTACTGCTTAAGATCTTATTATTATAAAATCTCTTTATGATTTTCCAATTCAATCTACTTTTGCAGAAAATCCGGAGCAACGAACTCTCCAATTACCCTAGGTTGATCTGGTTCATAAAAGATCAACCCATTCAATTCTTATCCCGATTCATTAAATAAATTAAGGTAGCTCTTCATTTAATTATTCAAGGGAACTCTCTTGGGTGGAACTAAACTTTTCGTAGTGTTGTCTTATTCATCATAAGGTGGAGTAGTGACTTCGAAATTATGAGGAATTTTAAGTTAATGATTTCCAAATATTTTCATTCTTTCACGTTTCTCATTTAAGAGCTCTTCATATTTGTCCTTTTTCATTATCTATAACCTAAGTATATCTATATATTATCATACTCCTTCAATGCAGGATTATACTCAAATAATTTTGGAATCTTATCCCAAATTGTTAATAATTTATAGGTAGTATGGACTATGGAAAGCCATTCAGAATCATAAAATAATTCTATTGGTTCCTCATTGTAAGCATACTACTCATATAAATCTTTCTTATCCTTAGTATATGTGAACACTTGAAGGAAGTCTCTTCCTGCTATACATTTATCTAAGGCTAAAAACCTATTGATATTGACAACTTTTCAATACTTGGTTTGCTTTCCTGTTTTATGTTTGACCAAAGCTTCAAATTTAACATGCATGTGTGCAGCAAACCAAAAGTCAGGTTGTAATCTTTCTAATGTGAATTTGTGAGGCTGACTACCCAGTCTGCCTGATTTAATGTCAGCCTCAAAATTTTATTTCTTCTTTAGCAGTTCTTTAGTTGATCCATGTTAATGTATCTCTATAAAATATTTTAGTTTTCTTACATTATGGCCAATCATGAGATAGAAACATATTTACTTCTCCTTCATATAGACTTAACTTAAAAAGGTCTATCTGTTTTGTATGATAAACATTTCTCAGTTATTCACTTTTAAATGGAAATGGCTCTAGTTTAGGGTTATTGAAATCAAAAATTTTAAATATTCCTGAAGTTCCTCCCAATCGAAAAGTGGTGTTTCCTTTTTTAATTTAAATGACATTGGAATCTCCAAGATAATAAATATTAGGAGCTACCCATCCTCCAAAATACCTAAAATTAATCTACATTAAAAATTACATTTCCCTCAAAAAATTTGAAGCTTCATGATTGCCACCAATAAAAATCGTTAAACAAGGGGCTGCCTCTTTTCCCTCATAATATTTGTAAAATGTCCCCATTGATAAATATTTTATTGGACAAGCCATATTAAACATGTCATGTTTATTCCTATGGGTTTGAACATCCCCACAAACTAAAAGCAAATCAATTTTTATTTTTTTCTATTTTTCAATTTCTCTGATTGTCCCAAATATTTCATCAAAATTTCCATGAAAGCATCCTTCCACCGCTATATTTATTCCTTCAATCTATTCAATCATATTAATATAAATTTATATATATAAATAATATTTTCATAAAAATATATGATAATTCTAATAATAATAATATATTTATGTCTCAAATGCAAAACTCAAATATTAATAAAGCCCAGAATGCAAAGGCTAAGTTCTTATTCTTACCTAGTAAAAGGCTATAAGGTAAGAAATGAATCAATTCAAAATTGAGTCCTTTTGAAATCCCTAATCTTAAAATTTTCATCAATTGCATATTTTTATATTTAATATATTAATAAAGGAAATAATTTAAAAAGAATATAAATATTAATTCCTTTCTTATCTTCAACAAGATATAGAACACTAAAAAGTTCACTCATTTAATAATTTAACCATAATCATCATCCTTTAAAACAAAAATATCTTTTTATAAGAATTATTGAAATTTTTGAAACCCTTTACTCAACATAGAATAGATTGTTTATAAATTATTTACTATAGAATATCATATATTAAAATATGGTTTCTTGGGTTTCTTAGGCTCTCTACTTAGATATTTGAGTTTCTCATAGATATAATCATTTTTTTCATGTCGAGTATCAAACTTTTCATATTCATGTTTATCCAATATTCTCAATTTATAGTCATGCACTAACATATCAATAAATATCTATACATCTTAAGACCCTTTTTAGAATGCCTATTTCTATTAGGTTTAAATTAGTTCTTCCTAAATAAAATCTATCCGATAGACAAATAACAATAGCCCTATCTTATTCAAAAACATATAGAAACTTCCATATCAAGACTTGTTTCATATATGTATAGTGGTATTCCTCCTTATCAAGATATTTTTTAGTATCAGAAACAATAACTTCTGTTTCTTTTTGAAGATATAACCAATATTCTTCAAATATTTATTTATATCTGTCAGGCAATTCTTACACCTAAATTGAAGGGAATTCTATACGCATCAACCTAAATAAGTGGAAATAAATACTCATAGGCTTGATAAAAGGCAATTTGATATTGTTTCTCCAAATCTTCAATCTTATGTAGATTTTGATGTAGAACATCAACTAATTGATTTGTAATAGCTTTATCTATATTAAATGATATTTGATTATAAAATAACAACTATATTGCACATTTTGTTAATTCTTCCAAACTTAATTATTGTAATTGGTTATAATCTATTACATATTAATAAGATTCAATCATGAATATTTTATCAATTTTAGCCAAATAATAGAGAAGATCACATTATTTAGAGAAATCGAGTTTTTGAAAATTAGCAGCTAATTATTTGACAATACAATAATGAAAATACATTCTCCCTTATTAATTTCTATTAAAATAATCTCCTATTTAATATATAAGGTGTAGATTAGCTGAATCAATGTCAGCAATAATAATTGTCACTTAATCATCTTCTTCTTTCCATTTCCCTGATTTTTGCTTCTAAGTTTTGAGCAGGTCAATTGCGAATGGATCTTATGTGCCATCCAAATCAAGTTCATATTGATTTTTGCAAATAAATGAGAACACTTATTCTTCAATAATTTGATATATTTCATCAATTGGATTATTTTGTTTCTTCTGTAATTTAAGTTGTTTAAATCCATCAATTGATGCTAAAAGTCTAATAAATTGATTTAATTTTTCAGTTTATGTCTATGTAGTCTCTTCTTTAAAATAGATTAACTCCTCTTTTATTAGACCTAGCATTTCTAAATGATTATTTACTTAAGTAGTGATAAATAAAGGAATCGTTTGATGAATCAATATTTATTCTAATGATTTATCTATTTAAAGTAGCAAAGTCATCTAAACTGCAATTAGTTAAAAGTGTTTCAATTTTTAGATCATTTAAATTTTCTAAACTTCTTTGAATTTCTTCTAAGATTAAATTGATGTATATAATAGATTGTCTCTCCTTGTTAAGGTATTAATGAGTAAGGTCATTAGCAGTATCACTTGTAAGTAAATAATAGCGTTTCAAATGATCATAAACAAACTATTACTACGATAGATATGCTAATTCCAACCTTAAAACTTCTTCTTAGTATAATTTCCATAGAGTAGATGATATGTATTGATCTCCAACTGTTTTAATTATTATGTTTAGGTGAGTAATCTAAACAGGAACTTATTTCTTTAAGATATTATGAATTTTATGAGATTTTAGAGTTTTACGAATAAAGTTATCAAGATTTATTGATTCAGAGGCAATTAATATTTGATTGAATAAATGAAAATCTAGTTCATTTTCTTAGGAATTGATTTAGTCTATGCTCTTTTTAATTTGATTAATGTGATCTTAATGAACTTGAGACCAACAATTTCTATAATTGATAGATTATAACAATTCGAATAGATCCTCTTAATTGAGTGGATTCTAAAGAGCTTTTTCAATTATATTATTTAATTGTTCTTAATATTTTATGATAATTCCTAGTTATTTGGTATTTAATTGATCTAGATTATTGCTGTAGATCAATGAAAAGAGCCTATACACTTATTCCTGTTCAGCTGTAGATAAATAATAAAGCACTTTTTTTTCAATTTTTTCACTTAAGTTAACTAATTTTTTTTCTGTAAATTATTACATTTTGAGACTCTCCATTAATTATGAATAAATAACTGGGAACTACTATTATTATCTGGCCTAAGCATGGCTCATGTCTTTGAATTGTTTAAATTGTTCAATAGACTTTTTTAATGCTTTAACTTAATTACCATACATAAATCTGATAATCATTTTTATGAATAATTCAAAAAAAGAAATAATAAATTATTATATATATATTTGGATTATCATAATTTTATCACAATCCTAGTGGATCAGGTTTGCCTTAGACTAACCTGCATTTAAATCTCCAAATATCTAAGTAATTGACATGTCCAAATTTCTTTGAGGCATATGCAATAATGTCCTTGGCCAAGTTTTCATGGAAAGTTCCTCTGATATCATGATACTGGCAATTGGCTGAAGCAAAGTGACAACAAATGGATTTCCTGAAACTACTTGACTGAAATATATAGTTTGATATAAATACCTTATTTTCTCCTGAACCATGAAATAGATACGGATGGAAGAAAACGATGTCACCTGCCTTCATTTCTAAATGGATTCTTGGAGCTGATTCTGGTGGCATATCTTTAACACCCCAATAGGCCTTGTTCACTCCTTCTTTCCAATCGGGATAGCAATGCTCTACAGGACCAGCTAGTAAGAGTACAAAAGTATAACTACCTTTATGAGTTCCAGGATACACAACTAAACATCCATTTTCTCTATTGGCATCTTCGAGTGCAGCCCAACCAGCAGCTATTCTGTCAGCTGGTCCAAATGGAAAATACACTTGATCTTGATGGATAGGGTGTCTAGAGGTTTTCCCCATATTTGGTGGTTTGTTGATGAACATTGTGTGAACTGATTTTATATCGGGTCCACAGAAGCTTGAGAGATATTTGATAACTTTAGGGTTTCTGCAAAATTTGAATAGCACTTCATCCTCTTACCAGTCCTATATTTTTGTAATAGCCTCCTCTCCCCATTGTTTTCCTCCTCCTCTTTTTACCAATGAAATGTCTCTAACCACTTACATTCCGTATTTGCGTTCCAATTATCCATCTGCATACTCTCTGAATCTTAGAGTCCACTCCTTGATTTCTTCTGGGGAGAACATTTATCTCACCACTAGGAAACCGTTTTCTTCGTAAAATTATCTTTCTTCCTTTGTTAAAATGCCTCCGTCAACTGTATATTAAAAAGAAGGCATCTACTTCTGGAGCAACTCAAGTCTTTGGCTCATTTTTATAATGAATCATTTCTAAATTATAATGATTTCATAATGCAGATTAAATGATGCGTCACTCAGCACAATCTTGCCATCATACGAAACAAATACAATTCGAATTTGAATATCATTCCATTAGATTATTATATTGACTTGGAATTGATCGTAAAATTTATAGCTATCTTACTCATATGCAAGAACCAATGGTTAAAATCATTATAATAATAAGATCGAGAACAACTCAATTTGTTTTTGAACTATTTTATTAACATTATAAATCAAGATTGATTATTTTGATTATTGTAATACTTGTGTATGAGTACTCAAAATAGAACAGTTCGATCAATTAAAGGCCTTTAGTAATAATATTTGCATATTTATTTCAAAAACACAAGAAATAAAACTTTTAAAGTTAGAATAAAATTACATTACATCAATTTTTATTCTAATTTATTAATAATTAATATGGAAAACTAATTTATTTAGGAGAGTAGAAAATTAAATAAAACTGGTCTGTACATTTGTGATTGAAAACTTCTAAGATGAATAAATTTTAGTAATTTGAAATCAATCAGAGGGAAAACAGAGAAATTTAATTTTTAATAAATTCTACATTTTCCCTCTTGATTTAATATTTAAGATTAATATAAATTAAATCACCAGCATAATTGTTATTCTTCTAAAAATGAAGGATAACTCTCCTGGGTTAATATGTATTAGGATATTGATTACATCTCTTACTCTTCTGATTGGGTGTCATAGAAGAAGAGATTGAATTCTAAATTATTTGATGGCAATTTTGATGATGTGTTATTGCAGATTGACCCAACCTTTTTGATGACTCCATCTACTACCTTCTAGTGAGTTCTCTTAGAGAAACGAGAGAAAGGTTAAGGAAACTGGTTTAAAACAAGTTCTGAAACCTCTTTTCTCATTTAAGTTTATTCTGTGGAATAAAAAAAATGGGTTTTAAATTCTAGAATATAAGAAAGAATAGATGATTTGGTAATTTATCTATATTCTGCATATTTTGAATTTCTTTTGACTCTTTTGATGCTCTCTATTGTCTTTGGACTTATCTTTGAATTAAATTTATGACTCATAATTCTTGCTATTTTTACATTAGAGAAGCCTTGATTTCTATAATTGATTATCTCTCTTCTTGTTTTCGACTTTTGTGTGAATTTTTAATAGGAATTCCTCTTCATTTAGTTTCTTAAATGTTTTATTGAATAATTTTGCTTATTTTATTGGAATGTAAACCTTTATTAATAGAAATTAATATTGGGGATTATAAGAAATTTATTAATTAATTAATGGATAAAAATTTAGAAGTTGCTGATATAAGTTCAATCAAACCTTTGAAACTGAGCAATAACAGTGATTTGATTTATTTCAACATAGCGAAAACAGTAAATCATTCTATCTAGTTAGATTGATATCAACATTCTTCAAGGACTAGAGATAGATTTACAAAATAAGGAGGTTCAAGTATTTCAAAATGGCGACGTCTCTTTTGGGGTTTAAGTGATAGAGGATATAACATGCAAACAAATAGTGCCATTATTCATAAATCATGGGAGATTCGAAAGTAAGGAAAGACATTATAGTGTTAGAGAAAGAAATCAGCAAGATCGTGAACATCTTTGAGACGGTTCCAATGACTGGGATAAAGAGAAGGGCGATCAAAAAAATATAACCTGTAAGAAATACGATTTCAATTTTAGAGGAGCTTGATGAACAAGAATTGATTAATGGATTGGGGCTATTCTATTTTGTTATTAAATTATCTATAATACTTAATAATTAATTATCAAATATTTGAATAGAACCTTATGAATTTCATATTTCTCTTAGCAGGTTTATTATAAACTCTGGTGGCATATTATAAAGGAAATTACTTATTTACGGAGACAATTAAAGGAACGTGCGATTTTACTAGAAACAGTCAATATATATATGATTACAAGGTAGTTTAGTCTTTAAAAGTAGGATCTAGGAGGAACTTAAATGGATGATGCATTATCGATTGGGTTTGGGTTTTGGTTATTTTTTGATACTTCAAGACAGGAACTATTGTATAATGCAAGTAATCTATTTCATTTAAGTGACAATGATAACACTTACAATTATAGAATAGTGTCGTTTGGGTTAAAGAAATATGGAGTAAATTCCACTTTGGAGTTGTTTTAATAAGATTAGCTTCTGAAATAAGGGCCATCTATTAATGTGAATACAGAAACCCTTATGGATGATAAATGGCTATTTGTATATGTGTCCTACGACTTCCTGTTCTTGAAATACTCTTTGGGAGTATTTGATACAGATTAAACTGTCATTTACAATGCAACATACTCCTGTCCAAATTAATTGAAGTATTGCACTAATGAAACATTGCCTTAACCTTTCTTAAAAAGAGACAAGATGAAATTGTATATAGCTTAAAACGGACCCTATAGAAACGACACTATCAAAAGCAGATCTTGGTGTGGGAGTGTGTCTGGTTTTTAATACTACTTGGATGTGTAGATGGTGAGTGATTACAATTTACGATCTCTGATGTATGGTTATGATAAAATGGGAGTTTATTTGAATTACCCACTGACATAAATGAGTGGAAACTAACTCTATGATTTTAGTGGTGCTGAATTGGATGTTCAACATGACATAACAGTTGATTGGACAGATCAAGCCCTCACTATAGGATAGCCTCTCTCTATAAATGTTCCCTTCAAAAGATTTCTATATGACAGATTTACATTGGCTTTCTGGGTGAAGGCCGATGCTGGTATTAACTTTGCTATCCTGTAAAGAATGGTTGACAGTGTTGTTATGTTTGAATTGGACCTCACTTATTATGCTATAGACAATTATTACTTCTTCACTGTGATGAGGGAGAACCTTAAGTCTTCGATTAATGTATAGTTTAGTGTAAGTCAATGGAATTACTTTGTTCTAATTTTCAATTACGATAAAATGGCTCCTGAGGATGGCACTTTGACTAAGTTGACAGTATACAAGAATAGTGAGGATCCACAAAGTTTTGAGTTGACTGTTCCTGTCTATTATCCTGTTTAAGATGGCGATATACTGATCTTTGGCAAAAGAGATGCAATTCCTGTTGGGAAGTCTCTAAAGATTGTCAATCTCTAATTGCATTAAGGTGCTAGAGTGTTTAACCATAAAAGCAAAGAAGTTGGAGATACGTCCTGTTTATTATCAGCTCCAAAAGCATTTAAATACAATTGTTTACTTTGCGCAGATGGCTATTTCTTGTCTGGCACTAAGTGTATTACTAGTTCTGATTGCACGACTCTAAATGGCGTAACGGACGCAGTTAGGAAGATTTGTCTACCAGGTTGTGACATGAAGTGTAAGACTTGCAACAATCTAACACCAACAGTTTGTTTGCAATGTATCAACAACTTATAACTTAATAGTGGAGTTTGCAGTTGTCCAAACAATGGGTATATAGGAACAGGGAAACAACTAAGATGCAAGGAATATGATGAAGTTGAAGGCACTGAAATTGGTATTTACTATGCAATACTCAATTATGTCAAAAGTGGAACCAGCTACAGGAAAGATGAACTCCAAATATCCTTCAAAGATATATTCTCTAGCATCCCTTCTGTTATCGTAGCCATTAAAGAGGTCAAGTTCTCTAAAGGCGATTCATATAGATTGATGGCTACTCAGATCACTTAGGAAACATTTGTACTTTAAATTGAAGTTTGGGATCAAACCATCGTTGAAAATTTAGTAATTAACTACTTTGCTACTACTCAAACTGATTTGTTTGTTTTAATACAGGATGAATATGATACAACTAGTACTTTCGGTACTGGTACTGGTAATAGAGTGCATTAGATTTAGATCCTATTGAATGAATGGAATATGAAATTATAGTATCCCTAAATCATTCCATTTTATAATGGGATGCAATTTAAATAAGGACTTAGCAATGTTACTCTTACTTATACTACTACTATTGATACCATAAATAAATATTTGCTTGTAGATTTCAAAATCAAAGATGACCTTCAAATAAACAAAATTTATTATAGTTTCATGTTAATATCTGAAGAATTTGAAACTTTGACTCAATCATTTAATTCTCAAACTAGTGTTTTGTGGATTACATAAACTGGAGAACAGAAATAAAATTATACTCTCTATTCTTTCAAAAACTATTAACCTAATCATTTTTATGGATTGTCTATTATGGGATATAAGAGTGCTGACATTAAAAATATTGCTATTCAAAGTGAATTAAATTCTCAAACTAATAAATATAAACTATATGCTACCGCTGGTGATTATACTGTAGTAGACTAATTATAAATATAAATCATTGGAATTGGAGTTAATTGCTAAACTTATGGATGTTCTTAGTGTCAATCATCTCCAGTGGATTGTGTGCATTGTAAAGATAATTTGTTGGATCCTGCTAAATAGTGTTTGAACTGTGCAAATAATTAATATTTAGACAATGCTTATGCATGTTAACCATGCAAATGGAATTGTCAGACATGTTATGATGATAAATAGTGCCTCACTTGTCCTACTGGTGTTAATAGATATGATGATCCTGTTAATAACTGTCCTTGTTAAAATGGGTATTATGATAATGGAGTTACACTTTGCCTTTCATGTGATTGGAGATGTGAAATATGTGACAAATCTGCTACTAGTTGTTCATAATGTAAGGGAGCTAATCGTAATGCTGACAAATCGTGTTTATGTGATGATAAATTTTATGAAGTCGGAACTGATTTGATTTGCAAAAGTACAATTATTACATCTATCTAGATTGTTAGGAACCTTGTGATTTGTGTGATGTTCTGGGTTGTCTCACTTGTTTAGGTAATAGAGTAGTTGATAGCAGTAAAAAATGTGTTTGCCCATCAGATGGCACTCCAATACCGAAAAGTCAGTATTGTGAAACTTGTGACACTGCTGAAGTCCTTGTCACATTGAATGAAACTACTGAATCTTTAAGTGTATTCTTTGTCAAATCAAACACCTCTTATGTATCTTTAGATTATTAATCCTTAAACCCACAAGATCTATGTATTAAAATAATTGCCAGTTCTCAATATCCAAGATTTGGATTAAGTCCTAAATGCTTTTATAATGGTACCAATATTGATATAGAATTTGGAAATGAATCCTAAATCAATCTCATGGAGGAAATATAATTGTCGGAGAAAATATTCATTAAAGATGGTTGTAAGACTCCAATCAAGAAATATGTCCTGAGTGTACTCCAATTACCTACTGTAGATATATTCTAACCCCAATTTACTATTGATGGACCACTATACCCTGTTTACATTTGTAAGGCAATTACTTTAAGTATAACGAACATCAAATTTGCAGGCAAACGTCAATTGTCTAAGATAGACTGGAGATTAAAAGAAAGTGATGCTAATTAAACTATTATCGATAGCATACAACTAATTTTGAGTGATGTCAATCATAACAATTTGGATACTTTAACTTTTAATTCTAAAGTATTCTAAAATTTCACCAATTATACCTTTGAAGTAACTGCATTATCATTTGCCACAAAAACAAACACCTAAACCTTTAAATTATAAACTCTTGGATTGGTTCAACCAGTCATCACAGCTAGCATAACACATTTTAACCATTATTTTAAGTAGTCATTAATCATTCCTGTAACAGTATATTACTAAATTTGCCAATCATCTAAGATTGTAGAGTAATTTAGTAATCTAACTCTCTATTGGGTACAACTTGAATCCACCCCAGCAGATAATAAACCTTTGATTGGGGATACCATCACAGAGTAGATCTCAAGTAAATAACACTATTTCAAAATGCAACCCTAAGATGGATACCCAGATACCAGTTATCTAATTTAGGCATAATTAATGTATCAAGATACAATTGAAATTTTTGATTAGTAAGTACCTGATCAAACAGATACAGGAACTGATACAGGCACTGACACAGGCACTGACACAGGCACTGACACAGGAACTGATACAGGCACTGGAACTGATACTGGTTCTACTGGAACAGATACAACAGGAACTGATGAAAATCCAGATGAAGAAGCAGTAGAGGAGGAAGTTCATTTCTATTAATCAGTTGATATTTATACTTACCTTAATTTTACAGTTGATATAGACTATGTCGGAGTTTCAGTGATTATATTGGGAGGAGATCGATTTGTTTCAGAAGGCTAATCATTAACCTTAGAAGCTCAATATTGGGATGGTTTAGATGAGGGATCCTCTTATAATAGTGATTCCAATATTGGATTACTTTGGAAATGTATTTAAATATCCACTAATAGTTCATGTGTGTTAAATGACGGAACTGCGGTTGTCTTCGAAGAGAATGCAACTAGTATCACTTTGGAAGGGGAAATATTCAAAATAGGTCAATAATACTAAGTTTCAGTAACTGCCTACAAGGATTTGATTAAAAGATATTTTACTTATGTAAGCAATGTGATTTGCTCATTTAAATCAGTTGATGAGTTGATTCCAGAATTTCCAATTGCAGCTTAGACCAGATATATTGATCTCAAATAACCCATCACTTTTACTTTTATTCCCAACTCAAATCTTATACATTATTACAATTACACTCTAATAATCATTTATGATGATTAAGAAATTTCAAAGCAATCTCTAAGATATCCTCAAAAAACCCTGAAATTAAGTGATTATCTACCAAGTGCATTGCCAGTGTAGACATGTACAATCTAAGTTATCCAGCAATCCTTATCCTTTTACTAAATGGCAATCTTGCCCATCATGTTCAATTATCCTCCCTAAAATGCTAAAATAACAATATCCAGCTATACTGGAGTGGCAATTGAAACTGAATACAATATCACTATAGATGATGCAGAGGACCAGGATCTACCCCTATAATATAGATTGAGCATGTATACATCGCAAGAGAGTTACCAACAAGATCTCATACAATCAAATAACCTAAATCAAATTGTTTTGACTGATTATCAATTCTCTAATTCATTCGTATGTAGATTACCTTCTGGGTTTGATTCCTCCTTAACCTCAACACCATATATAGTACTTATGGCGAGCATAAAGGACTCAAGAGGAGCAGTTAGCAATGTGACTGTGATGTTAGGAAATTCACCTTAATTTAAATTATGGAAGGCCTACTTAATATCTGTCAGTGATTTCAAGACTTCAGTTACTCAATATTCTGGAAAAGTGGAGGTTATAGCTTCAAGTTTAGAATTGCTTTCCTTCTATTACGAATTCTAAAATAGTAATTTCAATTACACAGATCTTGCCCCTACAATGAAGATATTGTATGCCAAACTCAAATCTTAAGTAATAGAGGATTTGGAAGCCATTTATTCAAGAAATAAAATAATTAACCTTTATGATCGAACTATGTTTTAGATGTATTTATTAAATGAAACTGAAAAATCTAATCTCATTCAAACTAAATTGTAATCCATTATAGACATTTCGTTCTAATTTAAAACAAAGCTTTTGGCTGCTTTAGCCTTATCATAATAAAGAGAATACTATGGTGATCTGTCGAGTTTAATTGATATTGATTATTCCCATTTTATGTTGATTGAACAATTGAAGTAATTCAATGCAGTCCTTTCCTTTAAATTGAATGTTACAGATATTGAATTTGCATATAACACGTTGACCAACACAACCCTAAAAATGTGGAGATTGAATCATACTGAATTGGCATTAGAAATGGATGCCAAAGAGGAAGAAGAGAAAACAAACGGTCTCACAATTGAATAGCAACTTATCAAATATAACGATGTCTATAAATTCATTCAACCTTTCACAGTAGAGGAATTATTTGGATTCTCTAACTTAACTATTTCAGACTCTTTGGCCAAATATCGAAGTCAATTTAACTTTACATAAAAATAGATGATTTCTATTACAGATTCTTTACAAAAGTTGTGCAAAATCAATGAGTCTCCATTGGAGTACAACACATCCTTTGTATCTATTAAGTTGTAATTGCTCTCTTATGATTATTTCAAAGAATAATTCAATTTAAATGATAACAATAGACTGTTAGCCTAATTGAATTCAACTTATCAATATCTGATTGTAGTGCATAAATATGCTGTCAACCCTTACATGGTAGATGATGAATTCTTTAATTTTACTGGAACTTATGCTTTTGATTAAACATTCCCTCTTTACATACCCTTCATTTATGAGGTCTAAAATAAGACGATAATGAATTTAGTTGATGAGATAGAAGCAAATGAATATTCTGCTGACTTCCTTGTTCCAAATTCGAGTTTAAGTATTCTCAACCAATATTAATGTGCACAAGTAAATTTCATAAGATATTTCGAATTAGAAAAAAACCAAGTGGATCAGTGACAACTCTAATTGCACTAGAAGAGTTGAATATCTAACAAAGAATTTCCAATTCAAAGTATGGTGCATCTGTCCATATTTCAGTGAAACCACATTAATTAGGCCTTTCTATGTCGAGGAAATCGCCTTACTCAAACCTCAACTACTAAGTAAAAGCAGTCTTATAGATTTTAGCTTATCTTAACTTCATGGAATTCATTATAGGAGATTACTTAGTTGGATTGACTGGAGGCTTGTTATTGTTATCGATACTTGGAGTGATTATGGACAAGTCAAATTCTGATAAAATAAAATTGGAGGAGGAAGAAATGGAGAAGGAGAGAATTCAAATTATATTTTCTTATAGAGTCAAAAAAAGAAGAGCTTAGTAAGAAGAAGAAGCTTCTAAAACATTTCTTTCAGAATCGAAGGCCTTTTAAAATAATACAACTTAAACAGAACCATAACCTATATATGGGAATAGTGACATTGGGATCTAAGATTTAAGTATAAAATTCATCGTGATTGGAATTTTGGTATGATTGTAATTAATATGTTTAAGAAACTGGAAGAATTGGTCTCAGTTTTCTTGTACTACGATGATTATGTTTTAAGACCTATCAGGTTTCTAGCTATTTATTTGAAACTAATCGTGATGCTGTCAATTTCTGGTGTTTTGATGAGCGAACCCAACATATACTATTAATATGGGATCATCATTTTGGTTTCAGAGATTTCTGCACTTGTAGTCAAAATTGTAAAAGCAATCTTTTCAGGAAAATTACTCTAAATTATTGTAGGAACAATAGCCTCGCTTTGTATATTGACGCTATCCTTTTTCAGCATAATTGACAGAGTAATTGATGTTATTGATTTAGGCAATTGGAAAGGAGAAGCAATATTTGGATGAGTGGATGCAATTCTATGGAATTTGTATTGGCATTTACTTCATAATCTTGGACCCAATTCAAAGTATTGTAAAAATGTTATTGTATCCATGGTGCAGAAAATAAATTGAGACATAACAAGAAACTCCAATTTTACATTTAGTCTATTTCTTAATTACTTAGAACGATCTCAACACATATTTCAAGATAGCAAATGAATAGAAGGTGGTCGATGATTAGGAGATCGTGGAAGCAGAGAAAGATTAATTTTAAGATAAAAAAGAGGAATAACTGTAAGACATATGATCATATCGGATAATTATTAAATAAAATAATTTTTAAGTATTATTTTTAAACGAAACAAATTGAAGACATTTAATACTATATTTCTTCTGAAAAAAAACTCAAAGATGCAAATATTACTTCCATTATTATTATGGTTTTATTTAAAATTATAAAAATGTTGAAAAACCAAACTGGGTATTTTTCAGTAGGTAGAGATGAAACTTGCCAAGTTTTTAAGTGTTTTTGGATGGGTACTTTAAATGCAAAGAAGGTAGACAGGTAATAAATAATTAAATTCTAAACTTCAATTAATCAATTATTCCTTTGTGAATTAAGTTTTCTAGTACCTTCTTAATTCTTTCTGGTTTCTTAGTTATTCTATATATAATCAAATGAGTCAATACTCTTTAGGTGGAATTTTAATTTTATTATCCTTTGGCTATTAGGAGATCTTTTTCTACTTTTAGAGATTTGTGTTAAGAATGGGAAGGTAACTTGTAATTTTTCTTCTCTGGTCCTAACTTCTAAATAGTTCCATCTTCTAAATTAATCTAATAGAACCCTTTCTCGACCATGAAGATTTTCTTTGGGGTCGTTGCTTTTGTAAATTGAGACATTTTTTGCTTATTTTAAGAAATTATTATTAATTGAAATGAACCCACAGCAGTAATCAAAAACCAAAGTGTTTAATAACTAGTATTCCATAGTGAAGAAGCTTTCTTCGGGATCATTTGGAGTAGTGTTTCTCGGCTAGGACATCATTTCGAAATAAGATGTGGCTATAAAAGTGGAGAAGGAGGAGAATGAGGAGGTCAAATCTTTGGATCGGGAAGTGCAAATAATAAAGATTCTAGATGGAAGTGAGGGATTTCCAAAATACTATTGGTCAGGGGAAGATCTGGGTTACAACATACTTGTTATTTAATTGTTAGGGAAAGATTTGGCATTCCATTTCAAATAGCTCAAGAAATTCAATCTAAAATCAGTTTTAACTATTGGAATCCAGGCTGTGAATCTTTTAGAGAGAGCTCATTCGAAAGGAGTAATACACAGAGATTTGAAACCTGAAAATATGATGTTGGGAGTTGGCAATGAGATTTCTAAGTTATATCTGATCGATTTTGGAATCAGCAAAGTCTACAGAGACACCAATGGAAGACACATGTACCTATCCAAATCCAATGTAGCATGTTTAAAGATCAAAAGTCCTTTTTAGGAACTACTCGATATGCCTCGATAGCAGCTCATTTAGGACATGAGTTAGGAAGAAAAGATGATTTAGAGTCACTGATGTATATTTTACTGTATTTCTTGCGTGGGTATAGAACAATTATAAAAAAGGTAGTTACCTTGGTAGAACATGGTCAATGTAACAGACGAGGAAAGAACACAGAAGGTTGGAGAATTGAAGTTGTCTCTTGAAAATGAACTGTTTAAAGATCAGGTTCCAGAGTTTCAAAAGATTTATAGGTAGATTTAACCGTATTTAAAAAATAGTACGATTCGAAGATTGCAATTCAAACAAGAACCTGATTACAAGATGATTGTGCAGGAGCTTAGAAAGGCAGCAGAAAACCTAAACATCGTTATTGATGGAAATTATGAATGGTCAGAAATCAAATAATCTACACATTATCAATCAGATACCAATTAAAATTTAAGTAAATAAAATATTTAGTTCAACAATTCAAATGAGATGAAAAAATCTATTGAAAAGTAATTATCCGGTGCTATTTAACATGGGTAAAAGGATTACTTAAATATGAGCTCTTAAAACTTTCTAGCACCGCCTCCATTATCTTCTAGGAATAATACTTTTCAAAGGGATGATATTAGGAAGAATTCTAGCTTGACTTAACAAAGTAGCATTGGAAATTACTGTTAATCATTGAATCCTAATTACTAGAAGTCCATTTGCGATGATCCTATAGGGAGCAGACAGGATATTTTATAACACAAATAAGAAAGTTTTGATGATGAGAGAGTTTCCAATTTTGAAAGCAATCAAATTGTTGAGAATGTTGAGGGATAGGAGTCCTTGCTTTAGAAATATGAGAAAGTCAAAAAAGGAATTATTATGTAACTCTTTATTTTGTATTTTTAGTCACCTTATTTAAAGTGTGAAAAAGAAAAAGAAATGATAATACTAATATCCAATATGGATTTATCTTTTTTCTAATCTTCATATAAACATTTTTTATTACATATTGCCTCATTATCGAAAATTATATAAAATATCTCTAAGATTTAAATTAATTTATAAAGTATGTAAATCATAGATCAAAAAGATATATAGGACAACGTGGAGAAATACAACTTGGACTTTGAGCATGATTAAAGTGAAGTATTTCCTTTTACAAATCATTAAATGAATATCCTATCTAGAAATGCTGTAGATAAATTATAAGTCAACATTTAAAGTTCCATAACTAAGTTAAATCAATTACTGATGAAAGCTTAAGATATAACCTTAGAAAATCATAGGAATCAGGATTTATGCTCAAAAGCTGTATAAGTAATATAAGTAGCTTCGATCGGATTGATGTAAATTCTGAACATTAAATAATTGCTTGAAAAAAAAGATCTAGCTGTGGAACAAAGTGTTAGTTGTCTAAACATAACATGCACAACAAATTAATTGAATCAATACTCAACTAATTTAGTTCTTGATTATATGAATCATATAATCCTTGAAAAAATTCTAGAGCTAATTGAAAAATTTTCATAACTTCAAAAAGAACAGAAGCGAAGTCTTGCCATCTATTTAGCCAAATTTTAATCATGTATTGAAATCTTACCTGGTGCTACAACAGTTAAACATGATGATTTGTATGCCATACCTTAGGATCATTAAAATTGGTTATTGATTAATCCTTATATCGAAAAAAAACAATTGGCAACAGAAGAATAGATTAAGAAGTCATATGAAAAAGTCTCCTTTGGAATCTTACTTGGAAATGCTATGATTTCGAAAGGTTCTGAATATAGCGGTGAATTACAAAAATCCTTTATGGAAGGATTTGGAGCAATATATTATGGATTAAATAAAAAAAAGATGAAAAGCAGAGCTGATCATTTTCTAGTAGAAGCTAAATAAGAAGATGCTTTTAAAGCCTGGAACTTACCTGAGACTGGAATAATAAAGAAATTCCTACCAGCTATTTTCCCTTCGATTTCTTTTAATAAGAAAATTTACATTCCTAAATTATTTAGAAAGATTACTAAAGAATATATCTTTGATTAATATAATAAAGGAACAATCAATAAAATAAATAATGATTGTGGAGTATTTTTCCCAGAGTAAATGATAACAATGGATGAATTACTAAAAAACGATTTAAACTAAGATAGAGTTTAAGTCAGAGTTCTATGCCATGAATCCTTAAAATTAAAAGGACAGGATGGATTTATGTCAATGTTCAAAAGTACCAGAGGCAAGGAGTTTAGTTTTGATAAGATCGTTATTCATATACGTAATTATTCATAAATTATATCCAATAGATGGAGGAGGCTTTGTGGCCATGTCATCAAGATCACATCAAACTTATACTAGAAAATGGGCCAATAACATGAAAGTCCCAATTTTTTCTATTGATTACAAAATGGCACCTGATCATCCCTACCCTGCAGGATTGGATGACTGTTGGCAAGCCTATATGTTTATAATTACTTTCATTCACAAGTATTTCAATATTGTCCCATCAAAAGTTGTGTTAGTGGGAGATAGTGCTGGAGGTAATTTAGTTGCTGCTTTGACTATCTAAGCTATAAAGGCAGGAGTTAGAGTACCTGATGGTATCTTGTTAGCATATCCTGCTCTATCTTTAGATATAAAGACTTTTACTCCTAGTTTCTTAGTGTCTCTTGATGATTCCTGTAAGACTATTTATAATACTTAGTGTTGCATCATACTGTCTTAAAATTATGCTTAAATTCATATGTGATGAAAGAATTTAATTCTACAATTGATCCTATGTTATCGCCTTCTGCAGCTAGTGAGGAAATCTTGAAACTATTTCCAAAAACTAGAATTGTTGTAGGAACTTATGACCCACTTCATGATGAAAGTTTGAGATTATTACTTAAACTTGTCTAATAACAAAAGGATGTCAAGTTGATTGAATACTAATCTATGCCACATGGATTTTTATCTTTTGATTTTATTAATGGAATGAAAGAAGCTAAACAAACTGTAATAGATGCTTAGAATTGCTTGCTGGAAATGCTAAATTGAACAATTAAATTAAATTAATTATTATTATGAGTGCTAAAAATTATAGATTAATTCACAATAAAACCTTACCCACATTCTAATATCAAAATGAGCCCCTGCAAGTCAATGACCAATATCAAGTCTATATGTCCATGCAGCCTAATGCTGTTGAGTAACTAATCTTAAAAGACTAAGCAAAACCGAAGACTTCGATTTTAGATAAATTTATGGATACAGACAAGAGCAGAAGCAGAACAGCATATAACCCAGGATTTCTGTAATAAAACTCTTTAAAAAATGAGAAGCCCAATTAATCTGTCTAATTTGCTGAGAATATTCAGACCCCTTAATAAAATTATTAGAATTAGAATTAAAACACTATAAATCAACTTAGCAAGAAAACTGTTACATTAAAAAACCTTCAATAAACATTACTATTTGATGAAAGGACTAATTCTGTACCCAAGGCAGCTATCTAAAATCATATTATTGATGACATAGTAAAGAATGGAGATATAATCCTCAAGCAAAAGGGATTGTTGAATCAGGTTTAAAACCTAAAAAGGTTAAAGTTGCTTAAATAATATGAATTTAATCAGTAACAATCTTATCTATATTCAGTTATTGCTTGCCAGGAATTGGAAAATCGCCTTATGTTTTTAATGATGCTCATTCAAAAAGCACAAATCCTGGTTATTCAAGAAATAAAGAAGGCGGAAAGTTTTTTACAAGATGATTTATTTAAATAATACAATTACATTTTTATCTTTTAACATATAATTATTTAAGAAATAGAAAATCTCTCTATTGTATTTCATTTCGCTTCAAATTTTATTAATTCTTCCAAGATTCTCTAAAATAGGTTTAATTAAATAATAACAGAATTTCATCACAATTTTAAGTTTAGACATGACATAAAGTATAATTATTAGATTTAATACAAATAATTCACCCCTTTTTTAAAAACAATGGGAAAAGTTAAATAAAAGTACTTTTATAAAACAAAAAATTTAATCAATTGCGAATAGAAGAATGTAATACATATTTTTGTTGAATATTTATTGAAAATCAAAATTATAGATGCTTCTTCCATTATTATTTGTTTCTATATGAAATCTTGTATATATTGTCATCTCCTGCATCAGTTTTAATAGGATAAGAAATATCATATATTTTTTCGATTTTTGCTGTGCTTTTTGTACTACTATTTAATGTACTTCTATGCGAATTCTATGTAAATTGATTCAATTGATCTGTCTTAGAATCTTCTATTCTTAATCTATAGGTTCTCGGCTCAAATATATTTATTTTTTTATTTGTAATTGGCAATTCGAGTTTAAAAGGGTTTTGATACATATTAGAATGTTTTATTTAGTTAATATATTGGTTTAATGTGAGTTTATTGTTAAAGCTAGTTTAGATACTATTTTACATTTTAGGTTTACGAGACGATAAGAGGTTTTAGATCTACTATAATAGGGGAATAGATAATTACAAGAAACTAATACCTTTTGCAATTATTCACTGACTGTCGGTACAGAAGCAGCTAATTTTCTTCTATGCGAATTGGTAATGATAGCTCTTTAGATAATTTTTTATTTCAAAATAGCTGGATTTATTTATTGTGATTTATTCGCTTTTGTTATGGTAACAGAAGTACTTTCTCTTCTTTATCCATAAAACTGCCGACTCAGTTATAAATTATAGTCCTGATCATTGTTTTACTTTAAAAAGGTTTCTTCAGGGTTAATTAGTAAAGAATCATCTTTTTCCAACATAAAACTCACAAAACCATCTTGTTATTCATCTTATTATTTTTACATTATTAAATATTTATTACAAATAAATTTCTTGTTCATAACTAAAAAAGTGCTATTTAACTGAAAGATGCTAAATTATTCCGGTTAAAGAAATCAATTCACTGAGTTATAAATTATCAAGTATACCTCTGAAGCTAAAAATATCTGTACATTGTATATAACGAATTATTCAACCCCTTTTTCAATAAAAATTATAAATAAGGACCTCTTACTCTTCTTAGAATGATATAGAATAACTTATGAGTCATAGAATATCTTATATTCTTAGATAACATATATTAAGTAGAAAACTATAAAACTTAGTTTTGATTTGAATGAATATTTTTGCATCTTAATTAAATTAAAACTTATATTTTTATGTCAACAGAATTAGATGGTTTGAAATCAGAAGTCAATGAGTAAAATAATCCTATATCTCTAGTCTTAAAGAAATGGTAGAGATGCTTGAAAGTGAAGTTTAGAGCAAAGAAGATGAAATAAAATTGATTAAAACAAATCTCTAAAAAAAAGATTAAGAAATTGCATCTCTTAAAATTAAATTGGCAGGCACAGATTCCCAGAATAATGAAACAGATCATAATCAAAATCAATTAGATCAACTTTAGGGCTAAATTGTTTCACTTTAATAATAATTATCAGAATTAAAGTAAGAATATATAGAATAAAATAGACATCAAGTAGATGACAAAAATTTAGAAATTGAAGTGTTAAAACATGATCATGATGAAGAATTGAACAATTTAATAAACCAGAAGAAAGAAACATCAGAACAAAGCTAAACTGATGGTGAGATTGAAAAACTATAAAATATTATATCCCAACTCCAACAAGAAAAAGATGAATAGACAATTTAGTATAATTTATTAATATCAAAGGCATAATTTGGAAATAGATTAGTTGAAAAAATAGATAGAAGAATATTCAAAGTAAAATTAAGAGCTTTTATTAAATTCTTAAGTATTTTATTAATTTAACTTATATAGAAAATTGAGTCTAAAAATAATGAAAACAGCGCAGATCTAATTTAATAGCAATAAGATGAAGTAAAATATTAAGTTAATAAGAATTCGCAATTAAAATTTAGTGTCGTATAGAGAGAAGCCCATGAATAAGAAAATCATCAACTAGAAGGAGATGCTGTTAAATTGAAATTGAATTAAACAAACTAATTGGATAATCTAGGGACACTTCTGAATCCAATGGAATCACCAAGATATGATTAAAATTCTTAAAATAATGAAGAACTTGAGCAAATGCAGAACACCATAATTGATTTATAAAAAGAAGATTAGGCAAATAAAGCCAAAATTGAAGAATTTTGTGAGGAAATTAAATAATTAAAATAATAAATACAATAATTAAGTCAATTCAACTAAGAATTGCAATTAGATCTTGAATAGAAAAAAATTGAAATTAATGAAGAATCGGCAAAATTATCATCACTTGAAGACGAATTAATTGCATATGANTGTACATTGTATATAACGAATTATTCAACCCCTTTTTCAATAAAAATTATAAATAAGGACCTCTTACTCTTCTTAGAATGATATAGAATAACTTATGAGTCATAGAATATCTTATATTCTTAGATAACATATATTAAGTAGAAAACTATAAAACTTAGTTTTGATTTGAATGAATATTTTTGCATCTTAATTAAATTAAAACTTATATTTTTATGTCAACAGAATTAGATGGTTTGAAATCAGAAGTCAATGAGTAAAATAATCCTATATCTCTAGTCTTAAAGAAATGGTAGAGATGCTTGAAAGTGAAGTTTAGAGCAAAGAAGATGAAATAAAATTGATTAAAACAAATCTCTAAAAAAAAGATTAAGAAATTGCATCTCTTAAAATTAAATTGGCAGGCACAGATTCCCAGAATAATGAAACAGATCATAATCAAAATCAATTAGATCAACTTTAGGGCTAAATTGTTTCACTTTAATAATAATTATCAGAATTAAAGTAAGAATATATAGAATAAAATAGACATCAAGTAGATGACAAAAATTTAGAAATTGAAGTGTTAAAACATGATCATGATGAAGAATTGAACAATTTAATAAACCAGAAGAAAGAAACATCAGAACAAAGCTAAACTGATGGTGAGATTGAAAAACTATAAAATATTATATCCCAACTCCAACAAGAAAAAGATGAATAGACAATTTAGTATAATTTATTAATATCAAAGGCATAATTTGGAAATAGATTAGTTGAAAAAATAGATAGAAGAATATTCAAAGTAAAATTAAGAGCTTTTATTAAATTCTTAAGTATTTTATTAATTTAACTTATATAGAAAATTGAGTCTAAAAATAATGAAAACAGCGCAGATCTAATTTAATAGCAATAAGATGAAGTAAAATATTAAGTTAATAAGAATTCGCAATTAAAATTTAGTGTCGTATAGAGAGAAGCCCATGAATAAGAAAATCATCAACTAGAAGGAGATGCTGTTAAATTGAAATTGAATTAAACAAACTAATTGGATAATCTAGGGACACTTCTGAATCCAATGGAATCACCAAGATATGATTAAAATTCTTAAAATAATGAAGAACTTGAGCAAATGCAGAACACCATAATTGATTTATAAAAAGAAGATTAGGCAAATAAAGCCAAAATTGAAGAATTTTGTGAGGAAATTAAATAATTAAAATAATAAATACAATAATTAAGTCAATTCAACTAAGAATTGCAATTAGATCTTGAATAGAAAAAAATTGAAATTAATGAAGAATCGGCAAAATTATCATCACTTGAAGACGAATTAATTGCATATGAGTAAAAGTACACAGATGCTATTTAAAATAAACAGAAGTTATCTACTGAGTATTAATTAGCTTAATAATCTCTTCAGCAATTCGAAATGTTGTAATAAGATAATGTCCAGTTGCAATTGTTACTTAACTCAAAGAGTGAAGAATTGGAGGAATTGAAAATGCATAATAAATTTGAGACTCAATATTTAGAATTAAAGGAGGATTTTGAATAATTTAAAGAATTTGTACAGGAATAATTTCATTAGAAAGATGAAACATTGACTCAATAAGCTCAATAATTGCTTGATTACGATACATGCAAAGAATAATTAATTATGCTAAGTTAACAATGCGAATTGTTATAAGAACAATTGAATAAATAAAAGGAAAATAATGAATAGCTATAAGATCAATATCAAAATAGTTTACAATAAATTCAATAGTTGAATACTAATAATTTATAATTCTCGGACATCCAATCTTAGAATCAATTTTTAAAGCAAGAAATTGAAACTATGAAATTGGATAACTTAGAGAAACTAGAAGCAATTGCTGATTTAGAAACATAACTTAAGATATAACAATAGCTAGGAGAGGAATCACCATTGAAGTTGTAGAAATTATAATCAGAATTTTCTGAAAATAAAAGTGAATATCTGAATCATAAAGAATAGTGTTAAAGAGAAATTCATTAATATAAATAAGAAAAGGCCTTATTGTAATCGGATTTGCAAAATTTGAAAGATATGATTGATGCATTCGTATCTTAAAATACATAATATCAACCAAAAGGAAAGACTGTTGAAGAATATTACAAAAAGCTATTAGATCTTACATCTGATGATAAATAGGTTCATTAAGAGTATGTATATTAGAAGTGATTATTATAGGGAAGAATTAGTTTAGTTAAAACAACAATTGTAAATATTTTTAGACAAGTCTTTTGCTGATTAACAAAGCCAAATAAAGCCTGAAGTAAACGAATAAGAAATTCTGACTGACTAAATTGAACAGTAAGAAAAGAATACTTAGACTGAGCAAGTAGAAAACAGCTTATCGGGATCAATGTGGCTCAATAACGACACAATTAATTCAAAGGAGGACTAATATTAATAGATGAAGTACTTAGTTTATTAATGCAATTAGAAAAAAAAATGAGGATCTAGATTAACTTTTGAAAAATTACGAAAAAGAAGTATCAAGTTTAAAATAATAACATAAATTACTACAAAAAAAGTTAGAAACCAATTAAAAACCAAATCCTTAAGAAAGGTTGGGTAAAAGAGTTAGTTTGTTTGAGTAATCTTAACCTAGAAAATCGAAATAATTGCAGTATAAGAATTATTGAGTATTAGTTTAAATTTATGCGAGTCATAGCAGATAGATGATCAATAGAGAGAGAATGTGTTTATGAAAGAATTGATAGAAAATTTAAAGAAAGATAATAAATAGCTTTCACTATAGAATGAGGATCTTTAACATTAATTAAATGAGATAAAGGAACTTTAGGAAAAGAATTAAGAAGAATAAAATCGATTAGAAGAATAGCTGCAATCTTAAATTCTACTAAATCAAACAAGAAATAAGAGTGTTGATAATAATTAAACAATAATTTCTCAAATCAATAATACTATGATTTAATTGAATTAAATTGAAATCTTTTTGGTTGTAAAATCCTAGAAGAACTTTTAATTCCCTTATATTGAATTTAATAGAAAGTATTTATTTATGGAATTATAAGATAAATCAAATTTTATTCATAAGGCAAAACCAGAATAGAGAAATAGATTTATGAAACATTTACATTTGACGATGTATTTCTAGACATACAAAAAGTGAGACAGTACTTCTAATTTTATGGCAAGATAAGTTTAGATTAAAGTAGAATGTTTCTTATCGTTGGCTAATAAAGTATTAATATAAATCTTAATTAGAAACATAAAAGAAATTCTTACTATTAATGTTCCTTGATTTATATTATAACTCTATAAAAGAGCAGAAACTTAAATAAAACTTAAAAATTAGATTATAAATTTAATACTAAGAAAGAATAGGAAATAATTGGTCAACTCTTGAGTAATTAAGTAGTGATCTACAAATATCAAATGAAAATGTAAATTCAAGCTTACAATAACTGGACTTAACAATCTAAAATATTAAGTTTTATTTGTATGGCAAAAACCAATAAGCAAAGATTTTAGGGAAAGAGAAAATTAGATAGCTAACAATAACATACAGCATAATTTTTAAGGAGTAAACATACACGCAATAATTCATTATAACTACGATTCCTGTGGTCCCAAGATGTCAATTTGCATAATTTTTAAAAAGACTCTGTAATCATACAGCAACAACATAATTTAAATACTATTGTTTATTAACTGTTAACCCAATCCTTTTGCATTACAATCAAACAGTAGATATAATGTATTTAGCTAAAATGGTTTATGCTCAAAACAATTAGGAAGATCTTAATAAATAAATGAAGATAGATGATGAAAGCGTTAGATAAGTTAGATAAGCAAATGGATAAGTTATATTAAAGAACCAAGAAATTGATGTTTTAAAACGATAAGTTGAACACTTTAAGAAATAATATAATGATGTGTTAACCAAATAAGAGACTAAGTAATAACTAAATCAATAAATATAAATGCAACTTTAGAATGTTGTTGTAGATATCAAATTAAAAATGAGTCAATCAAGAAATCATAAAACTAATAAAACACCTTGTCCAGAATCATAATTTTATGAAAAATTAATCGCCTAATTAGAAAATCTATCAAGAAAACTTTCTCCGATTTAATAGGTTTTAAATACTGATAGATCCATTAGCCCTTCAATATAAAATTAATGATATTTATATATTGTATTTTAATGTCTGAGTAATTTTAGGGTTTTAACTCCTTAGAAAATTAAAAAAAACAAATGTTACATTATAAGATGATTGAATAGATTCATAAATTTCTAAACATACTCATTTTACTGGTTGGTGAAGAACTTCCATAAGATTTGGGAACTAAAACATTTGCTCAGCATGTTGAGTATTCCCATAAAATATCCACTTATTAACTTCTTTAAATTCCCCTTTTATTACTCTTGTACCATCCTTTTGTTATTAAAATACGTATAATGGTTTTGGCGGTACAATAACATGTTTAGTTAATTCTCTTCCATGAATGACTACCTTGTCGTCTTAAGGTTTAAAATATTATTCGCTTGGACACTCTCCACCTTTACTAATTGTACAAGGAAGAAAGTTTATTCCGACTTTATCAAAACCATCGAATTATTAATAATCCTTTACGAATTTTCTTTATTACATTTAATATATTAAAATTTAAATATTATTTATCATTATTTATTTTACTATTTCAACTAGTTTACAATTAATGAATATTTAGAATGATATTTATAGAATATAGATTGAATTTCCTTCTATTCTAAAGTATTCATCGAATTATAATTAATCGATAGATATGGAAAAGGATTGTTAATGCAAGGTTCTCTCCAAATTTAATTTTCCAATATACAATCGAAGATTGCATGTTTCTCTAATAATTGCTCATCTGTTTCTTATTTTTCTGGATCTGGATATTAAAATTCGTAGAAATAACTATTATCGCATTCACTCACAAATTTGTTCTTTTACTATTGAATTGCACTTTTCAAAGGGTCAAAATGTAGTGAATCTATAACAACAGTAACTTCATCTGCCTCTTAATATTTGAGAAATCGATTAATACTATAAAGCATATAAAATTCAATAGCTTTTTCAATCTATAACATTGTTGTAAATTCAAAAAAGTAGTTCAAATTATTGTATTAGTTTAATAATGATTCTTGGCAAAACTCTTTGAACATTTCTTGCACATCTGGTAATTGCATAATTATTCCGATATATATTCTTTAATAGATTTATGACAATCCAATCATATAAACCTTAGAGCCTTTTAAAACTGACATATACAATGCCTGAAATAATCCAAATTGAGAAAAGTCTACATTGCTCTATTAGTTTGCATATAAGAGTGTAATTTCTAATAATTGTGCAAGCTTTTTAGACATTTCATCACTCTAAGATAGTAGCTCAGTTGTCAATTCTTATTATTTGTTCTTTTGTTCTTGCAGAATTTGGAACACTTATTAAAAATACCCTAATTTTTCCCCATTTAGAAATCCCAATATATCTTATTTTTATTCTGGACTCAACGTAGGATTAGACCTTATTAAATTTATGGAATCAAATATTGGTAAATCGATTTTCAATTCATTTGTATCTATAGGTAAAGTTGGTAATTGTTCAAATAAATTCTTTCATAATCTCGATTCTTACATCATTTAATATAGGGTCAACTTTTGAATGATATTATTTATAAAGCTATCTTTTGGCAAATAAATATGGAGATGGATCAATTTATATTAAAAAGTTTGTTTTATCCTTATCCTTCATTATAATATTAGACATTTTCTGAATTAACTCCTGTTAATCTCCTTGACGAGGAAGTCCGACTAATCTACAAGTTTTATTGCCAATTTCTAAAATATTATCGTTCATTAAATTTACTTAGGCTTTCTTCTTAAATATTCCTTTGGTTGAATGTATTTCCGTAATTGTTTATGTAGTAATTTTGTCCTAACTTATTTAAAATTGATGTTGCTTATGTAGAAAATTAAAAACAATTAACTTTGCCTAAAGTTTTATAAATGTTCATAATTAATTATTGTAAAAATGTAATTAAAAAAAACAAGCCAAAAATATTTTGATTAAATTTCTTAAAAAATAGGCAATATCAAATATTCCTATGAGCTATTACATGATTTTATTATTAGTTTTCATAGTAAATCATAAAAATGTATTCTAATATAAAGGAAGCTATTTAATAAAATAAAATAAAATTATTCATTATAGATAATAATTTATGTTTCTTTTATTTGAATTCATAATTTTTAAACAATTTTAATAATTGATTCATTCATCTCTTTCTTATCTGTGTCTCAAATACCACATGCTTAACAATCTACTTTATGATTTGCATCTGTATTAATAGGTTTGAAATTCCCAATAATAATAATAGCAATTTTTAAGAAGAAATTATTTTATATAATTCTATCTGAATAAAATAGCCGTACTATTAACAAAATTAGATAATAAAGCAGTGATTTAATAATATTATATCATATTTATGTTCCAAGTTTAGCTAAACAATAGAAAAATGATATTGGAATGATGGTAAGTAGATGTGTTATATTTTTTGTGATTAACATTTATATTGGCGTCGTGATGTTATCCAATATTGAGATCTTTCCTCAAGCCTACTTTAAATAGGTAATTTGCATGGGATGTATTTTTTCATATTTTTCCTGGAAATATTTTTCTATTAACATCAATAAAATTTGATATTTTTCTAATAAATTCTAGTCAACTTATTAAACAAATTTATTTCATATAAAAGTTTAAATTATTGATTAAATAAACTTACTGATAATTTAGTCGAGGAATTGATAAGGAAATGGATGAGATTGGCAATTTTTCAACTTTATTCTTTAATTAAATAAATTATCCAATCAAATTCTGATAAAATAATAAATTTGATTCTTATTCTCAACATGTGATATGGTAAATAATAATAATAATAATAAAATGGGAAAACCAAAAGTTACTAAGAAGGCTGCTAAGATCGGTATTTTGTTAAGTTGATGATGATTTAGCTAAAAAGAAGATTACAAAAAAGTCAACTGGTCCAAGACCCACAAGAACTATCCAAGCAACAGTTGCTTAAGCTTAGGCTACCACACAACCAAGTGCTGGTCAAAGAAAATTGCCCAGATAAAACAGAAGAAATAAATAAGCTAAAGGAAAATCAAATAAAAAAGCATAAAAAAAGTGAATGAAATATAATTAATAAATATTTAATAATATAATCTAATTCATAGATGTTTTTCAAGTAAAATTTGAAGTTATTGAAAGCTTTGGCCGATTTTTTGGATTTGGGTAGCAGCCAAAACTTGATAATTTGTTGAAGATAGAGAATCTCACAATTGAGTGTATTTTTAATGAAGAGGATATTCTCCAAGAATTGAAAGGAACAAGTTCTTCTAAATTTGCTGATTTGTATTACATCTACGTAATTTTAGTTTAATTTAACATCCCTAAGAATATCTGAAGATGATCAATTATATAGTTGAAGAGATTCCTGATTCATGTACAGAAAAAAATAGATGTATAAAGTATGAATATATTTATATAATTTAAGATACCCATTTTATGGAAGTGAGATACTGGGATCCGAAAATGAAAAATTAATAAACTTTTTATTTGAAAAACCAACTGAATAGCCATCAGATGATGTACGAAATCCAATTGAAGATGAAGAGACTGAATAAGTAGAGTAATTAGAATAGAATAACAATGCACAAGAAAATGAGATAATAAGAGCAGGTTTGTTGGAGAATTTATTAAAATTGCTTGAGAGTGATGCTATAATAGTAACAACAGCAGGTTATTTTGCAAAAGTTGTGAATGCAATTATCCACAAGAAGGGACATTGTGTAAATATTTATAAATAACAATAAGTTTTGGGAACACTTGAAGCATTATCCAGATATCCTTTCGAATTTATTTAAACATGCATATTTAAAACACATAGTGGATATTTTTGAGAAGTTAATAATCTTGGAAGAAAACTATGAGCAATCGACTGAATATATGAATGAAAGGTCAGCTTTACTCTAAAGATTAGTAGTTTTCCTGAAAGGCAAATAACATTCTTAATTGATAGTTGGAAACATTTGTGAATTATTTGTGGAATTATACAAAAAGTCTATAAATCAGTTCGATACTCAGAGTTAAGAATTAAAAACAATGTTAGCACAATTTACAATTACAACAACACCAGAATTTTTCATGAAGTTAGCCTTAGCTACATAATAGAGTGTAGTCTATAACGTGTTGAATGTGTAATTTGAATTTCTGAACAAGTATTATCTACAAGACTAATAACTTGACGTTCTTACCAACATAACCCAGCTTTACAAACCAGTAATTTAGTCATTTGAAAAAGCATTAACTTAAGTGGATAGCTTTAAGATTCCATTCATATCTGCAGATGGAATTGAAATTACACCTTTGGGAGATGGAAAATTGCTAATAATCTAATTTATTGTTTCATTAGTGAATAAACCCTAATTCTATTCATATTTCACTGCTGAAGTATTTTCTTTGATAATTGATCTTGTGAAATTGCATCCAACTAATAATTAGTTGCATCTATTATTTGAGAGGTTGATTGTCGCTCTTGTTGAGACTAATGATGAATACTTACATAGGTTAATATTCGAAGACACCAACCTTTTGCTCTTTATTATACAAAATAATGAAGAAAAAGCCAGATAAAATAAGTTTGGATTTTAAGGAGTATTGACTAGACTATCAAACTATTTGGATTGCAATAAAAATAAGTCATCTTCATTCCAAGTCAGTTTATAATTATGTATTAAATTGATTATTATGAATTTTAGTATCAACAATTCAAATGGATTGGGATGAATATATGAAGGGATTAACTGGTGTCAATAAGGTAGAATAAGAATGGATTTTGGGAATAAATCCAAAGCAAAAAGAATAAAAATTTATAGAAGAGATAATAAGTCCAAATGTCAAAGAGGAAAATTAAGAATAGAATCGTGGAGTCCAAGGAATCAGAAAATGCATAAGTTCTGATAATAATGATGTTGTGTAACCAAAAGATGTTGATCCTGATGGTGTTGAGATTGAGGAAGATATTGAATAAGATTCTGAAGAAAAGTAAAATGAAGATGGAACCACAGAAGAGTAGTAATAAGTATAGCAAGTAGACACAGAGAAATAGAAAGAGTTCGAAGAAGAGATTGTCAAATAAACCATAGAAAACAATAAGGGTGGTTAAGAAATTAATTAGGCAGATGTTGAGACTTAAGAATAATAATAGGTAGAAACAAAACAATAAGATGAGAAAAATGAAGAAGAACAAATTAAAGAGTAAGATTCAAATGAGTAAATTGAAAATGAACCTGATCAAGAAGTTCAACATCAAGAATAACAAAATGAAGTATTAGTGGCTTAATCAGATCAATAGGAGGAGACATAGAAATTGGAATAATAATAATAATAGGAATCAGAGGAAACTTAGGAGATCATCTAAGAAAATGCAGACTTAAAGGAAGACGAAGGGGAAAAGGAAGAAATTGAAGAGGAAATTGCTTGTTCATAGGATACCTTAGAAGATCAGGCCATTAAGAATGAAGAAGTGCAACAAGTTCAGAAGATAGAATAGGAAAATGAAAATGAAAATAAAGAGGAACCTAAATAGATAGAATGATATAATATTATTTTTAATATTAATGTCAATGCCAAAACTAGCTATTAGTCCATAGTTATACATTTTCCTTATAATCCTTAAAACTCTGCATATACCTTTCCAACTGATTTTATTTTTGAATTTATCTCAGTTAAAGCTTATCGTATGATTTCATTTCCTTCGAATTTAATCTTTTTAGTACAAATGACCCAAGGGCTAAGGAACAAAATATTTCTAATTATGGTAATTATAATAGTGGTTATTTCTTAAGCTTTGTTCTTAGTAACACTCTAACAAGTCCTACTGATAAATATGTTATTCCTGATATCTTGAAAGAATACAGAATGTTTGATTGATGTAAATCATTTCTAAATATGTTCATATTTTAAGAATTTATTTGTATAAAATATATCAATGAATAACCTAATCATCAAATTTGCTATTATTACTAAGGCATTGTCATACCAAAACCTTGCATTTCATGAACCGGCGGTGCTCCAGGTTTAATGCCTTACATTTCCATATAATTCACTAGTTAGTCTGGCAATTCTTCGAGAACTTCTTTTGCCAATAACATTGAGTCTTTAAAATCTCTAAATGGCACAAATTGCACAAGATCTCTTTTGTATTGAGACTACACCATCTTTCCATCAACTATTGTTAAATATAAATGATACTTTAATCTCCATCCAATCTTTTCATTAAAGTAAAGTCATCGTCACCAACTCCAATAATAATAATAGAAATTGGCAAAAAGGCTGCTTATTCTAAATATTGTTCAACTTAATCCATATCGTGAATAGCACCGTCAGTTAAGATCAATAATATTAGATATTAATTGAGTTGCTATTATTTTATCATTGTAGCCTACTTCATGGCTTCAACAATCAGAGGACCAAAGTATGTAGGACCAGAAAATTGTACATAATTTAAGGCGTTTTAATACATCTACATGATTCCATCAAGTCCTTGAGCACTTGTATAATTGGGATCTCCTGATAATGGGAAGCAATGACTAACAGTGTTTAATTTTAAATTAGGAAAATTTAACTTGGCACCAAAACCATAACATGGGACTTACTTATCATAATCATATGCTAATAATATTTCTCCGATACTTGTTAGTGCCTAAGCATACTGATTCTTGGAATGGATTCTGTGTAAACTATTATACTAATCCTAGTCTCCATTACTTTAAGTGAAATCGATGGCTATGCTGAGATTCAATTAAGTTCCACCTTAGATATAATCCATAAAAGTGAATTTAAAAATTGTTTCAAATTGAGAAAATGTAATTGAACCACCGTTATTGTTTAATACGTATTCTTTTTATTGCTTCTTTAATTGATCAATTCCGATATAACTTGATCCTATTATGTTATGGATTGAATTATAAACTTCTAATTTAAACTTATCGCCAATCTTGAATTGCTTCATTTAAAAGGTTTTCCATTATGGATTTGACGTCTTATGTATATGTTCTGATTCATATGCAAAAAATTCGTTGTTGTTTGTGCATTTAAATAGTTTAAAGCTTGGATTTGGAGCTGAACACCAAGATCCTTTTATCCTAGATCCGTGTATTTGCATTATATATAATTCATTTAAATCTTGATTTTTTTCGCACATTGTTATCAGTTTTCCTCCCAAACTCAAATCAAGTATGCAAGTTTAATTTTTTGATCCGAATATTATTCCAACTGTAGACTCAACAAATCCCAGCTCATCAAAGTTATCTCCATCAACATCTCTTACTTCAAACCTTAATGGTTATTTGACTTCAAATATATAATCTAAGATTAAGGCTGTTTAGAAGGTTGGATTAAGGTTGTTAATAATTAATTCTGTCTTTCCTAGTAATGACCAATTATTATCAAGGCAATTGTTTCGAAACTGTTTTCCAAAAACCCAAACTTATGGATCTGATTTAGAAAAAGTATCCTTGTCTTTCAGCTTTCTGCAAGCTAAGTGAAGAGTAATTTTGCATCCAGCCTACATTTGAGGATTAAATAAATTAAATATATACTTAAATGCTTAAGTTTAATTATAAAGCATCAATCTTAAAATAGTCTAACAATTTCTAATGATTATTACATATTATTTGATTTTTTTGTTTTTTTAGATAACAGATAATGAAATTTTGACAATTAATTTGTATTTTATCATAAATGGGTTCAGCATGTTAAAAGGTGCTCTCTGAAAAATCTTAAAATTAAGAAATTGATGATATTGAATCGGATGACTTTAAAATAGAGAAAGAACAATAACCTTTAAAAGTTCATAAAGGAGGTAGAAAAGCCTTACATAAAAGTAAAAGACTGTCCAAGAATATCGAGATGGATTAGGTAATTTAGGATTCTATGATTTATTCTTTTGATCAAAAGAACTAATAACATAAGTCAGACCTCTAAAAATCGACATATTCAAGTTCAGAGAAAAATTTGTTTGTTTAAGAGAATTAAAAACAGTTAATTGGCATCATGAAATAACATGGATCCCATTAATTGATTAAGACCTCCTTAAAAGGCTTGTCAACTATCAATAGCAAACTATAATTATCTAGCCCAAAAATTAAAGACCATCAAGAAAAACATGTCCGATTTAAATTACCAAAATCACACAAATAACAATAAAGACCTCATTCAAAAATAAGAAATAGAATAAATTCTTAACCTTCTTATAATCTATGAATAACCTGAAATGAAACAATTAGTTTATTTATACGTTTTATGATTTTAATCCACCATGTATTAATTAAAAATAAATGTGCCCCCTTCTATAATAATTAATTTAATATAAAAGATAGTTTTTATATTAAATTATTACCCATAGACCTAATTTAGTTTCAAAATTTGGTTTTATCTAGGTTTTTTTTTTTAAAGAGGAAATATATATTTCATTAAATTATATTGATATTAATATATTTAAATATTTTCCAAAAATAGTTTATTGAAATTTTTACAATAATTAATAAAATTTATATATGGGAAGTTATAAAACTGAAATTAGAATGTATTTAGATTTGAGTTGAATTGAATTAGCTATTTGATTTTAATAAATGAATGTGAAGTCATAATGTCAAATTAAATCAAAGGATGAAACTAACTATTATTAATCATTACAATAAAATATGTATAAAAATATAATGAAATAATTAGAACAAATAGGAAGTGAATGTCTCGATTAAGTACAATCACTCAAACTAAAGGCTTTAATAGAATTCATTTTTCAAAATATAACTTATATGGCAGATTACATTAAAATCGAATCATTCATAAATATTCAATTTCCAGACTTAATGTATTAAGAAACATTTAATGGTTTGGTATAATACAAACTAATTCTTTATTCTAATAAGCCATCTTCTTAGTTGATAGGAATAGCTTCAGGATCATCTTGGTTAGAATTAAGATCAAGATTATCTTTTTTAGCTGTAGGGTTAGGATCACCTTGAATCTCTTATTTTTCTAATGTAAAAACCTTCTGCTACTATTGTTCTAATTCTTATGGTTACTGTAGCTAACTAAATAAGGATTTTTATTATAATAATTTTGAATTTAGTATTTTGCTTTCCTATTATTCAATTTATTAGGGTTGATTTTAAGTGACTATTGAAAGTTATTTTTAGGACACGCCATTAATTGACGCTCTTCCATTTTATGGTGATACACTTTCTTCAGGTTCTCTTTAAAGATTTCTTTCTGGCGATTAAAGGATACCTAATTTTGATTCCATTATTTTAGTGTCAATAAATCTTTGATTCACTTGATTTTACGCCTCCCTCTCATGTTCATCTATGATTTTTTCCAAATGTCCTTTTTTCTTACTTTCTAAATCATCATATTTCAACTAAAATATCATTTTAACTTATTACTGTAATGTATTTATCTACTTTTTAGATCTCATTATATAATGCTTCTAGTAGTTTAATTTAAGGTTCTTCTTTAATTTTAAATCTTGAAAGCAATATAAAATAGCATTCTTGAAAGTAAATAAATTATTTTACTTGCTTTTTTATCATATTTTGCTTTATATTATCCAAAATTGCCTCTGTAATCAAATTGTTCAGGAGGTTCCTTAGGTTTTGCTTTAGGATCATTTGGATCTAATTATTTTGCTTTGAGTTAATTTTCTAATTTAACTCTCTCTTGACTCCAGGTTTTATCAATTGGAAATCCTCTTCGAATGAACATAAAAAAGAATTGTCTATTGTAATCCCACATAAGAAAGCATCTAAATATTTTAATGAGAGTGTCAGAACTCAGATCTTTATCAGAATTAAATCCTTAACTTTAATTGTAAATAGCAGATGTATTTTGAAGTTGGGAGGGTGGTCTTTGATTTTATTTTCCATTAATTTAAGATACAATTTTTGGTTATGATTATATAATGCTCTACACTTGATTAAGTCATAAATACTTTCTATTGATTCTCATCATTAACTTTAGATTCATTGGACTCTTCAAAGGGCTTTACTTTTCCATATTTTTTAACATATTCATTTTCATTAGTTTCTAGCAGATTCTTGATTGTTTCACTCTCCTTTTATTCTAATTCCTCTTTTTTAATCTAGTATTTCGATTACAATATACTTTTGAATAATTGGGTGCTTTATCTATGATTTTATAAATTTCATCTAAAACTGAATTTTGAAAAACTTCTTGAACTTCGTTGCTGCTCAATAAAATGAAGTAACATTCTTGTTTATTCTAAATAAGTTACTGTTCTTTTTGTCATATTTACATTTAAAAACTCCATATGGTGAAGATTACTCAAAAGTGTCTTTGGGTTCTTTGACCATTTCTTGAAGTTTTGTTTCTAATGCTTTTCTACATTCATTCCATTTTGGAGTAACTTAGAAACCTCTTCGTATGAATAGGAAGAAAAAGCTTCTTTGGTAATCATAAATCATAAAAGCTCTGAAAGCAGACATTTTTACTTTAAATAATATTTTTTTGCCCTTGATTAATAATTATAAAAATCAGTTAATTACGTTATTTATGGAAACAAACTCTAATTCTAAAGAATGCTTAAAATGATTTATGTTATGAAAAATTTGAGGGAAATAACAACATCACATTAAAATTTATTTAGTACTTGAATTTTGTGATTTTTGATATTGATAAACGAGGATTTTATGTGTGAAAGGTGATAATTTAAAACAGTATATTTTACATTTAGAATTACTATTTAATATTCATAAATGTATAATTATATAATTAGGAATTAATAAAATATATTGAAATAAATTTTGAAGAGCATTAAATAAAATTTAATTATGAGATAGCTATAATAAATTCCGAAAGTAACTAAAAAGGTTATTATTATAAATCAAAAGTAAATTGTATGTGGTGAATACTTATAGGTCGAATATGATTAGTGAAAATAATAATCTTTAGAATATTCAAAATGTTTAAGTAAATAATACTGACAGAAAGAATGTTTCTGTTGAGGAACAACTTCCAAAATAATTTGAGGGTATTTGATTAAGTTAAAATAGATAACATGCAATTTGAAAGTCAATAATCCATTTAGGAAATGATGATTTTGTATTAAAAAAATTGTGCCTAATTATAAGAATTCTAATCTTAAATACACGAGTTAAAACAGAGAGTCTAATTGATTGAGTAAAAATTTTAAGAAATCGAAGCAACTAATAAGAAAAAGAAGAAAAGGAGAACTGCAGCTGAAATAGATAAGAATTTTAAAGTGTGTATTAAATTTATTAATTTTGTAGTGCCCTTATAAAAATTGTGAGAAACTCTATGGATCAGATGTTTCATTGAATCTACACATCAAATTCAAACATAATGGAGGTAATAAGAGCGAACGTCAGAAAATAATTGTAAAATTTACTATTGTTATAATAGAAATAATTACAGGCTGGAGAAATATCTGAAAAGGATATTCAAAACATTAATTTACCACCTGTATGAAAAATACCATTTCAATCCAATAATAAATTTGATTTCAAATTAATTTATGTGTTTACAAAAATTTATATTCCGCCATTTTTTTGGAATTTAAACTCGGCATTTTTAACGAAATTTTAAATTTGAATGCCACATTATTTTTATTATTATTGTTTATAAGTACATTAATATGTCTAAATTATATGATACAAATAGAAAATTCAATAATACAAAATAAAGATGGGTATAATTATTATAATATAATTTTCTACAGGAAACATTAACAGCCAATATTGCAAATAAAGAAAATATCCAAGTCAATAACAAAATAGCAGCAACAAAAACCATCAAAAAGTGTACAACAGCCATTACTCTGGAGAAAAAGAAGCCATTGCCTCAAAGGACAATAACAAAATATTTCAAATTGACAAATCTGAAAAAATATCCTAACCTACAATTATACGACTCCAAAGGGAATGTAAGAGAGTTCTTATGTTATGATGACAAGGTGCTCAACATGCCTTCAGCATATAACTAAACTATATCACATGTATAAACTTTAATCATTATTATAGTCTATGGATAATGATTGTCAATCTGATAATGAACAAGTTGAATCTGCAGTTAGATAACTTACCTACTTTCTCGAATCTACTTTAAATTAATACAAATAACACCCTTAATGAAGTCTATCATTGTGTACTTAGGTTTTAGATAATAATGATAATTTATATTGCATTATTCTATTTTTCAATATACTTGTAGAGCCTATGTTCAATGCATGTCCAGTCTTGATGATAAGCTCAATTGTGATTTAAAATCTATGTAACTTTCAACATACAAAAATGATTTGCCAATAATATAATATTTTATATCATTTAATAATGAATCCGTATAAAGAGAATGCTAAATTATCTTTGGATTAACTGATAGAAAAGAGAGTAAACCTATGATATTATTAAGTAAGTGTGGAACAGGGAAATATTAAATTTTGGCCTTATCTATTTTGGTTTTTATTGATTTAAATGATGGATGTGAATTGATATTGATGAGTTTTCTTATGCCCATCTTAAAAACTGAGTGGCAATTAACAAGCTTATAAATCTAAACCTTAACCAGCATTTTTTATTTGGGTAGAGTCTTCTATTTCAAAATAGTCAAGGAATGGTATTAGGTTCTTTATTGACTGGATTTGTTGCAGATCGAAAAGGCAGATTGAAATGTATTTACGTATCCTGCATCATATAATTTTTTATGGCAAACAGCTTTTTGCTTTGTACAAATTTTTATCATATGATTTTTGCAAGATTAGGATATGGTTTTGTTTATGGTATTATGTACAATTAATTGACAAGGATTTTCAATTCCTTTAACTACAACTATGATATCTGAAATTACAGCTCCTGATGTAAGGGGAAGATTTTTAATTGTTATAAATTTCTTTGTATCCGTTGGCAAAATTTATGCATTTTTATTGGCATTTTTATGTCTTGAGAATTTCAATCAAGGACACTGGAGATTAATGATGACTCTCAGTTCAACGACTTCCCTAATAGTGGGCATTTTAGCATGGGTCTTTTTGATGGAGAGTCCTCGATATTTAATGGCTAGTGGTTAAGTAATAGAGGGTTTAAATATCATCGAAGAAATCATCCATAAAAATGAAAACAATAAAGGTCTAATAAGTAGGATATTTAAAAGTGTATAACCAGAAGTATCATCAGATCCATTTAAAGGATCTAAGTAAAGTTATTATTTATAAGTTTTAGATATGGTTATATTTCAGCCAAAGAGAGAATAGCAATAGAAAAATGGGTAACAAAAGTATTTCGTTCTCAAAATAGAGGAACACTGAGAGAATTATTTAACAAAAGTAATAAAAGCACAACTATACGATTGTGGATAATATGGTTTTGTATTAATTTTGTAATTTGTGATATAAATATTTTAGATGTATTTTGGATAGTTACTGATTTTGCCATTCATTTTAGGGTCTAAATAAAAAACATTTGTTGACTATCTAACAACTGTTTTAGGTGAAATTCCATCAATAATTTTATCATTACTAATAGTAGAAATTCCTTTTTTAGGAAGAAGGAACACAATGGCAATCTCATTTTTTTGTGCAACCATTATGCATGTTTGGTCTTATTATGCTTCTTGGCCATATTTTTTTGCTCGATTCTTTATGAAAGAATGTTGGGCTATGTTATATCCATACTCTACAGAAATATTTCACACTTCAAATAGGACTTTGGGATTTGGAAGTAGTGCTGCTGTTGGAAGGATTGGAGCTGCTATTTCTCCCTATATTCTTATACCCTTATTTGAATAGGAAATACATTTGCCATTTTTGGCTTTTGCTGTGAGTTCTGTTATTTCAACATTGGCTACAATCACATTACCATATGATACAGTTGGCAAATCATTAGATTTTTAGAAGTAATTATAATTTTAGAGATATTTAGTTCGGATGGAGAGGTTGAGAGTAATAAAGAAGATGAAATTAAAGAAATTATGATGGTTTTAATTGAAAAAAAAAATTAGAACTGAAATAAAATTTATATTTATTTATTATTAAATGGATCCTAATGCTTAAATCAATGAGAGATACACAAAATTACAAGAAAAACTGGGAGCTCTTCAATTCGAAGTTGACAACACAAAAGATGCAAAAATTGATGAAATTTATGACAGAATCAACAAAGCTTAGAGCGAATTGAAGGATATTGTCAATAATTACAGTGAATAACTTGTACTTAATCTACATAAAAATAGGGATAATTGTCAGGTTAATTTCAAGAGCTAACAAAATAATTTGAAAAACAAAATGATTAATATAGTTCTTCGCATGAAAAAAAGTTAAAAGAAATCAAAAATTTAGAGAATAAACTCTAAAAAAAGCTAGATGATGATGTTAAAGCCAACAGAGAGTAGAGTGAATAAGTATTGTCCAGCTATGATTAATAAGTAAAATTAAATTGAGTAATCTTAAAGGTCTAAGACTTACTTTAATAGATTGGATAAGAAATTAAAGTGAAAAACTAATAAGTAAACATTATTAACACAACTTTGCAAAATGACTTACCTGCATTATGGTAATATAATGTTTAAGAAAATTAAGAAAGAGTTTAAGAAGATCAATCTATTGTGAAAAAAGCAAGTTAGGAAATTTCCAAATTATTTGATTAAGCTAACCAAGGGAAATCATAAAGGTAATCATAATCTATATTTATTAACAGAGAAGATGCTGAAGTTGGTATATTCACTATGCTCAAAGAGGTTGTAATAAGAGTCAAAAGCGAATTGGAAGAGGAAAGATAATTAAGAATGGATGGACATGAAGCCTTATTGTCAATATTGGAAGAAGCCTATGATAAAATGGAAGAAACACATGCCAAAGTTTAAAAATAGAAGGCTGCCTTATAAGAATCAAAATGATATATAATAGTCAGTTTAGTTTATCATTTTTCATAGAAATTGTTTTAATAAATAAGTTAATGATAATTTAGATATATAATAGCGATGTATTCAACCTCTTCGAACATAAACATTGCGATCTAATCTTTTATTAGTTTGTTTTGCTTAATCCTATTTTTAAAAGCTTTCCAGAGTCTTCAAAAAGGCATCATCATTTATTTTTATAGTCTCTTAATTGTTTTAATGATCTCTATCACCAACAGTCATTCTGGTTTGACTTCCGTGAATGGCTCTACTGGCCTTTTTATCATTAGTTTTATATAATTTTAATCTAAATGAATCTTCTCCGCTCTTTTACTTTAACAATTCATAATTATATTATAGATTTTAGTAATCTAGCCACAGTTCTTCAAAACTTTATTTTAACTTTTATTCTTGTTCAGCAAAATTTTAAGCTTGGCTTTCAATAATAGTTTAAAGTTCGAATTCTTTATTTGATAATAATATATTTGCTTTTCTCTATTCGTCAGCATGTTATTGAAAATGTTATTCAACGGATGAAACTTGTAGCCTCAAATCTTAAACTAATTCTTGTAATTATTAATTTTCCTATAATAAATGAGATATTTTTTAATCTTTTTGATTAAGTCTCTATTAAAGATTAGTAGTTAAATCGATATATTTTGTAGCTTCCTCCAATTAGATTTATAAGGCTTAGATTTCCCTAATAATAACTATTTTTGTTTTACAATTTATAATTTCTCTCTAATATTTTCTTACTGTCTTCTACTTATTATAATTCTTTTCTTGTTTGATCATGTAATGACTCTGTATCTTGAAGTCTATCAATTATTGTTAATAGTTCTAAAATAATTAATAAAAAGTATACAATTGATTTTCACATTTGCTATTTCTGTTTCACATTTTAATTTTTAATTTTCATCTTAAATTTAGGAAAATCTATCTTTTTAATTAAGAATGTGATCTTATAATTGTTCAATAACTTCTTTTGAAGTCTTAACTTAATCCTCATAATTTGATGATATGTTGTTTATTTAGGAAGAGTTTTACTTCTTTAGATGCTCAACTTATTTAATTAATTTAACTTCCTTTTCGCTTTAATAATTTTCAAAGTAGTTTGACAATTGCTCATTCTATTTAATATTTGAATTCATATTTACTTTTTCCAAAGCTTGCTTTAATTTAAATGTCAAATCAGCCTCTCTTTTTTACAGGTCAAGAACCTTTTTATTAATTACTGCTTCTGTTTCATACATACTCCTGTCTTTTGAAATTGAATTTTTTCTAAGTTGATTAACCCTTTCTTCTGTGTCCCTTATTTACTATTTAAGTTGCTCTATTTCATGATCCTTTTTGTCATTTATGTCAAGCAAGGTCTTTATTTTGTTGTTACTTTCTAAGAATGTCTCTTCTAATTAGTTTTGCAATCTAAAATAATTGATATTAAAGCATACAATTCATAATTTATATGAAGCTATTCAATCTTTTTTTATTATTCATTATCTTTTAATAAAAATTAGATTATGTCTTATTTTAATCCGTCTTAGTCTCTTGCAACAGCTAATTAAAATGCATTTAATCTCTCTTAAAATTCTGTTTCCATATTTTTAATTTAAACATCTTTTTATTTAATCACTTTTTTTAAAGTTTCTAGATTATCAATCACTTCTATTGGGTCTAATTATTACAACTAGTTGGAATTATTAGCTTATTTCATAATAATAATAAAATTTATTTTTATTTAATAAGTTAAAATACAAAATAGTTTTTAATTATAAATTTTGTAAATAATAATCATCTCATCTTTAAGCACATTAAGAAAATTTAAAATTTGCCTTATGTTTTTAACTTTAAATGATCAAAATAAGTTAATTTTCATTAAGCGCTCTTTCAATTTTGCATATTCTTCATGACTTTTATACTTGAATTTTAAGTAACATCTCTTGTTCAAATAGCTGTAATTCCTCTCTTATTTTTATTGTTCAATGTTAAGTATAGTTAATAGACCTGGTTGTGGTGAAGAATTTCAAAAAAAATAAATGAAACAGTTCATATATAAACTTATTCTAAATAATCATAATCAGATTATTCAAGCCTTCCATAATAAGAAATACAATTCTTTATGTTGATAAAAAATGTATTTTTTTGTTTAATGAATTACGTGACTTCCAAAGTTTCTACCAACAATGCAATTCCAACCAAATTAATCAAATTTATCAAATTCATACTTAATATGATGAGCAATTTGTTTCTCTGTTCTAAACTATTGCATAGCTGATTATGTAATATCTGTAACTTTTTTAATGAAATCCTCATCCATATCTGTGGCCTTTATTTATAGCTTTATTTGTTCCATTCTTATTTTTATATTAATATATTAAATAAATAAATATTTTGAATAAATTAAAAAAAAGTGTTTTCAAAATTTGTATAAATTTTAGATTTCAAAAAATAATAAATTACTTAAAATCCGTAAAATATTTCAATTATCTTTAATTGATACATTTTATTTTCCTTATTTTCAATTAAATCAATGTCATGCAGACCATCAAGAACATTCTATAGTATCAATACTCTTATTCGCTTAATTGCAAAGTACTATTTTAATAATAAGCTTAAATACAGATAAATAAATGGTTGTCTCATTATTAAATGGTCATGTAATTTTCCTGTAAGTTATGAAAATTAAATGCTACTTACTAAAAGAAGAGCAAAAATTAAATCACTAATTCTTAATAATAATATTAAATATTCTTTATATGATTAATCAAAAATCTGTGATGAACTTAAAATTGTTAGGATAATTTTCCTTCTTTGAAATTTAGCCGAAGTAATCTTCATTTTTGGATGGGTATACATTTTATATTTTAGTTGATCTAGAATCACAAATTTGATAAACTTGTGAATACTAAAATGGCGAAATTACCATATTCAATGATAATACCTATCTTTTTTTAACATAATAAATTAATTTTTTTGCATTTTTCAATTTCAAAATAACATGCAGGATGACGATCATTACAAACTGGTTGTATTTTAATAAGACAGAGAATTAAATTTTGAAAATTTAGTTACTATTTAAATTTCAAAGTGTATAACCAGTTTTTATTAGATATATTTAGGTGATTTCTTAACGGAATAATAATGAGAGGGCTCAAAAAAGGCTAAAGAGTTTAAGGGATTTGTTATTGATTGAAATTATATTAATGATATTATTAATTAATTTTGAAGATGCTTTGTGATTTTATAAGGACTTTTTAGAACTCTTACAACAAATTCATATCAGAATAATATTAATCATGGAAAAAGTAGGAATTCTAAATGGAGATGGACTTGATTCAAATTCCAACTCTTTTCATATCGTTTATGATAATCTTAATAAAATTGATCATTAACAAAAGTGATTAGGAACTTTATATTCAACTAAGTATTAACTGCTTTTCACATTTATTTTTGGGGATACTCATCAAAAAGAACCATTCTTGTAAGGCTATCATGACTCATATAATTAGAATTTGTTAAATAATTCTGATTAATTGGTATTGTCTATATTTTTATATGTCGAACCCATCATTTTTATTAATTTACACCACATTTAATGTAATTTAGTTTAATATGGCTTACACAATATTAGTAAAATTGATAACATTAGGAATATGCATGGGAGGGTATTTAGTATCAGTTGAAGATAAATCTTATGAATGTTTGGGATTATTTATTCTTATAATGATTATACACATGATACGAAGAGAAGGGAATCTAATGTCATTTTATTCAAAACTTTAGGCATTGTTTCTTATTATAGATACAATTCCGTCGGCCATGTGTATTGTCTAGAAAAACAAAAGTTAGTTGCTTTATTCAAATAAAAGCTTTGAAAACCTATCATTAACTCTAGAGGGATCGAATAATTCTGATACTGATCAATCACCTGATAGATTCATCAATTATTAAAAATTATAATTGCATTTCTTATCTAATCTCTAATTAACTGAATTGAATTAATAAGGAATATCAATAATAGATTTTGATGATGAATTGCAGATCGATTAGTATAAGATAAGAAAAGTGAATTATAAAAAAGAAGCTCTTAGTCCTGATTGTGGATCTAGGTAGTTGATTTTCAATTTGAGCGATAATCCTCCAATCAATAAAAAGATATAATATAAATAAGAATTCTTTTCATCATTTAAAATGAAGGATGATGAATAGGTACTCAAAAAGTAATATACTGCTGATATATCCTTATAAGTTGAACTTAGGCATCAACCCTATATGTGTACATTGAGTTCCAAGAAGAAACAAAGGAAGAGATCATCAAATAGACTCAGTATCAACAGGCCATCAACGCCTACAAGTGGTAAGTTATCTTTTGAGTAGATGTTGAGGGAGAATAATAATCAAAAATATCAAAATTCATCACCATCAACAATGAATCATGATATGAAGTTCTTGATACATGTGATAGAAAATTATAAATTATTTGATGAAGAAGACGATTTCCAAATATTTTTTGTCCATGAATTGAATCCAGTTCTTCTAAAAACTAGTTTGAAAAAATTAGAATCAGTAAAGAAGAATTTATTAAGATCAATTTCTCACGAGATGCTTACAAATTTGAATGCTGCATATGGTTACATAAAACAATGTCAGGATAGGTTATTAAAAGGAGAAGAGATGACAGAACTATTGGCTTGTGCATTGAGATACACAAAATTGCAATTATTCAAAGTGCAGGATTTTTTTGATTACAGATATTTATTAGATAACAAATTAAAATTGAGGGAAGACAAATTTGAATTGATTAATGCTATTACGGAATGTGTAGATTTAATTAAAGATTAGATATATAGAAAATAGTTGAGTTATTAATTAGATATCCCTGAGAATTGCGCATATATAGTGAAAGGAGATCGATAGAGGTTTTGTCAAGTTATATTGAATTTATTAACGAATGCGATAAAGTTTACTATTTAAGGTGGAATTACTGTAGAAGTGAAAAAAAAGAAAAACTCTCCGTCTTGTTTTGGTATAATTGACGAGGTCTAATCTTAATTGTCTTAGGAAGATTCGAATATTTTGGAAATTTACATTAAAGATAGTGGTCTAGGTATGGATGAGGATGAATTGGTGACTCTGAGAAAGAAAGTAAGTTGTATATAATTAAAGATAGTTACATGTTGCAGATGAGGATGAAAAGGTATCGAAATATTCTGTTGGTGTTGGTTTAGGTTTATCAGTTTGTAAATCAATAATTCGATAATTGGCCCCAGAAAATTCTAATCTATTATTTGTTGATTCTGTGAAGGATAGTGGATCATCATTTTATTTTAGTCTAAGATATATTGAAGAGAAATCCTCCATTCAAAAATCGTAATAATTGACTATCCCATATTAAGATGCATAAAGTGCATCTGTGAAAGTGTTAAATTACAATAAAGGCCATCAATTGACTGCAATCAATATATTTAAAAGAAGCAATTCTAATGATTTGTCAATTGAAATTCCTAAAAAGAGATAGGATCAATGTAATTGTGAGACCATTTTGATAGTCGATGACGAGTAATTTAACATTGATATTATTTGTCACATCATCAGAGAAATGGGATTCTAAACAGAAACTGCCTTTAATGGTAAATAAGCAATAGAAAAAATCTCTAAGAAATTATAGGATAAATGTAGTGGAAAATGCACTGGGTATCATTGTATATTGATGGACATAAACATGCCTTTGATGAGTGGGTGGGAGGCTGTTTAAATCATTCGGTAAATGGAATGTGAATTATAATTGGTAAAGGCAATTCCTGTAGTAGCTGTAACTGCTTTTTGTAGCATATAGGACTAAGAAAAGAGTATTAATGAAGGTTTCGACGGAGTAATAATCAAGCCAGCTACTAAAGAGAAGATTAAAGGGTGCTTCGAAAATCTAAATTTATGACTATAGAAATTGTATATGAATACATAATAATATGAAAATTAAGTTAGATGTTTCTTAATTCATTATTATACATATTTTTCAATATTCACAATTTATGCTAGGTAATCCTTCAATTGTATCAGATAGATCAATCTATAGCAAATCTAACCTTCTTGGTCAGTCTTCATATAGTCAGAAACCTATTGAGTCTATTTTGATCCTTCGCTCAGGAATCGAAATGAAACTACAGACTTTTCCAAAAAGACATAGTCCTCGAACTTTTAGAATATCAAATCATTAAGATCTGAAGTAGATTTCTAGGGTTTAGAGTAGAGTTTACTTTTTGTGTTTGTTTTTGTTAGTCATTATCCTTAAAACACTTAGTAATGACGAGTAAGTAATCTAGGTTGGTGAGGGAATTCGAAGGGTTTTCTTTTTATAACCAATTGATGTCTTCTTTCTAAAATGAAATAAGGGATTACCAATTGATTGTGTAAAATGGGGACGAGTTGTGGAGCCAAATTAAGAATCCTCTCATTTATAAATAAACCTATTTTCTTCGGTGTTTGAAAGATGTGTTACAGTTGTTGATGTTACTTATTGTATTGTTGTGATTTAGTATCGACATAATGCAAGATTTCACCAATGGCATTGCTCCTATTGATGATTAAATTCTAAATTACTTAATTTCACCAATATTTAATATTGTAGTAAACCCAAAAACATTGTCTTCGTCTTCTTGTCCAACCATGGTTCCCAATTCAACTTGATCACATATGATGTTGGCCAACTCAGAGGATTTAAAGCTAATTCCCTCCAGATAGCCATTGATGAATGATTTAATAGAGTGAAATTATTTTTGATTTGGATCGAGGAAGACAAAGTCCAGATTGATTTCCTCTTCCATATCTCCCTTATTATGCACATTTATTGGTTGTTCGATTTCCTCTTCCTCTGAATCCTCATCTTCATAATCTCTTTATTTTCTCTTGTCTTAATTACCTTAATTCATTAATTTTAATAGTGATCAATAAATGGATCAAACCAAGAAGAAGATAAAACCTAATTAAATTACTCTGCTCCCCCCTGATACAAGAGTATTTGTGACTCTATTTAACCCTTATGGAGAAGAAGCCCAAAAATCCTTGGAACTCTCAGTGAACACAACCAAAGAAGAATTGCAACAAATTTTATAATCATTGGTCAAAACTGAGGAAGATCAAGTTTACTCCTTCTTCCACAATAACATTGAATTAGTCGACACATTAAACTAGTTAATCGCTTCAGATCCTGAATACAAACTGGAAAATACCTTTTCTCTCACATACCATCCCCAATCACTCTTTAGAATTCAGCCTATCACACGTCAAACAGCCGCTCTAGAAGGCCATGAACAACCTGTGCTATGTGTTCAATTCAGAACACATGGAGATGTCTTGGCAACAGGAAGCGGTGACACAACCATAAGATTATGGGATATGCTGACAGAAACTCCAATTGCCACACTCAAAGGTCATAGGAATTGGGTATTATGCTTAGCATGGAGTCCTGATTGCAAATACATAGCCTCTGGTAGTCATGATGGTTAAGTTTGCATTTGGGATGTTGAAACCAATCAATTAAAAGGGTAACCTTTAATAGGACATACCAAATGGGTTACTAGTATAGCCTGGTAACCAATGCATCTAGATGAAGAATGCACATTGGTGGCTTCCTCATCTAAAGATGGTAGTGTAAGAATCTGGAGCAGAATTTCATTGTCTTGTTTGATATCCATCAATGCTCATTAAAAAGCAATTACAAAGTATATTTCTTGTTAATTCTAGAATGCTCTGGGGTGGTTAAGGATATATCTATACTGCATCAGAAGACACCACAATCGGTGTATGGAATAAATCAGGAAAAAGAGTCCAAGAACTCAAAGGTCATGGCCATTGGGTCAATTCTATAGCCTTGCATACTGATTACACATTAAGATGTGCTTGTTTTAGTGAAGGAAACACTGAAATTAACAGGAAATAGGCTAAGGGGCTTTATGATAAGATGTTAAATGGTAAAAACGAGAGACTTGTCAGTGCGAGTGATGATCAAACTTTGATGCTCTGGGAGTATACGTCATCAAAACCAAAGGTTAGAATGACTGGACATCAATAATAAGTGAATCACGTATAATTCTCACCAGATGGAAGATATATCGTCTCAGCTAGTTTTGATAAGAGCTTGAGAATTTGGGATGGGTACAATGGAAATTGGATTGCTACTCTGAGAGGTCATGTAGGCTCAGTTTATTAAGTTTCATGGTCTAGTGATTCTCGATATATGTTGTCAGCTTCCAAGGATTCTACCTTGAAATTATGGTCTTTATAAAAAAAGAAGTTGGCCTTTGATTTGCCAGGACATGCTGATGAAGTCTATGCTGTTGATTGGGCTCCAATTGGAGGAGAAAAAGCTGGAAGTGGAGGCAAGGATAGAAGGGTTAAAATATGGAGACATTGAACTTCTTTTTTTCTTGTTAATATTATATTAATGTATATATATGGATGATATTAAAATGAGTTTATAAATTCTTAAAAAACATAAATATCTTTATTATATTAATGAGTCATCATAATAAGGCACATGATATAGCTAAAGTCGCAGCCGCTAGGTTGAATGCAGCTGCAGCTACAAGAAATTATAATGTGACTCCAAGAGTGGATTATAGAACAGTGGTGAAGGTAGATGGGCCACTAGTTATTTTGGACAATGTCAAATTCCCAAGATATGCAGAAATTGTTAATGTTTGTTTGGGAGATGGATCAGTCAGAAAAGGGTATTAATCTATTTAATACTTTTAGATAAGTGTTAGAAATAGCTGGTAAGAAAGCAGTCGTACAGATCTTTGAAGGTACTTCAGGTATCGATAATTTGTACACACATTGCGAATTCACAGGTTCAACACTTTAAATGCCAATTTCTGAAGAAATGCTTGGAAGAGCATTCAACGGATCAGGAGTTCCAATTGATAAAGGCCCCCCTGTTTTGGCTGAAGAATTCTTAGATATTCAAGGATAACCCATTAATCCATTCTCTAGAGTCTATCCTCAAGAAATGATTCAAACAGGTATCTCAGCCATCGATTGTATGAACTCAATTGCCAGAGGATAGAAGATTCCATTGTTCTCTGCCAATGGTTTACCTCATAATGAAATAGGAGCGTATGATTCTACATCTATATTTCTAGTTAAATTGTGCGTTAAGCTTCATTAGTCAAGGGTAAAGATGTGCTTGATCATTCTGATGAAAACTTTGCAGTTGTCTTTGGTGCTATGGGTGTCAATATGGAAACAGCTAGATTTTTCTAAACAGATTTCGAATAAAATGGTTCTATGGAAAGAGTCGTCTTGTTCATGAACTTGGCTAATGATCCAACAATTGAAAGAATTATTACTCCCAGATTGGCATTAACAACAGCAGAATATTTGGCTTACGAAAAGGAGTTGCACGTGTTGGTTATCTTAACAGACATGTCAGCCTATGCAGATTCATTAAGAGAAGTCTCTGCAGCCAGAGAAGAAGTGCCAGGAAGACGTTCTTTCCCTGGTTATTTATATACAGATCTTTCAACCATTTACGAGAGAGCTGGTAGAGTGCAAGGCAAAAATGGATCAATCACTCAAATCCCTATTTTGACAATGCCTAATGATGATATCACACATCCAATCCCAGATCTTACAGGATATATTACAGAAGGATAAATCTTTATTGACAGATAATTGAATAACAAATAAGTTTACCCTCCTATCAATGTCTTACCCTCATTATCAAGATTGATGAAATCTGCTATTGGTAAGGGTATGACCAGAGAAGATCATCCTGAAGTTTCAAATCAAGTATTTATTATTCTTAACATCAACTATAGTTATATGCTAATTATGCCATCGGTAAGGATACAGCAGCCATGAAAGCAGTCGTAGGAGAAGAAGCCTTGTCTGCTGAAGATCTTTTGTATTTAGAATTCTTGAAGAAGTTTGAAAATAACTTCATCAGTTAAGGAGCTTACGAGGTTCGATCAATTTTCAAATCCCTAGATTTAGCTTGGAGATTGTTAAGAATCTTTCCTCCTGAAAAATTAAAGAAAGTAACAAATTATTTTATTCTGATTAGATTAACAAAAGAAATCTTGAAACTTACTATTACAGAAGAAAAGAAGATGAGGATGACTTTGATGGACCCCAATAATAGTAAGAAAAATGAGTATGATATATAGTCGTATCAAATACAATCAATTTAATCTATATAAAAATTATTGTTAAATAATTTTTATGAATATTTAACATTTGCATTTTATCTTAAATTATTAAAGTTTATAGTATTTTCAATTAAAATCAAAAAGAATACTCCTATTAAAAGAGATTTAATTATAAAAATAATAAGTAGAGTACTAGCTTTTTTAAAATATCTTTATTAAGATTATACAAGTAGTTTAGTTTAAATTTCTAATTATTAACAATAAAATTTTAGTTTGAAATGAAATGAAATGAAAATGTTATGTACATATCTAAGAAATACGTAATCCAGAATTGACAATAAATGATTTTAACAATAAAGTAAATTTTATCAGTAGAAATATGCATTAATCATTAATAAAGCTCTTTAATTTTATTAACTTATTTTTTTTGTAATATACTGATTTATTCGATCAAATAATTTCTACAAATGCCTTTGGATGTTAGAAAGTTGTTTATTTTGGAATAACAACTGCTGCACCTCTTGGTTGAACTGGTTATCGCTTTGTTGAAATGACTTGCTTATTCTTCTTTGCCTCAGTCTTTTTCTTATCATTTTCTTAGACTCTCTTGACAAATTCTTATCTGCATTTTGATGGTCTCAAGTGATCAGCTCTAACATGAAAACGCTTTTCGACATATCTTCCTCTGACTCTTCTTTATAATGAGACACCAATTCCTCTTGGATTGACATTGAATACTCTTGCAGTTCTGCCGTGATAATATTAAAATGGAACACCTTTGTGTTAAGCACCATCAACCAAAATATCAACAAAATCACCTTGAGATTATTAACTAAGACTTACCTCTTCTGAAAGTTTAAAGGGTTTTTCTTATTGATATGTTTCCATGTCCTCTGAAAGGTTTGGCAAACTTGCTTCTAGTACCCTTTTTCAAACCATAACTGTGAGTCATATTTGATAATTTAATTTATGGATTTGCTATCACATTTAAATATATATATTTAACATAATATATATATATAATCTATATGAATAAATCCATCTCATCCAATATTCATCTTTCTGACTTTTATTGCATCTTGTTTGTCTGCCAATTCTTTCAGTAAAGGCTTGTTATGCATCAATTCTTCATTATTCATTTTATTTCTGGGTCTCTACTAAGATTTTCTCTCATCTATCTATTATTTTAAGATATCTTAGTGCTTCAAATTTACATCCTTTATGTAATTATGTTTTTATTTTTCGTGTGTTTAATACATTTATAAATCTTATTACCAAACCTAAGCTTATTTTCTATTTAAATCTTCCTCTTCTTTTATTTTCTATCTTAAATAATCACTTTATATTTACTTTTTATCTTCCATTTGCTTGATTAAATATGATCTCATTTCCTATTGTTGCTATTTAATTTATCTCTTTTTTTAATCTTCATCATTTTATTCAATTTGATTTTACATAAGAATAGCTTTCATCATTTTATCATCTTCAGCCCTAATTCTAGATAAGATTATACTTAATTTGATCTTTCTGATTCTTTACTACCGTTTATGAAAAGTCACTCATGATCTTTTTGATTTTATCTTCTCTCTCCTTCTTTTCTAATTCTCTCTCCTATTCTAATTTTTATTGTAAATCTATATATTTCCTTTGCATATCAATTTCTAATTATTTTTCAGTTATCTCATCATGAATTTACTTCTATCTATTTTTTTCATTTTCTTCCATCATTTCCATAAACTTTCTCTTCTCAATCTCCTTTTTCTAAAGTATTTCCCTCTACTCCTATTTCAATTCTTCCTAAATTCTTTAAACCAATACTGCGTCTTATTCTGATTATCTCTTTTTCTCTAAGAATCTTCTCTTCTCCTCTTCCCTCACTTGTCTGTCTCTTTGCTCCTTTTCAATTTACTACTTTCTTTCCTTCTCTCTCTTTTTCTAGTCCTCTCTTTGATCATACACATTCATTTAGTAATCCCTTAACTTAACATATGCTTCTTCCTATTTCCTCTCTCCTTCTTGTCTTCTCCTTTTCTCCTCCAATTGTCTATCAAGTTCTGCTTTCATTTTCTTTTTAAACTCAGCTTACCTCTACGATTCTAGCTATCTTTCCTTGGTGTGTAGTTCTGTATCAAATTTGACCAAAGCAGCCCATTCATCCTCTTCATCAACTACATAAACTGATTTTGGTGGTTTTTCAAATTGTGAAGACGTTACAGAATATTAATCGGGATCTCTTTCAGATCTCACAGAATTCTTAACAGATTATGGCCTGAGGTTTTGTGATTTCTATTCACTTCTGTTGTCAAATTAAATATTTTAGGATGGGTTTTATTATGTTTAACTTTGTTGTTTTTATTTTTGAATAGCCTCCTATACTCTTGCTTTCAGTTATTTTAAAGAATTCTCTGTAACCTAATATTTTTTATGCTTGATACTTGCTCGTTTGCGAAGTATTCATTAACTATTTACGAAATTAACACCTCTTTATTCTTGTTACCTTAAGCAAAATCTTTTGAAAATTTGCTAATCAACATTTCTCTCAATTGCTCCCTTTATTGGATCAACCCAGCCCTTTCAATAGCTGATTTGACTCTTGCTGAACCTGATCGAACTGTTTTACTTTTCTGAGAGTTGTTCATTTTTATATTAAATTAATTTGTAAAATCATAGACTCTCAATAAATAAGTGAACGCATATCTCTGATCTCGTTTAATGCTGCATCATGATAATTGAGGTATTAGAATAAAAATTCAAAATTGTCTCATTTCACTAAATAGCAACTATCAGTTACACTATGAATTTTATCGAATATTATTTTACTTAAAATTTAAAAGATGTTAAAATGACATCATTATTACCCCTTGCTTAATCCTCCAATTCATTCTCTTCTAATATTCTTGAATTATCTAATAACTTATATGATATATGATATCGGAATTAAGAATAATTTAGCTATATCTTTAGAGATTCGAAGTCAGAAGAAAGAGATCTCTACATTTTCGTTTATCACCAATAGCTTTAACTTTATAAGGAATAATTTATATAATTGATAGTAATAACAGCAAATCAAAGAAGAGTTCTAAACGTATAAAAACAAAGATCTAATTAAGTTATAAAGGTTATTTAATTTTTTGTGATAAAACAGTATTTTATCATAATTTTAGCATTTTCTTAAAAGAATATACAAATAAATAATTTTATCATGAAGTCCCATTGACATCTTGATATAGTAGACTTTCATTATCATTTATTTCAACCTTTTTTCGACAGCATAAAGCAGAAAGCCAAATTTACTTTATGTTCAACACCTGACTAACAGCTAATATACATAATTTTACTTGTAATTGTAGAGAAAAAAACTTAAAACAATAATTAAATGCAATTCAAAAATTAAGTTAAAAAAGACATAAAAAGCATAAGGCCAATCATTGAATACGATCCATTTAACAAATACATCTATAATATCAGTATATCTATTTTTAAATAAATATTACCTTATGAGTTAATTAAAGAGCCAAGCTAGTCCATATATAATAGGAAATAGTTGAAGATGTTGAATGATTTCAAATTCTTCATCTTAAAATGTGGATAGATGGATTGCAGCTAATTTTGAATTCTAAAGTAGTATTATAATTGAAAATTCTTACTTTTTTTGCTAATATGATTCCACTCACAAAAATAATTATCTAAGGAATTGTCCAAAATATTAAATAGATTTTCCAGCTTTTGCTAAACCCACAAAAAAAGTATTATATGCAGTCTTTTTTAAAAGAGTTCCATCCAGTTGGAACAAATTCCTCTTATAAAAATGGAAAAAGCAACCAAACATATGATGCAATCCAAAATAAAAATATTACTTTAAATACATTTTTAGATAAAGTTTCATACAAATTATCAACCTATATTTAAAATCATTATACTTTTAATAATAATCTCAGCTGATAGATTATAAAGAGGCAGCAACAAAATGATGAGAGCCAACTTGAATGCATTATGTATCCAATTATATTGCATTATTTTTCTAAAGTCTCCTGTTACATAAAGAATCTATTATAAATGAATGCTAAGCCCAAATCTATGCATTCGAATAGAGATTAAAAGGAAATTATTCTAAAAGTCCAATAACTTCTTTTGCTGCTCAATATACAAGTTAGTCCTATGAAGCTTGATGAAAGAAAGGACAGTAAAATTATAATCATCCTAGAGTAGTATTAAAGTTTAAAATTGGCTGGGTTGCATATAGGTATCTCCTCATCTTAATTGTAAAAATCAATTGTAGAATAATAATTCATCATTGATTTCAATAAATTTTATTATTTAATCACATAAATTAGAACACAACACAATAGTTGTAATATTTGTTTAATTTAAATTATGGATTAAGATTAATCAATCAAATTGGAGGACATTCATTACACTAATTTCACAGACTATAGTTAAATACCCAAAATTATGCCTATGATTGATGCTGAATTATCTGAACCCTATTCTATTTATACTTATAGATATTTTCTTTATGGGTGGCCAGATCTCTCTATTTTTGCCTATTATAACAATGAAATTATCGGGGTGAGTTGTTTAGTCAAATTCTTAGGTTGTAATTGGAAAATTAGATAAGCATAATAAATCTGGTAGAAACAGGGGTTACATAGCAATGATTGTGGTAGAAAAGAAGTATAGACGCCTTAGAATAGGGAGAATTTTGGCATAAAAATTTATTGACAAAATAAAAGAAAAAGGTTTGAATTGATTTTTAATATTGTAATAAGGTGGTGATGAAATAGTGTTAGAGACCGAATAAACAAATCATGCAGCGCTGAGATTGTATGAGTCCCTGGGTTTTGCCAAAATGAAAAGAATGTAGAACTATTACATGTCAGGCAATGACGCATTTCGTTTGAAATTATTCCTGGTGGATCCACTAGATCCCCATTAAAAAAGTGAATGAGTATACAAGAAAATGTTAAAGTTTTATTAAGTAATCATATACTATATATATCATCAATGAGAACCTCGAAGAGAGATCATTAAAATCAATCTTCGTAATCTGAAGTACAGATTAGTATAGTTGTGTCTTAATCTTCTTGCACTTCCACATTCTCTTTTTTACTTTGATTCAACAAGTCCTCCATAACCAAATGATCTTTGAGGTATTCCCAATTTTCCAGAACCACAATTTGATCAAGCAAAATAGTTTCTTTTTTATTGATGATCTCATTCATACTTTTTATATTATTATTTTAATCTAAAAACAGAACCATTTAAATAGAGCATTTATCGATTTTAACAGTACCCATAAAATTAATTCAATCATTTTATTTATAATCAATCATTTACCTTCACTTTATTACAATTTAATTAATGAAATATTAAAATTATTATGTAATTCTATTATTTTATACTTAAGTCAAATTAAGGATCAACTAAGCATAGAAAATTCATACCCTGATAATACCCATCAAAAATATTCCATAGAAGATAAAATATTAGATTTAATTAATTTAGTCTTTTACAATTGGATAAAACACTTACTTTTCTGTAATAATTAAATTTATTAATAATCTAAAGAAGTTTAAAAAGTAAGAGCGATTAAAATTGATTATCAAAGGATTATATAAAAAATATATAACTTGACTAATCATTTAGCGTACATTTTAGTCCATTCCTTAGCTTTTTATTGATATAATGCTTTGTCTTTCTTAAAAACGGTATTAACATCGTCAAGTAATGGGCTATTAGGATTTGGATCATAAAGCAATGCTAGAATACTTAATAGCACTAAAATGTAGATTAAAATAGAATACACTTTCTAATAGTTAAGCTTGGAGACCAATTTTATCCCAAGATTTCTAGGCAAATTTACCCTGTATTATAATCAATGTTTAAATGATAGATAGAAGTCAGAAATACTATTTTTGGAGATTTTAATGGATAATCTTCAGGAAACAATACATCTAGAGTAAAAATTCCATTTTCATAAAGTGATCCTTAAGGTCCAGAAAAACAAATTTTCCAATGAAATATATTATTGCCATCCAAAATGCTGATTAGGAACCCAGTGAGAGGTTCATCTTGAAAATTTTATAGTTCTTTTTTAATTCTAGGTACAGAACTCATTGTTTATAATTAATAATAAAATAGTTTTGCATTGAAATAAGATTTACAAGAAATGTACTTGTAATTCTAGGACACTGATAAAAACTGATAAATAACAAAGACATAAATATAGGACAGGGGAATAATAAGTCAAAGTAAATAAAATTTATACAATATACGGTGTCAGAAATGAAAGAGAATTTGTAATATGAATTGAATATAGAAATTAATATTAGTTAACTCGAAATAATTATTTAATATATATAGAATAAAACAAATGTTGAGATTGAATATTTTACTCATTTTAGCTAATCAATATTTAGCAGTTTCGATAAATGTGGAGGAATCTTGCACTTGTAGTTAAATAAAATCTAAGTCTGATTGTGCAAACATTGGGTGTAGATGGGATAATGATAAATGTGTCCAAAATGATTAAACAGAAAATGATGATATGATAAGTGTCTATTGCAGATCATTTGATTAAGCAACTTGCCCAAAGATGAAAGGCTGTGCTTTTGTTGATAATAAATGTGAATAATTCAGTGGTTGTTCTGCTTATATTGGCAGTACGAATTATTTTTGTCAATAGATCTCATAATAATGTACATCAGATGGGAATGTGTGTTAGGATCCACAGAATTGTAGTGAATATAAGAATTAGATATTTTGTAATCAGAATATCAATATTTAAGGAGGTTAATGTAAATGGGAGAACAACTAATGCAGAGATTTAAGATGCATAGAAGCAAGTAATGAATTGAAAACGGATTAAGATTGCAATAAATTTAAAATAGGATGTTTTACAAATGGTAAGGGATGTGTGGAGATTAAAAGCGAATGTTCTTCATATGGAATTATTGATTGTAATTAAATGATAGGAAGTGATGGCTATTGTGCGAGAACAGCAACTGGTTGTGGTGCAAGATAGTGTTAGTCTGCTCCTAGTGATTACAATAGTGATGAGTAATGTGCAAGATATCAGTTTGGATGTGTTACGACAGGTAAGGGATGTTGGATGAATCCATTGCCTACTTGTGATAGTTATGTTGGAAGTGATTGCAGTTAGATGACAGGATCTGAGGGATAATGTGACAATGGATCATCAAATAAATGTTAGTCTAGGAAATGTGAAAATGCACCTACTACCTATAATACAGATGAAAAATGCAAAGAGTTTTTGAATTCATGTATAACCAATGGAAGAGGATGTGACACTTCATTGAAATAATGTAGTTCTTATACAGGAACAGCTGAGGAGTGTAATTAGTACATAGGAAGTGATGGTAAATGTACTTTAGGTACAAATGGGTGTAAAACAAGAGTTTGTGAAGAGGCTTAACTAAAGACAGATCGAGAATGCAACGACTATTAAAAGGGTTGTGTAACAGATGGAGTGAATTGTTTAAGTAGTAGAAAATTATGTTCAACCTATAATGGAACAGCAACAACTTGTGCTAAATATGAAGGGTCTGATGGAAGATGTTATTCTAAAAATACTTTTGAGGGGATCTGTTCAAATTTGGTATGTACTGATGCTCCTTCTGAATACAAGACACATGAGAAATGTATTTCATTTTAAAGTGATTGTTTGTCAAATGGGGAAGGGTGTGTCAAAAAAACTGATTGTATATCTACTATTAAAGAATTCACTTGCAAAGCTACTGCTTCATGTTAATGGAATCAAATTTGTGTTACCAAAACTGATTGCTCATACTTTACTAACATTAGTTTATGTAATAATAATTTGGGAAATGGTTAACCTTGCTTTTGGGTTGGTGGTGTTTGCAGAGTTAGATTATGCACTGATGCTCCTTCATCATATACAACTAATGATTAATGTAAGAAGTTTTTAGCTGGATGTGTTACAAATTCATAAGGATGTTTCCCATCCACAGTCCCTTGTAATTAGTATTAAGGAACAACAGAGACTTGTGTCAATTTTTATGGGAATGGGTTGAAATGCACTAGCACTAGTAGTATAAAGGGACCATGTGAAGTTCTCTTATGCACAAACAATACAACAGCAACCAATTTAAAATAATGCGATGATTTTTTGAGTGGATGCAAATTTTAGGGTAGTTCTGGTTGTATTGATAAATCTGCTGATTGTAGTTAATATACTGGCAATTAAGAAACGTGTTCCTAGTAATTTGGAATAAATGGAACAATTAAATGCTATTAGGATACAGGAACTACTGGACCATGTAGACATTTAAAATGCGGAGATAATATAACAGCTACTACAAATGACTAATGCACATTATTCTTAAGTTCATGCGTATCAAAAGGATTAGGGTGCATTGATCAAGCAGAACCATGTACATCTTATTCTGGAAGTAGCACTACTGATTGCTCAAAATTCAAAGGTGTAAATAACACAAAATAATGTTGGTGGATAAGTGGAACTAGCTGTGTGAACAAGGAATGTGCACAGGATACTGCATCAACAAAAAATGAATAATGTGAATAGTTTTTATCTGGCTGTGTTACAAAAGGTATAGGATGTATTGAAAACACAGAACCATGTACTTAATTCTAAGGAGATGAAGCTTAATGTTCAATTTTAATTGGCAATGGGTATCCTTGTGTTCGTAAAAACACATGTATGAATAGGAGTTGCTCTGATGTAATTAATCCTGCAAACAATGATTAATGTACATAATATTTGTCAACTTGTAGATTTAATGGATTTATCTGCATAGATGCTTAAATTTCATGTACATCATATACTGGTTTGAACTATTAAATTTGTTAATAAATCACTACAATTTCTGGTGACAAGTGTTATTTAGCAAGTGGAACAGGTACATGCTAAACAAGAAGTTGTACACATTTAACAGCAGCATCAAATTAGAGTGATTGTGATCAATTCTTACCTGGATGCATTTTTAGTGGTTCAAATTGTGTTGCAAAGTAGAATTTGTGCAGTTCCTATTTAAACTTCTAACCCAATGCTTGTGAGAAAGCAATTAGTCTATCAACTGGATTATGTTGGAGATCATCAAATTCAATTGGAGCTTGTATGGCAAGAACATGTTCAAGTGTTACGAGTGTGTTAAACCCTTATTCATTTTCATCTTAATTTTGTACTCAATACTCTGATAATTGTGTTTATGATGGAGTAAAATGTGTGGACAAGGAATCTAGTTGTACTTCCTATACCAGTTTTGTTTAATCAGCATGTAAAACAGCAGTTACACTTTCTGGTGAGAATTGTTGGTTGGAAAATAGTGCATTGACAACATGTGAAAGCAGATTATGTAGCGATAAAGTATCAAGTTCGAACTCAATTACTTGCTAAGCTCACAAATCTTCTTGTAGATATGATGGTACTATTTGTGTTGATGCATAAACAGCATGCAATTTATATACATCATTTACTTAGTAGGCTTGTAAAGATGCGATATTGGCAGATGGTGTTACGAAATGTTGGAGAACTTCAAATTCAGTTGGAACATGTGAAGATAGGTAATGTACGAATGTGACAGTTGCTACAACTACTTAGAAATGTTTAGATCATATGAGTACATGCAGATTCAATGGTTCATCATGTGTTATTCAATAGACTAATTGCAATGGATATGTAGGATTCACATCTGAAGCCTGCAAATCAGTAACAACGAGTACAGGAGGTCTATGTTGGATTCCAGCGATTGGATCTACATAATGCAGTGACAGAACTTGTAGCAATACAATAGATGGTGCAAGTGCAATTAGTTGTCCATAACATTTGGTTAGTTGTAGGTATAATGGTGTAGACTGTGTGAATTATCAAGCTTCATGTAATTTATACACAGGATTCACTAAAGCAGCATGTTAATCTACTACGACTATTGGTGGCACATCTTGTTGGAAACAAACAAATGATATAGGAACATGTGAAGATAGGAGTTGCTCAAATGCAATTGAGAATCCAAATTATGTAAATTGTGGAAATCATTTGTCCACATGCACTTATGATGGCTAGAATTGTTATATGGCTTAAATTTCTTGTAATCTATATGTGGGAGTGAGTGAAATTCAATGTTAAAATTTAAGAACTACCTCTGGAGACAGATGTTGGTCTGTTTCAGGTAGTTGTGTATAAAGAACATGTACTTAAAATTAAAGTGGAATGACAGATTTGGAATGTGATTCGTTTTTACCTGGATGTAGAACCAATGGAAAGGGGTGTGTTGATGCTTCATAGACTTGTTCATAATACCGAGGAACTAGTTCTAGTTGTTTGACATTTGTGGGTAATTCAATCAAATGCAAAGGGTAAGATTCCTTTGGATATTGTGAATAGAAATAATGTTATGATAATGCCAACAGTGTCACTGATATCCAATGTGATGCATTCATGAAGGGGTGTGTTTCAAGGGGATTAGGATGTATTGATAAGACTGATCCTTGCAATAATTATGTTGGAAATCAATCGACTTGTTCTAAATTTGTTGGGAATGGTAAAAGTTGTTGGAATGACAGCACCAGTACAATCACATAGTGTAGAGTCAGATTATGTAGTGATAATTAGACTTATAATACAGATTCGTAATGTTAGGAATTCTAAGCTGGCTGTGTTACCAAAGGTAGGGGTTGTATTATTTAGACTGCAAAGTGTTCAGATTATTAAGGTACTCAATTAGAGTGCAGTCAATTTAAGGGATCTAATGGAACTAAACCTTGTTGGAATGATATTGCAGCCACTCCTTTGATGAGTTGTGTTGTAAGAAATTGCTAACATAACACCACAGCAAAGACTGATAAAGAATGCAATCAATTCTTAAGTGGATGTGTAACTAAGGGAATAGGCTGTGTAATGCCTTAACCTTGTGCTTCATTCAATGGAACCAACAAGTCTTGTCCTCTGTTCTCAGCAACTGATAGACCCTGTAAAGGCCAAAGCAGTAACTCTGTTGCTCCTTGTGTTGCCTTAAAATGCAATGAAGCACCAAACAACTATGACAGCGATGAATTATGTAATATCTTTAAGGAAGGGTGTGTAACTAATGGATATGGTTGTGTCAGTAGTGTTTCATGTGAGAACATTTAAACTTAGTAAGCATGTTAAAAGAAATCGCAGTGCTTATACGCTGGAAATTGCACACAATTATCAACTAAATGTAGTGTATTTTCATCTCAATCAGTCTGTGTAAATACTCCTGTCTACACTAGTATAGGCAGATGCTAATGGGAACTCAATAAGGCCTCCAATATTGGGTAGTGTAGAGATTGGAAATGCGAGGATGCATCTGAAAGTGTACTAACTCATGAGGATTGTCAACGACTGTCTAGCTAATGTACTTCAAAAGGCAAAGGGTGCATTCCGATTGGAGCTTGTTCATCCTATACTACTTCGACTTCTTGTTCTTCTGCCAAAACTACTGATGAAGGAGGTCTTTGCATTTGGGAGAAAACCTATTGCAGGAAATTGGATTGCAATGATGCAAGCAAAGAATTTAATACTGATGCAAAATGCCAAGAGTTTCTTAGTAAGTGTTTCTCCAATGGTAAAGGATGTGTCAATCAGAACTATACTTGTAAGGACATCGTTGTCAAAGCAAAATGCACTAAAGATTACGCAGGAAATGTATGCTTATGGGTTTAATAATCATGCATTACTTATTCATAATGCACTGATATCTAAAACTCATCTCATACTTTATGTTAAAAATACTCAAATAAATGTACTAGTAATGGTTAAACTTGTATTCCCATTTCACAATGTTCCAAATATCTTAATTAAACTAGTTGCTCACTTGGAATCGATGGAAAATGTGGATGGATTGTTGACACTTGTGCTCCCTTTAAAAAGTGTTCTGATTTTAATGCTATTACTACAGAACTATGCTAACAATATTCAAACCAATGCATTTCTGATGGCTACGGTTGTATTTCTAAGACTGAATGTAATTATTACTAGACTGAAACATCCTGTCTCTCTGGAGGTACTGATGGCTTTTGTATTTGGGCTCAAGAATCTTGCAGATAAAGAAAATGTACAGATGCAACTGTGGACATGGGCATTGATATTACATCATACACCTCATGCAATAGTTTTGTTGCCACTACTAAATGTACAACTAATGGAACTAATTGTATCCCTATTGGATTGTGTTCCTCATACAAAGAGGCAGGATGCCATTATGGAACTGATGGCAATTGTGTTTATGGTTTTTAAGAAGGATAAACTTAAGGAATTAAATCCTGTAGGGTTAAATCTTGTTCAGATTACTAAGATACAACAACAGAATTATGCAAATAACATAAAAAAGTATGCATTTCAAATGGCACCAATTGTATCATAAAAAATAAATGCTAAACATACAAAACAAAAACTGCATGCAATTCTGGTGGATTGGATGGCATCTGTGTTTTTACAGCTTCAGTTGCAGATCCTCAGAAAGGTACATGTACTTTAATGACCACTTGTGAGTAAGCCAATTCTGATTTGGTTGCCTGTAAATCTAAGCAAAACTCCTGTCATTTTCAAGCTTCCCTTCAAAATGGCGTTGAAGTAACTTCTTGTATTAATCACACTTGTGCCACCGTAGCAAATGGAAGCATCTGCAAACCGGTTTATTCGTTTGATGAAAAGAGTATCACTGTTTGTGTTATGACTTCGTCTGGATGTTCTTCTGGAAGTCCAAATCAATTATCAGCCAGTAGCTGTTTAGAATAAAGTTTAAATACTTATAGTTGGAATGCTGAAACTAATCTTTGCTAAAAATGTAATACTACGACCATCACCCCTCCACCACCTACCAACACTACAGACACGAATACAGATACTTTTACTAGAATGCTGCTCTTTTCAATTTTTATATTTATGTAATGAAATTACGAATTTTAATCAGTTATATTACAAAATTTATTATTTATAGTAAAAATCACATTCTGCCTTGCTTCTAAGTGTCTCTCCTTTATTTTTTAGATTTTCTTTTAATTGATATCATTTCTTTAGTATCCTCCATTCTAAAATCACCATTTATTTGGATTTTAAAAAATGGATGATTAAGACATTCATCAACACTGGGTCTTGAGTGTGGTTCCTTCTGGAGCATTTTAGTCAGTAAATCATAAGCAAGAGGATTATTAACATATGTTGATTCTAAATATGCCTGATTATAGTTGCCACTAATGTTAGATTAGATGAGATCAGAAATATTCTTAGAATTTCCAAAAGGATTTTTTGATGTTAAACTACATATTAATTAAGAAATACATATTATAGAAAATGATACCTGCACTATAGATATCCACTTTTTCATCATAGCTACTTGATTAACTAAATACTTCAGGGGCTGTATATCCAGGAGTACCACAGCTAAAAATGAATGTATATACTAGTGTACATTGGATTAATAAATGAAATTTGAGATTTTAGACAAGAGAATCCAAAGTCAGCTATTTTCAAAGTGTCCATATTCTTGGAGTCTTTAAATAAAATATTCTATAACTTGATATCTCGATGAACTACTTCCAAATCATGGAGATGTTTTAAACCTACAATTAAATGAGTTTTTTTACCAGAAAGTAGATTTAACATTAACCTAGGAACATCTATATCAAAACTCTTCTGCTACAGAAGCTGCAGAAGGTCTCCACCTTGACAATACTCCAAAACAATTGACACTGATCTACAATCTGTTGTGATTTCCTCCAATAAAATTATATTTTTATGACGGTAATCTTTTAACAGTCGTAACATCTTTGCCTCCTATCTTAATTGTCCCTACCACTGTTATGATATACAATACCAATCTGCCCTTAGAAACTGAATCTTTCAAGACAAGAGAAGCTTTCTTTTGAACTTAAACTCTGTTCCTTGATTATATGAGTTCTAATGTTAAGTATCCTCAATTACATATGTCATAAGCGAGTTTTCCCAAGACAACATAATTTTAAGAATCCAAAAAAACTTATTTCCCTCTCATTAGAACTCTTAAGTATTCAATATCTTTTAAATTGAGAAGGAAGGAGACTTTAATTTGAGATTCTGGATGAAGAAGCTCAAAGGTTCCACTCTATTAACCTACATAATGTGAATCCTAACTTTACTTTAATCAACTTCTCTTGCAAAGCAAAGAATTGTATCCATAGAATTGGAAGGTAAATAAACCATCTATTCATTTCCACTTTTTGACTTAAATAATCACAAAACATAAGTACCACTATCTGTAAATCGCCAGATTGAGTGATGATCATCACTTCTGAATTCTCTCCTTATTTGCTTACATATAGACCTGAACATGAAAATTTGGACATTTAAGATTAAAATTAATAAATTATTAGAATACTAGCTTGCATTATAAATGTTAGGATTTTATCCTAGAGGGGGGGATAGGAAATTAATAATAAATTCTTAGAAAATCTTATTAACTAATTTTTTAATTAATAATTATTATTTGGAAGTTTTTGATGGTTGGATTTATTTTTCTAAGATTTAGAGTGCTTTTTGACAAAAATTAATAAAATCTAAGTATACATTATCACCCAAAAGTTAACTTTAAATCAGCTAATCTTGCAAAATAAATTATTATATAATTAATAAAAACCATAATAAATGTATTTTCAAATATAAATCAAAATTAAAATTAAAGTTAATTTAAGGATTAAACATTCAGCACATTATACACATCGCGATTAGATTGAGTTCCAAACATAAGTATTTAAAGTCATATTCAAACATTGCTCAGAAGGTAGATCTGTAATATCAAAATCTAAGCATGATGTACCATTCCATAAACATCGTGTAACTTAAGATAAATCAAAGCTAAAGAATAAATTGCACTTCTCCTCACTTTTGAATAAATCGCAAGATAAATCTATACACTCATTAGTGGATTCACTCCACTCACATGATGCATCTCTACAATATTCTTAGGTTGTATTTGAAGCATCACCACAACCCTCAATACTAATAGTATTGCAATTCTGAGCTGTAGAATTCCAAGCACAATAATTGCCATCTTATTATACACCAACACATTCATCTTCTATTTTTACATCTTAACATATAATCTGCTGACCCTCATCTGTATCATCATCTGGATTTAAATCGGTACAAGCGTAAAGTCCACTTGCTGTAAGTCCACCATCTACACAGAACCATTTTTCAAAGCATTCCTATGGTTCGGAGACAATATAGTCTGAACAAGTAGTAAATATATCGCACTTCCCCTAATTCCAAGCACATTTATATGAATTTGGCAGCATTTGATCACACCATTCTTGATCAGTTGCATCTGTACAATCTAGTTTTTAACATGATCCGTCCACCCATTTACAAAATTTCGATTCATTACAGATATCTTCTTGTGGAATGTCCGGACATGTGCATGAAACTTAATCGACTTTGATAGTGAATTGTATGGCTAATACTATTAAGTGAAAGAATATAAACATAATAATTAATGTATAATTTTCACTTTCTAGTCAACCCAAAAGAGAATGTACATTTTTCAAACTAAAAGCACAAATTCAAATTCAGAACATCACTAGATCTCATTTGCCATTTAAAGTATACCCTTTTTTAATGATAGTTACTTAGATCAGAACAACTAACAATTTAGATTTTAAAGTGATAGGAAATAAAGGAATCCTCAATCCAATGTCTACAAATATAATCCACATCATTACCAATAAAGAGGTTAAGTGTATTTTACAATATAATAGAAGATCATGAAAGCAAAATTTTAAATAATGACAGTGATTGTCAGTCCTAATGATGACATAGACATAGCTTTTCAAAAAGCAAATTCAGAATAAATTTAAATGCAGACATTAAAAACGAAGCCTAAAATTGAGTAAGATACTTAATCTTCAATTTCTGAAAAATCCCATTTCAAGTTTACAATTGTTCCTAAATAAATCAAACCTATAGCTCCTATAAATCATATCGAAACTCCTCTAAAGGATTAATCCCAGCCCACTGTTTTGCATTTATTAATAGTTGGTACAGTTTGCCTTTTGATTGGCTACTTTACACATATGTTTAAGAATGGCAATAGAAATTGTTGATTAAAATATATATTTAACTACATCCGTAATAATAGTGAATTCTTATGCTGAAATATGTAATAATATTATATATAAATTAAATGCAATAACGAAATGATTTATTAATTGAGCAATAAGTTTAACAAAATATGAATATCAATCCGACGATTGCATCTATCAGTATACCAGATGATAAACCACTAAGTCCAATCAGTGTTGTTAAACCATAACAAAACATCCATATTTATAATAAGGATTATGAGTAAGAATATAATAACTTAAAATTTTTAGAGGTAAGATACTAATGCTGAAAAGATTGGCAAATTATCAGGAATAAGATTATCCGAATGGAACTTTTTATGGTCAAATGATGAATGGAAAAAAACATGGACAAGGTAAGGATAAAATATTTATTTCTAAGGTCTAATGCTATTGCAGGGTAGAGTTTGTGAGGGAATATGGCAGAATGATCGAAAACATGGACATTGCAAAGAGATCTTCGATACAGGCGAGACATTTGAAGGTGAGTATTAGAATGGAAAACCGTAGGGGAAAGGAGTCTATATTCGCAACAATGAAAGTTACGACGGACAATGGGTGAATGGATTTAAACATGGACATGGAATTTGGAAGATGGGGAATGATTTTTATGAAGGAGAATGGAAATTTGGAAAAATTGATGGATATGGAGTTTACATTTAGAATAATAATAAGTATACTGGTAGTTTTAGGAACAATTTGAAGCATGGACATGGGATAGAGAACTTTGCGAATGGAGATCTCTACAATGGACAATTTTGTAATGGAAAACCTGAAGGTCAAGGCACATATATATGGAACAATGGGGCAGAATATAGAGGTTGAATATATAAACTTAAAGTGTAGGTATGTTTAAAAACGGAGTAAGACATGGAAAAGGAGTGTGGAGTAAATGGGATCCCTTGAAGGAGGGTCATTATCGTTATGAGGGGATGTTTGAGAATGATAAAAAGCATGGACAAGGAGTGTTTACTTGGCCATCAGGAAATTACTACATAGGTGCATTTGTGAATGATTACAGACATGGTTATGGTGAGATGTTTTGGAAGGATTAGTATTATAAGGGTTATTGGGAAAGAGGTATGTAACATGGAGATGGAGAATTGTGTAAGAATGGAGTGATAAAGAAGGGTCGATTTGAAAATAATGTATTAACAAATCATAGAAGTAATAGTATGTGGGAATCAGGGGAAAGTAATTTTAAACTAGCAGCTAATTTAAATCAAACCTTTTCTCATGGCATGTCTGGTTCATCTTAAAGAAATAGATATATGCCAGCAATTGGACGAAAACCCAAATTAATTATGAGGAAAGGGGATAAAACAATTATCTTAGATAATTTAATTATTAACGATATTCCAATAGAGAATGACCCTGATTTCTTAACTATTTGTCCTGAGCCAGTCTAGCAGAAAAAGTTTAAGCCCAAAATGAATTGTAGTTAGCTCCTGAAACAACATTTTAGTACTTTGAGAAAATGATTTTTTTTGATTTAATTTTTTTATAAATCATGATTCATTATATCTCACCCAGAATTATGACTTTTATTAGTGATTAGTAAAAGAAGAGAAACCAAATAGATGCCTAAAACTAGGTAAGTCACAATCAAATAACAGAGAACAAAGCTTCTCAATCCATTGCAATCTTCAAATTGTAAATAAGCATACTAGACAAATAATAAATAAATTCAAAAACTTACACTTAATCCAATTAATACAATAATGCTTAAAACAAATTCCACCTTTTCCATTATCTCAAAGAGATTTTATTTCCATCTGCCTTAGGCTTTATAATACACTGGTAATTCAATAGCTCTATCTAGTAATAGTATTGTACAATTTGTAGATGGCTACTGAAAATAAAAAGATCTCTGTCAAGAGTGACCAAAGGTTCATTATTTTACACTCCTCATCATCTTTTGATCATATTTAATAGTTTACAATAGAGATGTCTAAATAAGCAAAAAAGGAATCCCAAAATGCAATTGTAAATGATGGCAAAAACAATTGAGAATAATTAATTGTCTGTATCTTTTAATCTTGATTAGGATTGCCTTGACAATTCAAGTTCTTATTATTAATATTCTGTATTCATATTATAATATAAATTATATACGATTAAAGTTAAAATAACAATTATATTTTTATGAATAATAATTATCAATTTGTGGGAATGTCTTATACTTAAGGGTCTTCAATAAACCAGAGTCAATTAAGCCATTCATTTGCCAGATTTCCACTATAAAGTTCAATAATGAGCGTTGAAGAGTAGAGTCCACAATTTGCTCAATTAGCTTAAAGCCAAATCTACATCCAAGAGAATTCGCGCTTTCTAGAGGAGGAGAATCACAAACACTTAAATCAAATGATCCAATAACCCTAAAAATAGTTAGAATAATAAGCAGGACACAAGAGGATGAGTTCATGGCAATAATAAAAATCACCTCAATAATAGTCCCAAAGTAAATCTCTATGCGCATCGCCCTTAAGACAGCAATATCGATAAGAGGAACCTTAAATGTACTATCATTAACCCTATCAACCTTGTCCTTGTGAATTAGAATAATTATGGCAAGAATTCTTACAAATGAGAATGATGTAGAGATAATTCAGAAGACAAACTCAGTAGTGTTGTCATCACCAAAGAGGCCATTTCATGCCTTATTGATAACACTATTACTTTTCATAAATATATATCTATATGTCTATATATATATATTATTCATTCAATTATCGTAGCTTTTTATTGTTGTTGTAATTAATGTTCGTTAACCCATTGTTAAAATGTTGCTAGAATCTCTTTTCTTGCTTGAGTTAATTCAGGGGGATCTTCTGGACTGGATGCCCTAAGATCAATACAATGTGAACAGTCCTTGCACTTAATATATTTGACATCATATTCTTTTCCTTATTTCCATTTGGTTATTGAGGCATGTTACCAGGGGTCATCAGATCCATTTGAAAATATGAGATGATCCACATTGATATCAAGACCACCGAAGTAAGCATTTGTTCTATCTTCATCTGGGAAAATGGGGACGTCATAAGAGTACTCGCACAATTATCTAAAGAAGTCAAGAACTAACTCTTATGATCTAGTGGACTATTCTGCATTAGGCTTGATATGTATAATTGATTATTTACATTAGCAGTCTAGAAGTAACCAACTTCAATGCAAGTTTGATATGTCCATTACCTTGAACTCTTGGAAAAGTCGATAGTGATATCCCTTAAAAATTCTGATCCATAACTCTCCTAGTCAACTGTTTCTAAAGCCATGGCTTTAACTTCTAAAAACCATTCATCTACAGTAGTTCCTTTTGCCAGTCTGTCACACATCTTTGATCTCTTTCTTCCTTATACCATACCAGCATAGATGTCAGCAATCATTGACAAGAATTCAATATCTTTTAATTCTGAAGCACCAAATGCAGCCTTAATAGCATCAGGATCTTTAGCCAAATCATCCTCAATCTTTTGATTTACTTGTTGAATTCTGTCTGCACAGCTAAATTATTTTAAAATTGAACTTACTCTTATGAACTCTCTATGGCAGAAAGGTAAACTTGCATGTCGTATTCATGATAACAAGCAACAGCCCTTACAACTGCAGAGGATGCCAAACCTCCGATAGTCAAATGAGGATATTTGTATCTAAACCAAGCGCTTAGTGCTCCTGGGTATGAACCTCCAAGATGGATCCAAGGAGTATCTGGCTTAATGTTGTAGTTTCCATTAGTTTTAATGCTGGTGATAAAATAGGCTATGTCATCCAAAGCTTAGTGGATATTGAGATATTTTAAATTGGGAGTACTCCAATCATCAAATGGTTGCGACTAACCATAATATCTGTGTTCCAAAACTAATACAACAGCTTTCAATTGTTAGGCAGCATCAAATGTTAATCCTTTGCCAATTCCATCACCTATAAAATAAGTATTTCGTTATTACATGTCCATTCACCACAGATGTATAAAATAACTGCTTCAGGCTAGCCATCTTTTACATATTCATCATAAATGTGAACTCTTTGTCTAAACACTTCTTGTGAAGTTGGATCATTGTGATCTAGTTTCTGAGTAAACCACTCCGTACTAGCAGCCTTGATTATCTCTTCTCTTCCAAACAGATCGTTTCTCTGTGTGAGCTTACCTAATGATGACATCACTAAAACCAAAAGGATGACGATTTTCATTTATTATTTTATTTTATTACATAATATAGAAATTATTAAAGACAATTTAAGATATTGACAATGATATAATCAATTACGAAATAGCTTATTAGTTCTTACGTTTTAATGAGGATCAAAGATTCTATATTAATAATTGCATAAATGGGTATAACATAGATTGATTGCACTCGATCAATTACATTCATGGAGATTTATGATGTGGGATCGTAATATTGACTGAGATTCTATTCAACAATTTTTAAGAAAATATGATTTTTCTTATGGGATTATTAATAGTTTAATAAATTTTATTACTACTATGAGCTTGACACAAACTAATACTTAGAAGAAGCAAAAGCCTAAATTGCAATTGGTTGTCAACGTCCCAGATGTTCAGCCTGAGAGTACTCATTCCACTGATGCTTGGAAACAGCAAACTGACATATTTTTCAATGAACCTATGTATTGTTATGTTTGTTATAGCAAGTGATTAGTCCTTATAATTTATGCATAATGGGAAAACAGTTGCAGATGTAGCCCAATTGAAATGTGGTCGGAAATATTAGGAGGATAGAGTACTTTATTCAATTAATTTAAGTTTGTCGCAATTCCTAATCTAAATAAAAATGAAGATCTGCAATTCTTTTACGCAATATATGATGGGCATGCAGGACATTCCGTATCAGCTATACTAGAAAATAAACTTCATGACTATTTACAAAAGGATTGCAATTTCTAGGATAATCTGGAGAAGGCTATTTTAAATAGTTTTGAGAAGATGAATGAATACATATTGGATTGCCAGGATGAGAATCAACATTTGGGTGGATCAACAGCTCTCTGTGTGATCAACAGGGAGAAAGATCTGTATGTTGTGAATCTTGGAGATTCGGCATGTGTGTTAATGACAGATTAATATGAGATCGAGAAATTGAATTTGGAACACAAATTGAACAGGGAAGACGAATTCAAAAGAGTAGAGAAAATGGCTACAATATTGGATCGACAGTAAGATTGGTAATTAATGGTAGTTCCATTCCTCGTATAAATGGAGAATTAGCAGTGACAAGGGCTTTTGGGGATAAGAAACATCGTCAATCTGGGTTGATTGCTATTCCTGAGATAAAGTTGCACAAGATTAGACCCTGTGATAAGTACTTGATTTTGGCATCTGATGGATTTTGGGATGTAATGGAGATTTGTATACATTTTAGATGATGAAGAATGAGGAATTGTAGTAGTTGATTGAAAACTGGAAGAGACAAGAGGTGGATCAGTTGGCTCAATATCTTCTAGATAAGGCAGCATCGAAAAATACAAATTATAAAAAGGACAACATGACTTTAATTGTTGTAGATATTCAATCTTATTGGAAATAATGATTATATTAATTAACTCTAATTTAGTTTAATTGAATAGGTCTGAGTTTTCAACTTGAGTTCCAATTAGTCTATAGTTTTGAATAAGACTATTTGAGTAATGAATTTTTGTTGTGAATATTCTACTTTAGGAATAACAGATTATTCCTAAAATAGAAAGCAGGTGATAAATACTAATTGTTAGGGTAATAATTACAATTTTCACTGGTTATTTATTGTGAATCTCTATTTAATTAATTAATAAAAATTGATCATGAATCAAGACCAATTTGAGAACGAGGGAGATCCTTAACAGCAATTCTTGGAAGTACTTTATTAAATTAAGTTACATTAGGCTTTTAAGGAGCTGTTGGAGGTTTAAAATTAGAGGATGTACAATGGAAATGATATGTTAAATCAGTATTGTCCTCAATTGCAATATCCGGTGATCTTGCCCACGCAGATCCCAAACACTTTCATTGTATTTTGGCATTCAAATAGTCTAGATCAACATGGGTCCCTATTACCCTCATATTTAGTAGCCTCAATTACATCCATAACCGACTCTTTAAACAAGACTAGCACCCTAAATCTCGCAGAATTAGTAACATAACCATCAGAACATCAAGGAGGAAGAACATGATGACAACAAATAATCTAGGAATTGGCTATAATAGAGAAAATGATGAACACTTATAAAATATTATTTTTTTATATCAAATTAAATGGGCTAAGCTTAAACTCAATAATAATAAGATATGGTACTCGGAAATGAGCATGTGGTGTATTTGTAAAAGAGTAAGTTTAATGATATTCTCATCTAGCTGCCACTACTGCAGCTCATCGTATATAAGGCAATTAAGAGGAAGTTCAATTCCTAGTCAAATGTCCTAAGTGTAGCAGTCGCTAATTCGACGATCAATTGGGCAGGATTACCAATTGTTTTTAGTGCAAACTGGTCTTTTCTGTGAACGATGGTTAGATCTAAATAAGACCTGATTCTACATAGCTCGAAGACAAGAGGACATATCAGTTTATCGAAACAACACTGCACAATTTAGAAAGTGTCACCTTCTATGTAAATAGGTTTCAATTTCCTCTAAAATAGAACCAAACTCGATCCAGCCTTAATTAAAGACAATGTAATAGACTTTTAAAGATTAATCAATAACGTACTTTTACCTTTCTTCTCTGTACGTCAAAGAGTCTTGGAGTTAGGCATCAAGTTTTCAATAGGGGCATTCGAATTTCGAGTTGTAGGTGGATTTCCATCTCGAGGAATTATCACTAAATAAACTCAAATCTACTGTTATGGTTACTACATCTAGGACACCACAAGGAGAGTTAAGATTTTGTCGAAGAAACCATCTCAATAATTAGATTTTGAAATAAAGTCCTATTTTAGTGTCAATCCCAAAGACAATCAGATTATATAAGATTCAACCATTAGAGTTAACTCACAAAAATTACTGATTTTGCAATGTGAAAATGCATCAGGCAAAATCGACAGAAACTCTGTAAACATTTACATTAATCTTTTAAGACCATTGAGAGCATCCCAAATGTGTAGAATTTGAGAGATGTTAAATTGTGCTGTATAAAATTTCCAGCATATTTTTCAACGTTTTAATCTCAAAAAGAGAGAATCAAAGAAGCCATAAGGAAAACCATCATTAATCCCTACTTCACGGGATTAAATAGATATCTGGAGAAGGGCTAAATCTTGAGAATTTGGGATTTCGAATTTCAAGTGCAGATGTTCGAAGATCAAGGACTGGTTGTTCCAAATCAAACTCAAATTGATATTGACCTCTTTTCCCCCATACCCCAATAAAGAATTCAACAAAATAGACAATTTGATCAGTTATTTCCATAAAACTTAGTTCCCTATAGAAGAAATGATCTTCAAAGACAACATGCTTAATAAATTGAAGCACTCCATCGATTGTTGAATACCTTCATTATCTTGAATGAGAATCAGCAATTGTTACTCTAACTCAGAAATAATAGAACTTCCGAAGATCAAATCAACCAATTGCCAATACGTCAAATTAGTATGGAGTTTATCAACTAACATAAAAATGATGACAATCACATCAAATGCATGATTTGCTTAGAGGATTATGAGGAGAATCAGATTGTTCGAACTATGCCATGCTGTAAAGATTGATATTCATTAATTTCTAGGGCATTACTTCCATCAAGAATGTATTGACAAATGGTTACACAAGAGTACTCTATGTCCCATATGTAAGACTGAAGTTGATACAGACTTATAAACGGAAGAAATTTCGATGCAAATGCAGTAATGAAGCAATATAAAAAAATAGTTATTTAATCTATCAATGTTGCTTACAGATATTTTTCTTAATTATTTTATATTCCATATTTAATTAATTTTCGAGATTCTAGAGTCCACTCTTTCGATTTAGTCTGCGTGTAATTTACCCTTAAAATATATATCAATATAATCTAATAGATGAGATCAAAATCATTAAATCATCAAAAATACTTTATATGTTTTTTTGCGTATCTGAATTTTTGATTTATTAATAAGTAGTTAATTTAAAATGGGTTCAACTTGCAAATGTGAATTCAGGAAAAACGAAACACCTGAGAGCGAAATAACTTATTTATCAAAAAATAAACATTTCAAACAACAAAAGAAATTAAATGATCAACCAACCATGGCATGCCTTATGTAAAATGTAAGAGCATTTTATATAATCTATCCTAAAAAAAATGAGAATCTTATCCAATTGCAATAGCATCTCCAAGAAATCAATAAACATGATGAATTTGAAATAGAAGAATGCTTTGAGTTAATTTCAGATAATTCCTATCATAATGTAGAAAGCTGTTTCAATATTAATGGAATCTCGTATGGATCATTTAAAATGATTAACCCCACAAGTGAAAAAGAACTTCGATGATCTCATATTTATATAGATTCTTCTAATCCTCTAAATTAAATAAAAATATGTACATATATATATTTGTCTGTTTCATATTGACTACTTTGAATTCTTTGTGTAACGGTCCAGCCAGAAAGTCTCCCATGAGTTGGAATCCCCCTAATAAATATAGCTATAATATTAACGAAGAAATTGTTAGACAAGCCAAGTGTGCTTTGGTCTCCGTCTGATTGGCAGCAGTAGGATACACTTACTTATATTTGGCGATTGTTTTTAATCATCTAGAGATCTTTTTACCAAAAAGATTATTGTTGAAATAACTCAATCTCCTTCTGTTATTCCTTCATAGGCCTATTCTGTACTTTAAAAAGGATTAAATTGGATTGTATTCAGATGCTGTAATTTGAATTTTATACTAATGCTACTCAGGACATGGAAACATGAGAAGGAATGCCATACACGTTAGGATATTAAGAAATTGATGAGGAAACCTATTCTAAAAGGGACATCGACAACTTGAAGTATGATATATTCATACTAATGGTATTGTCTATGTATCAAATTACTAACTTCTTTTTATGTTCAAGGAAAGTGAAGGCTTCTCAGGCAAAAGCAATTTAATTCTAGATACATAAGGTCATTAGGGATATCTTCCAAGAACCTATGGGAAAATAAACTATCGTCAGAAGATCAAGGAATTGCCCTAGTTTCATAGTGCTGGATGAGGTATTTCTTCTTATTTGATCCAGTGTATCTTTCCATTAATAGATTTTGGTAATATTGAAATGAAGAATTCTGTTATAAAGAATGATCACAAACACTGATTAGCTTTGATGAAGTATATTATTTGTGTGTGGTTAATAATAATATATTAATTTCCTTCAAAAATATAGTTGTTGAACAATCTAAAATTATATATATCTGATTCTAATTTAAATTTATATATTTAATTTCGAATACAGAGTTTTATCCTTTATTTGAAAATTACTCTGAATCAATATTTTTATGAATATTGATTAACCAAAATAATTCTATGTAAATTATTAATCTGACAATACATTTCAAAAAATAAGATATGAAATTCTCTAAGACACTCTCTATCTCAATATGTGAATGGGAGTTGGAGAACTCCTAGTTATGAATTTCATCAATAGCTAACTCATGGAAATCCAAAGTTGATATTTTGAATCTTTGGTATTCTTGTATTGACAATGATTATCTTTGATGATTATGCTATTTTTGTGAAATGGGCTAATTTGACCTAATATTGAAACAGGATAGTGGAAATATCCGGGTAGGTTAGATGCAGGTGAGGGTTAAATGAAAACTCATGAGTATCAAGTTCAAATTGATTTATGGGTTATTTTAAAGGGTCCTTTTCTTATTAATTGTGATGTCGCAAATATCAGTTAAGATACTAAGAAGATATTTATGAATTCAGAGGTTATTGTTGTTAAATAAGTAACAATACTTAACTACATTACGGGAGAATTGGGTATATAAGCTACTAGAGAAAGAAGAAATGTTGATATGTTATCTATGAACTGCTTAAGTTGCTGATGATGGTGCTTCCGTAGTTTTAATTCTTTAAAATAAGTCTCAATAAAACATTCTACAACTATTAAATTTGATAAATTAAGAATTAGTGAAATTCTTAGAATATGAGGGATCTTTATAAATCAAGTTGAAGTTAGGTAAATCAACTACTAGCTGTACTACTCAATTCTGGTGATTTTGGTCAAATTATGAGTATTAAATGTTGAATATTCATAAAACACACAAATTAAATTCTTGTTCATTAATACTCTGGCTTGAGTTATGTCTTATATTTCTTGACTATCTTTTCAATCTTAGGTGATATGACCATTTTGCAATATCCTTCATTTTAGTTGATGTCATAATATCCTTGATGATAATCTTCAGCTTTATAAAATTCTTAAAATTTAATAAGCTAAGTCACTATTGGATTCTCATATTCCTTTTACAATTCCTTAATAACTTCATTGGCTAATGCCAATTACTCTTCACTATGATAAAAAATGACCGAACGATATTGTTCACCTTTATCTTCACCTTACCTATTCAAAGTGGTTGGATCATGCGATGCAAAGAAGATATGGAGCAAGTCCTTATAATCAACTTTATTTTGATCGAAAATAACTTGCACAACTTCAGCATGACCAGTACTCCCTTTGCACACATCCTTATAGTTGGCTGTGGTTGATTCTGCACCTCCACTATATCCAGAGTATGCTTCAGCTACTCCTTCAATTCTTCTGTAAACGGCTTCAATGCACCAAAAACATCCGCCTCCAAATGTAGCTTTATTGAGTATGTTCATTAGGATTTATTAATAATTTAAAACGAAGATATTTAATCCAGATCAATCGTAAGAATTCTCTTAATTCCTATAAATTAATGTAATATGTAATTTATATTGAGATAATATGGTCACATACTTAATCTTTTTTATTCTCTTTTTTTTATTTATTTTGATAGTTCCAATTTCTGGATATCACTATTTTCAATAGTTCTCAATCTTAGATTTCTCTTAGTAGATGGAATTACTTTATCATTGTATTGTTTATCGTAAAACTGCTATACAAAACACTTAACTGCATGGTCATTCTAGTCAATTTGGCTTGTTTATCTTGTGTGGGAACTAGATGGAGTGAATAAATATTAAGTTGAATTGAACTCTTCTGCCAATTCTAATTTATGTTTATTGAGTCTTAAAAGTGAGGATGTCACTTCGGTGTTTGGGAAAGATGATTTTGTATCTAAGTCTTCGTTAATCGGAGTTTAATTCTAAAAGGCCATAATAAGATTGGCACCTTTTTCAATTGTACTTATAGTGGCTTACCTTTTGAAACATTTGGTTGGACTAAGGTATTAAGAGTTTTCTGTTTTTAATTTTAGTTATGTGTTGGTAATGGGATCAAAATTGATTCTGAGATCATTTAATGACCCTGAGCGATTTGTAGTAATATAATCAGCGAGTGCATAAAATTTGATGTCTCCTTATTAGAAGTATTTTTTAGGTTTTTATTGATTTTCGTGTAAGTCTTAAGATATCTTCCTTATCCTATCAATACTGTCTTTATTGAAGACATCTATCTTAGGAGGTTTGAGAGAATCTGCATAATTTTTAACAGCTAACATTTTTTATAAGAGAGCAGCACTCTTCTTTTTTTCATATTTGTCATATTGCTTCAAAATAGCTTCTTCAGCTGGAGTTTATTCTTCAACTAGATCTTATAATTGTATTATATAAAAATACCTTTGGAGTCTCTGTAACCACTGCCAAGATCGTATTTCATCATGAATCCAGGTTGCCATCCTCGATCTCCTTATAGACGATTGGGAAGCAATTTGAGAACCTTGTGGCCTGCTGGTCCAATTGACTTTTGTGTTTAATCGATCTTTTTATATGAGATTTAGTTCTACTTGGCAAAAGTTCTTCCTGCAAAATAAACGAGCTTAGCCTTTCTCGCAACCGCCTTCTCTTAACTTCAAATAGAGCATCACATTCGAATTTGAGTTAGCTATATTCAATTTGGTGCACATAAAAGAATAATAATAATAAAATTATAAATGGCAGAAGAAATAGAACCACACATTGCTAGGAAATTCGAAATAATATAGAAATTAGGGAAGGGTGCGTATGGAATAGTGTGGAAAGCAGTTGATAAGAAGTTGAAAACTGTAACACCTTTATATTTAAATTCCACAAGGTTGTTGCATTGAAAAAAGTATTTGATGCTTTCCATAATGCTACAGATGCTCAAAGAACCTTCAGAGAGATTATGTTTTTGCAGGAGTTGAATGGGCATGAGAACATTGTTAGACTGTTGAATATTATCAAGGCTGAAAACAATAAGGATATATATTTAGTTTTCGATTACATGGAAACAGATTTACATGCGGTCATTGTATAATTGATTGACTTAATTAGCGTGCTGGTATTCTTGAAGAAGTGCATAAGAAATTCATCATATATTAAATTTTGAAATCTCTGAAATACATACATTCAGGTGAATTGATTCATCGAGATCTCAAACCATCAAATATCTTATTAAATTCGGAATGCCATATGAAACTAGCAGATTTCGGATTAGCTAGAAGTATAGCAATAAATGAAGAAGATTGCAGTAAATCTCCAAATCCTAAACTATAGCCCCACCCATTCTGACTGAATATGTGGCCACCAGATGGTACAGAGCTCCTGAAATCCTTCTTGGATCCACCAATTACACTAAGGCTGTCGATATGTGGAGTATCGGATGTATCCTTGGAGAATTAGTCATTGGTAAGGCCATTTTCCCAGGAACTTCGACTGCAAATTAAATTGAGCGAATATTAGAATTAAATGGAAAACCTACCGAACAAGATGTTGAATCATTGGAATCACCTCTTGCTGCTCATATCTTATCATCTGTTACTGTTACAAAACGGAAATCCTTTTAATAATTCTTTCAAGGTGCCAGTGATGATTGTTTAGATTTGTTGAGAAGGTAATTTATCTATTAAAATTAGATTGTTGGTCTTCAATCCAAAAATGCGATTAACGGTTGATTAAGCCATTAGACATAAGTATGTCAAAGAATTTTCCTCTCCTGAAGAAGAAATAGTCTGTCAGGAACCCATTAAAATACCAATGAATGATAACAAAAAGTTTTCAATCAAAGAATATCGAGAAGCCTTGTACAATGATATCAACAGAAGAAAGAAGGAGTAAAGAAAGAAGTGGCAAGCCAAGTATCTATAGTAATTGGGAATGAATCCAGATGAATTGATTGATGGAAATCAATTTATCAATTAAACTGATTAACATCAACAACAATAAACAGGGTCCTTCTTTTAGAAATCAACTAAAATGGAAAGTCACAATAGTTCACAGGTTGTTTAGAAATCTAATATTGAAGAAATACAATAAATTATTCGATAATAACAAATTTAATCTTAACAATTAAAGAAATCATAGAGTTAAGCTACAGTTTAACCTGCTCAAAAATTGACTAGTCAAAAAAGTGCATCCAACATTGTGGCATAAATTTATAATAATTTCTAAGCTCAAGATTCAAAGTTTCATCAACAGTAATAGTTTTTGCAACAATAATTGTAATAACTCCAGCAGAAATCCCTAAAAAAAAAGACATGATATATTAATTTAATATTTATACACGTATATGACTGAGGAAAGAAAAGCCTTTGAGAAACAATTATATCCTCTTTATAACTTCTATCATAAACACAAAGATGCAATTCAGCTCAAAGATGCCAATTTCAAATATCAGAAGAAGATATAAATCTTCAAGGGTGAGGATTTCATTAAATTCACTACTACCTATTTCGAGGATATCAAGAATCTACTCCCTGATAAAAAGAAGGATGCCATTTCTATTGCAAAATATCTCAATGAAAATCGCATTATTGTTAAAATCGACAGACTTCCAGATGACCCAAAAAAGAAGTGGCCTAGAAAGGTCAGCGACACAAAGGTTAATGTATATAGTCATATTCAAAGGACTAAACCTTTACGAATGAAGGCTTTTATACCTGGAATTTGGTTGTGAAGAGCAAAATGAACAATCTCATCATGGCTGGCATCCTACTTGCAGTATTTGTTGCTTTCCTCTATCCAATATGGCCTTTTGCATTTAAATTCGGTGTCTTTAAAGTTACATTGTACCTTCTAGTATTTCTGGTTGCCCTCCAAGTGATAAGATTGATTGTTTACATTATCTCACGATTATTGGGATATGCTTTTTGGATTCTCCCAAACTTAAACAATGACGTAACTTTTCATATTAAGTAACCTAGTCATATGGAATCTTAGGATCATTCAAGCCTCTATATTCTAATTACAAATACACAGATGGGAAGTTAGAAATTTCTTTGAGATTGATTGGCATAATTGCATTCATTTTCCTGATCTATGTTATTGTCCAAGAGCCTTCTTATATAACTGGGTTTCAGGATGCTAGCTCGTAAACAATAGATGACATTCTTGATTGGGGCAAAGATAAATTGGAGGGCAAACAAGTATGATGAAATACTTAAAATAGGAACCATTGCATAGAAGAGCTATTCCAGATCTTAGTGAATTGATGAAACAAGCCGAGGAAGATTTAGCAAATCATCAAAAAACTAACACTTAGGAGGGTTTGGACCAATAAAAACATAGTGATGATAATCATAATGTTGATCAAGATGATTTGAATAACAATCAAGATCTACGTGATATGAATAATAATAATCCCTTGGACAATGATGTTCAATAGAATGAATCATAAACTGATTTGTGAATATTTTTTAATAATATATAATAATTATGTATATTTACTCATTTAGCAAGATTAATGATATTGAATAATATTTCTTATTTATATATTAATATACGAAGTTTTACTTTTAGAAGAAAATAATTGACACCATATCTAAAATGCATGGAAATAATATGTCAAGAATTATAAATCAATCATAATCTTAATAAAAATCAATAAGTAGTACTGAAGGTAGACTGTGATACTAGTAGAATATTATAGAAGGCTAAAATATGGGAAGGTATTTCCGAGGTTTTTAACAAATAAAGTATTTTTACTATAATTCCTTGATATACAATTTAAAGCGTCGTTTTAATTAAATTAATTAAGATAAATAAAATAGTAATAAAAAATAAAATTCTAAAGAATTATTAGTATATTCACTTTCCTCAACTTATAATAAGATAATTTTAAGTAAAACTTCTTTAACAATCCAAGAATACCTATAATTGATTTTTCTTAATTGAAAATTTCCAAAAAGGATGTGTTCAATTAAGTTCAATTGTGTTAATAAATTCTTTTTTTTAAATTTAATATTAATATATAATTTGATATTTAATACACCAAAACACTTAAGGACAACAGCAATAATCCAAAAAATGAAATTAGAGCCTCTTTAATCAAAATATAATCCAAATATTTTCCTAAAATAAGCCTCCATTGTCAAGGAGGGTAAGAAATATTACAAAGTATATAATTCAAAGTAAATATAAAAGTTGAAAGGGGATGAAAGAAAGTACTTAATATGATCATAGATTAAACCTTAACCTCTACGTTAAAGATTACGCAACAACTGTACCTTAAATCTGTTACAATTCAAAAAATAGTTATACTTTATAATAAAAAATATAGATATTTTGAAAAATAATCACTTAGTCAAGAAAATTGAAAAAATACAAATGGGTCCGATTTAAACAAATTGTGAGTAAGACGACTAATAGATAGAAATTAAACTAGAAATGCATATGAAGAGAATCATTAAATTTAGAATTCAACCTTAACATCTAAAAGTTATTGCTTAATTAATTCAAACATCAAAAAATATGTCACAAAATTATATTTACTTTAAATTTGAAAAGACATTCTTAAAGTATATTGAGAATACGTATAATTTTCTTTATTTAATGTAGATAAACAATTTTGATCCAAAAGCATAGCAAAAGGATTTAAAATATTAGTAGATTAACTCGTTGTATTAAAAAATAAATGTTCAAAATTTATTTGATTTATCAACCTAATTGTGATAGAGGAAGTTATTTATTGGTTATTTAAAAAATTTTGTAGATCTACAAGAAAATTTTGTATAACTTTTTTTGGAGTATTAATAAGTATTTTACAAAAACATTTTTATTTGTATGTCTAACAAACAATGCCAATTACTCAAACTATTAAATACTTATCTGAATTAGGCAATTAGCTAAATTTACAAGAATAATAAAGTTGCTTAATAATAAGAAATAAATAATATTCTCAATCACGATTCAAATTATAGAGGAAAATATATTCCTCTTTCTAAGTAAATTGTTGATGGTTATATTTTAATGTTTTAGATTGGAAAGGACTCTCAGTTTGAAAATTTTTTATACATTTTGTAATCAATAACAATGGAAGGATGTTGTTAAATTCTGAATTCTCAAATTTATTTATAATTTGATGACGCATTTAAATTTATAAGCGAAAAATCTTTTCTCTTTTCACACCATGATCATATAAGTTATCAAAACTATTTTCAAGATTATATCAAACTAGCTTATTCTAGAAAGATACTCTACGGGACTACATGGCTAAATTTGATTTAAAATTATTAATAATAACAATACATATTATATGGGTCTTTAGTGTGCTAAACCAAAAGAGAAAAAAGCAATCAAAGTACTTGAGATCAAACAAAACTAAAGCGGTCCTTCAACACTCAGCACCACAAAGGAGGCTATAGATTTTGTGGAAAGTCAATCTTTAGCTAATTTGATGAGAACAAAACCAGTCAAAGAATATTTAACAGAGTAAATAGCGAAAAATGAAATCTACGTCGATTCTTGTGATATACTGGCAGAAAGAATTGAAGGCAAATCTTAATTAATACTCAGATCTTACAATAACTATACTGAGAAGGCTTTAAAAATTAAATCCAAAGTTTTAGAATATTACCGAAATGAGTATGTAAACTATATTAATTCTAAAAATGATACTCCTAAAAATAGAGAGTTTATCATAAAAGAAACCATTTAAGTAATCTTTATAATAATCTCTAATATAGTTACTTGTAGAAACTACAATTATTCTCAATTGCTTGATGGATAAAAATTTTGATGATGAGTTAGAATTGTGGTGGGGAGGTGACTACTTTGGTGATCGAATCAAATAGCTATCTCTAATTGCAGATACTTCAGAAAATACTGATTCTATCACTACTCCCATCTTACAATATTTAGATGCTTTAAAAGCCAGAATACTCTAGGTGATTCCCATTTTACCAAGTTAAACTAAGTCTATTGCTAACAGTGTAGCTATTACCAACGTTCACTTGACTTAGTTTTATAAAGATTTGAAATTTGAGTTTGCAAAAGATGTAGAGGAAGAAGTTAATTGATGAATATTTGTTTTATTTTCTACCTTTTATGCATTGTGAATCAATGCCCTTATAAATTCGTAACTATCTCAGAAACAGAATTAATTTATATTTTGTTCGTTTTTATTTATTATTTTATGTAAATCCAAATAGAATCTTTGTAATATGAAGATTTATGGAAATAGTCTAGGAACCAATAATGAAGATGTTTTAAACTTTTCAGATAACCATTCTTTTCTTTTGTTCCTTTTTTTAAAAAATATCAAAATTTGTGAGCCTAATTTTAGAAGCCCAAAAATTATCTAAATTAAATTAAATATTATTATTTTTAAATTTCAAAAGGTTTATTGCTTTAGTCATTACTAATTTAGTACTTTTTATCCTCCTTACGATTACTAAATAATTCATATTATATTTTATAATATAAAAATTCAGGGATTGGAACTTTATTTAAAGCTTATTTGAATTTCAAGGAAACAATATTAGTTTCTAACTTATTAAGCAGGTAATAAAGAAAAATTAATATTTTTATTGATTTATATTAATTAATAGAATAAGTTATCAATTTTATTTCTATCCTCCTTAATATATTCCTACAACTTCAACTAAACTTTCACGATTCTAAACTCCTTATACTAGTAATGTGTGAGTCACAGGTTTTCGACATAACATACAGTAATTACTCTTTGATAATAATTATTCTGAGCACTCCTAGCAAAATCCTCCATGACCACAAGGTTAATTGATCATATTGCTTTCTTTTTCATAGCAAACAAGACATAGCGCATTTTATTTCTATGGTCCTCTGCTTGATAATTCTGGAGCCATACTTTCACTGACTTCTAATTTTAGACGTGGAGATGATAGTAATTAGTCAAATTTCTTGGTTAAATCTTCATCTAAATCAGAAGATGGACTTTTCTTTATTTCATTTTGTTTTTTTATTTCTGAAAAGCTAATTGATCGAAATTTCTTATCCTAAGAAGAACCTAATTCATTCTAATGTTTTTGATTCTCATTTATTTCTTACTTTCTAAAATAAGTGGCTGACAATTTCACCATAAATTATGGAACTTTGCTAATGCTAATTCTATGAATCTATTTGATCCTCTCTTTTAATGTAACTTGCTCATTAGGCTATTCTGATGGTCGAGTTGGCTATTAGACTTCTGATAAATTTAAAAATTAGCTATTTATAATAGATTTTACTACATTAATTCTTCTTAATTTTTCAAATAGAAAAAAATCTGAAATAAATAGTATACAATAGAAGCAATGAAACCATATAAATTTACTTACCCAATATTATAGTCCAATAACAAACCTAATCCTAAAAATGTCAATCCTGTATCAATAATAAATCCTAATATCACAATGTTCACCCAAGCACCTCCATAAACTAGGAATAACCATATTTCTTACTTAATTGTTTTTTATTTTAAAGTTCATTATTGCAACACTTTAACATCAGATCTACAATTAAACATACCTCAATCAATGCCATAGTACCAATGCAAAACCAAACAATTACGAGAGTTTGCATCCAACCCCAATTGATTTATTAACTCCATTTCAAACTTAAGAATACAATCTGCAATGAACCTATGCTTTTTATTGCAGCAATTAACTTATATATATATCTTAATTATGTACTATTTCTTAGATTTATTTAGATTGATCTTAAGCATCACTCTCAAAGCTTTATCTGCTTATTAAAACTGTTATTGCCAATATTACGAATTATAGGATAAGTAGAGTATAGCTAATGAAATTAATATTTATTGGGGAAACTTCTTTATCATAGACGATCCCTAATAAATAAGCAATTAAAATAGCACTTTCAAGTACAGCAAAGCAACAATAAGAGTTGATGCTTATATAAAATTGAATAGCAAATACCCTTTACTGGAAAGCAATTTCGAAATCATAAATGCGAATTATGTTGTGCATGCATATACAATTATAATTTTGTAATCCCATCCAAATGTTATATTCGAATTAAATAAAAAACAAAAGCCCATAATAATTGACACTAATAAAAAGATCTTTTTCACTGCATATATGTTACAGATTATAAGTCTGACTTGGCCTTCAATCTCTGTGCATCCTCATCATTTGGTTGCATTTTTCAAATTAATTTTTTTATTACAATTTTATTAAATGAAAATAATTTACGAGTTGAACGAACTCTAAATAGAAAACAAAAGAAACAAATTTAAATCTATATCAATATGACATATCAAGTCAAGAATCTATTTAAATTACATAATAATTCTGCTTAAACTCTCTAAAATAAAAATAAAATTCTTTAAAAAGTAGGGATATTTATCTATTATTTACTATTAATTTAAATAATTATTTATTGAAGAATCGGCAATAAATTGTAATATTAAGTTTAAATAAATAAATGATAATATAACTTCCTTTAATTTAGAAGTGTGTTTCAAATAATAAAATATGAATTTCATTCGTAATCATATAATGCTCACATTACTGTGAGTTACATTTACTCGATTAACACTGAATTGCCTAATTCTAAAGCAAGGTTGAGCATATCGCCAATTTTTTGCTTTAATTTAGTTATCTCATTGTCTTTCTATTGAATTAGATTTTAAACATATTATTCCATTTAGTAATTCAAATATTTTGATATTTCTGCATCTTTGATCCCTTATTCATTTACATTTTCCAAAGGTAATTATAATGTAAATTTATTTGATTCATCAGTTTTTCTAGAAGTGGATGTAGCATTTTAATTTAGGAATTTGATTCTATATTGATTTAGTAATTGCTCTAATTAAGTTACTTATAAATGATAATCGTGAATATATTGTTCAATCTTGCATTGACATTCCTTAACTTATTTTGAATCCGAACTTGAGTTCTCTTTAGAAGTAAGAGATTTTACTAAGATGTTCAATTCACTTAGGGCATCTACTAATTGTTATTTTTCAGAAGATTCATTTTCAAATGATTTGAGTATAGATAGACTCCATTATTTTTATATATTTATGATTTCTGTGAAATCAGAATTCATTTTTGAATTTTATTTCTCTAATTCTAAATGTCGTTTATTTAATTAAATCATGATTTGAGTTTTAGTTGTGAGATCTTTATGTAACTATTAATTTTCTAGTTCTTATTAAGCTTAGAGTTTGAGGATGTCTTCAATTTATTTCTTAGATTTAGCCAAGGCTTATCTTAGTTGAGATTGTTGTTGATTTAAGATTTTAATAGTGTTTTATAAGGTTTTCTATTCTTACTTCTCTGCCTCTAATTATTTCATTAATTACATATATTCAGTTTATTTTCTATTTCAATATACTAAAAATTTACTTGTCTATTATGGAGGAGAGGTATTGAATTTTATCTGATAGGCTTTAAGAACTATTCCTCAAAAAAGGTTCTGAACACTACATAATAATTTTTATGATTGTTACTTTGCAGCATAATTTAGATCTGTAAGAATTGAGCTCTTTTTTCAATAAATATATTTGATCCACTTGATTATCGTGTATTTATAGGAAATGCTGCAATTTAGATTTCATTATTTTTCTAAATATATTGATCTCTGTAGTTAAATATGAATATAGGTTTCCTTTTTCTTTAATTGACAAAGACAATAATTCATCACCTAATGAATCTAGTTCTTTAGCAATATTGGTATATTTGGATTTCCAATGTTCAATTTCTTCTCTCATCTAAGATAGAACTAGACTTTGTTCATATTAGTTTTCAGAAGATGCAGTATTAATGGTTGTTCTTTATGAAAATTCTTCATTTGGATTTAGGACTTTAAGTCTTAACTTAACTTTTAAGTTTGATATTTGATTGTCATTTAAGAATACTTCTTCCTCAATCTCCCCTTGTGGATCGTTATCATATTGAAGCTCAGATTTAGAATTTATTAATCGGGTTAAATTACATTATACTCTTCCTGCAACCTCATTGTTCAAAAGAAGGAAGAGCTCCAATTTATTGCAGTTCAAGTCATTAGATCTATTTTCTAGAGAAATTAAATGGGATTCATTGATTGGATTCTACCCTTTGCATATTTCATATGAGGTTGTTGTAATTGATGCATGATCTAAACAATAGGATAATTAGATTACTTGATTTAATCTGAAACCCCAACAATTGGGACAAAGTAGAATCAGATGATAATTCTAAAATTGTGACTTCAAGATGGAGTTGTTCTTCCTTGTTTTCCATTTAATAAATTATGAAATTTTGATAATTTAAAGGGATTTATGAATTAAATAACTGAATCTCAAAAATAATCTTAGATGATGAATTTTAGGTTAAATAAAATGATAATTTAGGTCAAGACTCTAATTGGTTTTGGTTAAGTTTTCATACTGCAATTCAATTAGATTTATAAAGTTGAGGTGTAATTAAATGACTTAAATTTTATTTATTATTTAACAGTTAAAAATAGATTAATGGAACGCTATAGGAAGATAGAATTAAAGGGAAAAGGTAGTTATGGACAGGCTATATTGGTTTAAAATAAATAGGATAGAAAATTTTATATCATGAAGGTAATCTGAAGGCTATTATAGATAATAGATGCGTCTAAATTCGACATCAAAGAAAAAGAAAATGCCCTTAATGAAATAGATGTGTTAAAGAATTTGCATCATCCCTGCATAATTGAATACAGGGAGTCTTTTGTGGACAGAAAGTAAGTTTAATTATCTAACTTAGTAAATATTTGTGTATTGTCATGGATTATGCAGAAGAAGGAACATTGCATCAAAGACTTGAATAACAAAAATAAAAATAGGAACATTTGAAAGAGTCATAAATTGTAGAATGGTTCACTTAAATTTGTCTGGCTGTCAAATACATCCATGATAGACGAATCATTCATAGAGATATCAAAACTCAAAATATTTTCATTTCAAAAGGAGAAATAAAACTAGGGGATTTTGGAATCGCTAAATCATTAATCAATTCTGAAGATCTTTGCTAAACTGCTATAGGAACTCCATACTATATCAGTCCAGAAGTGTGTTAAAGAATACCTTATGACTTTAAATCAGATATTTGGAGTTTAGGTTGCATGCTATATGAAATGATGGCATTAAAACATGCATTCGATGCAAAAAGTATAATTATATTTAATAAATAAAGCTATGGAAGGTCTATTTTTGAAAATTATCAGTGGAAAATATTAACCTGTGCCTACATTTTATTCTTAAGAACTGATATAATTATTAAAGGATATATTAAATACAGATCCTTAGAAAAGACTTACTATCAATCAAATATTAGATTATAGAATAGTCAGAAAATCAAGGAATGAATTTCTGCAAAGGAAAACATATAACTTACAAAAGATTCAATTTATTTCGGGATAAATCAATAAATATGAGAAGCACTCTGAAAAAATAAGACAATATTAAAGTGAATAAAAGTTTGTTGGAGAATCCCTAGCAGATTAAATTGAAAAAATGAGAATGGATCTTGAAGAATAATTGGGAGTTGAAAAATTTATCCTAATTTACAATTCACTAGTACTATATTGTATGATAATTAGATTAGAAAAATGAGGAAGATCCTCCAAAATGTTGTGATGAGAATACATTAGATAAAATTAACTAACTACTTGGGTTAGAACAATTAATATTTTGATTTTTCTTTATATTAAATATACTTCCAATTTATTAAACTAATCAATTTTCTATTGGATTTATATCTTATATTAAGATCAGCATGTTCATTTATTAAGTAGTATTGTTATTTAATTATTAAAAATTAGATAAGTTTAAAATATCATTCATTATTATTATTTGATTTAAAGATTAAATTTTGAAAGTTTATTAATAGTTATTGATTTCTCTCCCTTCTAATTTTCTATTTTGTAATAGTAGTTCTATCTACTAATTGTGAAATCATAGTAAATAATTACATAAAATGAAAGTTGACTAAACATACCAGAAATAATTGGGAATAAAAATGTAAATAATTGCTTTGATCCTTTAACAATGATTATAAATTTATATATATAATTAACGACTTTATGTCTCTCACCTATCTTCCATTTCATAATCTAGCTCATTGTCCTAAGTAAGTCATAGAATTTGTATAAAACCCAGACTTGAATCTCAATGATTTAAACACACTGATAGAATAATTGAAAATGCCAAAAAATCATCAAAAAGCAATTCAAAGTATGCAAATTTTAGTCTCAAAGTAAGAAGATTATTTATAGGATGATAATACACTTCAAAATCAAGATGAAGAAGTCCATTCTCCTAAATTGATTTTTAGGAAAGTTTAATACTGATCAATAATATCTATATTATATATTTTAATTTGTAAATTCGACTTAATGTTCTACTAACATGTTTGTCTTACATAGGTTTTCAATTTTCTAATCGTTAAACTGATACAGACTCTTATTTTTCTAGAATTTTATATTTGATTAATAATCCAAAAATAAGATTTATTTATCTAAAATAAAAATTGAATTCATTTATTTAACTTAAAAATAACATATACAATATGAAAAAATTGATGGAAACAAATTGACTCTTAAGATTCTTTAAAATTCATAAAATATAATCATTATTGCATTAATCCAATTTTTGTACGAAATTTATGCCAAAAGTAGGTAAAGGCTGTCTAAGCCTACTAAAAGATTAACGATAATTTTTAACTTTGTTATCTACTTCCCTGTTATTTGATTTTGAGGTTGTTTTTCGATATAATCTTTCTTGAGTTTTTATATCCTTAATAATAAACGTTTTTCAATACATTAATCAATCGAGAATGTTATTTTTCATTATTATCATCGTTTTCTACCGGTTTCAATTTTTTTATGATCCATTTAGGCCTTTTTCTTAGAGTTATTTGAGATAAATGAACTCCGAATTATGTTTCTAGCACTTTATTTGCCCATTCGGATCCATACGGATTTTATTTTATTTCTCTGTTTACTATAAACTAGATTATTACGCTTAAGGTCTACTTTTAGTTAAATTTTCATTTTTGTTGCTTTTATTGGACATTTACAAATTTTCCGGTTGAGAAGATTGAGTTATACTTAAATTTGCTTAATCATCTAAAAATTCCAAAACATTTAATGATTCACATAGTTCTTTTACGTATAACTGGCTTTGAGAAAATAGACCATCCTTTTATTACCTCATTAATTAAAATAAATTAATCACAGATATTAATGTAATAAACTCATAATTGAATAAATAAATATCATTTTGAACTATATTAGGTTAAATTTAATATTATCACTAAATAATTCATTCATTCCATCTGTCAAATACCTTCTTTTTATAAATAAGAGAATATCTCCTAAAATGCTTTAAATTATATTTATTATTTATCTATTATTAGTAATAATTTATAACCAAGAAAGAAGTTAAATTATTAAATTTAAATTGAATATGAGAACCTCTTTTGGAAAGAAAGTTAAGATTAACAACTCAGTTGGTAAAATGATTGAAAAGAAGACCTAAGAATTAAATTCACCTCCTCTTTCTACATAGTAATATTAGGTGTAATCAAAATAGAGATCCTAATTTCTGGCTTGATGATAGTGATTTATCCTGGCTGTCAAATGAAATAGAATAAGAGGTTGACAAAATCCTTCAAATCGCAAAGCCCTAACCTCTTAAAATAAAACAAAACCTAATATCAAGTGGGAATGATATAAGAGAGGAATTCTTTGTTAGTAATAATAATACTAAAAGAAATTCTTGGGGTCTTGATAACTAATAAGAACTTGAAAAGAATATCAAAAAAGGGAATAATTGTTAGTTGTAATGTGAATTTCCAATTTAAAAAAAAGGATCTAAAAATTAAGTTTAATATCGGGACAGCTTTGATTATAATTCAAATAAGTAATTCATTGAAAATATGCTTAGAAATGATAATCAAGATTTATAAGAAAGAAATTACTTATTTTAAGGGGAAATTAGTTTTGCTGAATGCAAGAATAACGAAAAAAAATAAAAATAAAAAAAAATAAAACAATTTTTAGATGCAAGCTTTTAATTTTAAGAATAATAAAACAATTCATTTGAGGAAGGGATTTTTAAATTTCATAAACAAAAGCCTGGCTAATTGAAAGACAGAATTTATGAAGAAATACCATCCCCTTAATTTTATTAGGAAAAAACAAAATAAACATAGTTGCCTTAGGATTTGGAGAAACCTAATTTCAATGCTAATTTAAATTGGAAAAAAGGTAAGAATAGGAGAGAAGCAAAGAAATATACGTAGTATCAAACTGAAGAATTCAAACATTTATCATTATCAATACTAGGTTTTCATGTTCATGAAAAGGAAGGAGAACTAAAAATTAATAAGCTTTAGAAGATGTAAAATGAAAAAACAAAGTTTTTCCAATTATTTGAATTAACAATCAATCCAATAACTTTTATTGGTCCTCTGAAATTAAGGTCCAATTTGAAACTTGTAAATTTTTTAATAATTTTTTCAGTGTATTAGATTTAAAAAAGGTTATACTGGATAAGTCTTTTGCAATTAAGACTATACAGAAACCATTCCTACAAACTAAGATGATGGAAAAGTATTAGAAAATGAAAAACAATTATTTTTGGCTAACAATAGTTCTCATATCGTAAAATTAGTATGTTGTTTAATAAAGAAAATCTAAAATTATAGGAAATTAAATTTATGATCAGGTGGATATTTTAATATTGAAATAATTATTTTATTTATTTATTTTTTTCTTTATACAATTAATCTATAAAGTAAATTAGTGAATTTTGAATAAAAAATAAATTAAAAGATACAAGTAAACTTATAAGTTATTTTAGTTTAATTATTAATAAATAATAAAAAAACTTTGAAGTGGATGAGTGTGAGATTAGGACTCTTAAGATGGGTTAATGAAAAATGTCCACAAATGAAGGCAAGTAACATTGAAAGCATGTCAGATGGAAGACATTTCTTATGTTTACTCCGAAGATACTTTCCTGAAATTGAAATTCCATAATTTAAAAAAAATTCAACAGTCGTGTCTCGTTTAGAAACCTTAACATAAGTAGCTCATTATTGTTCGAAATTAGACAATTCAATGAAGGTTGATATTTTAAAAATAGCAAATAAAGAGTCAAATATGATTTTAAATTTACTCAAATTTATAAAATCAATTCTAGATAAAACACCAATTAAAAAAAATATTAAAAAGGAAGAAATCCCGACTATTATGAAGGAACAGAAAAATGAATGCCAAAAAATTAGTGAGGAGATTGTAATTATTCCATTTCCAAAAAAATAAACCATGGATTAAGGAATATAAACTATCCCAATTTAAGAAGAGAAACCTTTGCAAATTTTATAAGAAAAAATAAAGAAGATATTATAATCTAAATTGTAGAGTCCTCATTTAGAATTAGAAATACTTTAATTATTAGAGAAAGATAAGGATGTGTTCAATCTTTAATTATTTTATCAAGTTAAGGCATCTAGAGCGAGCATGAAGCCATCCAAAATTACAGAATTCATGTCGATTCATAGTAGTTAGTTTTTTAATAGAGTGGAATAGAATTTATTTGACCCAGAATACTCATTCGATTAGAATTTAGCAAGCAAAAAGAGTGTATTAGAGGATAGTTTATTTCAAGTTAGCGATGAAAAATAAAATTATTGATTAATTTATGTATTTAATACCGAATTTCTAATTTTTATTTGATATAAAGTCTAACATAAGGATTAGGTTTGTAGAAGTACATTTAGTATAACCATTCCTTTTACTTTATACAACAAATCAAATTTTATAGATTTGGGACTATGAAAAAAAGACCTGTTTGAGAGCAATAAATGTTTCATTAATTGAACCTGATAGAGTGTAGGAAGTTAAACAATTGAAATTTCATGACAACTAGATTATTTATAGACTTTTTAATGATTAATCCTTATATTTGTAGAATAGCATTATGATTCTGACATCTGATAAATTGTATTCCTACAAATATTGCTCTGATTATTCGGATCTAATAACAAATGGACCTATTGGTGTTTCAAATAAATGTTTAGAATTTATTGACTCATAATACATAGCAGTAGGAGGTGAAGGAGTAAAGATTATAGATTTGAAGCAGAATCTAATTGTAAAAACAATGAAGGGATATCATCAGAAAGGTATCAATTAGATGCTCTCATATAAATAAAATTAATTTGACAGACCTCGTCTTGTGGCCAGTAGTTTAGATGGTACAATGGCTTGTTGGAATGCAGACACAGCAAATGAATAACCAACATTCAAATTTTTAATGTCCAAAAAAGGCAAGCAGTTAATGACTGCCAATAATGGATAGGAGATCTTATCAATTGCATATGACCCATATGACTTTTAAATAGTTACTGTTACAGAAAACTATATTACATTATGGAGTTCTTTGAATGGAATGGAAATTAATAGATTCAAGCCTCCTATTCCAATTAAAGAGCTTGTTCATATTAGTCATTCTAATTTTCCTTCTTAAACATATATTGGTCATACAAGATCATCAGAAATCTATGCCCTATATCTGATAGGAAAACAATAAAAGAAATTTGATTATGTGATACTTTTAGATTTGAAAAATGTGTCTGATGTTGATAAATAAATTAAGATCAATACCATCACAACCAATAGATTGAAGTCAAATCTTTTATGTGTTGCTACCACTCATGGCTTGTTTTTACTACAGGCTTCTGAACTCTTATAGAAGTATTGCTTTCATCATACTTTTGTTTGTTCATTGACATTAAATTAAAGTAAAACTTTTGTAGATGACACTGGATTACTTAAGAAACTAACTAACATTTCTTAAGAGCAATTAAAATAATATGAACTATTAAACAAATAAACTGACTAATCTAATTTGATGTATCTATCTACAACGGGCAAAAATGTGATTTGTACCTTGATTGAATTTACTTAAGAACTCACAAATAAAAAAGAAGAATGGACCGTTATGAGTAGACAACATAAAATATTTTCATTTTAAACGTCTTATGCTTGGGATGGTATCATTATTATTTTATAATATAGATTCAAAAATCTTGATTTCATTATCGGGAAGATATTTTGTAATCCACAACAATAATGGTTAATATGTTGTGCTTTCAATAAATAATAAAAATTTGAATTATGATATGATGGAGAGTGATCTCAAATTGACTTTGCACTTTTTGAGTGAATTAGAACAACTATCAACAGGAATAGGCAACTCTATTGCATGGCATCAATATAAAGAAGAGTTAATAGTTTCAGTTCCCTTAAATGAAAGAAATTAAAATGTCACAATTGAAGAAAAGATAGAGTCTCAAACAAGTGGATTTTTTAATTAGAAAACGTTTTCTAGAAATATTTACAACTACTCCTCAAATATTGTCAATTTTGTCATTCAAATCTATGGTTTTGATCACACAAAGAAATAGTCTATGTTTTTAAAAGCCACAATAAATAATTTACCATAGCCTGAAAGAGTCTTTGGAGTGTAAAGTTATTATTTTATTGTTACAAATTCTGAATGCAACATCGAAGACTAGAAATTAAAAGCAGAGATTAAACAACTAAAATTGAAAAATGGTTAATTTTATTAATTTTAAAATAATTAATTGGTTCCATTTGGTAATTAGTTTATTTCTCCATTAAATGTGACTAGCAACATAAATGAAACCTTTTTATTATTTTAATATGAAAAGACCTTTTCTCTTCTTATGAAATAGAATGGATAGTTTATCCCCATTTTAACTGAATTTGAACAACTTACTGATAGCTATTTCTGGGAAGACTTATTATTTTATGTCACTTAAACTCAAATTAAGATGGTAATTGTTGTGAATTAAGTTGCTATTACAATTACTCTAGCCCAAATAGATCCACCATAAAATCAACTTTAAAGTTGTGAGTTTTTAAAAGCTAATTAACTTGATGGGTAATATCCTGAAATACAGGTTAGACCAAATGGATAATTAAAAATTGTAATGAATTTGTAATTATATTATAGTTAATGATTCATGACAGCAAACTTATTGTTATTAATTAGGCGCAAGAAATTTCATTTATTCATTTGAAACATGCATTACTTGAGTTTTGTGTATTAATATCTAATATATAAAGATTAATTTATAAGTGGATGACTTTTCGAAGTGTGTTGATAATGCAAGTAAATTGGATTAGAAAATGTAAAAATTGATTGCTTAGATGTTTATTGCCAAAAATGCAATCGATTAGGTTTAATATTTAAATATGGATCTGCACGAGCGCTTGACTTTAGAATTGGATCACAATTTAAATGAAACATAATTAACTGTAATAAGAGTGTTAATATTTAGTTAGATTTAATAGATCAGGTGATGTTAACAGTAGCCGATAATAAAGAAAAGTATATTAAAGATTTAGCTATTAAATTATCTCAATAAAAACGTGAAGAGGAATTAGATCTAGTAATTTAATATGGATTATAAAACTAATTGTAAATTCTTGATAATTGATTATAGATTCCCTCTTTACGACATTATTCCGTTATTATCAGAAACCTAAAGAGAATATTATTTGGATTCCTAAGGGATTTTTCAAAATTTCTAATCTCTTAAGGAGATAAGTAAAGATAAAGAAGATTTGATGCTTTATAATTTATACAATATATTTTAATTATGAAATCAATATCATTCAATTATTAATTCTTCAAATGTTCCTAACTAATACTATTGATTATTTTAAATTGCTAAAATTATATCTAAGGTTTATTCAACAACTGAAGGGATGATCTATTTAAGATTCGGATTTTCAGTAAAAAGTGCTGGATTTATATTTGCCTCTAAAAAGTAAACTTTTAGATTTGCATCTATAATAAAATCAAGCCCAAATAATTCAAATTCTCCTTTTTGTCCTCCAGCTTGGATCTTTTTCTATCCAGCTTTAAAAATTCTATGAGAAATTTGTTTAATTTATTCTCTAATTGATTTAATCTGATCAACCTGATAATGATAAAAGTCTTGTAAATATTGTTCTAAATGATCCATAGTCCATATGGAACTTTCTTTTTTCTCTTTATATGTTGGATGTGTTTTTTAAATTGCATTATTGGTGAGATGTATAATTTTATTCTATTCATTTTCAATGTCATCCAAAGTGTACTCAAAAATACTCAATCTAGCATATCCATGATGAAAGAGCACTGTATATGGTTTCACTTAGGCTATCAAAGCATAACATCTTATATCAAATTTCCTACCATCTAACAAAAGGGGCTTTTCAATATATTTTTATATGATGGACATTGGATTAATATCGTCATATTTTAATTATTGTTCTGGATCAACATTTTCTTTGATTCCCAGGTGATCTTGAATTTCTTATTTTAATTTATTTCTTTCATTTTCGACATAAACTTTATAATAGTCTCCGATCTAATATTGTCGTTTCTGGTGTAGATCCTGCTTAAACCTGGCAATATCACTTATGAATTTGATTCCTCTGCCACAATTCAAATTATAAGGCTTCAATATCCAAATGCCTTCTTCATTGTCCTTCAGAAATTCAATAACTTCAGTGATTTGATTTAATCTAAAAGTCTTAGGCAAAACATCCTCACACTAATTTTCTCTCAACAATTCCAACATGGATATTTTGAGCCCTAAATTATGTGATGCTTTAGGTATATGATTGATCTATATTGATAGTGTAATAATAATACAATCTATTAGCCTGGTTTGAATTCATAATAATTTATGCTTTAAGGACATTAAACCCACTTGATAAAATAGTCATTTTTAAAAGCATCTTAAACAGTATCCATTAATTCATAATTCTTGTTTCTGAAATATGATTTAATTAATTCTGCATTGTTACCTTATCCAACATAGACCCTTTGCTTATGAACAAAATCAGCAGGCAATACTTATTGTAAATTCTTAGCAAAAACTGAGTATTTATCACTAACCCATATATTTCTATCATCTCTCCAAGGATGCTCAGCACAAAAACTTTCACATTTTCCCTCCAGCCAAGGTTGTATGGATTTATAATGATATTTAATGTCGTAGTAATTTTGCGATTCAAATTTATATGTTTCAAATTCTTGAATTGTACCTTTTTACCATCTCGCAGCAATAGTTCTCTCGCCCCCTAGATAAATTTCAACATGAACAATATTATGTTGGAAAGCCCTGCAAGATTTATCATAGTAAGTTCCAGAGAGAAATATTAGATCCCCAGGTTTCAAGTCTTAAAACTCAATCTCCTTATCAAGTAAATCATATTAATATGCTTAATTCCATTTTCCTAAAGTGAATCCAAAGTATTCTCTTAGATCATAAATTACTTATCTAATCAGTCCAGAACAATCTAAGTACAGAGGAGCATTGTAGTGTGGAGAAGTTTCATCATGATATCTACTATGATAGGGAACTCCAACGTATTTGAATGCTTATGCTATGAATTTCTATCTTAATTCTTCATCAGGCATTTTCTCTTTGTTGGTCTATTTTAATATTTCATCAGTACCTTATTGACATACTTTTGATATAAAAAATTTTGATTTCTTTTTACTTGAAATTGTTAGAAGCATGATTATAAATTGCGGTCCATTTAAATTTCAAATTGCAATTTTTTTGTAAATATATGTATTATTCATTAATATGAATATGAATTTATATATCAGAAAAGTTGATAAAACACTTCTAATTCGTCTCCTGATACATTTAATGTTCTTGATCTTAAATTCGAATAATCACATATATAATCTATTGTTTTGATAAATCATTTTTTAGGGTAATTTGAACCTAATATTCTTTGCTAGTACTTTTTATCTTATTTCGATAAAAGATTTTGTTTAACTAATTATTTTATCACTTGATTATGAATATAAAATATACTGCAATTGTTTCATACTAGTTCCTTAAATATTAAAGGTGACTTTAATTGTATAATATCTAATACTAGAGTTCAATTTAATATTAATAAATTTAAAGAATATAAAATTCTTAAATTTTTACATTATTTTGTAATTTTGCAAAAAGAGTAATTCAATTCTTTTTGGTAAATAGTTGAATAGTAAATTATTAAAGAGTCCATTAAATAAAATAAATTAAATAATAGATGTAAAGTATTATAATCTATGAGTAATTTATAATAAGAAAGTAATATTAAAATGTTTTATTATGTTTATCAATCGTTTTCACATCTATTCAGATTTCAAGAATTCACCAGTTGTACCTCCTAGTGGAAACATTTCATGAATTGGTTTAATGCCAGTCTCATGCAATATTCCAATAGTAAATAAGAGAGTCATAATAATAATAAATGGTATAAAACAAGGACTCTTTACCATTGCTCTTTTAAATATTGTAAACATAGCATCATTCAGAGTAATTTGTTTTCTTCTTTAATGTTGTTCTAATTCTTGATAATTCATTAATTTAATTAATAAAAAAACGTAATTAAATATAATATTATCTAAAACATCATAGTTATGATTGATATAAGAAGACTTAGTTATTCCTAATTCATAAAATGTAGTTTATTGAAAAAATTATTAATATATGAATACTTGAATTTCTTGATTGATTGAATAAATATATAAGATTTTGATATTTAAAATGTCTATTATAATCATCATTCTGGATCGCTGCTATTTATAATTTATTCCTAACTTTCACCTGGAGGAGGTATATTTTTTTCTTATTTAGTGATAAAATAATACTACTATCGCTAAACTAATTAGATTGCAATAATCCCAAAGATAACTAACTAGAAACTAGTTAATTTGTGATCATAGTAATATTTTAGGAAGTCGAGGATTTATGTTAAAAATTGGGTGTTTTTGGCTAAAAAGCTTTTTCTTCTTATGAATCATTATCTTCTTTTGAGTCATTATCTTCTTTAATTTCTTCTTATTAATTATTTATTTAATTCAATTCATCATCATTATCAAACCCAGATATTTTGCCTTAAATTTTGACGATTTTTCTAATTGTATCGCCAACTTCTTATTAAGATGCTTATCGAATTAGAAAGTTTTATTTTTGTTCTTGATATGCTTTTTTCATATCTGGAGTAGATGGCAAATATTTCTTTGTTCCCTTATTCTATTATTGTGGCTTATTCTACTTTTTATTTTTGGATAACTTCTCATGAATTTGTTATACAACAATTCCCAAGCCCATTCCAAGAATGGTGTAGCATATGTTTTCCATTGAATAATATAAAATAATTATAATCTAAAAAATATATATGTATTTGATGTTATATATTGTAAGAATCACTTTTTACCTTTGTTGGCTTTTGCAGCACCCTTTTATGCTTTTTGTTGAGCTTTGACTTCAGCTTTTTATGCAACTTTTTATGCTGCAGCAGGTTTCTTCTTTTGAGCTTCAATTTACTTTTGCTTTCTATCCTTAATTTCTCTTGCAGCTTATTCAGCTTATGCCTTTCTAGTTTCTAAGGATTATGAGAATATGCATTACTGTCATCTTCCTTTCTTCTTCTTCTGATTTCTTCCAAAGAAATACCAACTATAGCTCTTTAGACTTTAAGATTTCTGATTCTTCTCTTTTTAGCTCCTTCATCTGTCTTAATCTTTTTGTTTAATCTTCTCCAAGCAACAGTCCATTAGATTTCTTGAGATTTAATCTATATGTTAAGAGATTCAATACTTTTCTTGCACTAAAAGCTCTGCTCTTTTAATTCAAGTAATAGAAGAGTCTGCCATCCTTGGCTACGAATCTTCTTCCATGTCCGGGGTAGATTCTCCATTCACTAAAAGAGCACAAATCTGTCTTGATAACCATTATTTAAAAAATATTTAAATCTTAATTTTCATTCCATTGCAGATATTCATTACTACTCTTATCATTGTTTTTTGCATTTCATTACTCCAACAAATCAATGACTTGTACGAATTATGCAGTCTATACTTAGCTCAATCTATCTAATCCACCTAATTTACTTTGTTCTTACAATTTTGTAAATTTGACCATTTCTTATATTGGTTATTTTCATTTCTTAACAATATTTTCTATTTATTTGTTTAATTACACAAAGAGTTCATTCTACTATAATATAGAATAGAGAACCTAAATCAGATCCTCTATTTCAATATCAATCTCATTATCAATAGTTCTAAATTGGTAAAATTTACAACGCATTTCTTCAAAAATATTTATATTATCAATATTTCTGTGAGGTCTAATCTTCTATATATCCATGATATCTTATTTAAGACATTAACAAAATAATTACGAATGCTTTAATTAAATTTAGTTAATAAATCCATTCTTGCTTTTATAATATCTTGGGTGGTTCAATTTTCTAAAAAGACAAGTGAAGGATTGTTTTTGTATATTGAAATAAAAATTCTGATTTCAAACAATTTCTAATAAAGTGGAGAAGCATGTAAATTTTATTTTAAATCAAATTTATTTACTTATGCTATTATTATTTTTTTATAGTCTATTTTCTTTTAAAAGTGTTAATCAATAGATAATTACAACTAAGTATATTTTAAGATTTTTTGATACATTTTTCAGATATATTAAATTTGAAAACCTGTAGACTTAATCATTTTAAGATCTATTATATATAATTTCATTATATTTTAACACTTTTAAAGAATTAAATTTTAAAGCTAATCAAATATCAAGATCTACTCAAACTTAAAGATCTATAATGCTTTTTATGAAAATTTAGGTTTGTTGAAAAAAGTATTTATAGAATTTAATTCTTCAATCAAGCATTTTTCTACATATTATTTATCGTAATGTTAGTCATCTAATACTTTTTCTATTCATTTATTTAGGATAGATTAACATTTATGTCATATTATATATTAGAATTTATTGAAATTTAAATCAATTATAATTAAATAGAATATATTAAATAGGGTTAATTTAGATTAATAGAATAAAATTTAGTACTTATAAGCCAAGATCATGGAAAAAGCCAATAATTAAATGTCATAAACATTGGTAGCGACTTAATTGAGAAATCCTGATCAAGCTTATTCGGGCTTGACATATGGTTCAAAAGAACTGGTTGATAAATTAAAAAAAGAAAATAAATTAGGAGAAAGTGATTAGCTTTTCGTGTTAATAAATGGTTACATATTCATACTCAAAGCAGTATTAATAAATTGTGATTATGATAGGATGGAGAATATAGAAAGAATGAGATTGCTGCAAACAAATATTAGAGGGAGTTATTAAAAATGACTATTAATTAAGAAGTTGAATTTTAAGTATTCAAGTTGCCAAAAGACAAAGAGTACCGGTTAAGAGTTCTGGATTTGGAAATTGATATTTAGTCACTATAAAATGGGGGAAATTAAATTGAATTAGATGATGATGAATTTGCCAAACTGTTCAAGACTCAATTCAAGGGACAATTTTTTAAAACTGGGTAAGTGTAGCTATTCCAACACAATTAGAATAATTATTTAATAAAAGTAATTAAAGTTTAAATTCTAGGTAACCCGAACAGAAAATTTGAGTGTGGATGCAGATTAAAATCTAAAGAAGTTTGTAGGTGGAGGAATGTTGTTTGACAATACAGAAATAGAATTTAGCGTAAGATCTGGGATATCTCAATTGAAAATGAAAAATGTATAAAAGAAGACAGCAACATTGTTTAGAGAAGACTTTAATTTTGATTAATTAGGAGTAGGAGGTCTAGACAAGGAATTAGCAGATATTTTTAGAAGAGCATTTTCATCTAGAAGATTTTCATAATAATATTTAGAGAAATACGGGATTAAGCACATTAAAGGTTTGCTATTGTATGGTCCTCCAGGAACAGGAAAGACTCTAATAGCAAGATAGTTAGCAAAAGTTTTAAGGGCTAGACCACCAAAGATTGTTAATGGGCCAGAAATATTTAGTAAGTATGTAGGAGAGGCTGAGGAGAATATTAGGAAGTTGTTTGCAGATGCAATAAAGGATCAGGAAACTTTAGGAGATGAAAGTGATTTGCATATAATTGTATTTGATGAAATGGATGCCATTTGTAAATAGAGAGGATCTGTTTCATCTGGTGTTGGCGCATATGATAATGTTGTTAATCAATTATTGTCAATGATAGATGGTGTTAATTCTTTAAATAACATTCTTGTGATTGGAATGACAAATAGAAAAGATTTAATTGATGAAGCAGTGTTAAGACCTGGAAGATTTGAAGTTCATATAGAAGTTGGATTGCCAGATGAAAAAGGCAGACAATAAATCTTTTAAATTCACACTGAAAGTTTAAGAAAGAATTAAGCCTTGTTTAAAGATGTAAACAATGAAGAGTTAGCAACATTAACAAAAAATTATACAGGAGCTGAGATCGAGGCTGTAGTTAAATCAGCAGCATCATTTGCCTTTTAGAGGATTTAGAACATTTATAATTTTTCATAAAGAATGAATTAGTAGGATGATTTGAAAATAACAAGGGCAGATTTTTAGAATGCTTTAGAAGAAGTGAAACCATAATTTGGATTTGATTCAAATAAATTCGATTTGCTACTTAAAAATGAATTGATTGATTTTGGAGATGAATTCTAAAAATTATAAAAAATGTTAAGAGGTACAATCAATCAAACTCGTTTTGGTAAGAGTTCAAAATTGAATTCAATTCTCTTAGAAGGATGCCAAGGATCAGGTAAAACAAGTGTAGCTGCTTATTTCGCTGTAGAATGTGGGTTCCCATATGTAAAATTGATTTCACCAGAATGCTTTATTGGAATGACAGAAGATGCTATAATAAATAAAATTGGTAAAATATTCAATGACGCCTACAAATCCTCTCTCTCTTGTATTGTTATTGATAACATTGAGAGATTGATTGAATATGTTGATATTGGACCCAGATTTTCTAATTCGATTTTATAAGCACTCCTCATTTTGATTAAAAGATTACCAGATAAGGTATTTAAATATGTTATATGTAGACTTAAAATAAATTAATGATAGTAGGTACTACATCTGCTTATTAAATCCTAAAACAATTGGGTGTTGTTTCTTGCTTCAATCTAACTTTTAAGGTACCAAATCTGTCAAAGAAAGAAGAAATTAAGACTGTGATTTACAACTATATGAATATCTCAGACAAAGATGATAAATCTGAAAAGCAGAAAAAACAAAGAGCACAAATTGAGAAAATTTGCTAAGCAATTGACAATATTCCAATCAAAAGATTGTTGATGCTACTAGATATGGTTTGTACAGATGAGAATGACTTGAACTACGAAGAGTTTAAGTCATGTTATTAAATGGCGTAGATGAATCATTCATGACTTTATGTTTAAAATTAATTAAAACTTTATAAAGATATAATTAAAACTATAACTTCCTTTAATTAATAATTATACTTTTCGAAAAATAACATCTTGCTTTTCGTTTGACCTTTAAACTAGTTTTTATATCAGAATAAAATCAAATAATAACAATTTCTAAAGATACAATCTACTATGTGATAAGGAACCTAGTTGAAATCAAATTAAAACATTACTAATAACAAACATATATATTCACTATTCTATGATTTCAGGAGTGGTAATTTTAGAAGCCTTTCTCTTTTTGAGGTCAACTTATATTTACAGAAGCTTAAAAATATTAGGATCCATCAAAGAAATAAGCTTAATTGTAATAGGATCATCCAAATTTTCAAGTAGTTCATCTAGAACTAACTATGCTTCTTGAGCTTTCTCTTTTTAGGATTTGTAAGGTTTCAACAAAGATGAATACATTTATGATTCGTTATATTACAAGTTACTAGGATTTAAAGAAATAAGAGGTTTTGGTAAAAAGTCGAAAAGCTGCACCTGTTATTTGCTTAATAGTATCATTTTGAGTTTATCAATTTCTTACAACTTATCAATAATAAATAGTATATCCAAGCATTTCTCCAATTTGTTTATCGAGTAGTGCAGTTACTTAAATTTTCCTACTTTTTTTCTATTAATCAAAATAAATGATTACCCACACTTTAGATATTTAATATAATCAAAAGGACTTAGTCTTAATTTCAGAGTAGCTATATTAAATAATTTCCTTAAAGCATATCGAATGCCTTTCTGAATTAATTTATCATTTTCTGGTGAATTAGTAACAATTTGGGAAGACTTCTCTGTCCACCCAGAATTGCCATTTTCTAATTTTGTCGTTTTATGTGTTAGTCTCCCTCTGGGAAATCGAATAGAGGACTTAGACTTTTATTAATTGAGTATATTAGAGGGGTCATTTTCATGAGTTTAAACGCCATCCTAGATAATTGTCAATCTCTTTAAGATTTACTTGCTTCCATCCTCGTCATTTGATAATTTTTATCCCTCAAAATTAAACAGATTATTAATAACGTCTAACTTATAAGATAATGATTGAATAGGTTTGACCAAAATGGTAAAGACAAGCATTAGAACTTCCCATAAACCACCAGCTTAAGCTAAAATGTCTTATAATTTAGGATAAATTCTGTAACTTATGTTCTCTGTGTTTGCCAATCGAACCAAAACTGATGCTAATGCTTCTTCGCTATTAAAGTCTATAACTTCTTAAGTCTTCAAATATCTAATTGTTGAATCCCTACGTACCAATTCATTTAATAATCCTTCTTCTGTCAATGTGGTTATTGGTTGCATGAATAAGGTTATATCCTTCATAACTTGACTTGAGATCGTTGTTTGAATTTCTTCAACTTTCGGAACATTTGGTTTGAGGTAGTTTCTTAAATCAATATTATATGATGACAATTGGAATAAAATATAATTTCGATGTAACTTTTATTAAATTTCTTCTTTAGACTTACAAACTGTACTGTTGACTAATTAGTTGTTAAATATTACTATTTTAAGTGTCATTCACGCATTATTGAAAGCTTATATATAAATATGTGTAGTTTTCTTATTCTGGAGTTCCGATTAAACTGAGATCTGAAATATTATTCCAATCTAGGCAATATGTATTTTCAGAGTCAACATCATCAAGCTAATCTTCTAAATCTTCATAAGGTATTCCGATTTTTGCACATTTAGATAGAGGAATTTTTGTTCTAGTTGATGACACACTAGGTTTTTAATCATTTCTTTTATACATTATGGAACTTACATAACTTATGCTCTATTAACCATTACAGCATTGACTTAGTATATAGATTCATCGATATAATTTTTTTAATTTTCAGTTTAAAACGCAAACTATAATGTGAAATTCTTGGAATATAATGGGAATACTGGAATCTCTTCATAGTATACCTCTGAATATAAGGTTTAAAATTCCTTTCTTTATCCCAATTGCACAAATTTATTGATTATGTACATTAAAACGCAAGTAAACATCAAAATTGTCATGGATGCTCCAAATAATGACTGATGTGATTTTTTCTTATGGATCATTAACTCAACTGGCGATTAAAAAAAATCTAATTTTCTCCCTAATTTCTTCATTTTTTTTAAGTTAGTCTGATTCATATGAGTTATATTTAATAAATTATTTTATCGTATACATAAATTTATTTGGTTTTCTTTACTAAAATAAGATAGGTTTTTTCATAATTATGATTATAATAATAATTCAAAATCATTTTTACTGTTAAAATCATCAAGGTTTGTTTTTTTAGCAGGAAAGAGTGGGTCAATAATGAATCTCAAAAATTAATAAATTTTTACCTAAATAAATTATCTAATAGTCCTGATATAATTTTGGCTAGCACTGGACATCCTGTTTCAATACAGGGATTTGTATTGAATTCTATTAGGATCGGTTTAAACTCATTAGTAATCATGAAATCTAGACCATACAATTCAAATCCAAAAACTTAATCAGCATTATTGATCTAGTTAATGCTTGAGGCACAAGCTATCTTAGTTAATTACTAATAATATGATTTTTATTATAGTTTACCTTCATATTCTTGTAAAGCTCTTCGAAACTGTAGTTGGTATTATTTTATTTATTCTGTTCTATTAAATAGTTCTAGAATTGCTCATACGAAACCTTATTGCCTGTAATATTTTATGAAATCAATACCTTTTTCAAATTTGCCATATCCATTCATTCTATTTTGAATTGCATCATTGGTAAGATGAATCTTCTGATTGTCTAGTGAATCCAAACTAAATAAACTACTTGAAGTACGGAGGTATCCCTTTTTATACCAAAATACTATCTACTTATTAATATGATCACTACCTTTTTTCGCTCCATTTATTATCGTGATAAGACAATACCCCCTTATATCAAATTTTCTCTTTTAGTAAAGAAATGGGTTCTCAATATATTTCTATAGAATGAAAGTATGATTTTATTAAGAAATGTGTTAATAGATTTCATTTAAATTATTGTAAACTAAGAAAATAACAACATACATACCTTTTATGCCTTATCCTCGATTGCTGTCCTCTCCAGGTTTAATAATCCAAATGTTTTTGAATGTAGAATCATCAGAAACCTCTTCAAATTTTTTCTTAAAATGTGTAAAGGATTCATCATTTGGACCTTATATATGGAAAGTCAAAGGAATTAGGGTCCATAAATCTATTTAGTTTTCTTTACAGTGTTTGCTTAAATTTAGAAACAAAAATTTCTTATCTCCTAATTAATTTCCTTCCTTAAGATGATTATGAATCCTAATAGATTAATTTTAATGATTAATTGTGAGAAGTTCTTTGACATTACTTAACTATAAAATAGAATAATTAGCTTACATTATTAAGAAGAGGCTAACTTTCAAGATTATAATCTGCTAGCTTCTTCTTTGATTTTCCTTCCACACGATCCCAAGCCTATCTGATTAGTGCTTAATCGTTCGAATCGATCCATCCTTCAATCGTTTCATTAGAAATTGATCTTTAGATAGGTCTAATCTCAGATTAAGGAAAATCAATAAATTTTTGAGTCCAAATAAAGTTAAAATCATCCTCTTCCAAATTTCCCCCTACCGTCCATTATGCTCTCATACTAAAAATACTTTTAACCATCATGTGATTATTCCCTCTACCAACATAAAGCTTATAGTATTTTTAGTGTTATGCTGGTAGAACTTGAAGAGCATTTGTAAAATTTATGATTTAATTTATTTCTTATACGCTGGGACATTGTATAAATTTGATATAACCTAAATCCCAATACCTAGTATCATCGATGAACAACTTTTTTTTTGTTTAGGATTAGGGAGCTTGAACCTTTTTAATAGGGGAAGTAGTCCTTTCTAATTTGATTATAGGTATTAATCTCTTCAACGGTTTTGGAGTTGTCTCTTTGGGTATGAGTTGAACTTAAACTTATTTTACTTAGATTAGTTATCCTTTCATGCTGTCCAATTCAATGTCTTTTTAGGCAACGGATTGACAACGTTACGATCTTTTTTAGATGTTCTTACGATGAATGGTTTTAGGAAAGACAATAATTTCATTATTGGTTTTTCCAATAAGTTGTTCTATTAAGGATTGATTTCTTTATTTTCTGTTATGCAACTCATAAATCTGAGATAGAAATTCATAACTTGTTATTTCCTTGACTTTTCTAATGAAAGGAGGAAATTGAGGATCAAGAGATTTGACGATACTATGATTTGGAGTCTCCAAAAATTATTCTTATTCAGTAACTGCAGGTTTTTGTTTTTTGTCTATTTATTGAAAGCTCCCATTTCTTCTCATCTGTGTTAGGAATTATCTCACTCCTGCTTCTGTACTGTTGAGGGCAATTGACATATACCCTTGCCAAAATTAGATATTATTGTCTTGTTTTCGTTTTTAAGTTGAGAAGTAATCCTTAACATTATCGTCATCCTTGCTTAGTACTCGATTGCGCATAAAATAAATAATTATTATAAGTATATAGTTAATCAGAATATACATTCGCTAAGTTAACTAAGATCTTTTTTGTGAATCATAGACAAATCCTAAGCTTGTTATCCTTAATGTTGATCTTTTAAGGGTTTTTTCTTTTTTGTCATTTTAATTTGCCTAAACCTGGGAGGTTCTGACACACATCTCGATATCAATTTTTTTCTGTTTTTGGAATATAACTCTCTATGTAACTACAATAAATAATTCTTGAATTCTTTCAGTTCGGTTGATTCTTAATATTCTAATTATTTGCAGCTTTAACTCCTTTATACAAATAGTAGCTTTGATTGATCTGTATAGGTGATTGAATATTTAATAATTTAATTGGTTGTATTATTTAATGAGGCTTACCAAAATTATTCAAGATAAATTAATTCATTTTTTAGTTTTTCTATTTTTTTGTTTTAAGTTTAAGAATTCATACACAATCGTTCATTTGCTACTAATAATTATTAATTTTATTTATAAATTTTATTATATTCTCCTTAAAGAATGTGATTAGTTGTAACTTGTGATTCAAATAATTTTTTATATCTTTCTAATTCATGACATTTTTGAGTGGATATACTAGTATTAATTTGTCTTGTTTCTGTTGTGGATTAACCATTATTGGAAAAGGAAGATAACTCTGTATCACTTAAATCCTGTTCATATTCATTCATCAAACTTTCTCTAACTTTTCTGAAAGTAACTTAATTCCTTAAAGCTTTTCGAAACTTCAATAATTCGAATTTATAAGTGGAATTTTCATTATTTAATTATTTAATTTTAACTTAATAGTGTTAGATATATTAATTATGTTTTAGAAGTTCATTTTTTAAATGTTCAATTTCATTGTGTAATTTTAAAGATATTTCATTTAATTATAAGAGATCCTTACATTTAACAGCCACTCCATCATTCAATACTGTATTGTTCTTTTCCTATTGTTAAATAGTATATTCTTTATCGTGAATGATGCGGCGTTATTCTAAAATTTTATCTTCTTGTTCATGAACCAAATCCAAATAGAAGGCTTCAATTTGTTAACTCATTTAAAGATTGAGGAAAGCTTGCACCTGCGAATGGGTGAGTTATTCCTTCAATGATGTAACTTGTTAATTTAATTGTTGAATTTCGAAAGAAAATATTTCATTCAGTTGATTGGTTCTATACTTCTGGAGTGTCAAAAGCAATAAATCATTCTCTTATTTGAGCGAACGATTTTCAGATACTAAGAAATCAAGTTTGGCTTATTGACGTCGTTAGATTAGTTCATGAGAACCTGGCTCTAAGAAGTTCATTTATTTTAATTTATTAATATATATATTAAAATATATATATCATACTTTCACTTTCTTTACAGACTCAGATCCATCTTGTACTTCTTCATCGTCATTTTTTGGTTTCTTCTTCTGAGATTCCTACAATACCTTAGGTTTTTCAATATAAGTGTTCTTGACTAGAGATCTTCCCATCGAATTATTTTCCTTCTCTTTGTCCAGCACTTTGACAAGGGAAATAACTCTGTTTTTGAGTTCGTTTTCGCTTTTGCACTTAAAGGCATGATCAAATCGAAACATAGGTTCTTTTCTAATAGATTATTTAAGCTAGGCCCAATTGCCATACCCAACTTCATTGGTCATGTAGATCAAAAATTTGTCATTTTCTAAACTGAAGTACTTACTTTTGAATTTATTATAGAGCTAAGGAGTAAAGACCAATTCATATTTTGGTTGATGAAAATGTTTGCATTTCTCTTCTATTAATTTTTATCCATTTGTTTTTTACTCAATGAGTTTTTAACCTCTTTCAATTTACTTGACTATCTTATCTTTTTCACTCAACCCATCGATTCTCTCCCAAAAAGCTTGAGCATAGGCTTTGATTTCATCTAAGGATTTAGTTTTGATAACTTCTTGAATTTTTTCATAGGCATCTTTTCCATATTTTTCATTTGCAGTAATGAAATCTTAAAATTCTTATTTATTCCAATTTTTAAAACCAGTTTCCAATAATCTTTTCTATTCTTAACGTTCATCTTAAGTGAGACCTCCAAAATCAACATTTTCATCATTTTCATTATCCTTCTTTTGTGTTTTCTGCTAAGCCAAAAAGTCTTCTTCTTTTTATAGCAAGTATTGTAATCTATCCTTATTTTCATAGAGATGATGTTCAGATAGTTTAATTTATTTGCCTTATATTTTTTTAGAATTGGTTCCAATCATCATAGCTCTCTTGTCTCGATTCCGAGTCTTATTATCTTGCATAAGATGATTGACTAAGGCATCTTCAAGTGCATCTTCGTCTTCTTTATTTCTTTTGGCTTCATCAAAATAATCAAAGATGTTGATCTATCCCAATCCTAAATCCAGAGATTAGACTTTGTCTTTGAAATTTTCAAACTTCTTTTCAATTCTTTCATTCATTTCTTTAGTCAATTGCTCACCTCTTTTAAGTAAGATATCAATATCTTCATCCTTGATGTCATCTCCATCCAATTTGAAAATCTGAGAAGCTCCGTATGTGGTTAACTCCTTTAAGTCTTCTTTGGATAACAATTTGCCACCTTACTTCTACTAGAGTCTGCCTTGCTAGACCATAAGTGAATCCCAACGTAATTTAATCTATTATCTTTCAATGATCTTTTCTTCAACAGTATGTTCACAAGCCATTCTATAGACCATTACTCTATTCTTTTGTCCAATTCTATGAGCTCTGTCCATAGCTTGCATATCCATCTAGGGATTGAAATCAGAATCATAAATAATGACAGTATCTGCAGTGGCTAAATTGATACCAAGGCCACCGGCTCTGGTTGACAATAAAAATATGAATTTCTTGCTGTCTGGAGCTGTAAACTCAGCAATCTAATCATCTCTTAATTGAATTTCAGTTTCTCCATCAATTCTACAATACTCATAACTTCTAAAATTACAATAATCTTCTAGAATATTCAACATCATAGTAAATTAAGAGAAAATGAGGATTTGATGTTAGCCCTCACTTAATTTCTTTAGAAACTTATCTAAGACTCTCATCTTACCACTCACATCGACTAAGTGTTCACCCAAGGCTGGCAAACTCTTGTCTTCCACTTCAGGGAATAGATAAGGATGTAAACAGATCTTACGCAATTGCATTAGTTTATTCATGTAAAAGCCTTTGTCATCTCCTTCATGTGGGTTATTGTGAATCAAGATATTCTGATACATTGATTTTTGCAGATTAGACATTTTAATAAACAAATGGATTTCCTACTTAGGAGGAAGCATCCTTTCCACTTCAGCCTTAGTTCTCCTTAGCATAAATGGTCTCAATATCTTCTAGAATTTCTAGACCATTTCCAAATTTCTTTATTCTAATTCATCTTGATGTATAGTTTCATTTCCTTCTTTCAATTTTGCTTCTGTGTTTACTTCAAACCATTTGTCAAACACTTCTGATGAGTCAAATAGGTCAGGAAGTAAGTAATTCAATAAACTCCATAATTCATGTGGAGTGTTCTGTAGAGGTGTTCCAGTTAATAATAATTTATAATTAGTTCTAATTTTACGTAAGTTTTGACTGATGATTGCATCTTCATTCTTTATTTTGTGTGCCTCATCTATTATGATGTATTTGTATTGAAATCTTCTTATATGCTTTAAACAAATGTTGACTCCCTCATAACTTGTTAAACAAACATCAAATTTTCCTGGTTAAAAATATCTGTTTAATATTTCGTCCCTCTCTTCTTTTATTGCTATCAATTTTACCACTCTCATGCAAGGCAACCATATTTTGAACTCTCTCATCCAATTACCTAAAGTAGACTTTGGAGCCACTATCAAATAAGGTCCACTAATCTTTTTGTACTCTTTCAAAAAAGCCAAGAATCCAATTGTCTGTATTGTTTTGCCCAAACCCATTTCATCAGCCAAAATTCCATTGATTCCTTCTTCAAACAAAGAAATCATCCAGTTCAATCCAGTCATTTGATAGGACTTCAATTATCCACCCTTTAAAATAGTAGGCTGCTTTTCCAATACTGTCGGAGTATCATCGAAATCCTCTTCTTCACTCCCATCCTCAACTATCTGTCTATGTTTTCCTCTCTACTACCCTTGAACCTTCTGCTTACTCTCCTAGGTTCTCTTGTGTCTGTGCAATAGAAACATGGCATATTTCTCGGCATTTTCTAGAAGTGTATTTATCTTCGATTCTATGTTATCAAATTTAATCTATCTTAATATATATGGTATATACATTGGTGTTCATTCTTCCAGTCGACTTTATTTAACTCATGAAACTCTTTTTGTCTTGCTCTAATTTTTTTATTCTTTCATCTTCTTCCTCTGCTCTTTATTCTTCATCACTTGCCAATTCCACTTGCAATACCTCGTTCTCATCGTCGCTTTAATTACTCATTAAAATTAATTATGTTTTTGAGAGCTACCAATTTTTCAATTAATCATCAAATTATTTGAGCCAACTTTTTATAATTAAAATTATATATATTAAATTTTACATGCATAATACTACTACCAATTATATATTAAATCAAATTTATTAATGCTTTCTTATTTCCTTTGCCAAAAACACCAATGGGTTGAATACTCTAAAAGATCCATGTCTCTTTCTATCAATAGGATTCTACAAGTAGAAATCTAGTTCACTCATGTCATCCTCAGTTTATTCACTTTAGAGATTCTTGCTATCTTCTATCATCAACTTAAATTTGTTCCTGAACTCCTGTTGTCCATTGTAATCTTAACATATATGTTTATTTTCATGTAAATATTCAATTAACTTATCCATAGCCTCCTCGACTACGCAATAAACATTATTCAAGCTCATTATTATTTTATTTTATATAAAACTTATCATCTTCTCCAAATCAGACATTTAGAGTCATCTTCCACGAAAAAGCTTATCATGTGATCCCTCAAAAATCGGAGTAATCCTCTATCACAACCTATTCATTATACATAATTTAAATTTTCACATATAACAGTAATAGAGGGAACAAATAAAAATATCACCGTTACATCACTAGCTATCCAATACTATAGATGTTTATGCGATTCTTTTATCCTTTTTAAGGCTAAAATTTATACACTGGTTACTTGCAATACCAATTTGAATATTAACTGTACTATTTGAATAATCATATAGAATAAAATAGTTATCAATTATTTTAGAATACGTGTTAATAGTTTATGACATCAAAACATTTTTATTTATTAATGTAATATTATTTAATTTCAAGAGTGTGATATTTAAATATTTGATTGATTTCGCACAATTGATTTACCAAATCCAACAACTTATATTCAGAAAGACTTACCTATGAATCGTTAAAGAATTCTAAACGTTGCATCAAATATCGCAACCCTTTTTGGGTCATTTTATATATAATTAAAACAATATTATTTGATAAACAACTTAATTAAAATATTTTACACAAAAATATTAAAGGGAAGTTGGCGTTATGAAGAATGAAAAACTCAAATTACAGTTTTGAATTCTATATAATTATCAAATTGTTTCTACTTTGACTTCGTTATGGAGTTTTTGATAGTAGTTGTAAGAGTTAATTATCTGATGATTGAGTTATATTTCAACAACAAGTTTGGCACCATCTTAATTATTTTACTTAATAGAGCAAAATGATGCCTATTTCTTCTAGCCGATCAACTTTTTCACCTAATCAGGTACTGGCCTTTTTTCAGTTTTATAGTAATGGATCAATGACTTAGCACTTGAGTAATTCATCTTCAATTCCTTTGCAGCCTTAAATTTACAACCATAAGTACTTGTTTAATCTTTTTCCCGTTTTTAAATACCTATTCGAAAAGCATTTACTAAGTTCTTAGAGGTATTTTGTGATAGCGTTTTACACTGATTGTCTAAGTGTAAATTGGTCTGTTTTTTCTTGTAGAAACCTTTCTATCTGAAGTTTCAGAAGAGTATTACTAATGCTCATCAATAATCACTCCTGTTTTGCTCATTTTTATTTTTTTCTAATCAAAGAATCTTATTATATATTGTATATTAGAAATCCCTATTGCGTATTTGAATCACAAATTGACATAATATATTGAAATTAAATTAATTAGAACAAGAAAATATTATGATGAATATCTTATTTTCAACTTTTTCAACTTTTAAAACTCAGATGCACACTGTCCAACGCCACCAAGGTTGTATATTCATAACATACCTACTGTTGTCTCCTTACATTTTTCCTTAACTGATTTAAACACCCTACTCAACTATCGTATTTGCAGTCTAAATCTTTTGATCCTTAATAAGCAATTTATCCTTTCAACTTAAAATATTAAGCTTTTCCAAAATTGTCTTATTATTATCATTAAGTAAAATACTTGATAAATATGAGAGCCAAATCTCAGTTTGACTGAATTTCAATCATTGATTTTGGTTCTTACTTTAATTTTATCTCCATAAATAAAATAAATAAATGAAATCCTCTCTCTTTTACTTTTCTATTTACAAATCTCCTAATCTTATCCATCATCTATCTAATTATATATAAATAGAGCTCTTCCAGAAAATTAAGTTATCAATATATTTTTAATAATTTTATATAGTATTTTGATCGATCACTTTAACTTTGAAAAATATCAATTATAAGTCTTCTCAAGAATTATTGCAATTTAAATCTAGTAAGAATCGTAAAATTTGAACAACATGATTTGCCTATCATTACAATTATTTTCTCATAGAGATAAATACTTCTTTAATACATATATGGATTTAAAATTTATTTATAATATAATTCATCCCATTATGGCTTTGAAGTCTGCAAAATTGACATCTTTTTCTATTATGTTTTTAACATTAACTTAATGATCATGGGTATTTTGATGATGATTAGATTTCGTATCAGAAATTGAATCCCACTTCTTATCCAAATTACAATTCTAATCAAAAATTGATTTTATAGTTTTTTGTGTGATTAATTTCTCCTATTGACTTAGAAAATCAAAAATTAATTGCAAATGATTATTATAATCTTGAGGGGTTAAAGTAATTGCAATAAACTCAAAGTAATCTAAATAACCGTTATTATTGCAATCTAAATAAGGCCAAACTTTTTGAATATCCTATTTGTTCACTTTCAGATATGATGCTAATTCTGCTTATGTAATCAACCCAGATTGAGTTGTATTGATAAGGAAAAAGGCCATTTTCTATTATTTGAGATCTGAAGAGTTGATTTAGGTTGCTAAATAATATAGACCCAATCTTTTCAAAGGGTTAAACTTAACCCATTGATTTATCGTCAACATAGAAATCAACTTCTAATCTACCTAAAATTTCTGATTGAATTTATCGACCAATTTGTTTGCTAACAAATCTTTTGGTGAAGATCTTTAAGCTGCAGGACATATCTAAACCTTTATAAAATCTTTAATTTCTTATGGTATTTATTACCATTCATCACCTTTATTATAATTATAAAATAAAACCATCGAATTGTAATTGGGCATTTCTGATTTCTGTTAATATTTCCTTTTCGTTTTCTCCATAAAATGGAGGATATCCACATAAAATAACATATAAAATGACACCTGAAGACCAAATATCACATTTCGAATCATAAGAACCTTCTAATACTTCCGGAGCAACATAGTACGCCTATAAATTTAATGTAAAGTATACTGTGCCACTTTTGGTTTTTAATTTATCGACTCCTCTTTTGGCAATTCCAAAATCGATTACAATTAAGGTGTTCAAGTCATCCTTTTTTTAAAATAAAAAGTTCTCAGGTTTCAAATCCCTAAATTCTCTATGACATGTACCTATGAACTATTTTGAATCCCTGATAATAATTGACAGCTCTCATGTATTGAATATACACTTTAAATGCTTCGTCAATTGATAGGTTCCCTTTTTCCAAAACCTTATCAAAAACATCACCACCTTAACAGATTCTAGCTCAAATTCAAATAATACTCTAAAACCATATATAAATTCTCGTTATCCTCAAATGTTTCAAATACTCTCAGTATATTGGGATGATCCTTAAATTGCTAATTTTATTTTCATACTAATAGCTCCATAATTGTTATCTCACTTAGTAACCTCTCTTTGTATTTAATGTTCAGTTTATTGATCACCTTCACAGCTCTTATTTATTTGGAAACCTTATGAATTGCCTTGAAAACACTTCCATAAGCTCCTTGTCCAATTTTCTAAATTTATACATTTCTAATATATTTACATCTTTAGGATCATAAGAATACACAGAAGAAATGGGCACCGAGTTACGTCTGATCAGAGTTTGTTTGTAGATATGAAAAGCTGATGATTTTTAATCCATTATTTAAATTTAGCAAAAAAATTTAGATTCGTTTAACACTATATTTATGTTATATAATTAATGATCCCATTTCATTATCAATAATTTTTAATCTTCCGAAATGTAATATGAAATCATTACAATAAAATAAGTTGATGCGAATCAGCAATAATTCACATGCTAAAACACCAGTAAGCATATAATTTTTTTATATTGTATGATGAAAAAAATATATGTAAAATAATAATTATTTATCTAAAATTAAACTTGGAGAATAATAATGGAGATAAGGCTGAACCAATTGAGATTCTTGTTGAATTATATGAAATATTAGAAATTGAAATACTAAGGAAATATAATTATAAATATATATTGTTGATTCACAATTGATGATTATTATAATACAGGTTCCTTGTGGTTTTATTGAAATTTAAAGTAATCCAAATAAGTAAACAAATATTTTGTTTGATCATTTCTATAAAACTCAAAAATCAGTTGAATAGAAACCATTATAATTATTATTTATATAATTCTAAAACATCAATTGGATTTTAAAAGTCCATATATTTTACACATAAATTTCAAAATCAGCCCTTGATGAATAATTGCTATAAAAATGCTCTTACTAAATGTTTGATGTTTTCTATAATCATTAAAGGTGAATTTGTTTTAAACGCAATAGTTAAACTTATGTACAAACCCAAAGCAAGAAGTATATAAAGGGAAAATTTGACAATATTAATTAATTTAGCTGCTCTTCTATCGGAAGGATTAACCTCACCAGTTAAATATTGCCTAGCTTATTTTTTAAAATAATCTTCTACTAATTGTCTATCATCAATTGAGAGATTCTTAAATATTTTATTTTTTCTTTCCTCTGCTTCTATTTTCCTCTATCTCAAAGCTTCCATATCATCATTTTTATTTTATGAGTCAAATGTGTTTGATTATTCTTATTTATTTTACTATTTCAACTTAGTCTGTTCTTCATCATCCTCACCTTCAACTTTTACTTTTTTTTATTAAGTTTCAGTCTTATTCAATACAACCAATGCTAATAAACCAAGAATCATTCCTCCTGCAATCACGAAATAGTGATACATATAGATATTATTATTAACTTATTTTATATTTTAATAAGTGTTTTACTTGATGAGTAAAATACTATTTTTAATGAAATGGAAATCTAATCCTTTCCATATATTAAAAATATAACAAACAATTTAAAATTCATTCGTGAGTTGTATAGGATCGTAGTTTAACGCTTTAGTTTATTTTTTAGTGTTTTTTTTCTTTTAGAATTGCATATTTGGATTATTTGTAATTCATTTATAAAAAAGGAAGATCTTATTTCAATAATTTAATAGTTTGATTTTTTTTTGTCTCTTAATTTTCACAAATATTCCTAAAATAGATTTCTGGAGTGTCATTTGACATAGAATCAGCAAGTCTTACGTCATTTAATTTTATTTTTCCGTATTGAGGATTGTGTTAAACAATTGGCTTTTCAATTTCTTTATATTCTTCTTGA